TTATTGTTTTTATAGATGAGAAGAATGTGGTGCCAAGCAGTAAATCGACTTGATTTGGTAGATATTTTGTTTATATTTTTTATTTAATTCTAAATAAAATAATATAAAAGTAATCTCTGTTTTTTATTAACATATAATTTTACATTAAATGCATATCTTGAATAATTCAAAACAATAAAGTAGGTTGCAAACTATTTATTTTTGATGAAATAGTAATCAAAACAATAGTTGCAACTTGCTTTATAGTTTTGAATTATTTAAGATATGTATTTAAAAATAAATTGTAAAATTATTCCGATTTGAATATATCGGCAAATGAAGCTTAGTACCCGCACGCTCCACGAGCGTCGCTGCAAAACATGTTTTGGCGGGAGGGCGAGAGTCGCCAATCTAAATTAGTTCTGTTATCTGTGCTTATGGCCTAAAATTGTGCACAGCGCCTGACCGGCACATTTATTAGAGAGATATCGGAAAACCGAATAGCGTCATCCAATATTTACGCGTAACTTATCATGGTTACGATATGCGCGAGTCAATTTTCAACGCAACACCCGCTAATAACGTTACAGCCTCACGTAATTTGCGGATCAATTACATCAAGCGCTCTTTCTAAATAACCTCTGATAACGTTTAAAATTGCTTAAATGGGCATGTGCGGGTATTTGACAACCGGAGCCGGCCGGCGAGATCTTTTATTTTAGGTTATGTTTGAATTGTTTTGAATTTTTGCTTTAGTTTTATTAGGTAATTTGATATTTAAGTAGCTGGGATTAGCTTTAATTAAATAAATATGACCCAAAATATGGATTTCACCTCTTCCAATACTAATGAACCTATAAAGAGTCTTAGGTTTACAGCAGATGACGACTTAGCCCTTCTAAGAGAATTTGTTGCTTGTTGCCCTAAACCCACTGGCAGACGTTGAACAATAAAGCCCTGGAAATAAGCACTTTAGCCCTTTAGTTTTAAAATACCTAGTAAAACAAAACAATTTCAAAGTTTCAAATTCAAAGTTAGGTTAAGTTTAAATAGCGGACGCGACGCGATCAAAATTCTTTCCGATCCGATAACTATAAATGAAGAGAGTTAATACCGCCTCACGTAAAGGAAATAACACCTGGCCTTATTAACATCCATGCACGCTATTCGGTTTAGCGATATCTCTCTATTACGCTGTTTATTGTTATTTTACGCGAGTTTATTTTTGCGCACAGGAAATTTGACTCGTTTGCACATCGTCATAAAAACAATTTTCGTACCACGAATTAGGGACAAGATTTTTATCTGTATACTTATAGGATACCTAATCTGTGGTTCTACTAAGAACTTTTTCGCCTGTCTCTGCCCTGTAGGCATGTCCGTACTTCGTGGTACCGGATACCGGTATTGAAATCTTAGGACCGAACATCCCTACTGCCCTGTTGAATTTCACCACCATTCTAGATATTTGTTGGGAACCCACCGTTTTGTGGCCTTTCTTGTGACTGCTTGTGTCTGCTTTGCAGCACCGGCGCCACAGAAAGATTCTGAGCATATAAATGGCATTGATAAGCCTTGTTTGGTCATTTTGTCTTTTTGTTGCCCTTGTGACCCTCGTGCCCTGTTAGCCAGTCTAACGAAAAGTTTCGTCCATAGAGCACTGGCTTTTGGCCGGCTAATTTCGCGGCAGATCTTATTGCTTTGTGAACCTGCGCCATTTAGTGTCCATTAACAACCGCTTGCAGGAAGTGGGAATGTTATTTGGCATCGTGGAGTTATTCTGCAGCTATCCCCTATCTTCTTCTTATCACGCCCTCTCCTGCCGAAGCTTGGCGATCCAAATGGCAATTGTGGAAACTGCAGCTCGAAAGATTTCCGCAGACGGGCGTTCAAACCATCTCCTTAAATCTTTTAGCTATGAGTTCTGGCGTCTTCCTGTTGATCTTTTCCCTTGCACTTTGCCCTCTATTATGAGGCGCAGTATTTCGTATCTATCACCTCTCATCACATGACCCAGGTATTGCATTTTTCTTTCCTTGATGGTGTTCAGTATCTCTTTTTGTTTCTGCATGCGCTGGAGCACTTCATCGTTGGTGACCATAGACTTAAAATAAAATATAGACTACACTATTTACATCTCAACGCGGACAAACAACCTTTTTTGTACACATGTTTACTTCTGGGTACAGTCGACCGAGCCTTCCTCATCCAGCCTATGTTGTCACGTCTTTAATATTATCAATATTTTTTTTCTTGTTATACACATATATTGAGATATTAATACTACAGTTTAATAAAGTAGGTTTTAATATTCCATAGATGTATTAAATAGTCCTTATACTACTAAATTATAAGTCGGATACTGTTTAATAAGGATAAGTTCTTTACAATATGACAACACCGATTAGAGGCGAGGGAGCCTATTCATTCATTTATTACCTTGTAGTACGTGTCGCACGTGTGCTGTAAAGCTTTGTTGCCGCTATCTCCCCGGCTGTATTAACGCATTTTCTTAGCTTGTAGTCCTTAAGTGTTTATTTTATTGACTTTTTCTGTTTAAAAAATATAAAATATGGTTCGCCAGTGCCAAATTTGCAAGAAATTTGACTTAAATAATCCATTTAAGTCTTGAAACGACTTTTTGACCGGTAGGCAACTCTCAATTTACCCATTGGCAGTCAGTGGCGTTGTTGTAGAAAGGCGCTTATTTAGATAATATTTTAGTAAAATGTAAAATCTGAATTTTTCTTTTACATTACATTATTTACTTACTTACATTGTAACAAAATCATAATTATAACCCTGTTAATAATTAATAATGTTTTTATTAAAAATATATTCCGGTTTATTCTAAAATTATCTTCAGAATCTAAAATAACATACAAGAATTTTAAAATGATATTACATTATGAAACAATATTTTTTAATATACCGGGTCGTCTCAAAAGTGGCTCAACCCTATAACATGTTTTATTTTTTCAGATAAAAAAAATGATTTTTATATTAGTAGGTATATGACATAAATTAGGATTTATTGACGTATTCAATTGTTTTTGGTCTCTTCCTGTTTCACCGAAATGATTACATCTTTTGATTTTTAAAGGCACCCTCGGTATATTGCTACTTTATTCGATAAAAAATGACTTCGAATAGAATGACATATCATATGTCAACTTTTGACATTATCGCTTAAAAACAAATCCTATTTTAAATTTCAATCCAGGGTGCCATGGTGTTGTTAAAAACACTAAGTTTTAACCAAGGAGCCTTGGAAAATAGTTTTGATCGTCTAATAGGTTTCGTGTCTTGTCTAGGCCGGTTAAAAGATGTACAAATCGTATTTTTAATCATACATATGTCAATTTTTTCAAATGGAACAAGGGTGACTCATTAGCATATTTGGAAAAAGTATTTTTTTATGAATATATTGATACCACACACTTGGTATTTCGAGTCAAATTGTCGTTATGAACCGCGTGTTACAATTACAATTAAACCATATGCGAAAATGTCAAAAGTTGACATATGATATGTCATTCTATACAGAGTGTCATTTTCTATCAAATAAAGTAGAAGTATACCGAGGGTGCCGTTTAAAAATTAAAAGTTATAGTCATTTCCGGTGAAACAGGAAGTGACCAAAAACAATTGAATGCGTCAATCAATCCTAATTTATTTCATATACTAACATACTAAATCTTGTTTTTTTTATTTGAAAATATAAAAAAATTATGGGGATGAGCCACTTTTTTGAGACGCACCGGTATAATAAAGACAGTACCGAGTTATAAATGTAGTTTTTATTTTATCCACTTCCTATCACCTTCCTTGCTTTAATGGAACAGATTTATGTTTTCTCTAATTTACATAATAAGACATCACTTAACCAGAAAAAAAATTACAACAATCATATTTTTTTTTCTCTCCCTGTTGCCGATTCTATTATATCTGTGGAATAGATCCTGTTTTGATTAATATTAGGGGTTGTAAATGTTTGACTAAAATTAATAATTTATTATTAATTTCAAAAATTACCTAATTTCGATTATAAAATTTCTTCTATAACGTGTATTTTATTATTTTTATCCTTTTGGACTCTAAATTGTTTTTTCTAAACTTTTATTTAAAAATCTTAATAAAATATAAAAAGTTTAAATACGATATATTTTTAATTTAATTATAGCTTCATTAAAATAAAAAAATTACCCGGCTATGATACGGAGAGTTCAGGTGTACTTGAGAAACGAAAGACAGTGTTGTGTTTCTCGGCAGAGTCGTCAGGGAACGACCGTTACGACAGACACAACCTATCTATCGCTCGTGTCGCACTCGTTATAACCTAAAACAATAACACAACAATAACAAGACAGTGTCTGACCGCATGTTCCAGCTATTTATGAATGAGATGCTCAGTCTATATTTTATTTTAAGTCTATGTTGGTGACCCTTTGTACCCATGAGATTCGCAGCATCCGTCTGTACACATACATTTCGAAAGCTTCTATTCTCTTTTCGGTCTGTGAATTTAGTGTCCAGATTTCACCTCACATCCATAGAGTAACACAGAGAAGACTATTCCCTATTATGCCTTTTTATTAGCTAGTGATAATGTTCATATTAAACAGATATAAAAATGTACTACTCACGTTCATGAAATTAATCGCCTCTCTTGAAGTATATTTTCAACAAAATTGAAAACCGTTTAAAAAAAATGCTACAATTTTCAAAATATATAAATGTTTACAAGGTTGTTATGATTAAAATCGATGTTTTAATAATTTTCTTGAATTGTGCTAAAACAATCTACAACCTTTATTGGAAATTTAGAAATGAGCTGAGCAAGGTAGATTAAAAACGTTCGGAACCCCATTACATAATTTTTGACAGATACGTCTATTCAATCGTTGACAAAATGTATCAGTACAAAAAATTCGGTGATTCTCTACTGATTATTTTATTTAACATAGAACTTTAATAGAAGTATGTGTATAGTGAATAATAATGTACAATTGCTTTTCCAGAGCGCGATCGAGACTATATCGGATTCGCCACTCTGCCCGACCAAGTGCATCGAAAATCCGTCAAACGCGGCTTTGAGTTCACGCTGATGGTTGTGGGCGAATCGGGCTTAGGGAAATCCACTCTGATCAATAGTTTATTCCTAGAAGACCTGTACAAGAATAGAAAAGTTCCGGATGTTAGCGAAAGAATACACAAAACGACCACTGTCGAGAAAAAGACGATGGAAATCGAAGAAAGAGGAGTTAGAGTAAGGTAGGTAAATTTCTCATATCAAAGAACTGCTAGACTCCAATTTTCATACAAATATTGACGTTACTTCAGAAATTATTTGGAAAAAATCGAAATAAAAATGAAACTTCTACACCCTGTATCTCCGAAACTCAGCATTTTAGGACATACATTTATAAGCTATATACATATATAATAAATATAACTTTTTTGCTAATTTTTATCTGCAAAATATGCTGCCGAAGTTTCCGGAATACAGTTCGGGCCACCCTGTATAACAGAGTGATCCGCCTCATTTTCGTTTCAGGGAAAAGACCTGTGCAATATCAACAGCGATTCTTTCGAATATCTGAAGCAGAATTTTCTGATTTTCCAAAAATTTTCTCGCCAAAATTCGCCTTCGTTTACAAAAAAAAAGTCGCCGACCTGCATTTGTTACTTTCCTTTTTTGATATCGCTCTTTCAAACGAATTTCCATAAAAAAATTGTTAATAATAAATGAATAGAAAAATACAGGTATTCAGCGTGTCTGTAAAATCCTTTTGTAAAATCACATTAAAAATGGATCAAAATATACAAAAAACATGTGTCATCTCTCGTGAGGAAATTCCTCACTTAAAAATAAGATTTATTTTTCATATCAACATAGGTCCCATTCTGCTTTGTTTCGTAGCTACAGGGTGTTAAAATCTTAATATTTTTTCCATTTATTGTATTTTTCTTACAGTTACTTTTAGCGTTTCGAATGAAATTTTAGAGTAAAAGTTCCTATAAAAGCGACATATTTTAAAGCTAAAAACATGTCGGCATATTCACCAGGGACGCGCAGATGGGTTATCACTGGAATATTTTTCTAAAAAAAGCATGTACGCCACTGAGTTTTTTTTCTCTTGTTAGCTAAAAAATAGTAGTGTAAGCAGCTTAATGCCGATTAAAAATTGCCTCTTGAGTTTGTCAATTTCAGCCATCTTGATGAGATAAACGCAATTTTATTAATTTGTCTTGATCCAAGTCTAATAGCAACCTTTATAAAAAATTGTAATATGTAAGATTTTTTTTTGTTTACTTTCTTTATAAAATAATAAACAATCTAAACAACTAACAAAACCATAACTCGTGACAGGATACTTAAAATGTTTTAAAGTATTATATTGTCAGGAAAACAAATATATAATAAATCACAGACTCACCAAATAATCCCTGAAGCATTGACCCTGAGCGGAGGCGTACTTTAATACCTGTCACAATTAAAAGTAAGGATAACTGTCCAGTTCATAATTCCGACCCACTTAACTGCTATGTGCCGATATTGTTTTGCCCTAACTACCTATTATTTATTTCCTATTTATCTTACTAGATGGACTAATTTATCTCTGTCTCTCTCAATACAAGATTTACCAACATATCTATGCAAATGCACTGCTTGGCCTTCCGCCCACGCACCCCCTGATGGCGCGGACTCCAGAGTAATCAGCCGCACGGGCAACAGAATAAACACAACATATCGATCCCGAGATTCGAGGACCCTGGGGGCCTGTTCCCGCCGCTGAAGACCCGGAGGTACCGTCCCAGACATAATAATAATGTCCGTTGTCACACGGCGTACGGAATCCCAGATCCCTGCCGTGTGCGACGTTGCGACATTACGAGGATTCGCGTCCCTGCTACTATGACATTACGGGATCCCAGATCCTGCCAAGCAACATTAACGGGCCTATCCTTGCGCTTCCTCAAGCTAAGCAGTACTAACTCTACTGAGAACAGAAATTCACTAATCCACCTAAAGCTTACGTGGCTATCATATTAACTAATTAGGTACTTTATAAAAGAACTATCCAATCTCTCTCTCTCTCTTGATTACAAATTTACTTATCTCATCAAATACTAACGTACTGTCTTGCCCCCGTCCACGCCCCCCCGTGGCACGGTCTAGACGAACCAGAAGACCCGGATACAGCGGCTGAATCTCTCGGGGTCCCGCTCCCGCATCTGGTTACGCCCAGAGGCACAATATAAAAACCGGTGATAACCAGGATTTTACTCCCTACACCGTTGCGACATTACGAGGAATCGCGTCCCTGCTACTATGACATTACGGGATCCCAGATCCTGCCAAGCAACATTAACGGGCCTATCCTTGCGCTCCTCCTGACTAGACAGCACCGACTCTACAGAGTAAAGAGATTCAATAGCCTATCTAAACAAAGCTCACGTAGCTGCCGCATCGGTATACCGCCGCATTATTTAATTACTAACCCTATCTAACTTTCATATTCTATATTTTGACCTAGCATGTATACGGCGCAGTTATTTAATGTAATATTTAATAATATGTGTACGCAAATGATATCTAACAAAACGTATCAATATATTTATCAAAATATTCATGATCTAATTAATTAATAAACTACGACACTTAGTGAGATGTACTCACCCTGCTTTCTGCTTATATCACTGCACTAACTAACTAATTAACTTTACTTTAACTGACACACTATTCACGCCACCGCACTCAATACTGTACTGTGCGTCGGAATATGTGTATTTTTCTACATTAGGTAATATTCTCAAACTTTCTTTTCGAAACAGAATTGTTTCGACCAATCATCGTTCGATTTTGAACGCTTTTCTAGGAATACTTTTACCCCTAAATCGGAGCGCAGGACGCCCATAAAATCAGATATGGCGTGACATGCTTGAGACGCAGAAATACTTAGCAGGCACAAACTCTTAATATGTGTCGTTTTAAAACCTATGTTAAAAGAAATATTATTGGGAAAATATACTCACGTTATAAATATCATTTGCAAAAGTTTTAAATAAGTACACATTGATTTCTTACCAAAAAACATGAAAAAAATTTCCTATTAACGTGGGTATGGAAAAGCACAGTTTTAGAGTTACAGGATATTAAAACATTTTAAAATGAGGTTTTTGTAATTATCTTAAAATACCATTATTTTTTTGTTTGAAATTGCTGTAGATTAGACATAGTAATAATAACTAATAGTAATAATATATTTAATAATAAATTAGGTAAAATATATAATTTAATTATCATTTATTATATTAATTAATTATAATTTTATTTTTAATTTAATTTTATTAATTATGATTAATAAAATTGCGTTTATCTCATCAAGGAGTCCGAATTCGACAAAATACAATTTTTTATTTTTTAATACACTTTGTAGAGAAGCTTCCACATCCACCTCCTTTTTTTTAGGTCTCTTTTTTTGTTGCGATTTTTGTAATCATTGATCATAATTTTCCACAACCAGCAAGGACATATAGACAACGTCTATAAACTGTATTAAAAACTCTTCATTTAAATACCGTAGGTCCATATTGGTTAATTTTTTTGAAAAAGTTACAAACTTAAATAGCATCAACCATACAAATGGTACAACAATAAATGTTACATGTACACGTGCACAAATGTGAAAGACTGGCGATTAAAAAGTAACGGCGCACACATTATCCGTTTTCACGAGCATGGATGAACCGACGATTAAGATTTCAAGCAAAGGCAGAAATTTTCACCGACGGTGATGATATCCGTGTTGTGCCACAGACTATCAGTTTTAATCGTCGTTGGCGATTAAAAATGACAAAAAAGAAGGTAGTCTGTAGGGTCCTTAAGTTTTTTAAATATGATTTATTGTTGGCAGAAACCTTTCTACGGCCGAAAAATCAACTGCAATTAAATTTAGTTGTTGATTATAACGATATGCTCTTTACACTTACGAATCACTATTGATAAATAACGTTGATTATCTTGCAGATTAACCATCATCGACACCCCGGGCTTCGGCGATGCGGTAAACTGCGAAGATAGCTGGAAGGTGTGCACAAATTACATCGACGAACAGTTTCGCCAATATTTCACAGACGAAAGCGGCTTGAACCGAAGAAACATCCAAGATAATCGAGTTCACTGTTGTTTATACTTCATTCCTCCCTGGGGCCACAGGTGAGTAAGACATTTTAATCACGAATCTTAGACATGTTAATAAATGTACTGTCTATTATTTATATTTATATGATTATTTTTGTATTTTTAATTATCGCTGAGAAGGCAAGCATGTTTGTTTTTATTTTTAAAATAAGTTAGAATTTGATAGAAAATTTCACACCTCTACTTTTCAACCAATAACATGCTTTAATGTTGACTAGTTACCATGGCAACTGAAAAAATTTCCGGAAATTTTTTCGAGGCGCCACGAAACTTTAGTGGAAATTTTTTGACAGTTGAAAAGGTAAACATAAGATCTACAATCATAATGTGAATGAACTACAATGTCTATATATTGAAATATTACCCATTTGAGTTTTAGCATTTGATGTAACTAATTAAAAATATAATAATATTTGTTAATATTATTAACAAATTGAAATTATTTTAAAATGTCATGTTGGATTAATATATTTTTTTCAAATTTAGGTGTGAAATTTTCTTATCGAATACCACGCAAGCTTAAATTATTCCTGGAAATTTTCTTTCGGGCACGAATATTAGGAAAATTATCCCTCGTCTTCGACTCGGGATAATTTTCAAAATATTCGTGCCCTCAAAAAAATTTCCGAAAATAATTTAAGCTCTTGTGATATTATAAGTGAAAATTGACATTTTTAACACGCCTCACCTGTAAACACGGTTCCGAAAAGCCCTATACCGGGTGCGTCTCAAAAGTGGCTCACCCCTATACCTTTTTTAATTTTTAAGATAAAAAAACGAGATTTGGTATGTTAATATATGACATAAATTAGGATTGATTGACGTACACAATTCTTTTTGGCCACTTCCTGTTCACAGTTCAAAAATATTGCTGCCAATATAGAGCACAATATAAACACATTTTTAAATTAAAGTTATACATTTTTAAACTAAAGTTATATATTTTTAATGGAATGGTATATATTTTTAGCTGAATAGATTTCCCATTAAATTGCCGATTTAAAATTACCATAGTGTCATATTCTATACCACTTTTGAAATATGAACTAAATTTGCATTTTCTTATTTAAGGTTATCTCATAATTATATAATCTAAAATGTTTGATGCGAGGGGTATCTTACTATTGGAATTACCTGTACATTTTCTTGGCAGTCGTTGGTATCAGTTCGACTGTATAGGCAGTCTTCTTGGCAGTCATCGGTAGTCGCGTCGTCGCGTGGGAGTAAAATTATATTTTCGCAGTACAGGGTATCCCGTTTTAGTTGAAATCATCGATCACGGTATATCCGTTATTAGTGATGATAGAAGGGTGCGGTTTGCACCAACCTGTCCCACAACAACAAAAACTTCCGTTTTTGTCAAACGGAAGATGCTGTAAACAAAATTTTTGTAGCCCTCTTCGTTTCTGAGCTACTGGGTCTCTTTGAAAATGTTGCAATTTGGGACACTTCCCGTATCTCTGTTACTGTGAATGGTATCGAGAATGTGACAACTGTTTATTGTAGAACTTTGTACGTAGAATACAGTGGCGTAGTATGTCTACGAAAAGAATATTTTTGAAGAAATGAACTATAGTTATATGTTTTTTTTTTAATAGAATACCTTGTATATTTATAAATGATATGATCTGGCTTGCTATAAGCTTCTCAAAAATATTTTAAGTAAACTTAAAATACACACCACTTTATACAGGGTGGTCCGAACTGTATTCCGGAAACTTGGGCAGCAAGATAAATTGTATTCTACAGATAAAAATAAGTAAAAAAGTTCCTATAAAGATATGTCCTAAAACGCTTCGTTTCGGAAATACAGGGTGTAGAAGTTTCATTTTTATTTCGATTTTTTCCAAATAATTTCTGAAGCAACGTCAATATTTGGATGAAAATTGCCATTTGGGAGGTTTTTGGCATGAGAAATTTGATTTTGATGTCAATGTGACTCCCATTTGTAGAGGGCGCCATCTACATGTGTTTAACTGTTTTGAAGAGTAATAACTTTTCGTCCGTACCTGTATAAAAGTACTGAGTGAAAAAATATATATTTCCGTAACTTTTTACGTAAAAAATGTCTCTTGGTAAAAATCGCTACGAGTAACCGTTCAAGATATTTAGAATGGAAATAGTCAATGTCATGTCATTAAGAACAAAAAATAAACACGTTGAGTAGATAGTTATTTGACTGAAATAATAAATTCAGGAAAATTTTATTTTTTTAACTTAATCATAAATTTTTCTGCAAAAAATGACGATAAAACAGTTTCTCTTAAACTTTTAGGACAAAAACATTTCAAATTTATGATTTCAGTCTAATAACTATTTAGTCAACAAATATCTCGAAAACCATTACTCGTAGCGATTTTTACCAAGAGACCTTTTTCACGTGGAAAACGTCGTAAATGTATATTTTTTTTACGCAGTAGTTTTATACAGGTACCGACGAAAACTTATTACCATGGCTTCAAACCAGTTAAAAAATATGTAGGTGGCGCCCTTTACTAGTAGGAGTCATATTGACATCAAAATCAAATTTCTCATGTCAAAAAACTCCAAGACACCAATTTTCATCCAAAAATTGACTTAACTTTCAGAAATGATTTGGAAAAAATCGAAATAAAAATGACATTTCTACACCCTGTATCTCCCAAACTAAGCATTTAAGGGCATACATTTATACGAAATTTTTTACTTATTTTTATCTGCAGAATATGCCGCCGAAGTTTCCGGAACACAGTTCGGACCACCCTGTATATTTTCACTATTTATGTGATATTAATGGAATGAGTCTGTAACCATAAACCTCTGATCTAGACTTTTTCGGAAAGCTAGATCACAATGTAACGAGTCTGAAAACGTTATTTTACTACATTTTTTTGATTAATACTAATATTAAAATGTTACAATAAAAGAGTAGTCTAAAATCAAATGTAAGAGTACTATCTGTGGTAATATCTAATAATAATCTAAGATACTATTTTTTGGAAGTACTAATTTTTAATTTGCTATGTACAATATTGACTAAAAACTAATCAAATTATGCACTGAATTTCACCTAACGCGATTAAGCAGTTCCCAGATTATTTTACCAAGGTGTAATGACACCGTCTTCAGCGAATGACACCAACCTCCTAAGGTTTCGGAGCTACTTGTCGCTATTTAGGTTAATACCGTTACCGCTTCTAAGCCACTTAACAAGATTTATAGTTTATAAATAGCCTAAACAGATTAAAAACTGATTTAGATATCACTGTCTTTGTTGACATAACGTTAAAAGTACTAATAGTGATATTTAGAACATTTTTAATTATAATATTAAGTATATAGAGGGTGTTCCTTAATGACAATGCTAATGTTTAAGGGGGTGGACCTGGGGGAAAGGTTCTTGGGCATATTCTAACAAAAAATCATATTAATGTATGTCCTAAACATCTTAACTTTTCGAAACAAAAGGAACTCTTTTTCACAATAACTCTGATCTTTTTATACTGGGTGCGTCTCAAAAGTGGGTCACCCCTATAACTTTTTTTATTTTTTCATATAAGAAAACGAGATTTGGTCTGTTAGTATATGACATAAATTACTCGATAAATTAGGATTGAATGACGTATTCAATTGATTTTGGTCACTTCCTGTTTCACCGTAAATGATTACAACTTTTGATTTTTAAATGGCACCCTCGTTTTTTTTACTTTTTTCAATAGAAAATGACTCTCTGAATAGAATGACATATATGCAACTTTTTACATTTTCTCATATGATTTATTTGTAAATGTAACATGCGGTTCATAACGACAATTTGACTCTAAATACCAAGTGTTGTGGTACCAAATTATTCGTACAAAAATGCCTTTTCCTAATACGCTAATGAGCCACCCTTGTTCCATTTGAAAAAATTGGTAGGCAGTTCTTTTACTTTTAAAGTAAAGGAATTTTTTCAATTTTTTTTATCTCAAAAACTGCGACTTTGATTTTGATGTTATTACAAATTTTGTTGCAAATATTATTCCTAATCTTAAATTGAAAACCGCGTTTCGCTAGCTACTGTAATTTTGGAGTTACGATTTTTGAAAATTTGTAACCCCCTCCCATACCCCCTTACCAACCCCCCACCCAACCAAAAACTAATGGCCAGATTCTCGGGTGCCAGAGTATTTTTGTGCCAAATTTGGTTAAAATCGGTTTAGCGGTTTTTGAGTTATCGTGTTACAGACGGACAGACGGACAGACAGACAGACATGAAAATATTTTTTTTTTATTTAAGTCATCTATGATCCAAATAACTCATTTTGAGTGAAATTAAAAAAACTTTTTTTTTGCCGATCTTAATAGCCTACCATAATGTGGGCATCTTTTAACCGGCCAAGACCAGAAACGAAAAACATTAGATGATCAAATCTATTTTTCTAAGGCTCCTTGATTCAAAATTAGTGTTTTTAACACAGCCATGGCACTCTAGACTAAAATTTAAAATACGATTTTTTTTTAAAGCGAAAATGTCAAAAGTTGACATATGATATGTCATTCTATTCAGAGTGTCATTTTCTATCGAATAAAGTAAGAAATGACCGAGGGTACCATTAAAAAATCAAAAATTGTAGTAATTTTCGGTGGAACAGAAAGTGACCAAAAACAATTGAACACGTCAATCAATCGTTATTTATGTCATATACTAACACACCACATCTCGTTTTTTTTTATCTGAAAAAATAAAAAAGTTATAGGGGTGAGCCACTTTTGAGATGTACCCGGTAGATATCTTTATGAATTTCAATTTTAATTCGGAACTTTGAATAAGAAGACTAAGGAAGGAGCATAATGCTAACCATGTATTCATGCATGGTGGGCGGAAAAAGCACCATAAAAGCACTCTAGGGTGGGGATCCTTGACAGTTCTGTTTGGCGATTCATTTGACACATTTGAATTTTATTTGAAATTTTGTGGATTTGTCAGTCTTTACGCAGCTTATTTTATGTTATTTATTATTTATTCTACTACTGATAGTTGTACAAAGCTAGTAAATCTAGATGGAAATTGTGGCAGAACTTAAATTAACAGTGACACTATCGCGATTTATCGAAAAAGACTCTAAAATAGTTGGTTGTGTAGCGCGCGGTAAATCTCGGCAAAAATTGAGTGAAATAATGGAACAACTTTTCGCTAGTAAGTGACTATATAATATACATACGTGTAGTAAACCGATCATTTATGAAATTCACTTAAATTAACTAAATTATATATTTTTCTTGCATTTTAGCTTTTATTTATTACTTGTCAAACATTAGATGTCAAAGAATTTAGATACGTTAATTTGACTTACCTGCTTCAGTAGCGTATCGGATGTTTATGTTAATAAATACTTATTATAACTTATCTATTTTTATTAGAATTATATATTTTTATAACAATTTTAATAACTACCAACATTTATGCACAACGTAAAATAAAACAACAAATTATTGAGTCTACCGCACGTCTACCCTACATCATAGTTTTACATTTTTTAAATAAAATTAGAACGACACTGATAAACCGGAATTTAAGTCGGCCATATTTGAGGCCCATCGCGGTGTACCTAAGATTTTTGATATGCTCCTTCCTTAGTCTTCTTATTCAAAGATTCGGAACAAAATTTAGTGAACTCTAAAATATATGAAAATGTTTTGTCCGTATTCAGTCCGTCAATGCAGAATATAAAATGTGAAATACTCATATACTATAATAGACCAATTGAAGTAAAAAATGCATTAAATGATAACGCTAAAATGTAACTGGCGTGTTTCTAATGTTACAGTTGAGAACATCAGTTATTTAATTAATAAAATTAATAAACGGTACTGTGGCGAGTTTAATTTAGTTAGCAGAGCATAAAGAATAACATTTTACTTAATTTATGTTATTTTTCTGTTGTTACTTTTGCCGCCCAGCGCGTAGTGCGTGACTATACTTAATTAGTCTCTGAAGCCGCTGTATAATTAATTTGTTAAGCTTGTATAGCAACTTTTGTGCCTAATTTTGACCTATTATTGATATTTTTCGTTTAAAAATATACAATATGACCAAGCATTCCGAATTTCTTTCAGTCTTTATAAAATAAAAGTGGGCAATAGTAACTGATAGTAACGCACATTTAAAAAATCAAAGATATGCATGATGATTAAATATTTTTTATATTAAAGTTGTAACGTTGATTGAAAGAATTGGAAAGATACGCAACCTATAATGGGCAAATTCGTGACAAGGCTCATTTGATTTCCCCTTACGTCTTATAGTTCAGTCATTGGGGATCAAAAAAGGAGCCTGCTTGGAAAAAAGTCCGGAAGTTTTGAAATTTTGCAGGTTTATAGGTTTTGGGGTCCCTAAATTAAAATCCATAAAATGCACATTTCTAGACTTGCCGCTGGCGCCGCCATTTTGCCAAAATGGCGCACAAAATCGGTTGTTTGTAAGTATCTCGAAAACTATGCGTTTTTCGCAAAAAATTGAGGAAAGCAAAATTAAAGAGAATAACATTTCCTATAAAAAAGGTTCTATAAAAATTTTCGCTAAAGTTAACCGTTTAGGCCCAAAATCTCTGGAAATTTTCAATTTTGCGTAGAATATGATACCTATATGTATTATGTATAGTCGATTTTCTGAAATCAAATGTCGATTAGGGTTCACTAAAACTAGTTTTAGTTTAGTTTCTTCAATTTTGTCATGAAACACTGGCGTATCATTAATTCGCTCATTAATTTATGAATAATTAATTGTCGTGCTGGACAGCATTTATTGCAAACTTACCACCAGGTTCATCATTGGTCTGGTTGTACCAAAGATGCCGAAGAATGGGGTTGGAAGAAAACAAAAACAGGCATTACTCCAGTCACAATGTTGACAGATCCAGCTCCAAAATCCCTATTGGTATTTTTATTCTGTAAATGCAAAACCAAAAACTGTGGTAAAGCCTGCAGATGCAGAAAAACAGGATTAAAATGTTCAATGATTTGTGCATACTGCAATGGGAAATCCTGTGACAACGTTACTGAAGTGTCACTCGACGAATCCGATGAAGAGGAGTTGGACTTGCCTGTAGATATCCCTCATTGAATTGAGTGACCACCCTGATGAGCCCAGTATGGCAGACACGATCGACTTTGACATCAATGAGCCAGGTCCGTCGGGTTTGTGCAGATAAGTTAAAGTTTGTAATTTACCTAGTGGAGTAGGCCTCCGGGGAGACCACGTTAAAAAAACGCGCCATGTACTTTACTTCTTGGGTGGTGTGGGAAACAAGTAACAAGTACACATTTTCAATAATTAAAATTAATTATTAATTAATTAATGAGCGAATTAATGATACGCCACTGCTTCATGACAAAATTGAAGAAACTAAACTAAAACTCGTTTTAGTGAACCCTAACCGACATTTGATTTCGGAAAATCGACTATACATATAGGTATCATATTTTACGCAAAATTGAAAAATTTCCAGAGATTTTGGGCCTAAACGGTTGACTTTAGCAAAAATGTTCATAGAACATTTTTTATAGAAAATTTTATTCTCTTTAATTTTGCTCTCATTGCAAATACCGATTTTGGGCGCCATCTTGGCAAGATGGCGGCGCCGGCGGCAAGTCTGGTAATGTGCATTTTATGGATTTTAGTTAGGGACCCCAAAATCTATAAACCTGCAAAATTTCAAAACTTCCGGACTTTTTTCCAAGTAAAAATCTCCAATGACTGAACTATTAAGTAAAGAAAAAGTAAAGCAAAGATTTCAAGTTAACGTCTCCTTTTTGCTGCCAGGGCTAATCTGGACGGGGTCTACTTTGTTTACGCGGATTCCGAACCTCGGTCCTCGGCCATATCATGGTCAATGGCCTACCGACTTGGCAACTGTCTAAATCGACTCTTACTCACTGTATACTATTTCTTTGGATTTTCTGCACGTGTGCTAAAACTACACTAAAACACTATATCTTATAGAAAATAAAATATTGTGCCTTGAATTTGAGGGATTTCATCTGAAAAATTATTAATTTGGAAGAAAACCGGCAACAAGCGGCAGAAAATAATAATATTTCCGTGCAGTCTTCTGGTCGCAACGACCAACGGACGGCCAGGACGTTAGTGTGCGCTATATCATTTGACTTAATGGTTTTAGAGGTAGGTGCGACCTGGTCGTCAGTGTGTTCGAGCCCTAAGGTACTTGACGGTTGACGGTACAGTATTCTTTGTCCGCTGCCCTGTAAACGACTATCAGTGCACAGCTCGTAGCGGCGCAAAGCTAATACTAAATCTCGGACAGATTTTGTGCCACGAAATCGCCCATAAGGTTGCGCTTGTAATTTTTTAAGTAGACAACATACAGAGTGTATATTTTTCCGTCACAATGTATTTTCTTGGCATATACAGGGTGGGTCAAAACTTTATAGAGTAGATTCTCAATAATCCGAACTAATAAAGACAAGACGAGTTTGGATTAAAAAAATGTTCAGACTATCGAGGGTGGATTAAAAATCATGCTTATTTACTTTAACTTTCCAGGAATAAATTTGATATTAATAACAGTTATTTGATAATTGATTATTTTTTTTTAAATAATAATTATACCTCGTAGTTTTACCTTTCACGATTCGGATTACAGAACATTTCGAACTAGCGGGATCGAGATTAGCTATTATTCGAATTAACAAGAGCCCACTGTATACTGTTTTTTTTTTAAATGGGACATTCTGTATTTTTTGAAAAATCCCTTGATTGTACAGACATTGTAAGATTCTTTTATTGTTTTTTTTTTATTACAGTTTACGCCAAATGGACCTAGAAATGCTCAAGAGACTACATCGTAAAGTAAACATAGTACTGGTTATTGCCAAAGCGGACACATTAACTACCTCCGAAGTTGATAAGCTAAAGAAAAATATATTGCATGATATTAAGGAGCACGAAATACAGGTAAGGTTTAATTAAATATTAGATTCTGTGCAATTTTAATTAATCGTTTCAAATCTTGGAAAAACGATAAGTCATGAAACACCGCAGACACGATTTTTGAATCCCCGATTATCAATATACCGCATATCCAATATTTCAAAAATATAATTTTACCGGTGTTTGGCTTTGTATCATGGGTTTTTCATATTTAGCCGGGACCAGACTTTTGCCTAACCCGGTATCATATACAGGGCGTCTTAAATAAAAGCAAATATTTTCAGGGCTGGTAGATTTCGGTAAAAGAAGCATATTTTCTTCTTACCGTTTTTCAAATAAGTCCGAAATAACCGAGATATTTTACTTTGAAAATTTTTAAAAAATTGACTTTTTGCTTAAATTTTGAGAACCACTGGATCTTTTCTGGATTTTCTTTCTTGTAAATTTAATCTACTACATAATATGTTGCGATATTATAACAATATTATGTTTTTTAACTAAAAATTCTTAACTAGAAATTGGAATTAAAAAATGTTTTTTAATTCCAAAAATTTTTCAAAAAATTTCAAATTTTTTTTTTCGCGAAAAGAATCTCAGATGTGTTTCTGGGGTCAAAATATACTACCGTGAAGTGGGGTGACTTTGCCCAATTCTGAACTTTAAATCGTGTTTATTTCAAAAATTGTTGTATTTTCTCAAATGCGCATGGTCTATGCTATAAGTGGTAATAAGGATAACACAACAATAATACGCTTTTTTGTTTATTAAACAAATATATATAAAAAAGTAAAAAACTGGATGGGCAAAGTTAGTTGCTTATATGGGGTGTCTTTGCCCTCTTCCTTATTCTTATTGATAGACCAAAGCCACCCCATTTAAAAGCATAATTACGTAAAATATGCTTCATCACCCTCAATATTATAACGAACTTCTGCATAATACTTACCTCAATATAACGTGGTTAGGTATTGCAGCCACGTAGAAGTTTGAAACGCACAAAATAGGCTTTAAAAACAGATTTGGCTTCACAGCACTGTAAATGCTACATCGCAACTGACGGCAAGCGTTTAGCGACGTTCCGAGACGTGGGGCGCCTCCACCCATAATTTACCGATAACACATAACGCGTTCTTTTCAAGTAGTGGCTACGGCTACGTCTAACATATTTTCGGACGGAATTTGGCAAAGTCACCCCAAGAGGCAAAGTCACCCCATTTCACGGTACCTCTAAAATATTTGCATTTATTTAGAATTTAGAACTCATCCCTATATAACCTTTTAAAAGTATTTTTATTTTCTTTCTAGATGTACGAATTTCCGGAATGTGACAGCGATGAAGATGAAGAATTTAAACAGCAGGATCGCGAACTAAAAGCCAGTGTACCTTTTGCAGTAGTTGGTAGCAACACCATTTTGGAAGTGGCGGGAAGAAAAATCAGAGGAAGACAGTATCCTTGGGGTGTAGTCGATGGTAAGTAATTATATTAAGTATTTTTTTTTGTCCACAATAACATATTTTTACGCGTTTGTATTTTTACCAGTAACTTATTTTGCGCAGTTTATAAATTCCGTATTAGATATAGGAAAAGGTTTATATAAACAATACATCAAACCAAATAAACATTTAGTGACGTGATTAAGCTTGACCGGCACAACGTTGCCCAATTTAAATATTTTCTTTTAATCAAAATATTTTAGGAAAATAAATTAACTATAAATATATAAACATTTATTATTTTAAATCAACAAAACTCCTTTCCTTAACAGCACTTAAGGCACCTAAAGGGCCATTACTACCGCTTTCCCCTTCAAAATATTCTAATAAAGTTGCGATGAGTTTTTTACGGCTATTAAGCTATCTTGTACACTTCGCACTAAAAGAGGTTCTTAAAAGAACAATGTGCGACTGCAAGGTCTGCTAGTAAACATTTTTAAGCTTAAAGTATCACAAAACAATTCATTTAAAACAAAAACTCATAATACAAAACTGAAGTGTTAAAACGAATGACAATGTCAGGAAATAAATAAATAAATGTGGCAACTTGACATTTTTTACTGCAGAGCTATCACCTGAATCCCCAGCGGGAAATTTAAATTCCAGTTATTCAGCTCGGCGCCGAATATTCCATAGTTGGCAACAATGGATTTAAAAATCGCGCTTTCGATTACGTAACTAAAAGTTTAATTGATATCAAATATATATATTTGTATTAATGTTATGTTTATGGGGTCGAAATATACCATCCCTAAAAATATTTGCACTTATTTTCTACCCACCAAAGTTTATGTAATAAAAATGATGTTTCAATATACGCGGTTTCGATTAAAGCGGTGTTTTTAAGAAACGTAACGTCCGCGTAAAACGAGGGCTCCTGGATTTGAAAAATTGTCTTAAACTACCTAGATACATATTTTTCAAAAAACTGCACAAGAACAACGCTCAATTTTAAGGCCTTCAAACATGTTTTTAAGGTGTCACCTTTTCGAATTAACAGTTTTTCGGATGATATCAGATACGCTATTAATAGCATTTTTATTGGATAATTTTGTTAATGTCTATTGGATATGTGAACTGTTTTATTGGGCATTAAAGACAATTTTATTACACTTTGATTGCACCGACCTCAGGCATAAAATTAAGTTGTTCGAGGTCAATGTATGTAGATAAATATTTAATTTAGAAAATAACGTCTTTCTTAGTATTCCCTATGGAGTGTAGAGGTGAGGAGAAACAACTCCGTGCATTAAAAAATGGTCAAAAAAAGGGAAGAATTAGGATGGCGCTGCTGTAGCAAAAACCTAAAATTTAAGACATGCGCCGAACATTTTTAGAACAGCTGATTCAAAAGACATAAATATTTGACGTGAATCATATACGTGAAGCCGCGGGTTTCAAAAAAATACAAATTTATTTTCATGTCACATGAAATAAATTACAGATTTTTAGTTAGCAGCAATAGACTAGGCTCTTTTTTTATTGCTCTCATAAGTTATTTCGCAAATGTCATTCAAGACGACGAAAACATTATTCTGATCGTTTTAGCTTAAAATTAATGTTAATTATAATTAAGAAAAAAAATATTTAAAGTAATAATTGGTGATGGGTTTAAAATAAATATAATGCAGCTTTAAAATAACTTCATACCTACATTTATTTAGTATAAAAGTAAGTCAACATGTGGTTTTATTATCGATTATTCAGAAGCAATAGACTGAGCCTCTTTTTTATTTTTTCTCATAAGTTACTTCGTAAATCTCATTCAAGATGAAAAAAAGCTTTAGTTTAAAATTAATGTTAATTATAATTGGGAAAATTTATTTAAAGTTTAATTGATGATATGGGATTTAAATAAATATAATGCAGGTCAAAAATAACGTAACACATTTTATTTAGTATAAAAATTAAGCCAATATAATGTAATTTTATACTGTACAAGTATTTATTTACGTTTTGCCATCGTAGTTGCCATTCATTCAGAATAGTGGATTTTAAATGTTCGATAGTCGGATGGCTTAACTACCTTAATATCAACTACTTCTAGACAAGAATCGTGTGCAGTATTATCTTCTTTTTCACTCCCAGCTATTCCAACATGGCTTGCATGGCTTGGGACGTGGAATAATATAATTTTATAGCCCTTCCAGATCCTCATGTCTTCCTTGTAGTTCACCCAATAGAATCGTTCTCGCAGCTTCCTCCCAAGTTGGTAGTTGCTATTCATTCAGAATAGTGGATTTTAAATATATTTGGTAGTCGGATGGTTTAACTATCGTAACAATAACTACTTTTAATAATTCTTTTTCTCAATTCTTTGCACTATAATTTGCATCCCACGTATTGTAATATTTTCCTTTGAATTTCGTTTCCTATTGTCCCATGGCTTGAGACGTAATGTTATAGCCCTTCCAGATCCTCATGTATATCCCTTTTCCTTGTAGTCAGTGGCGTGTCGTATAGGGGGCCAGGGGGGGCGAACGCCCCCTCCGCCCCTATGAGCTTAGCGCCTCTAGCGCCTTTTGAGGAAAAAATAGAAAAACTAAATTTAACGCAAAAAGAAACGGTGCCCTACCGTGCCCTTAACTCTTCAAGATAAAAAATGACGTATATATTTCTCACATTTTATTTTTGTTTTTTTAATGTTTACTTATATTTAATAATTTAAATCTCTAATGAAGTAGGCGTATACGTACGAAAGTTTTCATATGGGTAGGAAACTACGCTAACGCTAGACCATTGTCTATAAATAAAAATACAATGGCTAGACATAACGTTGCGCCGGTGCCGCCAAAGAAGAAGACGAAAGCAGTCGCGATGGAAATATATTCGAGGAATCACCGACCGAAATATAATCGATTATAATGAAGTTCTGAATAAAATTAATATATTGTCCAATCACTTGCAAAAGGTTAATATTAACTTATGTAACAGCTGCTCATATGATTACTGCGGTAACTAAAGATCTCAAATCATTAAGAAGTGAAAGATATTTTGAAAATTTTAAAAAACAGGCTACTATTTTGGCAAATAAATGCAATACGTCAACATCATTTTCCACAAAAAGACAAAGAAGAATAAAAAAAAATCATGATGAAATACAGAATGATTACCTACATCAAAATTCTGAAGATAATTTCAAGATATCAGTGCTTTATGGTACTTTAGACATTTTAACTGGTACTCTAGAGAATCGATTTGAAGACTTCCTTAATATATGCCAAAAAAAAATAATTGTTTATTGGATATGGACATCAATGATGACAATTTAAAATGTCTTATACTGTACCAAGCGGATGTTAAACCTTTTTAGTTGACGAATATAAACATTTTTGCAGTCTATTAGAAGAAATTAATGCTGATGACAACAAACTTGCACCTGACTGACCTGACGAATATTTATCATTTTTAATTTCCAATGACCTAGAGTCTTCATATCCATCTTTATGTGCATTACTGAGGATTTTTTACACTATAGCCGATAGCCACCAACAATGCTGGTGCAGAACGATCTTTCAGTAGGTTAGGAAGAATTAATAATTACCAGAGGTGCACCAGCACACAAGATAGAACCAATTATTTATCACTTCTTAGTATTGAAGCAGACACAGCCCAGGATCTAAATATAGACGAAATAATTGATTCTTATATTCTTATATTTTAAATCGGTTAAAACAAGACGCTTGCATCTTTGAAATAACTGTTTTGTATACTAACTTTTTTAATAAACACATTTATAATTAAAAAAAAATAAAAGTTTTTATGTAGTCTTTTAAAAAAGAAGTTTGTAATTTATTTGATCCTTTATTGATCATTGTGCCCCTTAAGGTCTTCGCCCCCTCCGCCCTTTTATCCACGACACGCTACTGCTTGTAGTCCACCCAATAGAACCTTTCTCTTAGCTTCCTCTTAAGTTGGTAGTTTCCATTCATTAAGAATAGTGGATTTTAAACATGTTTCGTACTCGGATGGTTTAACTACTGTAACATCATAAATAAATTGTATACCAACACATAATGGCCAAACTTCAACAGACTTTAATATTCATAAACCTCATCAGAAGAAAATATTTTTTGATCCAAAGTTTTTTTTTCGTTATTAGAATAAATTACCTGGAATTTGTTAATTCATTACAACATTGAATAAAAGATGCAAAGTGTTTATACATACTATAATAGATAAATCTTCATTTAAAATTATGTGATAGATCTGCTTGCTTGTAGGATCTAGACTGATAAACTCAATTTCTTTTATTGATATAACCAATAAAGTAGTAATGCTGAAATTTTGTTTTTGATTTGTGCAATAAGGTCCATTATTTCCATTATTTGATGCTGTTATTGCTCTACAAAATGTTGATCTCTATCAAGGGATGTTTATGTGTATAATATTACTATTTATGTGTATAATAATACTGTATGATCGAAAAAACACGGCGTGCAGTTGGCTTGGAAATGAACATCTCGATGACATTCTCCATATCATTTTACATATAAAATGACAGCAATCTTCATTTCATAGGCATCGCTGACGCTGTTTTTTATTCAATCAAATTGTACTTACGTATATAATATTCATTTAATGGTTCCTGTTTTAGTTGCTGGTGTTCATATTTTGGTTTTTTATTCTGTTGTTGCTCTACAAAATGTTAATATTTATGTGTATAACATTACTCTTTCTTTGTATAATAATACTTATGTGTATAATATTCATTTAATGGTGCCCTTCTTGCTTGTTGCTGTTGTTGCAACTCAGAATTTAAATTAACCTGAGGCAGTAGGTAGAGCTTCATCCTCCAACATTTTCCTATGTAAATACTGCAAGTGGACAGTATTTCTGATGACAATTTTATCATAAACTTTAACATCTTGTTCTTTAAAACGAAACTGCCATACCTTATCTGTAGATTTCAAAGCAATATCTAAATGCTTTTGACCATCGCTGTAATCTAATTCTTGTTTGAAAATCAATACCTAATATTATCCTGATGATTTTGATTTTTGACAGATTATTAAAATACAGCACTTACAGTTAACTATATTTCTTGAAAGTACCTACAACTTTATTTATTTCCTACTTTTATTTGTTTAAAAAAATGCCAACAATTTGTGCAATTGTGCATGTCTGTCAAACTTAAATCATTAAAAATAAATTTTATTCAGGTTGTAACTTTATAGAAAGGATTGTAAAAGTATACTTTGTAACATGTATGTCAATAATCTTACGAAAAATGTTTACTACACTTTTGATTGACTCTAATTTTTACATATAATAGAAATAATACAATACTGAATTATATTATGTATTTTACAGGCTTTGCCTTTGCTCTTTATTTTTCCATCAGCTATTCAATCAACTTCGTACCGCACACACTTTAACCATTGTTAAATAATAAATAAAGCACAAAATATTGATAAACAATAATTATTTTATATTCTAAAAAATAAAAAAACTTTTTTTGGGTAATGTTTGGTTATATTTATTTTTATTCTCTTATCTATGGTTACTTTTCATTTTTTAGAATTATGCGTTTTTAGCGCCACTGTGGTCATTTGGCGAACCCTTATTCTTCCCATTTTGTGACCACTTTTTCAATAAAAGTCCCATAAGAGTTATTTCTCCTTACCTCTACACTCCATAGTATTCCCAAAATTTACTGGAGTAAGAAATTTACAGAATGGTTTAAAACACACATTTAAAACGTATTTTCAAGAGCTACATAAAAAATCTATGAAAACTTATTAGAAAGTGTCTAATACCGTATGATCGAAAAAAAAAACGGTGTCAGCGATGGCTATGAATAATATAATAAATAATGGCTAATAATATATTTTTTATTTATTTATTAATATATCTGAAACTATCAAAAAGTACTTAATAATATTTTAGGATTATGTAAAGTGATCAACAAGGAAGCCAAAAATGCAATAATATACAGAGTGTTCCATTTAAAAAATGTCATCTCGATTCTCGATCCACTACTTTTTTGATCCACTCTGTAGAAGTTAAAATATTTTCCTGAAATACATCCTAATACACACTTTAGGTCTGCACATAAACAAAATTGCTAAGTTTTTTTATTATAGAAGCTAGAGATGCCCGCCGCACTATTGCCGGATCTCGTATAAACCTCTAATCTAATATGGAATTAATAAAACCGCGTGTAAGTGAACCACATAAATAAGTCAGTAAACTGGTGTCAAAAATGCAAACGCGTGTAATCGACCGCGTATAAATATGTCACGTAAAACGATCGGCTTCTGTGTATTATATGTATACAGGGTGGCCCGAATTGTAGTTGGGAAACCTCGGCAACATATTGTACAGATAAAAATAAGTAAAAAAGTTCTTATAAATATATGTCCTAAAATGCTTCCTTTCGGAGGTACAGGGTGTAGAAGTTTCATTTATATGTCGGTTTTTTCCAAATAATTTCTGAAGCATAATTAATATTTGGAAAAAAATTTGTTTGGTTTCGTCTGTCTGTAGTTGTCTGAATGTTGAGTACCTAGATGCCTAGTTATTTGACTGAAATTATTAATTCGGAACTTTTTATTTTTTAAAATAAATCTTAAATTTTTCTAGAAAAAAATAAGATTTATTAAAAAAAAACAGTTTCTATTAAATATCTGGCAAAAAAAATTTCAAGTTTATTATTTCAGTCCAAACTATTGACATGTTTAATTTATGTCAATGATGACATGTATTGACTATTTTGATTCCAACTATTTTGAAAAGTATTACTCGTAGCGATATTTACCAAGAGATATTTTAAGCGCAAAATACGGCGGAAATGTTTCACTCAGTAGTGTAATACAGGTACGGACGAAAAGTTATTACTCTTCAAAACAGTTAAAACACATGTAGGCACCCCTACAAATAGGAATCATATTGACTGAATTAAAAAATCAAATTTCTCATGTCAAAAAAAACTTCCGGACACCAATTTTCATCCAAATGTTGACGTTTTTCAAAAATTATTTGAAAAAATCGAAATAAAAATGAAACTTCTACACCCTGTATCTCCGAAACTAAGCATTTTAGGACATTTATACGAACTTTTTTACTTATTTTCATCTGCACAATATGTTGCCGAAGTTTCCCGATTACATTATTTGGACCACCCTGTATATTGCAGTGGCGGATCTAGGCGTGGGCAAGGTGGGCACCTGCCCACGACGCTAGGCGCCAAAATGTGTCCGAAATCAATAGATACAAACTCTAATCACGCACGGCATGCACACATAAGGTATGTTAGTAGTTTCTGCAAACATCATACCTACAAGTAAAATTTCGGCACAGGGGCGGCAAAATATAAGTATATCCGAAACCAGTAGTAAAAAATCTATCTATAGCAAACATCATAATGGGGGGGGGATGTCTACACATTTTTTGAAATGTGGGGGCGCCAAATTTTGTCATTGCCCACGACGTATTTTACCCTAGATCCGCCACTGGTATATTGTGATACAAAAACTCGTCTTTTTATGTTATTTTTTTTAAATATACTGGGTGCCGGCTCAAAAGTGGCTCATTCTTATAACTTTTTTATTTTTTTAGATAAAAAATGAGATTTGGTATGTTAGTATATGACATAAATTAGGATTGATTGACGTATTCAATTGTTTTCGGTCACTTTCTGTTTTACCGGAAATGACTACAACTTTTGATTTTTAAATGACACCCTCGGTATTTTTTTACTCTATTCGATAGAAAATAACACTCTGAATAGAATGACATATATGTCAACTTTTGACATTTTCGCATATGGTTTATTTGAAATTATAACTTGCGGTTCGTAACGAAAATTTGTCTCGAAATACCAAGTGTGTGGTGTCAAATTATTCGTAAAAAATTGCTCCACCCTCTTTCCATTTGAAAAAATTGCGATATGATTGATTTGAGCATATTCTAACTGATGGCCAGGACGAGACACTAAAAACATTAGACGATCCAATCTATTTTTCAAAGGCTCCTTGACTGAGAATTAGTGTTTTTAACATAGTCATGGCACTCTAGATTGAAATTTAAAATAGATTTTAACCAAAAATGTCAAAAGTTGACATATGAAATATCATTCTATTCAGAATGTAATTTTCTATCGAATAAAGTAAAAAAATACCGAGGGTGATGCGCCATTTACAAATCAAAAATTGTAGTAGTTTCCGGTGAAACAGGAAGTGATCAAATACAATTGAATACGTCAATCAATCCTGATTTATGACATATACTAACGTACCAAGTCTCGTTATTTTATCTGAAAAAATAAAAAAGTTATAGGGGGTGAGCCACTTTTGAGAGGCACCCGGTATATTTCTATGTAGATAACATTAACAAAGACACTAAATTTATTACTTTTTAGTGGAGAATCCGAAACACAGCGACTTTATCAAACTAAGAACCATGATCATCTCGACTCACATGCAAGACTTGAAAGATGTTACGGAAGACGTTCATTACGAAAATTTTAGAGCGCAGTGCATTTCGCAAATATCGCAGCACGCCAGGGAGAGGGGGTAAGAGCTGCTAGATCGTTATTGTCGCTAGCATGAACACCATTAAAAATGTTAATATAGCCTTTCGTTTTCAAGGAAGCTGAAAAGGGACTCCACGCCGTACGATTCCGACATATCGGAGACAGATAGGTTGTTATTGCAGAAGGACGAAGAAGTGAGTTAAATTTAATATTAACCTTTAACCGCTAAATGTGTGGCAATATGGAGTATACACATGAGCTTCTGTGACTGAAAAGCCTGATACGTGATGTTATCTCTCTTCCGCACTCCGGACATTCAAAAATCTCATTGCTTTGTTGCCTCTTTACTTTTTGGTTGTTGCTGTTAACTGAGTTTACAATTCTTCTACATTGTGTTATATTGTGTGCTGCTTCTTCTCACGATTCTGCGTATTTATCACCTTTAAGTTTTCGTGGAGAATATCCTTGTACCTTTTGAGTTGTCCACCTAGTTTCCTTTTACCGTCTACAAGCTCACCGTGAAGCAAAGATTTTGGTAGGCGGTTTTCTTGCATTCTGCATACGTGACCAGCTCATTTTAAGCGGGATTTTGTAATCATGACTTCAATAACGCTCTCGCAGCTAGCTTTTTCAAGGACTGATACGTTTGAGACATGGTGGAACCATTTGATTCTTAAGAGTTGTCTAAGGTTTCTTTGTTGCAACTTGTTTAATGTGTTTATGTGTCAGCGGTACGGCACCCAGGTTTCGCTTCCATATAACATGGTGGGGATTATTATTGCTCGGCACACTGCAAGTTTCGTCTTCGTGCTCAAGTCATGATTGTAGAAACCCTGTCTTTTAATTTCCAGAATTCTCTTGACGCGCTGCTAATCCTGTGCTGAATTTCAGAGTCGAGATTAGCCTTTTCCGAGATCAAACTGCCGATGTAATTGAATTCCGCTACATATTCTAATAGTTCTTCTCCGATTTTTATAGCATTGTTGTGATCTTCCAGGGGAGTGCACATGATTTTAGTTTTATTGATGTTCAAGTTAAGCCCCAAAGTCTCGTATATCTAGGTATATGTGTTCAACATTTCTTGTAATTGCTGTAACGTGGTGACCATCAAACTGGTGCTCAGAGATCACTACATCACATCTCAGAGTTAACAAGCTTGGCAAAATTTTGTAGTTCGGCGATCTCGACTTTACATTACAAGCAATTGTTGCCAGCGCACTGTTATTCTTACACCTCTGTTTACTGGAAGTAACTTTTATTCTTAATCTAAGGAAGTAACAATGTATTGGCGCGAACTGTTATTTCTATAATGGGTGAGTCTTAAATAAGTGCAAATAATTTCAGGGCTGGTAGATCTCGATAAAAGAAACATATTTTCTCTTCACTGTTTCTCAAATAACTCCAAAATCACCAAGGTTTACTTTCAAAATAAAAAAAAATGATTTTTTGGTTAAATTTTGAGAGCCACTGTATCTTTTCTGGGTTTTCTTTCTTGTAAATTTAATCTACCATTTATATTGATAGGTCATATGTTGATAGGTGCTATATGTCTTGTAACTTAATTTTTTTTATAAATGCCCAATTTTTAGGATTTTTGGAAATATACTATCCCTAAAAATATTTGCACTTATTTAAGACTTACCCTGTATAACATTTCTAAAATAATAATAAATAGGTAACTCCCTGTCTCTAAATGTAACAAGTGAAAATACGTATACGTTTATGAAAACATGTAAAAATACAATTAACAATTATTTTAGTGCTGTTGTTCAGAAATAACAGTTCGCAATCTTTGTACCTACTAAAAGATAACAGGTATGAAAATAATTTTATTGCGTTGTAGTTGTCATTTCTAAAAAATATTGGGTAAAAACTACAAAAATAGTGCGTTGATAATAGAACCGCTTGCGATGTGGTATAGGGATCGTCGAATCAATAGATTTTTGCCAGCCTTGTTTTTACTTTCAAAAATATCAGATATATGAAAATAACAATGTTCTGGCTCGATGGCTGGAAATTTAAAGTCGGTATTATCGCTGCAAAGAATTTTACCAGTCTTTTAAGTAAGCGAATCACTATTTTCCTTAATTTAGAAGGCCAAAATAACAGTCACCAGTTGTTTTTGTCGAGTTGCGACTATTGTAGCACAGATTGTAGACTGTGGAAATACTGATTTTACCTTTTTACTGCTTCTTGCTATTTATTGATATTGTTAGAGCATTATAGTAAAATAATAGGCCTTAAAGATCACTTATAATTTCTGAAATGTTTAACTGTTATATTTAAATAACAGGAACAGTTACAATGTTATTTAGAAATAACAGTTTTGGTATTTAACCACATTTGGTAAATAGACAAAAGAACCCAAAACGACACAAGAAATTATGTCAAAAATGTGACTAAGTTTTTTTAAGATTTATAATTACTAAGCAATAATAACATAGTAAATTTAAACCAATGATTTTCAATATGAATATATTTTTATTTGTTTTATTTAGATTCGTCGAATGCAAGAAATGCTTAACCAAATGCAAGAGAAACTCAAAGAAAATGCTCACGATACAAGGAAGCATGAAAGTGTTATTGATGTGTAGAAAATATTGTATATTGAGTGAATCAGTGTCTAGAACCAAAGAAAGAATCATAATAATATAGTTATTTCCTTTTATATATTTATAATTATTTATTGATGTAATTAGTTGTTAATAAAAATATTTATTAGCTAACGTGTAAGTGTATTCATAATTATCCATTTTCCCTAAAATATAAAGTTTCTGTTTAAATTATTAAATTATTCACTGTGTATATAGACACCCTATATACAACGTAATGTTAGTTGCATATCAATCAGAATCTAGGAAATATTTTTGGTACATTTGAACTACACTTGATTTAATATTATGTTGTTTGTATAAAGTTTGTAACACTGGTTGGGGTAATCCTTCAAACCATAAAATAATTAACTAGAGCTTCAATAATTAACCCCTGCTTCAAACTTTCAAAACAGATATGGCGATTGTCAGATAGTAAATCTGTCATTAGCAGCCAATTTTTTAAGAATTAATTCATTTTCCGTGAAGGAAATTTATAGTAAGCATGATTTGAGTAGTAAAAACGATTATAAAGTATTTAAAAGTAATAAACAATGGTGACGCAGGAGTATATCGAAGCGGAATACCCTTTACATTGGTTGGTTTGGCGAAACGAATATAAACTATTGGAGAAAGAGCTAGTAAACAACAAGGTGGGGCCTTCTTTGCATTTTAAAATATATACCACTTGTTCCACACATTATTAACAATGTAAGAACCCTTTTAGCATAATAAAGAGAAAGTAGATACTAGAGGAAGAACTCCTCTTATGTTAGCAGTAACTCTTGGCCATTTAGAAGCTACACGTACCCTTTTAAATTCTGAAGCCAATGTAAACTGTGAAAATAAAGATGGGTGGAATGGTAACTACAATAATATAACGTCAATACGTTTAAATATAATTTTAATATTCTTTTAAGTTGTCCAAGAGGCTGTGGCTACGGGTGATCCAGAGTTATTGCATATTGTACTTGAAAGAAGAGACTTACAAAGGTATAGCTAATTGGTGTAAGATTTTAATGTAAATGGTTAGATATTTTATTGCTTTATATTATTCTTAGATTTTAAATATATCAATTTCACATATTTTTCTCAGGTATACAACTCGAATGGCTGGTATACCAGATTTATTGAAAAAGTTGAAAGAAGCTCCAGATTTCTATGTGGAAATGAAATGGGAATTTACTAGTTGGGGTAATAATTTTTATATATTTTAATTTATTTATTCTAGTTTAAAATTCTAAGATAAGGATGTAATTTTGTGTGCTTTTAGTACCTCTCTTTGCAAGAATGTGCCCGAGTGATACATATAAAGTTTATAAACAAGGTTCTAATGTTAGAATAGATACCACACTGTTGGGTTTTGATCATACGAATTGGCAAAGAGGGAACAGAAGTTATATCTTCCAAGGACAAGGTAAGTTTGTTTACCTATATAGTAAAGATTTAATAAAAAATAAGGTTCCCATTGGTGTTTTAAAGGTCCTCTTCAGTTTTGTCCAGCTATTAGAGGCAACAAGAGTTATATTTTTGGTCTTAAATGTTTTAAAACAATGGGTAAAAGTGAAAAATCTATTTTTTAATACACTTCTAGTGTTTTTATTAGAATTGTATTATTGTTGGCTAGTTAACAAATATAAAAATGTCTTAATCACCTTTTTCATACATGTATGTATAGTTTATCTTTGCTGCTAGAATGTATTAATCACAATAGATATTACCCTTATGTCTATATGAACAAGTATAATCTAATCTTTTTCACTTGACAGATATAAACATCTAATTATTTGTGTTACAAGAAAGAAAGTACATAGTTTAATAAATATTAGTATAATAATATCGACAAATAACTGCATAATATTATATCATAAACTATGTTCCATTGTTAAAAATTATCAACATTTACTACATATTCTAAGAATTGTTTGTTTAATACATATGTTTAATAATAATTATTTACATTTATAAATTTACATCTTAATATTCACTTATAAATACGTCGAAACACGGTTCCCGATAGATCACCGAGGTTAAGCGCCGTTTGATCATGCTAGTGGATGTAAGGGTGACCAAGAGTGTAAAATCTAGATTGTTTAATACCAAGAGTGTAAAATTTATTGACACACACTGCTTATTCACGCCGCGCCGGTTCGAGGGCGGATGAGATCAGATATTTCGTGAGTAAGAGTCGATTTAGACACTTGCCAAGTCGGTAGGCCATTGATAACGACATGGCCGAGGACCGTGGTTCGGATTCCGTGTTAACAAAGTAGTCCCCGTTCAGATTAGTCTTAGCAGAAAAAAGGAGACTTTAACTTAAAATACTTTACAAGTCAATCAATAAGTCTTGTACAAATTTTAAATATTCTAGGTCCAAGAATAACGAAAGCTGTATAAAAATTTAGACTATGTAAATTAGTAATCTAAAAATGATCCTGTATTGTAATTTTATTACAAGTTGAAAGAAGGGTTTTAGTAATTAAAGCACATTATGTCTAATTAGGTACTGATTATCTTAGGCATACTAGGTTAAGTAGTTAGTATGACACTTTATATCAATATACAGGGTGGCGCGCTTCATTCGTCTCGGATGATTATACGAAAACGGAAAGGTATAGAAACAAAATATGTTATGGGCATACATATTTATGTGAGGAGGCAACGTGCACAATTTAAAATTATTTTGAAATATACAGGGTGTTTCAGAACTAAGATCTATACCAAAGTTATATTTTTTTCTTATAGGATTCTTGGGCCCCAAAAAAAAATTTATTATCAGGGTTAAATATGTTTAAAATCTTGAGTTTTTGAGATATTTAAAGTTATTTAAATATGCAGTCTACAATAGAAAAGATTATCAACATCCTGTACATCACTTTTCAGAATTAATTCGAGTTTAGAGAAATAAACTTTACTGAAAAATGTTATTGCTTCCTTAAATTTATACAGGGGTACCAAAAATTGCTGATCTATTTTAAATATTTATTTTTCATAAAAAAATTGTAATAATTTCAAATGCAACACCCTGTATTTTTTAAAATAAATTCAAGCAGATTTAAATGCTATTTCGAACTATATTAGCATTTCCTATACCTATCTAGCTCAGATTTTGAATAAAAAAATATTTTTCAATCAAATGGCAATCAAGATGGATGGTGTCGCCATGGAAATTTCCCACTCACAGTTAGTAACTATTTTCAAAATCGACATTAGTTTGTGGACATTATTATTTAGATTTATAAGTTTACTTAAATTTATCCATAATAGTTTAATACAAAAGTATTGATTATATTTTATTAAGAAAAATAAAGCAGTATCTGCTGGCGGAACGAATGGATATGTTACTAGTGATTTTATTTCTTGAGGATAATTGCTTCTTGGCTTCAATAGCTTATGCTCAAAGATATCCAAACAGGAATCTTCCTGATAAGCCTTCCTTTGAAAAACTATTTGTCCTATTTCGCAGAGCTGGTAGTGTCCCTATTAGGAAGAAACCTGTCGTTGGAAGTGAAGAAAATGAATTTGTCATAATTGCTCTTGGTTGCCATTTTATTGAAAAATTGCTCTTTAATCAAAATCTGAGCTGGATAGGTATAGGAAACCCTAATATATTTGAAGCTGCTTCGATTTATTTAAAAAATACAGGGTGTAATATTGAAATAACTTTTTTATGAAAAATAAATATTTAAAACAAACCAGCAATTTTTAATAACCCTGTATATATTAAGCGAAGCAATAACATTTTTCAGTTAAGTTTATTTCTCTGGCTTAGAAGTCAGCCCAAGAATTAATTCTGAAAAGCAATGTACAGGGTGTTGACAATTTTTTTTGTAGCATGCATATTTAAATATCTTTAAATCGATAATAATAAATGCCTTATTTTGTGTCCAAGGATCCAAATATGAAATAAAATATGGGGTATTCCATAAAAAAAACTCTGGTGTGGATCTTAGTGCTGACATAGCTACCCTGTACATTTTAAAATATTTTTAAATTATGCACATTGCCTTCTCACATATACCCATAAAATATTTTGTTTCTACATCTTGCCGTTTTCGTATAATCAACCGGGGCGAATGAGGTGCGCCACCCTGTATATGAAATTATTTAACATTTTGCTTCAAAGTAATTAAAAAAATTATCTGATTTAAATTTCTTCATTTAATGCTAATATTCCTATAAAAAGATAGAAATATTCAGTGTATGATTACATTATTAATGTCCATAGATGATGGTGCTACTATGATGGAAATAGATCATGATTTAAGACAGGTGTATTGTGAAGAAATGAGAACGAGTGATGAGTCTTTAGGAATTTTGCTGCCAAATGAAGAGACTGTATCACAACGTCTTACCAATCCTATAGTCACCACTTATATAGATACTGATAAAATCAGTTTTGAAAGGTACGTTTTTTTTCTTTATTGAAGAAATATTTAATATGAAAATAAGTAAATTTATATTTCACAAGATAGGTGTATTATTTATGTTTTTTACGTATTTGCACCAGGATGGCTGTTCTTTGCCCTGTTGTGAAATTATAAACTTATAATCATAGTAATAAAAGTTTCAATGAGAAACAGTTAGGTTTCGAATATTTTGAAAACAATTGGATTTAAATATGACAACTTTATACAGTTTACTTAATTTTTGATGCTAAATGAAATTAAAATAACAAAAATGAATGTTTCTATTTAAAATAGTTTATTTTTTGTAGTTTTTTGAATGGAATTTTTTAAAAAAGTTATGAATATGTATGATATTTAATTAATTACCTTAGAAATTTAGGTAGAGTAAAACCTTTTAATCTTCATAAAACATTTTACTTGTCACTTGAAACAGAGAACGTCAGTTCTCTAGACAAAAAAATGAAATTTCACATGAAAAAAAAACACGAAATTTTACTACAAAACTGTGATTAAAGTTTAAATTTCATTTGTAAATATGCAGCTTATTTGCATCCTTTATTTGCTCTTTTGACTAGCGATGGGAACTATCGAATGAATTAGACTATCGAATGGTTACTGAATGAATGATTTCAACTATCGAATGGTTTTATTCGAATAAAATCATTCATTCATTTGTATACTAAAGCATATGTGACAACCTCGCCGTGCGGCTAAATGGTTATCGTTGCGCCACGACTATCGAATGCTTTTGATAAATGAAATTTAGTATTCGTTTGATTTTTGTGTGCGTCAGTGCATTATTAGTTCTTCCAAATTTTTATAACTTCGCCTTGTAAATACTATCCTATTTTTGTGTTTATTAAAATATTTAAAGTACTAAAATAGTAGTTTTTTTTAATTGACGATTGTGTGCGAAGTGGTCAAAATTTTTCCAAAAATTTGTGTGATTTTCCGTTTGAGAAGTAGCAATTTTTAACAGAGATGAGATGAACTTACAATTAATTTTAAAAATACATATTTGTATTTTAGATGTTTTAATAATATGAATTAGTTGAACTTAATAATCATATTTAAGTAAATTGTTGTCGAACTCAAATTTTGGGGTGAGAATTAAAGAGAAAATTAAATTGAAAGTTTTAGACGTGCCAATTTAAGAAAAAAAGTTAACAATGTTTGTATTTTGTTTATGCTAATTCTCTTACATGTAGTTTTTTGCGAAGAAATATTTAATTTATGTTTTAAAGTAAATGCCAGCAAAAGTAAATATTATTTTTAAATAATAATATAAAGTAATAAAAAGTAATATAAATAATTTTGATTTCTAATTTTTTATTTATATTTTCCTTCCATTACACTTCATGCTTAGAAAATTAATAAATGTTTATATTTCATGATTTTAAAATTTGTTGTTAATATAACAAATTAGTTCTGTAATTATTATTATTTAATAAACCAACGTTGCCATTTAGAGACTATATTATTTTTAAATAGGATCTAATATAAATACTTTTGACTTCTATTTGTTGTTTATATTTTGCTACTACTTAAAACAAATGTTTATATTATTAAATGACTGTAGATTTTGTTGTTAATAGGTATAACAAATTATTACTGTTATTATTATTTATTAAACCAGTCTTTGCTTAAAAACATTAAAAATCATTTTCCTACATCCAAAATAAAAAGTATTATTGCAGTGTAACAACAGAATATTAATAAAAAAATGCAAAACATATAGACATACTATCCCTAACTAACTAATGCTAAAGAATAATATTCTTTGCTAATACCAACTAATACGAATATATGGCAACAGCGCCCTTCATAATATTTTGATAATTTGACTCCGCAAAAAATCAAAGATGCCGGCTTCTTTCATAGCATTGCCACCGACCGCTGTCGGGTTTCTAGGAAAGAAACCTACGTCGCCGGACGACAACTAAAATCCAGTTTATATTTTATTAAAATCGATCCTGACGAATAAATGAATTTTATAAATGAATGGTTTTTGCTGCCGAATTACTAGAATACAATATTTCAAGGCAGATGACGCATCTATTCGATAATTTTTATTCGAATAGTTTTCGACGATTGTTTTCTTACTAGCTATCGAATTATTCGAATGAATTGCAACTATCGAATGTTTCGATAGTATTCATTCGATAGTTCCCACTACTACTTTTGACAGTGCCATATTAGTTCAGTCATTGGGGATCAAAAAAGGGGCCTGCTTGAAAAAAAGTCCGGAAGTTTTGAAACTTTGCAGGTTTATAGGTTTTGGAGTCCCTAACTAAAATTCATAAAATGCACATTTCCAGACTTGCCGCCGGCGCCGCCATCTTGCCAAGATGGCGCCCAAAATCGGTATTTTGTAAATATCTCGAAAACTATGCATTTTTCGTAAAAATTTGAAAGCAAATTAAAGAGAATAAAATTTCCTATAAAAAAGGTTATATGAAAATTTTCGCTAAAGTCAACCGTTTAGGCACAAAGTCCTTGGAAATTTTACAATTTTGCGTAAAGTATGATATACATATAGTCGATTTTCCGAAATCAAATGTCGATTAGTGTTCACTAAAACTAGTTTTAGTTTAGTTTCTTCAATTTTGTCATGAAACAGCGGCGTCTCATTAATTTGCTCATTAATTTATGAATAATAAATTGTCGTGCTGGACAGCATTCATTGCGAACCAGGTTCAGCATTGGTCTGGTTGTACCAAAGATGCCGAAGAATGGGGTTGGAAGAAAACAAAAACAGGCACTACTCCAGTCACAACGTTGAAAGATCCAGCTCCAAAATCCCTATTGACATTTTTATCCTGTAAATGCAAAACCAACAACTATGGTAAAGCCTGCGGATGCAGAAAAGCAGGATTAAAATGTTCAATGATTTGTGCATACTGCAATGGGAAATCCCGTGACAACGTCACTGAAGTGTCACTCGACGAATCCGATGAAGAGGAGTTGGACTTGCCTGTAGATATCCCTCTGGCGGCTGAAGATGAAGAGTTGGACGTATTGAGAGACCACCCTGATGAGCCCAGCACAGCAGACACGATCGACTTTGACATCAATGAGCCAGATCCGTCGGGCTTGTGCAGATAAGTTAAAGCTTTGAATTTATCTAGTTGAGTAGGCCTCCGGGGAGACCACGTTAAAATAAACGCGCTATGTACTTTACCTTTTGGGTGGTGCGGAAACAAGTACACATTTTCAATAATTAAAATTAATTATTCATAAATTAATGAGCGAATTAATGATACGCCACTGTTTTATGACAAAATTGAAGAAACTAAACTAAAACTAGTTTTAGTGAACCCTAATCGACATTTGATTTCAGAAAATCGACTATACATAATATATCATATTTTAGGCAAAATTGTAAAATTTCCAGGGATTTTATGCCTAAACGGTTGACTTCAGCTAAAATTTTCATATAACCTTTTTTATAGTAAATTTTATTCTCTTTAATTTTGCTTTCCTCAAATTTTCGCGAAAAACGCATAGTTTTCGAGATATTCATAAAATACCGATTTTGGGCGCCATCTTGGTAAGATGGCGGCGCCGACGGCAAGTCTGGAAATGTGCATTTTATGGATTTTAGTTAGGGACCCCAAAACCTATAAACCTGCAAAGTTGCAAAACTTCCGGACTTTTTTCCAAGCAAAAATCCCCAATGACTGAACTATATACTCTGTACAGGACGTAGGCTATCTCTCCATGTACTTGTGATGTGTGTGATTAGGGTTTCACAAGTTCAAGGAACTTATCGCCGAATCCGAACGGCACTATTTGAGAGCCTGTTTTGTTATAAAAAAACTGAGTGATCCCGTTAATTCTTCTGTCTTAATTCAGATCAAGTAAAACAGTCCGTTTTTCATTTACCCACAATATAGTATGTTTTACTTGATACGTTTTGACTGAACAGATAAGACTTGCAGATAAAACGGTATGTGTAGACAAAGCTTTACGGTTCTATTCTACCCGTCTGTTAGCTATCTTTGAAAGACAAGCAACATAAATTTGGCAATACAATGTATCATTATTAAAAAAATACAGGGTGGACCGAACTGTATTCCGGAAACTTCGGCAGCATATTCTGCAGATAAAAATAAGTAAAAAAGTTCGTATAAATGTATGTCCTAAAATACTTAGTTTCGGAGATACAGGGTGTAGAAGTTTCATTTTTATTTCGATTTTTTTCTTAATAATTTCTGAAGTAACGTCAATATCTGGATGAAAATTGGTGTCTGGGAGTTTTGTGACACGAGAAATTTGATTTTGATGTCAAAATGACTCCTATTTGTAGGGGGCGCCACCTACATGCGTTTTGACTGTTTTGAAGAGTAATAACTTTTCGACGGTACCTGTATAAAACTACTGACTAAAAAAAATTCCATGACTTTTTACATAAAAAATGTCTCTTGGTAAAAATCGCTACGAGGAACCGTTCTCAAGATATTTAAAATGGAAATAGTCAATACATCTCATTATTGACAAGAAATAAGCACACGTTGAATAGAGTTATTTGACTGAAATAATAAATTTTTATTTTTTTAAATTAATCATAAATTTTTCTGCGAAAAAATGATGATTAAACAGTTTCTGCTGAACTTTTGGCACAAAAACATTTCATATTTAAGATTTCACTCTAATAACAATTTGGTCAACATGTTTAATTTGTCAATGATGGCAGGTATTGATAATTTCAATTTCAAATATCTCGAGAACCATTATTACTCGTAGCGATTTTTACCAAGAGACCTTTTTTATGTAAAAAAGGTTGTAAATGTATATTTTTTTACTCAGTAGTTTTATACAGGTATGGATGAAAAGTTATTACTATTCAAACCAGTTAAAGCATATGTAGGTGGCGCCCTCTACAAGTAGGAGTCATATTGACATGAAAATCAAATTTCTCATGTCTAAAAACTCCCAGACACCAATTTTCATCCAAATATTGACGTTACTTCTTAAATTATTTGCAAAAGACTCGAAATAAAAATGAAATTTCTACACCCTGTATCTCTGAAACTATAGTAGCAACTTTTTTACTTATTTTAATCTGTAGAATATGCTGCCGATGTTTCCGGAATACAGTTCGGACCACCCTGTACATTATTTACCTCTGCTCTGCAAGTTTTATTTACATATAATTGAAGATATTTGAAAAACGGTTAAACTTGTTAAACCGGGTATAGAAAATGAAAAAAAAATATGAGCTGAATTGAAATTGACTTGATCATAATATAAGATAAATTATTTTCAGAAATAAAGCTGGAATTTGGGGTTGGCGATCCGACAAAAACGAAGTAATTAACGGTTACGAATGTAAAGTTTTTAGCGCCTCAAACGTAGAATTAGTCACGAAAACCCGATCCGAACATTTAACGGAGCACGACAAAGCGAGAAGTAAAAACCTCAAAACGCCCCTCCAAAACTTTTTAGGTATAGCTGAAGTAGGAGAAACACAACAGTCTTCTGGCCTCCAAAATAAGGTATGCCTTAAATTAAAAAGTTGCCTGTTGAATCAGCCAAAGACATCTAACTAAAGGGGAGACACAACACTCCATTCATAAAACTCCATTATTTGTTTACAATACTTACTTTAACACTTTTATACACATACGACACAGAGTATTGTAGCTAAACGATTAGATTTTTACAAATTATAAGTTTTGGGTTCGTTGAAGGACTATTAGAGCTACAATTTAAAAATATTTTTACAAGATACAGAGTGCTCCAAATAAGTAAAAAATAGTATAGTTTTATTTTTTTAAATGGAACACCCTGTACATTATTCTTTTTTTAGATTCTACGATTGAAATAAAGGTAAATTTGATTAAAATTTATCACACTAAAATCTTACCGTTTTTGAAATATTTTCAATTGTATGAAATTGCAGTAAAAATTTGAAGGCTTCATTTCTCCAAGGGTGTCAAAGATTTTAATACTAAATATTTACTGAAGTTTATTTATTGATCAGATATTGTGTTGCAATAATAAACAAAATACTACCTTATACAGAGTGTCTAAAAATTTATATTAAATAATTACTAGCTTTAAACGGCAATAACTTGTTTAATTTAAATGGAACACCCTTTATATTTTAAGAGAATCAGATGCAAGAATCAATTTAATTGTCTATCAAATTGTATTATACGATTTTTTACCTATCTCTTTAAGTTTTCGTAGAAAATGCATTTTCTTATATTTAGACTTCATTTATCACTATACCTATGGAATATTGACATTTTAGATTATTTTTAACGATGTAACAAATTTTCAAAGAGTATTAGTTATTTCGCTAAAAATAAAAAAAACTGTTTAAATAATTTTTGTTAAAGAGGGCCAATAAATATGACTGTTTACGTTGATTAATAATAATTGCTCGAAATACTAAAAAACTGAATTTTGTATGTGTATTAGACAGTGTGGTAAAAAGTAACACCTTATAAATTTTATATCATTGTTTGACGAATGCTTATTTATAACAACAGAGAGGTTCATTTTCATAACTTATTATTATATTGATTTCTGAGTCCACATCTATTTAGAATAATTTATTAATTAAAACAATTAAGTATGTAATTAACTAATTTTTGGGCGGAAATAATGGTGGTATATTTAATTGGTATACTCTTTTACAAAGATTTAAATAGTTTTATTTTTGTAAACAAATGGGCTTGCAATATTATTTATTTTTACCACCTGTACATTTTGTAGATATTAATTATATATAATCTTAAAGAGTGTGAGTTTGAGTCTCCTGCCCCTCAGTAGAGGATTTTAACTAATTATTATGTACTCAAATTGGGTCGCTGAACGCCTATTTTTGTAGATATGTTGCTTTAAAAAAATCTAAAATGTCAATATTACATGGGTATAGTGGGTATAAATGAGGTCTAAATTATAAGAAAATACATTTTCCACGAAAACTTGAAGAGATAGGTACAAAATAGTATAATACAATTTGATAGACAATTAAACTGTGCAACTGATTCGTGTAACATATACAGGGTGTTCCATTTAAATTAAATAAGTTACTGTCGTTTATAGCTAGTAATTATTTGATATAAATTTTTAGACATTCTGTATAAGGTAGTATAATTTTTATTATTGCAGCACAATATCTGATCATTAAATAATCATCATTTAAAAATATTTAATATTAAAAACTTTGATATCCTTGGAGAAATGAAGTCCAAAATTGAAAATATTTCAAAAACGGTAAGGTTTAAGTATAATAAACCTTAATCAAATTCACCTTTATTTTAATCATAGAATCTAAAAGTAGAATAATATACAGGGTGTTCCATTTAAAAAATACTTATTTTACATCTTGTAAAATTATAATTGTAGCTCTAATAGTTCTTCAACGAACCCAAGACTTACAATTTGTAAAAATCTAATCGTTTAGCTACAATATTGCGTGTCGTATGTGGTAAACAACCGTGTATAAGTGAAAAAGAGATGGGTGCATAAAAATGTGACAACTATAAATAGACATCAATATATGACAAAAATAAATAGTTTTGTCTCCTCTCCTTTGGACTCTAAACCAAATTTTGATATTTTAGGAAGATTATTCTAATAATACAAATCCGTGCAATATAACTCCAGAGGAGTACTTCGATTCCGAATTCGATCTCGGGATACGTGATATAGGTAGACCAAAAGAAGTTAGCATAAAAGTTCAGAAATTCAAGGCCAACTTGTGGCTGTGCGAGCAATATCCTCTGTCGCTTCCCGAGCAGATATTACCTATCGTCGATCTGATGGCGATATCTAGTTCGCATTTCGCTAAATTGAAAGACTTCATCCAGTTGCAACTGCCTAGTGGTTTTCCTGTTAAAATAGGTAAGTGTCTTATGTGATATTTATTGCAATGTTTATACAGGGTGTTTCAAAAAACACGTGCCATCTCTCGTGGTGAGATTGCTCACGTAAAAATAAGATTTATTTTTCATATCAACATGGGTCCGATTCTGCTTTGTTTCGTAGCTAGAGGAGGTTAATGTTATTTTTTTTTCGATTATTATAATTTCCCTCCAAGTGCTTTTAGTGATTCGAATGAAATTTTTGGGATAAAAGTTACTATAAGTGGATAAATTCACCAGGGACCAGGAACGTGCATATGGGTTGTCAAAAAAAATGTGCGCCACTGACTTTTTTCTTTTGGTATCAAAATTGTGTAGGCCGTTTAATGTCAATTAAAAGTTATCTATCGATATTTTGTCGAATTCGGCCTCCTTGATAAGATAAACGCAATTTTATTAATCACAATAAAATTACTAAATTATATATTTTATCTAATTTATTATTAAATATCATTACTATTAGTTGTTATTACTATTAGTCCAACCTACAGCAATTTTAAATAAAAAAATAATGATATTTAAAATAATTACAAAAAAACTAATTTTAAAAAGTTTTAACATCCTGTAACTCTAATAAATAAATAAATAAATAAATGCCTTTATTGTCAAAAAAAATTTCAATTTGTAGACAAAGGTAAACTAAACAAACAAAGTAAACAAACAAGGTACACAAACAAACAAACAAAAGAGAATACAAAACATTACTATACAAATAATATTGTCAGTCTTATTGTTTAAAATAAACATTTATAAATGTTTACAATGTGAAAGAACAAAAAAATAAAAACAACATTCAAAAATATTTAGCTAGTTTATAGTAAATATCAATGATCTCTAAATAAATTTATTTCGATGTCATTAGTAAATATAGCAATATTAGTATTATTAATATTATAACATTAGACCAGTGTTTACAAGATCAAATTCGATTTTCAAAATATAATTCATTTACAGCGTAGAAAGCCTTGAAAAATGATGTTATGGATTTGATTTCAAATGGCAGGTGATGATTTTTTTCGAGTTGTATAATATTGAACTTTTAACTAACTCTGAGCGTGGGGTAGTTAGATAAAGATCTTGCTCCGCGTTCCTGAGTGGATAAGTGTGAGATGGCCTTTCTTGAGAAGCTGATACATGCTTACGTATTAGGCAAACGGATTCAAATATAAATAAGGAAGGAAGAGCCAATATTTTTAATTTTTTTAAAAAAGTCCCGGCAATGAGTTCTGCTGTTTAATCCCAGTGAATATCGAACAGCTCTCTTCTGGAGCTTGAAAATGCGGCCAAATTGAGTCGCACAACACGTACCCCAGAATGGAAGGGAATGGAAGAAAAACTATGCATTTCCATTAGTGAGGGGAATACCGGTTCCAAATGAGTCGCGTTACAATAGCGACCGTTCCAGAAAAATACCGCGATTTTGTAACCGAGGTTCCGACTTCCAAAGTGTCACGCTTATGCAGTATTTCTGGCATTAGTACATACCTGCTCCCAACCAGTGTTGTCAGGTTCTTACAATTCTACCAGCTGTTACAACCATTCGTGCCATAAACTTAGATACAACTCGTAATATTTTAGAGAATTTGCGTAAAATATTATGGAAATAAAACAACTAAACTTTTCAAACCCCCGTTTAATACTAACTGCTATGCAGCGAGAGATATACATGCTCCAAAATATACGGAATGTTTCTGCTCATAAACAAATATACAATGTCGTCAGGCTTACTTTTATTTACACATCACATTTACAATTAGCATTTGTTATAATGCTAGAAGATTACATCACACAACTGATATTGGAGATGGAGAACTTTCGTATTGATATAAACTGTATTTTTAAATTTATTATAGAAAATGATAGAAGTTTTGGCCCCAACCCTGCCTTTATCTCTGTGCCCATGTAAATTCATAAACAATTTCATAGACAAATACAGATGGCTAGAAAAAATGATTACAGTGGCGATAGGTTAGGTTTCATAAAATAAAAAAAAATATGATCTATTCCTGTTACCCCAAACTGACGTCTAGTTTTTATTATTTAAGCACGAATAGATTGACTTAAAATATGTAAATACATTTATTGGTATTCAATACTTTTTATTCGCCATCTATTCTTCAGACTAAAGAATTGTTATTTTTTCCATAATAATTTTCCATCAATCTTCGTTTAAATAAAATCAACGGCTCATGTTTTTGTGTATTGCAATATGATATATTTAATGGTAAAATTAAGAACAAAGTCCAAACCACTGTCAAAAAAAACTGTTTATTGGTGACCGGTTTCGGCAATTCCAGCCACCATCAGACCTTAAAAATAGATATAAACAATGAAACTTATATAAATGTATAAAAGCAAATAAAATATTTTTATTTTATTTTATTTGCTTTTGCGTTTCATCTTTCAAACAACGCTATTTTATACCATGCCTAGTACATACCAAAAATCGCGATTTCGAAAGTAACGTAGCGAAGGGAGCACCAACGCCAATAGTAACCGATCAAATCGCGACAGGCAACACCGGAATCCTAGAAGCGCTCCAGCGACTGCTGGAACGAAGGACGTCGCCGCCGAGGTCGAGCGTCGATAGCCAGTTACAACAGGGACCAGTTATTTCTGTTCGCGACAGACGGAACTACGGCTCTATTAGCGCGACGGCTGGAGCGAAGTACGTTACCGCTATAGAAGCTAGAGAGCCGCACTCCACTTTGCTCCTTTGCTTCACACATGCATTGAAAATTGCCAGAGCGAAGTAATACTTCAATATAGTTCCGTTACGAAAGCAGCGTGTAGCTCCGTGGTTGAGGCTGCCGCTTTGTGAGCAACGGGACGGTGGATCGAACCTCGGTAGACATATAAGTTTTTATTTTTTTTACAGCTGTTTTTATTTTTTAAAACTGTTTGTATTTTTTTATTTATTTAGAGTTGTTAGTAACAGCGATTAAAATACGCCGTTGACGAGCGTCGATAATCAATTACAGCGGTTACCAGTTACTTCTGTTCGCGACAGGCGGAACTACGGCTCCAGGAGCGCGACGGCTGGAGCGAACATGCGCGACGCTACGTACATACCAGTTCCAGTTACTACTGTTGGCGACCGACAAAATTGCGTCGGCTGGAGCTAAGCACGTCGCTATGCGGTTACTACGGTTCGAGCCATGGTACCTAGAAAACAAGGTATGATCGATAGCGGCTCCAATTTCGTTAAGTTTGCGCATACCACCTGTGACGTCATACGTCATACAAAAAAATATCCATATTGTTCAATTGCCACTAATAAAAAAAGACCTAAAATACGGAAGAATTAGGACATAACCTCAAAAGTTATGTCAAATCGTCGAGTTTGACATTTGAAAAATTATTTTCACATTTATTGTGTCATCCGTTTGACAATTTGAAATTGGCGCACGGAGCTTGCCGACCAATGGTGCCGTTTATCACCTGTGACGTAGTGACCAACCTGCGCAATATCATACCTTGTATTCTTTGCATCATGGGTTCGAGCTAACTTCAAGAGGGATTATAAATAATTTATTTGCAAATTATAAATAATTTATAATTTTGTCGTCATTATGATCGTAGTTCTTCAGTAACAGGTTCCTGATTCGTTGTGGAGCGCGACACGACGTTACAAAAAAAATACCGCTCCAAAATCGCGTTATTGAAATACCGACACCACTAATTTCCATACCCATGTTTACCACCAAGTACTTTTTTCATATTTTTTTCATTAGGAATCAACGAGTACTTATTTAAAATTTTCGCAAGTTAATGATATTATTTTTTTTAAAGGTTGGTATTAGACTTGGACAAGGCAAATTATTAAAATTGCGTTTATGTCATCAAAGAGGTCGAAATCGACAAAATATCAAGAGACAACTTTTAATCGGCATTAAACTGCTTACTCTACAGTGGCGTATGCTTTTTTTAGAAAAAATATTCCAGTGATAATCTATATCTATATAGTCCGTAGTGAATATGTCGACATTTTTTTAGCTTTAAAATATGTCGCATTTATAGTAACGTTTACCCTCAAAATTTCATTCGAATCACTAAGAGTACTTATATATAAAATTATAATAAATCTAAAATAAATTAAGACACCCTGTAGCTACTTACAAAGCAGAATGGGACCTATGTTGATATGAAAAATAAATCTTATTTTTATGTGAGGAATCTCACCACGAGAAATGGCACATGTTTTTTGAAACACTCTGTATGTTATGAAGCGTCTTAATTACATATGAGGCGTTTTTGAGGATTGACGTATAAAATTGACTGATCGATTTTTCAACTATTTTCTTTTTACTAATTATAAATTCTCGACGTTTGCTCGCGTTTTTGCTCGTATATTCTCGTTTTTCGATATAGTTCCCTAAAAATAATTCTCAAATTTTATCTAATTTTCAGAAATTCCTTTATTCCACGTTATCAACGCTAGAATTACCTTCGGCAACATATTCGCGATCGACAATCCGGTGCCCAAGGTGTCCACGCTGCAAGAGGAGACCAGACTCACTTGTGTCCTAGACGAATCGCTGTTCCAGTGTCCGACCAATTATATCCAGATTGGTAATGGTAATGTGCACCTCCATCTTTTTATTTTTATATTCTGTTTCGTTCCTATGCGCTTCTTTCTATTTTTATTGAAAGCATTGTTCAAGAATACTTAGAAATATGCATGTTTTTGCTTGAGATTTTGTAACTAGGTTTTAATGTAAATGGTGTATACCGTGTGGACGTAGAATTACTACGTCTTTTTGAAATCGAAATAAGTTCATTGGGCACAGTTTACCTCTTTATAAAAGTGCCTCTTTGTCCATTAGAGGGCACCAAACCAAACTTTAAAAAATTACAATTTTATTAAGATATCTTAAGAACCGTTATTCCGATTTGAATGATATTTGAGATGCTCATGTTTTGCTAAGTGCTTTAACATTTGACTTTCACAAAAATCAAGAAAAAGTACGAGAAGAGTGAAAACTACCCTCACCCGTACATGAATTTTAATTAATTAACGTTCTGGTTTATTTTTGATTAATGCCCTCTAATGGACAAACGCAACCCTTTTATATAGAGGTAAATTGTGTCGAATAAACTTGAATTTTTTTTTTGAGAAATTTGATTCCAAAAATACGCAGTAATTCTATGTCCACGTATTATTGGGTTACCCTGTATACTGTATACCGTAGCGTCCACAAATTAATTGTTTCAAGGTTAATATTTTAACTGGCAGTAATTTTAAAGGTAGTTAAAGCAGAGTATATTTGAGTTATATAAACGATACTTCTTAATTTTTACCTGGCGTTAGTTCAGATGTTGAAAATAATAATGTCATCTAAATTTATCTGAAACTGTGCACACTGTATACTCTCTCTCTATCTGATAAGAGAATATTATTATATCATTTCGACGGATGAAAAGTGCCAGTAAAAAACACTATACCTGCTTTTCAATTAAGATCACTGATTTCATACAGTAATCGCAAAACATTTTCCGATACGCATCATCAATCATATCGAAATTGACACTAAAGGCTATAAACTTGACTAAATGAAATTTTGGCAAAAATGTTCAAATTTGTTGACTAATTTAAAATACCAAGCAGCTCTTCGTTTTACTTTATAGAGCAAATGATTGTATACTCTGTTTTTTTTTCTCAGGTAAGATTTCGACAGACGATGACAGAAAAAAAGCAGATGACGTCCATACCAATCCATTTATTTCACTAAAAAGTTTCTAATATTTTTTAAGTTAACTTTGGATGGGTTTATAAGTAAATACGTCATGCGTCGTCTCTTATTGTTTTTAACCAGTTTTATTGGTTTATTTCAAAAACGACAGACCATGTTTCAATATTATTGGTTTAACGTAACGATAACGACAAACGAACTCCGATTAGTGATGGGCAAAACTGTTATTTTTAGATAACAGTTGAAACTGTTATAGTTATTTATAAAAAACAGCTTAAAATAACAGGTTTCTTTATTTTATTGCTAAATATCTGAAAGAGTATGAGGCGGTCACCGCCAGCCGTATTAACGCAGTTGCAAGTTGCAACAATGACGTGCTCGGTGGTAGTATTTCCAGGGTGTCAAAACATTCCTAAATATCCATTATTATCTAAAATACCTCTCTAAAAACGGTGGTTGTTTACAAATAAGCGCTGTTTACAAATTGCGATATAAAAAAAGCCAAAATTCCGCCACTCGTCTATACCTATACATTCCGATCTACCTACGCCCTGCTCCTCGATCCGCCTGAATTGCGTAGCAGTGTACACTGTACAGGATGCATTTCACTCGACGGGCGAGAAGCTCTTAGTTATGATTTTACCATTTGCGGTCAAAAAATAGCAATATAAGAAAATGTGTAGTATATTCTTCATAAGTAAACCAACTACACACTAGAGTTCGAATTAATTTTACACTTAAACTAGCGTGTACCCGCGACTTCGTTCGCGTCGAATTAATAATTTGTAATGGTGATGATAAAGCAAAGCAAGAATTTCCATTAACATACAAACTGGATAAAATTTTCTCATATTTGCCAAAAATAAGCTTTAAACGTCGAGCAGTTTAAGCAGAATCGTGGTTAATCAATTACTCAATTTTTTTGGAACTGCCTGTATGATTTTTTAAAAAATTTCAAAATATGTAAAAAAACAAAATAAATTATGCGTGTCCAACCGTTTTCCCGAAAGACTAACCGTTTTTAAATAACAAATATTGTAATAATTTGAGGGGCGTTTTCACCCTCTTGGAATTTGAGATTCGAGAAACCCCTCTTTATTTCCTTATCGAACCTCAACCCCACAGTCAATCCTTTTGCCAAAAATTAGCTTTAAACGTCAAGCAGTTTAAGCAGAATCGTGATTACTCAATGGTCATATTTTATGAAATACCCTGTATATATTTTTAAAAAAATTTAAAATATGTAAAACAACAAAATAAATTATGCGTGTCCAACCGTTTTCCCGAAAGACTAACCGTTTTTAAATAACAAATATTGTAATATTTAAGGGCGGTTTCACCCCCTTAGAATTCGAGTTTCGAAAAATCCCTTCTTATCGAACCTCTATACCCTAAAGTCAATCCGTTTTCCAAAAATCAGCTTTTTGCGTCAAGTGCTTTAAGCAGGATCGTGATTAATCAATGACCAGATTTTTCAAAACACCCTGTATACATTTTTAAAAAATCTTAAAATATTATTCTGAAAATTTTTCAGAATAAATAAATACCTAAATATTGAAACTTATAAGTAAGTACTGAAACATACAGCGCCATAATATCTCGACCTCCGCCCGTTATGCTCGTAACAGGTTGAAAAACAATGTATCTAAAACAACTGATGCGTTATTCTCCAACCTGTTTCGAACCTCCAACGACAATCGACCGATGCAGCAGCGTTACTTTCCCACTCCGATTATCTCGACCGCCGCTCTGTTTGCTCGTAACAGGTTAAAAAACAACGTATCTAAAATGACTGCTTCTCCAACCCGTTGCGAGCCTCCATCGACAATCGACCGATGCAGCAGCGTTCCTTTCCCACTCCTGTTATCTCGACCGCCAGGCGTTATGCCCGCAACTGTTTCAAAAAAGCTGCTTCTTATATATCCTATTATTTTTAAGCGGTTGCAAGCCCCACACGACCATCGACCGATGCAGCTACGTTCGCCGCGCCGCGCCGTAGCGCATTCCCCACTCCGTTGTCCGTTGTACCTCGCCGCCTGTATCGATGGTTGTCGAAATAACATGTAGTTTTCCATCCATAATCCATACTAGTTGTTTTTTGGAATTGTTTCGAATTTCGTGGCGGTGCAGAGCGCCGAATTCGTTTCACGAATCTCTGCGTATCGTTATTTTATATCTGTTATTTTTTAAAAGTAGTAACGGTTGCGTTATGTTATTTCTAAATAATTGTTATAAAATAACAGATAGTTAAATAACAACCCATCACTATGTGGGTCACATTGCGCCGTGTTCGGCAAGTTCTCGTTTAATATTTGAGAATTTTCAGAGAAGTCAGAGAAGTAAGTTTGATTGGTAAGTACATTATACCACTTTCAAAGTTATTTCTATGTTAGTTTTTATTAAATTTTGTGATTATTAGTTTGTGCATTAATGGTACCCTCTTACATGTTATTACCACTTGTGGTGTTTTAAGATAAGTAACATTAATAAATAAAAATAACCCCTAATAACGCTTAGAATAATCTTCATAATGGACCAGTTTTTGCCCAGTATGTAATAAATAACATAAGCTATAAAACAAATAAATCAATTAATTATTAAAATAATAATTATTAAATTAAAAATAAAACGTAAAAAAATTATTTAAAAAATAATATACTAAATATATTGTTTTCCAATTTTACATTAAGATTCATCTCATAAATCCATCACAATCTGGCACCGCTGTCGCCATCGCTTGTCACTTAAGTTGATGACGTGCATCGGAAATTGTTTTGCGATTACCGTATATTCTATCGTTCACTTACTAGATATCTATCTTTAACCCTCACAATTATAATAACTAAATTAAGGCCAGTGAAAACGATTTTAAGAATCTACAATAGAGCGACATTAAAGTGCAAATATGTTAGACGTGTATAATTATTAAATTGCAATTTTGTTTTGCGTACTGCGCTTTTTAATATCATTCACTAACATTCTCTAACGATTTTAACTAAATTAGATCGATTAATAAACAAATATGTATTTCTAGCTTCTGCGGACGGCAGGAGACAGTATAGTAATGAAGAAGAAGACGATTTGTTGCAATTCGCTATACAACAAAGTTTAATAGACTCAGGAACGGAAAAGGAGGAGGTAGATTCTAAAATGTTAATTATACTGTCTGTTATTTATACTGTCTGTCAAAATCTGGGTTTTAAATACAAAATGAGGAGTATAGATAATTGAATACAGAAGATATGAATCACTTAAGCTTCATTCAGAACCTCGAAATCAGTGGAATAAATTAGTAGTTTCAATTAGTCTTAGAAGTTTGTTCACCTAATTTTAATGTAAGCATTCAGAACGTCATAATTAGTAGTAGTAATTTTCACTTACTGGAAAAAGTTAACAAACTTTTGACTTTTCCACTAATTATACTTCAAAATTTGCGAGGAATGTCATTTTAGCCTTTGATTTTGAGAAAAATTTTGGTTAAAAATCAAAAGTTTATTGTTTTATGTCTTTGAATAAGAAGACTAAGGAAGGAGCATAATGGTATCCATGTATTCATGCATGGTGGGCGGAAAAAGGACTCTAGAGTGGGGATCCTTGACAGTTCTGTTTGACGATTCATTTGACTCATTTGAATTTGATTTGAAATTTTGTGGATTTGTCAGTCCTTACGGAGTTTATTTTATGTTATTTATTATTTATTCTACTACTGATAGTTGTATAAAGGCAGTAAATCTAGATGGAAATTGTGGCAAAACTTAAATTAACAGTGACACTATCGCGATTTATCGAAAAAGACTCTAAAATAGTTGGTTGTGTAGCGTGCGGTAGATCTCGACAAAAATCGAGTGAAATAATGGAACAACTTTTCGCTAGTAAGTGACTATATAATATACATACGTGTAGTAAACCGATCATTTATGAAATTCACTTAAATTAACTAATTATATATTTTTTCTTGCATTTTTGCTTTTATTTACTACTTGTCAAAGATTAGATGTCAAAGAATTTAGATACGTCAATTTGACTTACCTGCTTCAGTAGTGTATCGGATGTTTATGGTTATAAATAATTATTATAGGTTATCTATTTTTATTAGAATTTTATATTTTTATAACAATTTTAATAACTACCAACATTTATTCACAACGTAAAATAAAAAAAATATATTGAGTACCCCACGTCTACCCTACATCACAGTTTTACATTTTTTAAATAAAATATATACCTATATAATATATATAAATAGAACGGCACTGATAAACCGGAATTTAAGTCGGCCATATTTGAGGCCCATCGCGGTGGACATAAGATTTTTGATATGCTCCTCCCACTTATTCTAATTCTTCTATATTCTAAATTGGATACAACAGACTACCGCAAGCTGTTGCGAGGATATTTTATTAATTTTAACTGTGTTTTTTAGACATTATGAATGATCGTAAACTAAAAAGTATAAAGTGTAATTATTGTAACCACTAATTGGGAGGTTCTGAATGAAGCTTTGCTGCACAATTTGATTAACTTCACTTTTTGAAAAATCTTAAATTTGAATGTAAAACCACTGATATACACGGTGTTTCAAAAAACATGTGCCATCTCTCGTGGGGAGATTCCTCACATAAAAATAAGATTTATTTTTCATATCAACATAGATCCGATTCTGCTTTGTTTCGTAACTACAGGAGGTTGAAGTCTCCGTTTTTTTTTCGAATTATTATAATTTTTATTTTTTAAGTGCTTTTAACCTAATAAGCCCGAACATGCCTACAGTGAACGGGTCAAAATACTGCTACATTTTGAACTTGAAGCCCAGATATACCTAGACCTAGAAATAACATTTAGCTAAAATTATTTTGTTTGAAAACTGCTACAGCTTTAGATTTTTTTATATTTATATTGGTATAGTATGAATTAAGAATACATCGTGCATCATGTTTGAGTATGAATCGATCATAGATATTAAACCTAAAATTTACAATACTTTATTAATAATACAATTATCTTTTTTTTAAATAGTGTCTTTAGAGTGTGTTTTCAAGTTGAATCATTGAATTTCCGAATTCAAAATGTGAGTAATTGGAAAAATTTGTTTCACAGGTCGACATTTGGGAAGCTCTGCGTGGTCAAAAGCCTTCAAGACCCGAGACGCCAATAAATTACGAAGAAAGAGAATTGCAAAGGTAAGCTATGCTGCTAGGCTGTCCTTTAAGTATTGCTAATAACGTAATCTCTTTACCTTGAAATTCCGTTAAAATCTAAATTATTTATTGTTCATACGATGTACTTAAACAGCCGTTAAACGGTAGCCTACTAAAATGCCGTTAATAGATATTGTGACGTCGTTCATGTCGGCGGAAAGTAATGCCTGGCCTTAAGCTTTCTGCAAGAGCACCTGTGGGTCAGTGGCTGAGGCTATCGCTTCGTAAGCGAATGGTCCGGGTTTAAATCTCACGCCGACCAACACTTTTTTATATTTTTTTTGCTTATAGCGTGATCTTATTGCATTGGTTTCACTCTTTTTATTTGGATTGGTTTAGTTATTTGGCGGGTTGGTTAGCGTGGTTATTTGGAGGGTGTTAATTCATTGGTTAGTTGGTTATTTGGTGGGGTTGGTTGATTTTTACTAATTTATATTTGTTTTTTATATTTTTTATCAGTGTCGAGATTAGTTGCGTTGGTTAAGTTGGTTATATGGTGGGGTGGATAGCGTTGGTTAGTCCTTATAAAATTTCTATATTTCATAAAGCCGTCAAGTGCGTCACATCAACGACGTCATACCTATTAACGCCATTTTAGTAAGCTACCGTTTAACGGCAGTTTAAGTACAGCCTTGTTCATATCAGAATTTTAACTTAAACGTATGTTAATAGTCTCAAAGCTACCAACATTGGGCACCCAGTTTGTAAACGTGTTTCCTAAACTATATAATCTATACAATTATCGTTTAACGTTAGCTCGTAATGTCTTCTCTTTTACGCAAAAATGAAATAAAAAGGGTTATGAACTTCATTACGACATTTCGTAAATTATTGCACATTGTTTCATTCAACTGTCATTTAACTTTTGACGTTATAGTCCTGTATAGAAAAAAATCAAATATTTGATATTTCTATTATTATATTTTTATCATTATACTAGCGTGTACCTGCGACTTCGTTCGCTTTGAATTAATCATTAAGTTCCAGTAACATAAAAACTGGATAAAATTTTCTCATATTTATGTTAGCATTACAAAAAACAATATGGCGATATTATTATATAACTTGGTAATATTTGAGGGGTAGTTCCATCTCGTTGGAATTTGACTTTTGAAAAATCTGTTTGCCAAAAATAAGATTTTTACGTCAAGCAGTTTAAGCAGAATCGTGGTTAAGAAATTACCCAACTATTTTGAACACCCTGTATGATTTTTTAAAAAATTTCAAAATATGTAAAAAAACAAAATAAATTAAGCGTGTCCAAGCGTTTTCCCGAACTGTATAAATTTTTAAAAAATTTTAAAATATGTAAAACAACAAAATAAAATATATGAGTTTAAGAGTTTTTCCGAAAAACTCACCGGTTTTTAAATAAAAAATATTCTAATATTTGAGGGGTGGTTTCACCCCCTTAGAATTCGAGTTTCGAAAAATCCCTTCTTATCGAACCTCTACACCCTAGAATCAACCTGTATGCCAAAATTGAGCTTCTTACGTTGAGTGGTTTGAGCAGGATAGTGATTAATCAGTAAGTCAGTCATTTAAGGATTATATCGTCGGCTTTATGACGAAAAGGCGTATCTCGATTTTTGGTGATTTTGAGATATCAACGTCATGACATGCCCAATGGGTCATATTTTAACATAGCGAATTTGCGCATCTCAATATTGTACCTTTTTCATTCTATATTCGTTTAAAAATTTGCCCCATCTTAAATACTACAATTCTTCGTTATGACGAAGAGACGCATGTTGAGATAGGGCTCTTTGTTATATCAATTGTTATACCAATTATTATACTACAAGAAAGATGGAATTTGAGATAGGTCCTTTTGTTTTAAGTTATGAAAATGCTACCTAATTATTTTCTGATGGTTGCTTGGGACAAAATAAAACTTCTATCATGGCAGCAGCTCTCTTTTACAGTGCGATTTTGAGTCTGTTTTTTTGCCAAAAACCATTGTTAGAATGAGCTAGACTCTGTACATAGCTGTATCGGGTATGCAAAAGATTGTCCGAGAATAAATGGCCGAAGAAAAATTGATCGAAAGCAAAACAACGAAACGAAAATTGCCCCAATGGAAAAATTCCCGAAATTATAGTTTCCCTAAGAACATTTTAGCGGACCAAAAACTTGCCCGAAAAATACAATAATTTTTATCTCATCATCATTGTCAGGCCATTGGCATTGCCATCCCTGTCAATTTTTGAAAACATTTATTTATTGTGCCTATCATCATCCTGCATAAACACGTAGAATGAAAGTATCATTGAAGAGGGAAAACAGAAACTGTTAGTCCACAGTTATTTGTATCAAAAAGGCAGGAATGAAGAAACATGTTTTGTTTTTGTTTAGTTTGGTTTTTATTAAATGGACCGTGACTTTAAATGCCTTGTATTAATGCCCTCAATTAACTGAATAATTACTAAAAATATATTAGTTAAAAAAAATTATTTTTGTATAAAAAACAATATTATTAAAATAAGCTAGATAAGTGTATTTTAATTGATCATTGTCTTTGCTTCTTGAATGAAAATTGTCTTTGTTTTCAGTTGATCTAATCCAACGCGAATAAAAGTATTTAAAAATATTTGTTTTTGATTTTTTGATGATTTTCAAATTTTTTCTGTATGTATGTATTGTATTTTCTTGTATGTATTCCATAATGTGAATATTGTATTTTTTTCCTTATTAAGAACACTTTACCATCATTTTTAAATTTATTTTACATGGGCGTATGTATACTATTCGTTCGGAAATAAATTTATTATTATTATAACAAAAAGGCTATCTATTTCTCCATTAAAAATATCTCTATTAAACAACTAAAAAGAAATTATTTATTAGAATTTAGGCATAATTTATCTTCAGAACGTTTCCTCAATGTCTCCGTTTAAGTGTTAATACAAAAACACTATTAAAAAATTAAAGACTTTACATTTATTGGCCAAATACAGTAAGTGATTTTCTTTAAATTGCTCTCCTGAAAAGTAGCAAAAATCGAGATACGCCTTTTCGTCATAAAGCCGACGATATATATTAGTATAGATTTGGCTAAGGCTTGTACATTAACAACTAAACTCTGTCAAACAGATAAGGAAAGATTGCGATAAAGCACATCTAAAAATTGACAAAAAATGTAATTTTCCAGTGAATTAAAATGACAGACAACAGCTGTCACTGTCATGTATCCCCTCGTTGGACAGACTGTAGTCAATATTGTATAGAACTCACAAAATATGAACATAATTTTAGTATTTATATCCATTTAAAACAAAAATCGGTAGTGCTTCTTCTATTTGTGTTCTTGAAACAGTAATTCGTTCGAAATTTCATTTTTGCTTGCATTAAGACGCTAATCTATTTTGATTATTTGACACATCCCATTGTAGAGCTATTCAAGCCAGCTTAGAGCAATACCAAAATCCCGACGCTAAACCTAGTCCCGCCGTAGAATTGGATTACGATCTACAGATGGCGTTGATGATTTCAGAAAAGGAGCAACAGCGCGAGGAGCAAAATCGGATAAATGAAGAGAAAATGTTAGAGAAAGCGCTAGAATTATCCCTTACTGAAAAATAACCAATTATCTTATATATAATTTAGAACAATTATTCAAAAATTAATCCAGAATAAACGTATATGTATTTGCATTTACTTGAAATATATTCAGATAGATCTGTGTGTGCCTGAGTGACAGTGTTATGGTTATTCGGAGCTGCAACAAGTCAGTTTTAAAAAGACTAGTCTTAATTTCTAAAATCAAAATAATTTAAGTCTTAAGTCAAATTCAATATAAAGTTCAAATGATTTAGGTCTTAAATCTTTGACTTAAATAATTTTATTTCAAGTCATTTTTGTAAAGACTTAAATCAACAAATCAAATATCTAAAAAGTTAAGATGTTTATGACATACATTCATTAAGTTTTTTATCAGAATTGGCCCAAGAATCACCCACTTAAATATTAGCATGTCGTTAAGGAACACCTGTATAAAATTATTTTATAGCTAGAATAATAACATTATTATACAGGATGATTCTTAAACAAGTGCAAATATTTTTAGGGCTGGTAGATCTCGATAAAAGAAACATATTTTCTCTTTACCCTTTTTCAAATAAGTTCAAAATAACTGAGATATTTTACTTTGAAAATACAAAAAAGTATTTTTAGCTTAAATTTTGAGAACCACTGGATCTATCTATGTTGTCATATTATCAAGAAATTGTGTTTTAATTATAAACTAAAGAAAACCCAAAAAATTTATCATATACTCAATAATCGTGTTTCTGGGGTCGAAATATACTACTCCTAAAAATATTTGCACTTATTTAAGACTCACCCAGTATATAATTGAAGACATGAGTGGATAAAGGTGTCGTGTCGCTTTTTTCAAGTTTCGAGTAAATCGACAAAATACGTCTAAAAAGTATTGATGGTGTATGTGACATGACACCTTTATCACCTAGGATATTCTTTATGATATTTATATTTGCTATTAGAGCAGGGTTTCTTAAACGTTTTGCAGTCACGGACCACTTACGCAATTTGTACAATTCCACGGACCCCTATCAGGAATAGAGGAAACTAAAAAAAGCCTTATTTACATAAAAAGAAAACGTTTATTAATAGATTTATTACACGTATACTAGTAAACTAGTGAGAAGGATTCTGCTGTTTGGCCTCAATGAGAACGTTAAATTGTGGGGTTATCTTCGACAAGGCAAGGCGCATATCATCTGTGACGTTCAATCGGTTGCGACTTTTTGTTTTATCGAGACCAGAACAGAGAACCCTGCCTCGCAAAGGTACGTAATAGTCAGTGGTATCAGAACGGACATAGCTCGCTTGACAAGAAGAGGGTAAGCTTGACTTAAAGAACACCAAAACGCGCCAAGATCTTTTGCAGTAAATTCAGCTTTTAAAACTTCTTTATATCTCATGCCAATTAAGTCATCTTTATCGCTGATATTATCCGTGTCGATTATAAATGGACCCCGCACCCAAGTTTCATTTTCAATCGATTCTAAGTTAAAGTATCCTTCAAAAGAAGGTTGCAATGTATCCAAATGCTTAGACACCTCTTTCTGTAGCATTTTTGATATCGTGCTGCTGTCACCTTGTGCTATTAACTCTTCAAACATCGGAAAATTTGCAAAGTTACTAGATTCCACAATCCTTTTCCAAAGTGACAGTTTACATATAAAACCTTTCAACCGTTCAGATGCATCCACGATGGTTACCGCAGAGCCCTGAAGAGACAAGTTAATCTCATTCAATTGGGTAAATATATCTGCCAAATACGCTAGCCTCCGTACAAAATCTTCGCTCTCAAGATATTCAGACAGTGAATTTCCTGTATATTTTAGAAAAAGTAACACTTCTGTCCTTAACTCAAACAATCGCTTTAAGATCTGTCCCCTTGACAGCCAACGAACTTCTGTTTAGTAAAGCAGCACTTCATGTTCTGACCCCATTTCTTGACAAAGTCTTTTAAACAGGCGGTGCCGCGGTGGTTTAAGACTCTTGCTCTGCTAATTATTTTGACACATGTAGACATAACTTCCTTCACGAATGTAGCTAAAGTCCGTGAAGACAAAGCATGTCGATGCAAGACATAATGAGTTATTATGACACGAGGGATCTAGTTCTTGACTAAAGCCGCGAAACCAGACGTATACCAAGCATTGCGGGAGCTCCATCGGTGTCTGCACGTACCGAGACCAAGTATAGTCTTCCATTTTGTTCGATGTTGTCATTTCAAAAACATCCGAAGCCTTTGTAGTCTCCAAAAGTGAAATGCAAAAAAGAAACTCTTCTTTAATACTACGTGTGTCTTGTTGTACGTAACGAACAAATACCAAGAGTTGGCTACATTGTGACACATCGGTGCTTTCATCCAATTTAATACTGAATGGAGACGGTGAAGCAATTAATTCTTCAACAACTTGTAAAACATTTGACGACATTTCAACAATTCTAGAATGAATAACATCGTTTGATAAGGGAACAGCTTCAACTTTGTTTTTTTTTGGATCCTTACGCGCATCGCGTAGTATTTAGTGATTAAATACCTACTGAATTCGCCGCCCTACACTATTTATTTTCTTAATAAATATTTTTATAGTTAACTGGCTTTATGCGGATCGCGGACCCCTGATACACATGCTATGGACCCCCAAGGGGTCCATGGACCACACTTTAAGAAACCCTGTATTAGAGTCTATTGGAGGATAGATATGTCAAAGAGATCTTGAAATACTGAATAAAACTGATTTTTAAAAAAATGCGACATGGCGCCTTTAAAAACTCATGTCTTCAATTGTTTTTAAAAGAGAATCGCCTGATTCATGTACACCCTGTGTAGTGTGTATAAAAACGCATATAAGAAAAAACTCTTCTGAATTTCTAAGAAGTTTTTTCTTAATAAAACCAGTTTATCCCTAAGGTTTATCCTACCTCGCAAGCTGCAAATTAGTTAATGTTCGTTATGTTGCTTCGAATACAGGGAGCTTCAAAAACATTCTCAGGTGGTTTAATTTTCCAAAATTTATAAAAAAAAGTTGTTTCTTATAAAAAGTAAATTTTATATTTAATCTGTTGTCATATAATTTTCAATAGAGTTAAGAATTTGTTTAGGACAAATTTGTTTGTTGAAAATTATTGTCTTTTTGTGCATTATTTTTAAACAGTTTGACTTCTTCTAATTAATATACTAATAAATTAATATACATATATTTCCTGTAAATGCAAACGTCATAAAGAACTTATTCCATCGTACTTATTTCAAAGTTTTTAAAGGAATGTTGACAGATCTGAAATTAATAATTTATTTAGGAGCCATCAAGCATATATGTCAACTCTTATAAGACTAGTTCCTTTTCAAATTTCAAACTAACTTGCATCTCTTTTATCTCTTTTATGAGTATGGGGGACACCTTAAAAGTCGCACTGTTGTATTATAGCCCTTTTCATGTAAGTTTTCTCAATATGGCGGAACACAGTCTATCTAAATTCGTATTTTTTATAAAAATTAGATGGTACTAGGAACGTCAGAGTCGGAAATTAAAATAAAATAAATTAAATAAAAACATAAAAATAGCTGAAATACGTTTAACTTAAAACGATTCTAAATATAATATTTCCCAATACCAAAAATAGTATTAAGACCACTTTCCAATTGGATAAAAGGGCATGATAACAGTATGGCTTTAAAAGGTGATATAATATAAAGAAAAAACATTTCATATTTTGCTTTTATTAATGACAACCAAACAGTTGTCATACAAAATCATTATCCATCAACAAAGTTTAATGATACGCTTACATCAAAGATTAAATAAAATACAAGATGCTTTGACGCTACATACATAATTAATTATCTATTATCTATACAGAGTGTTTCAAAAACCATGTGTCATCTCTCGTGGGAAAATTCCTCACGTAAAAATAAGATTTATTTTTCATATCAACATAGGTCTGATTCTGCTTTGTTTCGTAGCTACAGGGTGTTAAAGTTTTAATAATCTTTCGATTTATTATAATTTTCTTCCAAGTACTTTTAGTGATTCGAATGAAATTTTGAGGGTAAAAGTTACTGTAAGTGCTACATATTTTAATGTTATAAAAGTGTCGATATAAAATGCAATATGAACAAACTCAAAGCGTCATCAGGGACGTGCATATGGGTTATCACTGGCAAATTTTTCAAAAAAAAAAACATGTGCGACACTGACTTTTCTTCTGATATCAAAATTGTGTAGGCCGTTTAATGCCAATTAAAAATTGTCTCTTGATATTTTGTCGAATTCCGCCTCGTTGATGAGATAAACGCAATTTTATTAGTCACAATTAATAAAAATAAAATTAATAAATTAAATACTTTACCTAATTTATTATTAAATATTATTACCATTAGTTATTATTACTATTAGTGCAACCTACAGCAGTTTCAAATAATAAAAAAATTATAACATCCTGTAAATCTAAAACTATGCATTTTTTTTCCATGTTTATAGGAACTTTTTTTCATGTTTTTTGATGAGGAATCAATGAGTACTTATTTAAAACTTTCGCAAGTTAATGATAATTTTTTTAAAGGTTGCTATTAGACTTGGATCAAGGCAAATTAATAAAATTGCGTTTATCTCGTCAAGGAGGCCGAAATCGACAAAATATCAAGAGACAACTTTTAATCGGCATTAAACTGCTTTCACTATTTTGCTAACAGGAGAACAAAAGTCACTGGCGTACATGATTTTTTTAGAAAAGATTCCAGTATTAATATTTAGAAGAAAATTATAACAACTCTCAAACCAAACACCCTGTAACTACGAAACAAAGCAGAATCGGACCTATGTTGATATGAAAAATAAATCTTATTTTTAAGTGAGGAGTGTCCCCACGAGAGATGGCACATGTTTTTTGAAACACCCCGTATACAGGGTGCTGCAAATTCGAGGTACGAGCATTGGTGTCTCGGTAATCGTACACAGAAAAATATAAAATTGATTTTCAAAAAAATCCGTTTTTTCCAAAAAAAAACTCAGCAGTCCTTTAAACTTTTTTGATGGCATTTTAGTGAACATCCTAAAGCGCAACTTTGCCCCAATTTAACCATGTTCGTATCTGTTGCGATTAGCGAGATACCAATGCTCGTACCTCGAATTTGTAGCACCCTGTATACGATATTTGTATTAGATATTTTAGGGTAATTATAGGGTATTTTTCATTTATAGTTAAAATAATTAGGAATATTAAAAAACTGCATACTAATATATCTATGTATATAAATAAACTCAAAAAAGTCCTCAAATAAAGTATAAAATAAACTATAAGTTATAATAGATTTGTATCATTAATTGTGTTAAATGTGATAATTGACACAGTTATAATGTGGTATATTCTTCCTTTTTTATTTGATTTGCAACTACCATCATGGGCGCCGGAAGAATGAAATTTGGGGGGGGGGGGCAAGGTAAAAATGAATAAAAAATTGAAACACATTTTTGGTAATTATTGGGAAAACTGGAAATCGTCCGATTTTCACCAAAATTGGTATACACCCTATTTTGAAGTCGTAGATTACGAATCTGAACTTTTTTTCTTGGCGGTCTCTTACCGTTTTTCAGAAAAACGGAAAATAATTTCAATATCGAATTTTTCTTAATTTTTGTCATATTTTTAAGGTTTTCTAGCACATATTTTGTTAGGTATTCAATAATCAATGATCTTTTTGCTATTTTCTGTTACTTTTTTAACCAATTCTACGCATAATAGAGGAAAATTTGCTAAAATAAATTTGTAAACAATCTGAAAATGTTAGGTTATAGCTTTGTTCGGGTTCTTGTTATTACTGATTCTGAACCGTCCTAGAACTCTGCAGCGCATGCGCAAATGAAATAATGTCTTCATATTTCCTACTGCGCATACGCATCACAGTTGTAGGACGGTTCAGAATCGGTAATAAGAGAAACCCGAAGTAAGCTTATGTGTTTCTGGCATTTAAAGCAACGTTGCCAATGCTAAACCTATTCTGGAATTACGAAAGGCGGTCGCCAGAAGAACGGCTCCTTCCCATAACTGCTATTTTACCAACGAGATCTGACTATTTATAACCACGAAGTTGCACGAAAGAGTTTTGATTGCATTGGTTACAACTTCCATGCGGAGGGTGTTAATCTTTTGTTGTTATATTATATCAAAAAAGACTAACCCCCCCCGCCGCAAAGAAGTTAAAACCAATGCAATCAAAACTCTTCCGCGTAACTTTGTAGATATAGGTGTATATTTAATTATTGTCGATCTCATAATAGGTAATTTATTTAAAATCCCTAATCACCCGAAAAAATAGAAGATATGGCAACGTTGTAAATTTTCAAATTTCTAGATTAGGTCTAGAATATATTTGTCTCTCTCATTGCATAGGAGAGAGAAAGAAGGTGCAAATGTCAAACTTTCATCTGGTCTCAATTTTCTTTGTTATTTTGTTAAGAAAAGTGTTTTTCAGTAAAATGTTGGACATTTTTGTATCCCCAATCAAGTGTGGCTTTTAGATAAACTATAATATAATGAAAATATAGTGAAATTATTACTTTATAGGGCCGAAATAAAGAAAAATTCAATGTTGAAATAATTTTCCGTTTTTCTGAAAAACGGTAAGAGACCGCCAAGAAAAAAGTAGATTCGTACGACCTCAAAATAGTGTGTATACCAATTTTGGTGAAAATCGGACGATTTCCAGTTTTCCCAATAATTACCACATTTATAATTATTTTACAGGTAACACCTAAAAATTTCATAATAATGATTATTTTCTTACAGATGGATATAAGAAGATAGCTTTTATTTTTATTGTTTCAGTGATCCAGGGGGGGCAAATGCCCCCTCTTGCCCCCCCTGTCCGGCGCCCATGACTACCATATTTCTGTGTATGGGATATAAAGTGTTTCTAACAATATTTATATTAAATTTATTTTTAGAGCTTTAAAAAAAGGTATCTAGAAAAATAAAACGATGTACTTAAACAGCCGTTAAACGGTAGCCTACTAAAATGCCGTTAATAGATATTGTGACGTCGTTCATGTCGGCGGAAAGTAATGCCTAGCCTTAAGCATTTTGCAAGAGCACCTGTGGGTCAGTGGCTGAGGCTATCGCTTCGTAGGCGAATGGTCCGTGGTTCAATTCTCACGCCGACCAAGACTTTTTTATATTTTTTTGCTTATAGCGTGATCTTATTGCATTGGTTTCACTCTTTTTGGTTGGATTGGTTTAGTTATTTGGCGGGTTGGTTAGCGTGGTTATTTGGACGGTGTTAATTCATTGGTTAGTTGGTTATTTGGTGGGGTTGGTTGATTTTTACTAATTTATATTTGTTTTTTATATTTTTTATCAGTGTCGAGGTTAGTTGCGTTGGTTATTTGGTGGGGTGGATAGCTTTGGTTAGTCCTTATAAAATTCCTATATTTCATAAAGCCGTCGAGTGCGTCACATCAACGACGTCATACCTATTAACGGAATTTTAGTAAGCTACCGTTGAACGGCAGTTTAAGTACAGCCAAAATAAAATGCCCCTATACATTCTAAATTCAAAAATAAAAAAGAACATCTTGTTATTTATGTATCCTAATTAGGATTATTGTTTAATATCCTGCATATCTGATAAATAAGGTATTTAGAGATAGCAATTTTTTAAAATACAATTATTTTATTTGCTCATTTGAAAGTGTACAGGGTGGCTCGAATTCGACGCTCATCATTGGGATTTCGGAAACCGTAAGAGATACAGGATCGGTTAAATGGAGGCAAAGTTGCGCAATTTGATGCTCAATAGAATGCCGTATTGCATTTTTATTTATTTTTTATTTTTTTTAAACGTCGGCAAATATCAAAGTGACTATATATAGTGTTTTAAGAGTGATGAAAGGATTTAATTAAATTTAAAAAAAAATCAGGTCCGTATTTAAAAAAAAATTATGTTGATGATGGTCCCCAGAAGCTGAAACGTCAGAGTCAATATTTAATCACACAGAGTTATAGAGCAGAGAAAGTGGCCATGAAAATGTGTTTTTCATTTTCAGTTATCTTAACAAATAAAGCCAGGAAACGATAGAAAACAAAATTGAAAATTCCGGTTTTTTTCGAATATACTCGGAAGTATTCGGAATTTTTCAAAATGCAATACGGCATTTTATTGAGCATCAAATTGTACAACTTTGCCTCCATTTAACCGATCCTGTATCTCTTACGGTTTCCGAAATCCCAATGATAAGCGTCGAATTCGAGCCACCCTGTACTGTCGCATCTTGTATTAAGTATTTACTCTTTGATTATATGTAAGCAATTGGTGCTTTAATACACCTAAAGATGTATAAAAATTTATTTATTTCTTCTGTATAATTTTTTAGGTCAATTGCTTTTTTGAATTAAAACAAAACGATTTATAATTGATAAACAAAATTTTTTTGTTTATTTTAAAATGCAATTAGCTGTATTCTTTTTGTACCATACAACAATCTTAATGTATCTTAATACTTTTATGTATTACTCTAAGAAATACTAAGATTAATTAAGACCTCTAAAAGTTAATAAATAGCTCAGAAAGGACCAATTGGAGGAATTTTAGCTTACTTCAAACTCAATTACGTAATTTACAAGTTATTAACATTAAGTAACAGTAAAAAGAATACAGCTAGAGCACTAAAAATAATATTAAACATATACATGTTATAAAATGTAAACTTTTGAATGGATTAATAAATTTATTTGGCGTGAGCAGCATTGTATGTTACTTTATTTTCTATGTTTAAGTGGTTATAAATTTATTTACATACTAATTTATTGTTTAATTTAGACTAGTTATTATTGTGATATAACATTTTTAGATATTCTATATGAAGGCGGCGACCGATGGGCGGTTTACCATTGTTCTCTCTTATTAAATGCATTTTAAATATATTTGTTATTTAGTTCCTTTAATAAGTAAATTGATTAAACTTAAGTAGACATAAAATACGATCTTTTATTTCATGTATTCCATTTAATCCAGGTTTTCTTGAGCTCTACAACATAAAAAAGAATATATTACAGTAATTTATAGAGATTATTGATAATTTTATAGGCTTGGTGCATTTTAGTTAATTAACAAATTCCGACCGCAGCGCTGTATACGGCAGGAATCAGAAATATTGATCGCATTATCGTGGCTTTGTCATAATATATAAGTATTTTAGTTTTTTGCTAGTGCATTTGTTAAAATTGTAAAACACTCAGGAAAGAGATTTGTGTGATGTAACGCTGTTTCGGGTAGTAAAAAATAAGTGAAAAAGAATTCGAACTAGGCGTCGCGTCGTGCTGTGTTGTGACAATTTCAAATGTTAATAAAATTGCCGAAAAGAAGTTTACGCATAAAGGAGAGCATAACTAGGGCGTTGTTTGGTGCAATAACATTCAATAACTCAACTTTCCTGGATATTCAACTCTCCCGAAACAACATTTTATAGCTTCATAGTTTCTCACACCGATTTGATCAAAAGCAAAAATGGATTCAAGCAGTTCGACGAAACAAGTGGTAAACAAAGTGCTCGTTACATAATCAAAAAATTAAATAGACAAATACTAAATACTATGAGAGATAAAATATAATTTGCAATATTAATGGATACTTTTTTTAATCAACCAGTGATTAAATGTTTTATGAACATCTTCTAAAATTATAATTAAGTATTTTTAAAAAATTTTGTTATAGGCGAAATAGCCCCAATTATGACCCCACTAACAAAACCGGTGCGTAAAACTGCTTGCTACCATAGTTGAACTAATCTAAATTCTTTTTTGCTGGAATAATAAAAGTTAGACCTTCTGAAGATATCAAAATATTTACTTTTTTATTTTTACTTTTAGAATTTTCATAAATTATTCTTCCTAACACTTTTATAATAATTATATAATAATTTTTTTGTATAATCCCTATTTAAAGCCATGTATTTGTATATATCAGTTGTTTACAATACTATCGTGTACAAAAAGCATATTTAGCTTATGAAGTGGTATTATAATGATATTAATGTGAAACTATAGCTAAATAATATTATGCGATGGTGGCAGCGCCAGCGGAGAATGCCCCAAGCCTATAGAGATTATTTTAGAAATTTAATACAATCTTACTTATTATAAATTGACTGCAACACGTGAAAACTCTTTGAATATCTCTCCTCATTTTTGACAGCACTCTCTATCCATTTCTTTTTAATTTTGACCCATCTTTGCAAATGATTTCTGATCAGAGTATTTTTATCCGCAGGTGAAACTTCTTCCTTTAGATAAATTGATGACTTAATATGATTATAATTCATATTATGTTACATTTTAGTGAAATGTACTTACATAATTAAGATTGATATTATCTTTGCTTCGCTCTTTTTGTTCTGGTATTGGAGATGGAATTCTGATTATAGAAGATTTTGTTGGTGGCGGTAATTTTCTAACATCTATGGTCGAACCGTTCCATGTATTATCTGGTTCTGGTGATGATAATCTACGCCTAAAAATAAAATGAATATAAAAAAAATGATGTAGAATTTTACAGTGAATGTAAATTTAATATTACTACTTACTTTATTACTTTTTGTGGACTCTTAGGCTGATTTTCCATCCAAGCCCTACAAAGAGGATACAATGGGGTGTCTTCTTCAAAACGAGCTAAATCTACACTTCTATCGTAAAGTTTCATTACATATGTGTGATGATATGGTGCTGGCAATGCTTCGTTTCCTTTCTTCTTTCTTTCGCTTTAATTAACAAAGACATTAGTATAAAATTACTTTAGTGAGTACAATTACCCCTCAAAATATCAAAGTAGTGAACAGAGTTTGAATAAAATCTATAACAGATTAATTTATATAAATTTACCTTCTCTTTCTATGTGTATCATCTGAAGAATCGCTTTCATCATCGGAAGATTTTTCAGTAAGTTGTTTCAAAACGCCTTTTAATCTGCCTTTGGCCATCATATAATCGTTGACCGTTTCTTCCTCTTTTATTTCCACTTTAATGGGAGATGAATTTGATAATCTCCGTCTCTTAGTCATTTTGAAAATATTATTTCGACTACAAATGAAACTTTTCTCTAAATATTATACGAAAATGCAGAATCTACAAGCTACAAGACGTGTACAAGACCAAACCACAACAAAAATATTTAAATTTTAAAATTAGCATTTGACATCTGATATAGTGACAAGGATGACAAGAGTGACAAAATGCATTTGAACTACTAATCAGTGTAGCCAATAATCTTTTTACTTCATTTGTCAAAATATTTTCTAACCTAATTTAGCAGCATTCAAATTCAAAAATTTTAAATTGATATAAATAATTCTTGTTTAATTATTTATATTTCACGATAATGGATAATTCTACGGAAGATGTGAAAGAAAATAGCGATTCTAAAGATATCGAGGTAGATGATCCATATGCATATTTAAAAAGGGGCGACTTTTCTTCAGAGAATTTTAAGATAGAAATAAAAAACTTGCCAAAATATTATGGAATAAGTGTGAGTATTATTTATTAGAAAAAGATGAATCTATATCCAGTATTTTAGGAGTTCAAAAAATTATTGAACGACAAGTTGAAGCTAAATTCCAATAAAATTAAAGTACCAAAACGCAACAGTCCATATGCGTTTGTTTGTTTTCGTAATGATGAAGATAGGAAGAATGCAATTGATATTATTTCTCAACATAAGTGGAAAGGAAAACAGCTACAAGCTACTGTAAGTTACTATTTTATTTTGCAAGTTAAACTTAAAAAGAAAGAACAATTTTTTTAAGTTTAATAATGAAATTAAATTACATCTGATTTTATATTTACTTATTAGTATGCAAAAGCATCTGCTGATCCTTTGGTTAAAAAAAGACATGAAGAATCTGATGAACATAGGAGCAGTAAGAAACAAAAAAACAATGATTTACCTCAAGAAGAACGGATAAAAATGTCAACCATACCATTAGAAAATGTAGAATATGAGCAACAGGTAGGTATGTTGTAATAGTATGAATATCTGTATACAAAATAATTATTTTGTAGCTAAAAATTAAGGAAGAAGAGATAAAGTCAGTCCTTAAAAAGCTAGGTAATGACCTGGCATATCACAATATTGAGTTAAAAAAGTGGATAGAAACTCAAAAAGAAAAGTATGATGGCCTTCCCTGTGAATTACTAAATATTAGATACTCAGAACAATATGATGGGTGGGTGTTTTAATTAGCTATTTCTGCAATATTCGTTAAAAAAAATATAAGTTTAACAGTATTTTGAGTATGAAGCCTTGAAACTTAGGTTTATCATTTAAATTTTTACATTTCATTTTATATTCTGAAAATTTATTTGCAGGTATCGAAATAAATGTGAATTTACAATAGGTATTGATCAAGAAACTAACTTGCCTACAGTAGGTTTTAGGATAGGTGCTTATGTTAATGGGGTGGTAGGTGTGGCTCCTATTGGTCATTTAAGGCACATACCAGATTCTATGAAAAAAGCTGTGGAAGTAAGTTTATTTAATTTACTTAAGTTTTCTTTCTAAAGGAATATACATTTCTCTAGATGTTTAAATAATACAGAGTAATTCATGGTTAAGCTTAATTATCAAGTCCCCAACAGTCAAACAATTTATTTCCATTTGTCAGAAAACAAATTATTTGAATTTCCTATATGATAAATGCTGTCTTCGTAAGAGTCTCAAAAGTGTATTTATAAAAATATATCTCTTATTTTCGCTCTTTAATATAGTTGATATTTTTAGTAATATATCGTATGATTGAAAAAAAACAGCGCCAAGTTGGCTTGGAAATGATGATCGATAACATACTGCTTTTTGAACAAAGTGTCACAATATGACATAACCAGATCTATTGTTTTACATAATTTGACGTTTAGAGCCATAAGCTACTGGTTAAAATCAAAAAATATACGCTTTAAAACTAAATCTTAAATAAACTTAAAAACAATTTATTTTAGGTATAAGGTATATTTTTTTTTAGGTATAAGGTTTAAAGCCATAAGCTACTGGTTAAAATCAAGAAAAATATACGCTTTAAAACTAAATCTTAAATAAACTTAAAAACAATTTATTTTAGGTATAGCGACATATAGTCAAAAAGTAACGAATTGAAAAGCCTTTTTACTAGTGGAATAAAAAAATGGATTTCTATTAAAAAAAAATGATTTATGATAATTTTTTAATCGCTCAATTCCATGACAGCTGCTGTCATTACTATATGACATTCGAACAATTTCATTTTTGAAATATATAGCCACATGTCTTCTCTTTATGCCACAGTGGCTGTGGTAATAACTAAATTTGACGTTTAGGCTATACACATATTTTTGACAGGCAGTTTCTTTTCGTCCAAAAATTTTAAATATTTTTTTTCTCAAAAACGGTTAATGTTTGGAGCGTTTAATATCATTCATTGAATTCTTAAAAAAAAATTTACAGAGATTCATAAAATTTTTTCATAAAATTTTATGAATCATAAAAAAATCATAAAATTTTACAGAGATTTTAATTATGTAATAAAAAATGGGGGCACCCATTTAAAATAAAAAAGTTGCTGTCACTTTCCGGTATTTCCGGAAGTGCCGCCATATTGAAAATATTTTAAATCGATAGATCTCGTTGTGAAACAATGGCGTACAAAAAATCTCCGATCTAGATATTGTAGTTCTGTAGAAACTTCTAATGCACGCTCAGCCTGGGACACCCTGTATATAAATCCACTTGCCAAGATGGGTTCCATTCGACCCATAATTAAGAAAAATCCTGATGATTTTCGTCCATTTAGAGGCATCGGTTCGAAACGTCGAGGGCGTCATCCTGTAGCCCGTCCTCAATTAGGCCGAAATTGATCCACATTTTTCTTCAATATCAAATTCTTAGCCCCACCCTGATGAAGATGTAAACGAAACTTGCGTTGTATCCAACTTTGCAGGATGGGACCGTGTGCACCGTCGCTCATAGCCTACCCACCAAATTTGGGGGTGATCGGACATCAAGTTTTGACGTTTCTTACATCAAAACTAACTGTCATAAGGTGGGTTCATACAGCCAAATAAAATAAAATAAGAATAAAATAAAATAAGAAATAAGGAATTCTTATTTGTGTGCGTTCATACAGGCAAATAAAATAAAATAAGAAATATATATTTGCTCATGCGCAGTACGATGAGGCCGGATAAAAGTTAACTTTTACGATTGTTTATAGTAATTTTACTATTTATAGTATATTTATTTATTCGTTGCCTACTATATTATACATTTTACTTATGTGAAATTAAAAATAAATTAAATCCAAACTGAAAATATTTGTAGGTTAGAATTAAGCGTGCGCAAAGCCGTTTTCACATAAAATAAAACAAGAAGTTAAAAGATAAAGACTTTTTATTTTATTTGTTATTTTATTTGGCTGTATGAACGCATGTACGGTATCCTATATAACCAACTTTCTTATTTTATTTTATTTTATTCTTATTTTATTTTATTTGGCTGTATGAACCCACCAATAGTGACACGTGTCGTACCCGGTCCAGTTGGCTTTGGTTCAATCTATCGATATACCAAATTTCATTTAAATCGGACGATTTTTTCTAAGCCGTAGGCTATCCTTTCCACTTTTTCACTCACCTGTTGTGTCGCGTGTCGTGTCATGGTCTTGAATTTGTACTCCCAGCGTGCCTAAAGAAGTTTCACTTCAAAAATTACATAGATGTGTCGATTTTCTATAAATATATCGTTGCCTTCCACACAAACTGTAGTACCTAAAATTTTGAAAATTTTACAGTAGATTGAAAAAAACGCCTTTTAATGTGATTTAACAATCTCCACAGTGTCGTAACTGTAACAGCAAAGACTCCTATACTGTTGGCAGACAAAACAAATGGCAGATCTAACAAAAGTTAATTTTTATATCACACTAAAAGACGTTTTTTTTTTGCTCTACTGTAAGATTTTCAAAATTTCAGTTACAACACTTCTTTACTTAATATATTGAAAAAATCAGGATAAATTAAGCTTCATTCAGAACCTCGCAATCAGTCGAATAAATTGGTGGTTTCAATTAATTTGAAATAATTGAGAAAACTTCAATGCCTGAAAAAGAAAATTTCAACATCCTTTTTTGAGTCATCCTATATAAAGCAAGTCATATAAGTTCTTTTGATTAGTTTTGAGGAAGAGGACATTATTACATAATGTACTCAAAATATTATGCAATTTTAACATTTTGAGAGTAGATTTAGATTAGAAAATTTACAAAAAAAATTGGCGCCGGGAGGCACATATAGCCGCCCATACTAAAATATGTTAATAAAAAGTTGGTAGGCAGTTCTTTTAGTTTCAAAGTAAAGGAATTTTTCCAATTTTTTTTATCTCAAAAACTGCGACTTTGACTGATTTTGATGTTATTACAAATTTTGTTGCAAATATTATTCCTAAACTTAAATTGAAAACCGCGTTTCGCTAGCTACTGTAATTTTGGAGTTACGATTTTTTAAACTTTTAACCCCTCCCATACCAACCCCCCACCCCCACCAAAACTAATGGCCAGATTCTCGGGTGCCACAGTATTTTTGTGCCAAATTTGGTTAAAATCGGTTTAGCGGTTTTTGAGTTATCGTGTTACTGACGGACAGACAGACAGACACCATGAAAATATTTTGTATTTAGGTCATTTATGACCCAAATGACTCATTTTGAGTGAAATTAACAAAACTTTTTTTTGCCGATCTTAATAGCCCACCATGCCTATTGGTATGATAGGCTAAAAATTATCTAAAAATATACAGAAAATTTAGTATAAAAGAGGTTATATTTTACTACTTTTAGAACGGGAACATCACTGATCAAAAAATTACAACATTGCATTTAAAAAACAACAACCATCTTTATATTCTATTGTACTACAAACAGAAACAAAATTGAAAATAAATTTTTTGTAGGTTTTTCAAACATTTGTACGTTCTTCTCAACTGAAAGTGTTTAATCCTGAATTCCACACAGGGCATTTCAGACAATTGTGTGTTAGATGTGCCCCAGACCAATTAATGGTAATAGTTGGTATCCATCCACAAGATTTAGAAAAAGAAAAAATTTCAGATTTTCAAAAAGAATTAATACAATTCTTTACAGAAGGTGCTGGAAAGGAAGCCAAAATTACTTCTTTGTACTACCAAGAAATTGTTAAAAAGTATGGTAAAAGAATATTTAGGATGTACTACTAAACAAAAATTTATTTATTTTTCAGAAACCCTGGTGAAAGTGCTAGTCCTGCCACACTATTGTGGGGCGATAAGTATATTTATGAAACTATCTTAGGGTTGAAATTTAGGATATCTCCAGAAGCATTTTTCCAGATTAATACAAAAGCTGCTGAAATTTTATATGAATCAGCTATTGAATTAGCTGAACCCTCTGAAAATTCTACAATGTTGGATGTGTGTTGTGGAACAGGCACTATAGGATTGTGTTTTGCAAAGGTAAGAAAATATTCATTACAAATAAATCTGTAATTTTGAACAGTGTTTGATGATAAAGTGATAAATAAATATTATTTATTTATTTTCTTTTTCTTACACACATCATAATGCAAGATAAACAATATAAGCTGTTAATATTTTTTTTTGTTTAGTAGTTATTTATACATATCTATCTGTTGTCTTTTAATTACCGTTGAATATTTTACTCTACAACCTTTAATTTTTGTTAAATTTGAGGTATATCACAGCCACCTAGATTTTATCAAATATTAAAGATCTACTGACACAAAATCATAAAAATGAACATATTTAGAAAAATCTTTGTGTAAGGGGTGGGCAACCTTAATAGCATACTGGATATTCTATTTAAAATATAAAGCAGTAAATTTCTTTTAAATGTGACCAATGTTCAATATTAATTTTGTCTCACTCTGTATAACTTAGGGTCAAATTTTAATTTGGTTTAACATGCAATGGTTATTTTAACTAATTTTAACATCAGGTTATAAGGATAAATTGCAATTTAGATATTTCTATTGAAATTTAAAGTTTATTCATTTTCACAAAATGTGAAATATGTCAAAATCCTTATACAGGGTCCGGCAATAGTGCTTCGGGCATCTGTAGCTCCTAGAATAAGAAACTTGAGAATTTTGTTGAAGTGCAAACCTAAAGTATGTACCAGGATGTATTTCAGGAAAATATTTTATCTTCTATAGGGTGGCTCAAAAAAGTGTGGGTGGACCTGGATGATTTTTTTTAAATGGAACACTCTGTATATTATTGCATTTTTGGCTTCCTTTTACATCACTTTACATAACTCTAAAATTTGAATAAATATATTTCGATAGTTTCAGAGATATTAAAAAATAAATCAAAAATATATATTTTTCAGCCTTTCTTAAAAAAATTATTAAAAATACAAGAACTGTTCTGAAATCAAAACTATATTAGGTATTTACTTTAGATGGTCTGTACTTACTTTGCTATAAATATAAAAATCGTAAATCATACAGGATGTTCAAAATTCCATGCCAAACTTTCTAAAATATAAAATAATTTTTCTTCGTTTTTTGAAATGAACATTTTTTGTATTTAGAGTATTTCAACATTTTTAACGGTTTCGCGGATATTTGCGGTTTTATATTTCATATGGCATTTTCCACAGTAAATTTTTATCAAAGCCACCCAATGATTTTTCTCTCGTATTTTACCATTGAAAGCGCCATATGAAATAATACTGCGTGTATCTACAAAACCGTTAAAAATTTTGAAATTCTCTAAATAGAAAAAATGTTTATTTTTTAACTCTCCATCTAATAAAAAAATAATATACAGGGTGTTCCATTTATAAAAACAAAGAAAAAATAGTTTATATTTTAGAAAGTTTGGCGTAGAATATTGAACATCCTGTATGATTTACGATTACCATATTTATAGCAAAGTAAGAACAGACCATCTAAAGTAAATACCTAATATAGTTTTCATTTTAGAACAGTTCCTGTATTTTTAATAATTTTTTAAAGAAGGGCTGAAAAATATATATTTTTGATTTATTTTTTAATATCTCTGAAACTATCGAAATATATTTATTCATATCTTAGGGTTATGTAAAGTGATCTCAAAGGAAGCCAAAAATGCAATAATATACAGGGTGTTCCATTTAAAAAAATCATCCAGGACCACTCACACTTTTTTGAGCCACCCTATAGAAGTTAAAATATTTTCCTGAAATACATCCTGATACATACTTTAGGTTTGCACTTAAACAAAATTCTCAAGATTTTAATTCTAGGAGCTACAGATGCCCGACGCACTATTGCCGGACCCTGTATAAACATTAGGTATTATATTATGCTTCTTTAATAAATATCAACTTTATTTTTCTTCTAGAATCCAAAAATCAATTAATATATAGGGTGTTCCATTACAAAAAACAGAACTTTGATGTGTGACATTTTTTGGGGACACCTGTTGTACTTCTCATATTTTTTTCTACATTTTTTCTATATTTTTAAAAAATGCCCTAATTAACCTACATATGCTTAAAAAAAATTATTTATCAGAAACTGTCGTTCTCCTTGGAGCGTCTGCGTCGTATGGGAGGCGCTACCCTGTACATTTTTTGACAGAAACTGTCATAAATGATATATAAAATAAAACAAACCCCCCAAACCAACTTTGAAACGACTTATACTCCCTATAAAACTAAATGTAATCTGTCTTATAGTAAACGCCACGAATGTTTGAGAGTGATTCATCGCTTGGTGAAGTTAGAATCGACACGCGCCCTATTATTTTTACATTAAAAACGTAAATTTTTACCGCAGACGTAGGTTTTTAAAGGCCTGGTCTAATCATCTGCCTGCGCTCCTCCTACTTATTCTGAAATGTTAGCGTGACTGACAAGGACGATACTATATCGCGTTTCTTTGATTGATTCGTTTTTGTGCGTCAGTCCATTGGTGTGCTTGCAGTGCGACCAATGAGGCATTCCATTTTATATTTATAACCAAATATATGTTTTGACAAGACTTTGACAGTTAAAACAACAAATTACAACAGATTATATATTGATTATTATATGACTTTAAACACCACGGCACTGGAATTAAGTTTTATGTGACCTTGAACAGATTAGTTCACATGGTAGCGACCGATGAATCGCTCCCAAACATTCATGGCGTTTACTATAGTTATAAAACTCAGTTGATTGCTTTATTATAAAATATTTAAAAACGCATAGCATATACATATAAAAAATATGTATTTTTTTCTTTAATATCTACAGAAATGTGGCCAAATCTTGGGTTTGGAAATTGTACCTGAAGCGATAGTTGACGCCAAGGAGAACGCTATAACTAACGAAATCACTAACAGCGACTTCTTTGCTGGAAAAGCAGAAGAAATCTTGGGAACCGTATGTTATAAAGCCACCAATGAAGACGTTTTTGCAGTGGTTGATCCACCAAGAGCGGGTCTACGTAAGTATTTATTTAAAAATAAATCTGAAATAAGATAAGATTTCGACAGATAAGATTCTAAAATTGACAGGAAAAACAATTTACTTTTCACTGTCAGATATTCTCACGTTGACTCCATGGTACAAAGAATACAAGGTATGATATTGCGCAGGTTGGTTGTTACGTCACAGGTGATAACAGGCGCTATTGGTCAGCACGCCTTGCGCGCCAGTTCAAATCGTCAAGATATTGTTATAAACCTGTTTTTTTGTTTATATACCGTCATTGAATTATCGCTAAGCAAGTTACTGTGGAGCAGTGCATAAGGAGTCGGGCTAGGAAGCGAGAGACCGGAGTTCGAATCTCGGCCGGGACATAATTTTTTATTTATTTTTTTAAATACTGTTGTATTCTATAGTTTATTTTTGTAGTATAAAAAAAGAACTATTTATTCTGTGATTTTTTAATCTCCGGTATTAATATAAATTGATTGTTGGTACAATACCTCATTTAATATAAAATAATATTCTACTTTTGAAATGTATCGGGCCCTAATTGTACCTAAAAGTAAAATATATTTTTAGTGATATACCATATTGTAAACTATTTAATATTTCAGTCACTTAAAAAGTTAATTTGCATTGAATAATTGCCTACCATTAAAGGAAATTTGAGCTATATAATCCTTGATGGGCATCTTCCTCTAAATTTTGGGTTTCGTTCAACCGATTTATTCTCAAAACCTGAAACATCTACATATAAAAAGAAGCACAGGTTACTAATTATAATAAACTTCACCCTTGGAATTACTTCCACTAATTATAATAAACTTCACCCTTGGAATTACTTCTATCACAATTACAATACATTCATCTGCATTGGCATTTTCTACTGTTCGATGGAAAACAATAAACTTTCCAACATTTTTTAAATGATGTAACAATTCCTCTTGTGGTTACTTTTCCATAGATATTCTCATCTCTGTCCTCATGTGAATTCAGAGGCAATGAACATGAAAATTATTTACCATAAACATCGCAAACTAAAAACCTAATAAACAATTTTATACCGAATATAGAAATAAATTTAGTATTCTTACCTATTATTGTCCAAATCCATGTTAATAGATAATTATTATTTTTAAATATATTTTTGGAACTGATGGTTTTAGTAATTATTAAATTAAACGAACTAAAAAGTCTTAAAAATAAACAATTCTTAACCATAACCCCAAAAAATACAGATCTCCTGTCAACTTTCTTTATTTTTTATTTATTCATTGTTTTCCTAGTGACGTCACAGGTGGTATGCGCGAACTGAACGAAATTGGAGCCGCTATCGATCATACCTTGTATTCTTTGTACCATGCGTTGACTCTTTGAAATAGGGATGTCTCAAAAATAAAAAAAATCGATATTTTGAATCGATTCAAGATCGGACATAACAAGATCGATCCAGAAAAAAATCGGTAACAAAAGATCGATCTTATTAAATATCGATATTCGATTCTGAATGTATCGGTGTACTGGTATAATAAAAATATGATATAATCATAAAAAAAATAGATACATAAAAATCGTAAAACCGTTTATTAACACATTTTTAAAATTGAAACTGAATAAGAGTCATCCCAAACTAAATCAGAAACACCCCCAAACCGAGACATACTTAATTAAAAATACTATGACAATGTTAAAATAGAATTATTCGGCTTTTTGCATGCTTATGAAGATTTTGACACAGAATATGTACCGGTAAATTCTGTAATTTTGATATATCAGTCGGTTGGAAAGAAGCTAAAATCAAAAAAATAATCTGTTATCTAAAATATAAAAATATGGGAATCACCGACAAAAATCTGCCACCTAATATCAAAGTGATAAAAAGACATCGGCGCATGTGGTAGTGAGCACCATTAATATTGCAATTCATTGCTAGATGGCGTTTTATTAGAGATGTACTGTAAACAAATATTCAAGCAAAACTAAAGTGTTTTTTTTTATTCTAACAAATAAATAAACCTGTAAAAATGTATAAATAAAATCGATCTTCGATTTTGAAAAAAGATCAATTCTACCAAAAGATCGTTTGATAAAAATCGATCGATTTTAATCGATATTTTGGGCAAAAAGATCGATCTTCGATTAAAATCGATTCTAATCGTGCATCCCTACTTTGAAATAAGATTAATGAAGGAGCATATCAAAAATCTTAGATCGAACGCGACGGGGTCCTAAAATGGCCGACTTAAATTCCGGTTTATCAGTGCCGTTCTAATTTTATTCAAAACGTGTAAAAATATGATAGAAGGGTAGACTTAATACTTTGTTGTTTTATTACGTTTTTAATAACTGTTGGTAGTTATTAAAATTGTTATAAATTCTAATAAAAATAGATAAGTTAACTGTTTCAAGTCCCAAACTGTTCCACTAGCACTAGCGAAACTGATATACGACCTCGATTATCAACTCAAACCAGTTTTTTTTATTTAACTGTTTCAAACAGTTCCAAGTTCCTAACTGTTCCAAGCCCTAAACAGTTTCAAGTCCCAACCTGAACAGTGGGACTTGGAACAGTTTGAGACTTGGAACAGTTTGGGACTTAGAACCAGTGATGCCACTTCTACCGATTTTTCGGTAGATCTACCGATTTGGCAGTCCATCTACCGATCTACCGAAAAGACTATATTTTCTACCGATTTTCATTCTTCGGAATATTTTAGTGTACAATTTGTACAAAATTTCTAAAGGTGCGTATTCATTATCCGAACGAACGAACGAACGAATGAAAGTGCGGTATATTTAGACGGGGACCGAACGCATGCGGCCGTTCGTTCGTTCGTTCGCTCGACCATCCGTTTCGAGTCGGTACATCACAGGCGTTCGCCAACAAATGCCTCCGGTCTTCTCGTGCGGTTCTATCGTACGGTCCCCGTCCATACCACTAGCGAACATTCGTTCGTTCGTTCGGATAATGAATACGCACCTTAATGAGTTATATTTTCTTGACTCACAAATACGACCAATGACATATAAACAACCGTAGGGAAATTACCTTACACCTTATCAGAGAAATTTTCATTGTTTTGTTGAGGGTAACCTCTTTACTTTTTACACTTATTTTTGTATAGATGTTCCTAATCCTAATTATTCCATTACCGGAGGAAATCCCGATCTTTGAAACCTATAAAGAAGACTAAGTAGAGGTTGTGCTTTTTTAAGGATAAAAGGATGAAAAGGTCTCAAATTTCCAAAAAATAGTTGTATTAGTAGTAAACTATCTATGTATCTAGTGAATTCCACTGTTGCTAAACGATTATTAACTTTGAATTATTAAGTACCTAGGTTAAAATTAAAATTCCTAAAAGTATCCAAAAATATGTTGGAATAATTTTAGGCAATATACCTATATTTGGAGGGGCTTTGCAAGACGGTCTATATGAAAAAATTCTGATTTTTCGGAACTAAAACGATATTGTGTTGTTTGTATTTTTCAAGTATCTTTTTTATACCCCAAAAATGACTTACTTTTAGCACATCTTAATAGAAATACGTGTTAAATATCCCATCTACCGATTTCTACCGAATTTTGAGCAAGTTATCTACCGAAAATAAAATTTTGGTAGTGGCAACACTGCTTAGAACAGTTTAGGGCTTGGAACAGTTAGGAACTTGGAACTGTTTGAAACAGTTAAGTAAAAAGAACTGGTTTGAGTTGATAATCGAGGTCGTATATCAGTTTCGCTAGTCTAGCCAAAGTTTAGCGGACGCAACCGTTCAGGTGTTATCTGTTATTGGGATACAGGGGCATAAAAATCAATTATTATATATTATTATTATTTAAAATATTTAATTAAAGTTCAGATAAATTTTTATTATAAATTTTAAATTTATATATTTTTTTTTAAATATGTTATATTTTTTAATGTAAACAGAAACAAAATAGGTAAGGAACATTTTTTATTATAAAAAAATGCTGGCGATGTTGCCAAATGCAATATAATTATCGCATTATAGTTTTTTTTTTTGAAAAATACAGTGTAAGAACAGTCGGTTATTGTTTTGTATTATAAATATAGTAGATATTAAAAAAATTAAACCCTTCCAAGAATTTACTTTTTAAGTATATAACAAAATTATAAATCTATATTTATTCATTAGTGCTTATACACATATTTTTAGGGGTGGTATATTTCGAATATTTCGATTCTCATGAGTTTTTTCGGGAAAGTTTTTGAAAAGTTTATATTTTTCGAAAATTTGATAGTTTTTTTTAAATTTTTAGTTAAAAAAACATTATATCTTGGTAATATAGCAACATAGATAGTAGATTAAATTTAGAGAAAACAGAAAAATCTCCAGTAGTTCTCATTATTTAAGCAAAAATATTCTTTTATATAAATTTAAAAAGAAAAATAGCAACCGAATCAGAATGATGCAAGAACGGGTTTAATTTTCGTTTTGGAACAGTTTGGAACTGAAACAGGTTTCTTGGAACAGCTTGTACCTGTTATTAAAAAATCGCTGTTCCAGCCATGGCTAGTTACTAGCAACAATGTACACTTATTTACGACGTCTACAATTCATTCTATACCATTTTAACGTGAAAGAAAGAGTGCGACAGTATATGATAGAACGGTTAACGACGTTTGTACAGACTTCATTTCTATTTTCATTGCAGATCAAAAAGCCATTCTACAACTTAGAAAAATAAACAAAATCAACCGCCTAATATACATTTCTTGCAACCCTAACTTGGCGTCAAAGAATTTTCTCGATTTGGGCCGACCAATGTCGAAAACGCTACAGGGCGAATGTTTTGTACCTGTCAAAGCAGTAGCTGTCGATTTATTTCCGCACACTAAACACTGCGAGCTCGTTATTTGTTTCAAACGATGGGACCTCATAAATACAGGAGAAACTAAATAAAACTATTTTGCTTCTGGTAAGTCAGATTATAAATATTATATTTATTTCAGATATTAAACAAGCAAGTTTTAAACATTATTTTATATAATCGTATTTTTAATATTATACATACACATTTATAGATTTAAAAGTGAATAAATAAGTTATCTTTTATCTATGTACATTTTAAATTTACTTTTTATGGGCACAATTCATTAAGTTTTAATTAAAAAAGATTATATGTATGCATTTATATTAAATGCTCTTCTTTTTAATGATGAATTGTTTAATAAAATGTATACATAGAAAATGGATTAATTTAATTTAAAAAGCACATACTTTAAGTACAATAAATTCCTAATTTAATTAGGATCGAAAAAGAAATGAATATAGAAAGAGTGCAATACTCTGTGTTAGAGATCTGCACGGGCCGGGTAGCCCGAACGGGCCTCAAGCCCGGCCCGGCCCGAACCCGGGCCTCGGGCCGGGTCGGTCTCGAACTGTCAATAGGGGTCGGACCCCGGGCCGGGCCGGTTCCGCACTTTAAAAAAACACAACTTTGCTTCTGTACATGTTCTTGAGACACCTTGTATTATAACAGGTATTTTTAGGCTATGTTTATGTTTACGTTTTTTTTATTTTGCGTATACATACGTATATTTGTAATATTATTTTGATCATTTTATTTTAATGGTTCGGGCCGAGCCGGGCCGGGCCGGACTAGTTTAAAGTTTTAACTTTCCACAAACCGGGCCGGGCATACAAAACCTACTTCTCTTCTCGGGCCGGGCCGGGTCGGGCTACAAAAAATCGGCCCGTGCAGGTCTCTACTCTGTGTGTCAACTGATGACTCTGTATAAAATGATATCATGTAATAGAAGATTACTTTGATATAATATTGCAAAAAAATGTGATAATTAATTATAATATTGTAGTTGACTTATTTGACAGATAAACAGCTAGGTCGTTGAGATTAGCATTGCAAAATTATTCTTGTTAGATCATCTACAGAGCATTGAACAAATCCTACAGAACTAAATATTAGTTAAGTAATGCAAATTTATTATAGCTTTTTTTTCAGCAAAATAAAAACACTAAATCACCACAATACACCAAAACACTTTTACTTTTACACTGGACGCGCGTTTCGCTAACCATGTTAGCATCATCAGCAGATGATAATAAACTAACCTACAGTAGTTTAACCAGTTTGTAGTTTATTATCATCTGCTGATGATGCTAACATGGTTAGCGAAACGCGCGTCCAGTGTAAAAGTAAAAGTGTTTTGGTGTATTGTGGTGATTTAGTGTTTTTATTTTGCTGTTTAACACCAAAGGTTCCAACCCTCAACTGTAAGCTTTTTTTTCAGCAAAAAAAATTACAATTTCTATTGTAAATTAATTATTTCGATGTATGTTCAGTGTAACGAAAAATAGTATATACAAATTATACTGAAGATCAATAATTGTTTTATGTTTAATCAGTAACATAAATACATCAATCACACTATATAACTTAAAGGTAAAGTTTTTGGTTTTTATAATAAAGGCGCACATTGAAAAATAAAGCGTAGATTTAATTAATTTAGAGTTATACTCTCTGGATTTCGAATAGCTTAACATCTGTGTCATACCATATGGGAGGATCCATATTCCTAAATAAAGCAAAACATACAAATATAAAACTTAGTTTTAAGCGCTATCTATTGATCATATTCTTACCTAAGATATATCACTCCCCACATGTAAGTTCTGAACCATGTTGTCGTACCTGAATTGGCTTGGTACTTTCTTATCAAAATGGGATGTGGAACAGGCAGTAAACCAACTAACGTTCCATGCTGGAGAAATTTGAGGATTTCACTCTCATCAGTCAAACCTCTGTAATTTTATTAATATTAATATAATAACAAAGCCTAAAACTTTTCAAGTAAAAATACAATTTAATTTTATTTTAATCAAATTTAAAGTTTAGAATATTGAAGAATAGTGCTTTCCAATTATAAATTAGGTAATATTCAAGCTTTTTCTGTCTAGATATTAAAAATATATAATCATAAACAACCTATATAGATAGTATGTATGTTACAGTGAAAGTCGGAAATTCAGTGATTGTTAACATTCACTAGGAAATGCTAGCAATTACGCATTGGACCAGTGAATGTGGTATTTTAAAGAGATTTGCCGACTTTTCCCAAGGATACTATAGAGATAAGGATAGTTCGATTCCTACATTTGATATATTTTTTTGATATGTTTATATTTGATATGTATATGGATTCCTATCTTCCTGCACTGTCAGTTTTTTTACGTCATCTGGGGACCGAGTTGAAGTTGGCGCTAAAGATTTTAGACAGTGACAGTTATTTTTGCATTTGACGGACGAGCGCACAGTGCGTTGGAAGATAAATTTAGCGGGACAAAAGCGTTTGGTTAGAAATACGCCAAAAAATGTGTACTGTAAGAATAAATAGTAGACATTCCAATTGATATAAAAATGCATGAATATATTCTTTGTATTTTGATACATTTTTATCAACCAAATTTGGTCGTTTTCTGCTCAGCAAGGCAGAGATCATACGAAAACAAAATATTTACAAGTGCTTATACATTTTATTCCAAAGCCAAATTATGTTGAAGATTGCCAAAGGTATGTACTTTTCTACTGTACGTATATTATTTGTTAAAATCCTTCGTGCCTTTGTTCTGCAGATATTAAACTTTCACTTTTTTTCAAATATCGATATATTGAATGATGTAGATCTTTTGAGTTACCAATAGTTACCAACACAGGTAGTCACAGTCACAGGGAGTTCAAGCTTAACAGGTGAATGCCCAAAAAGTTTCATTTCAATCAGATAGTATAAAAACAAAACAACTTCATCAAAAGGCACTGAGTTTAAAAAATTGTCTTAGATACTTACTATATATGAATTTACAATTACCGAGTGTTAAAATTAAAATTAAAATATCTATCTTAATTATTATTTTTAAAATAAAATATAATTTTTTAAAATAAAATATAGAGGGTGACACAAGATTACAAAGTAATTAAAAAATAACTGCTAAAGAGTTTTTTGTAAGTATTTCACCTGATATCATAATTTTATGTATTTCGCAATAGTTTACAATACGGTTTTTGTGTGTCATGTATTAAAGTGTACAAAACAATTAAAAAAAAATATTCATAAACGTAAGAATACTTATTGGTTTTATAATAAAGTTCTTCATCGTGGACAAAATAAAATATGCCCGAATTTTCTTATTAATTTATCGATTAAATTATGAGTTATTCGTTTTTTCAAACCCGCTACTTCAAGCATATCAAAACGTTTAATAAATTCATAGTCACTAGGTTCCTTAATATCTTATATTGCAAAAATGAAAAACAAGCACTATTACATTCTTGTGAGTGCCTAGTTTACCTTAATTTTTCACAGAAAATTTCGTCCATAGGGAAAATACCGCACAGCACTTTTTACAACGATAATAAAACAATTATACATAACCACAAAAAAACAAAGCGCGTTTACGCCAGATGTCTGTCAACGTTGCCAACGTTTAGACCAATTTAATGTTATCCTTATATTGCCTATTATTCAACATATCCTTATTTACCCTTATATTTTATAGCATGTGGCAACTAACGCGCTAACTGAATCTTTCAAATTCACTACTATCATCCAGGGAATGCTAGCATTCACTAGTAAAAGCTGGTTTCAAAAATAGCTGTTGAACTTTTACTGACGTAGTCTTAACAAATCAGTGTGAGCTTTTACTAGTAATTGTTAACAATCACTGATTTCTAACTTTTACTGTAACATATACATATACAATAAACTTACTTGTCAATGCAAATTTTTTCGACCTGCGGCACTAAAACTTGGAGAAGTCTCATTATCGTCTGAAGAGGTAATTTACTTTTCCAAGTGTGTACCCATTCCCCTGTAGGTACCCATTGCGCTGAAGAAGTCTCCATGCTTGTACTAACTCTCAAACTATTTCTCTATAAATAGAGCGAAAAGAATATATGAATATTCAAACAATTAAAATATTCACAGAAATAAAGAAAATTGTGTGTGCACTATGTGTGCATATTCGAAGTGAAACTTCTTACTAACAGCTATTAAATTGTTTGAAATGTTGAAAAAGTAATAAATTAAAAATTAATAAATAATTTGATTCGCTTTCACAAAATTTGTATTAAAATCTATTGCTATCCACGTGCCGAGTTTGGTTCCAATCGACCCATAATTTAGAAAAACCCCGATGATTTCTTAAATCTGATTTTCCTTTCAATCCCAAATCCTTAGTCCCACCCTGATGAAGATGTAAACGAAACGTTGGCGTCGTATCCAACTTTGCAGGGTGGGACCGTGGGCACCGTCGCTCACATAGCCTACCCTCCAAATTTGGTCGCGATCGGACGACATCAACTTTTGACGTTTCTTACGTCAAAACTAACTGTCACAGTGACACGTGTCGTACACGGTCAAGTTGGCTTTGGTCCAATCTATCGACAAACCAAATTTCATTTAAATCGGACGATTTTTTCTAAGCCGTAGGCTGTCCTTATCACTTTTCCTCTCGCTTGTTGTGTCGCGTGTCGTGTCACGGCCTTGAATTTTTATCCCCAGCGCGCGTAAAGAAGTTTCACTTCAAAATATACTATTTTTGACGCGGATGATTATAAACCAATACTGAACAAGTTCGATTTATTGTATTAAGAACAGTTAGTAAAAATTTCGATTTTTTTCCAATCAAGTTGGCATGCATAACATCAAAAACGTCGAAACTATTGCCAAATTAAATTTCTAATAACCTTTAAATAATATAAAATAATAATTAAATACCTGATAGAGTTCTTGTCATAACCTGCTAAATTTTAAGCAAAAATGAAACAAAACACTCCACACTTGCACGTGCAAAAACGATGAGGGTCCAGGAAAATGGTGTTTTTTACAACACTATATGATGTTTTTTCACAACACTATTTAAAAACACCAGATTTTACAAAAGACCCGCAATATGGACCCTGATCGTTTCTGTTCGGCAGCGCTTGTAATTTTGGACCCTGATCAGTTTTGCGCTTCATGACGTTTTAATATAATTTAATTGTAGTAACTATGATCCCGTTTTTAAAACCCATCATGCCATGAGAAAATTTGGGTCGAGAAGTATAGGCTTGGTGCATTTTGATTGATTTCAACAAATTTCGACCGCAGCGCTTCAACGGCAAAAATCAGAAATTATCCCTACCTATTTCACGCCGCCGCACAGTGGTTCCCCTTAATTAGCTGTGCGGTCATAACTGTTAGATATTTAGATATAGCTTGACTGCACCTTTTTAAATAGAAATTGATAACAAATGCTAAATGAATGCATATAAAAAACTTAATGTAATATGTATTAAAAAAATTGGGCCCAGTTCGTGTGATTTGCATTTTAAGTTCTAACTATTCGGAAAGGTATAGGTACAGATTATGTTTGCACATATGTACCTACATGTTTTTTCATATTGAAGAGGTCCAATTTATTTTAAATGTTGAAAAAATAAAAGAGACAGTTGTTTCATTTTATAAATACAATTTTATTGTCAATTGATATATAGTGTGTCCACGAAATAAGTTGACACGAAGAGGAAAAAATAAGTTACTTTTATTTTAAGACAAAAAGTCAATCTTTAACCATCCGATATAAGATCCGGCGGCAATTCGCGACAGTCAGTGGCAATTAACTTATATGCAATATACTTTAAGCTACAAGTATTATCATGCCGTTTAAGAGGATTAGAAAGGGAAAGTAGTTAAAAGTCTTAAAGAGCGACAAGCAAAAGTGTAAAAATACTATTTTTGTTGCCTTCAAATAAATTGTCATAAACTAATATTACTTAGGTTTAATTAAGTGCAAAAAAGAAAAAACAGTTCTTTTTACCTTCTTTTCGAACGTCCATTACAAAAAAGGCAACAGCTTTTATCAATTTTAATAAAATAAGTATTTAATTGGCGTTATCTGAAAACTGTTTATGTCAGCTTGATACCAGTAGCAAAAATGTGACATTTCTAATAAAAAAAAAAGCGCTGCACTAGGCTTACTTGATTTTGTTATTTATTATGTATCGTTTACAGGGGAATATAAGAAAAGTATTAGCAACAGTTTCATGCAAACATTTTGGAATTAATATTTCTAAGTAATGACCTCTCTGGGAACCACTGTGCGCCGCGCCGTCATGTTCATCGCATTAAAATAATATTGAAATCGTGGTTTTGTCATAATATTTAAGTATTTTAGTTTTTTGCTAGTGCAGTTATTGAGACTATAAAACACTCAGGTGCGAGGTTTGTGTGATGTAACGCTGTTTCGGGTAGTAAAAAATAAGTGAAAAAGAATTCGAACTAGGCGTCGTGTTGTGTTGTGACAATTTCAAATGTTAATAATTCAACTTTCCTGGACATTCAACTCTCCCGAAACAACATTTGATAGCTTCATAGTTTCTCACACCGATTTGATCAAAAGCAAAAATGGATTCAAGCAGTGCGACGAAACAAGTGAGTAAACAAAGTGCTCATTACATAATCAAAAAATGAAAAAGACATACTATGAGAGGATAAAATATAATTTGCAATATTAATGGCATACTTTTTTTAACCAACTAGTGATTAAATGTTTTATGAACATCTTTTAAAATTATAATTATGTACCTTTAAAAAATTTCGTTATAACCGAAATAGCCCCAATTATGCCCCACTAGCAAAACCGATGATTAAAACTATGCTCGTTACCGTAGTTGAACTCATCTAAAAAGTTTTTTTTAACTGGAATAATAAGTTATAACACAAGTTAGACCTTCTGGAGATATCAAAATATTTACTTTCTTATTTTTAATTTTAGAATTTTCACAAATTATACCTCCTAACACTTTTAGATTAATTAAATAATACATTTTTCGTATTCTCGCTATTTAAACCCGTGTATTTGTAAGTAGGAGTTGTTTATTCGCTGATGGTGGCACCACCGGCGGAGAATGCACCAAGCCCATAAGATGGCGCTTGTACCCAAATTTTGTCAATAATGGACTCTCATCTATTTTCCCCTGCTCCCGTCAATTTTATTAACTTGTTTACTCATACATACCGTATTTACAGCCCTAGAAAATGCAGGGGGACTAGTTGGGATCTTCACTTCGTCGTCCTGGGCCTTTACATCGTCCTGCAAAAATATTGTTAATATTAAGATTATACTATATTAATAAACAAATTGTTTAGTATATCGTTACTTTTTGAATAGCACCATTCCCTATTGAAACGGCTGTTCCAGCTGGACTATTCAATGTGACAGCCGCCATTCCATTTGTCAAGGGTTGTTCATTTGGAGATGTGACAGGGTGAGCTGATTCTCGCTCTGTCATTTGACCAATCTGAGGCGTGTCTGGTAAGGTCGCCTATTTTTGATATATAAAAACAGATTTTTATAAAAAATATATTTAGGCATTTAGGCAAAATATCATGTTTATAAATGAGGCGTTAAGTTGCAAAACCCGCCCTATCCATTTTTTTAACTAGCGTAATGACGTAATATATTAATAGTGGGCCTTAAAATCTACATAAACATAGTTCCAAACTAGAGTAAAAGTCACCTATTCCTATATAAAATTCACTACAGATTACGTTATTGCAGCAAAATGCGTCTTAAGCTTGATTTTCATGCGTCCGTTATCCGTTGATACGATGGTCCGATATTAATTTTATTGGTTGAATTTAAAGACTTCCATTGGCTAGAAACGGTTAACCAATCGAAGCCTTTAAATTCAACCAATAAAATTAATATAGTATCATCGTATCGTCGGACAACGGATGCATGGAAATGAAGCTTTATCCATTTATATTTGCTTTTTATTGTCATTGTTGTTGCAAATCCCGCATTTTTTCATAGGCTTTTTACACAGGAATAATATTACTACTGACGTCTTATCTTATCCATTTCAAATGCTTACCTAATTTTAATAAAATAGCAACAACAACAAACAACGCTTTATTGTGCAAAAAGCCAAAACAGCTTCATCGACAAAGCACTCACAAACAACAAAATCACAAAAAAATACAAACAACAAAAAATACACAATACAAATAATACAATTCAAAAAAATTTAAGTCTTTAAAATTACAAAAAGAATATACATGGACAATTTTAGAACAGTACGCAGTAAATAGATATAATTTTAAAGTTATAGAATATTAAATACTTGACCTTTGACCAGTGTGTGAGATGATCAAAATTTTAAAATACAAAATTGTTCATAATTAAACATCAACAAAAAACTCGTTTACCGCATATAGGGCTCTCTCCAGTAGGTATGATTTTAAAGCTTTGCGAAATGCGGGAAAGAATGAAAGCGATTTGATATTCAAAGGCAGATGATTGTACATTTTTTTGGCATTGTACAGTATTGAACGCTTAACTAGTTCTGAGCTCGGGGTTGGCAGATAAAAATCGTGCTCTGCATTCCTAAGTGTATAGTTATGAGATGGCCTTTCGGGAATAGCAGATATGTGCTTGCGGATTAAGCAAACGGATTCAAAAATGAATAAAGAAGGAAGAGTCAGTATTTTCAAATTTTTAAAGAAATTCTGGCAGTGAGTTCTACTGTTTAGTCCCAATAAATATCGAACTGCTCTCTTCTGAAGTATGAAAACACGATCAAATTTTGTTGCGCAGCAAGTACCCCAGAATGGAAGAGCATAACGAAGATGTGACTCAAAAAGGGCATAATAGGCTATTCTAGAGGTTGAGAAGTTAAGTTCCTTAGAAACTGATCTTAGCGCAAAACAGGCAGCGCTTAGTTTCTTTGATAGAGCTTCAATGTGAAAGTCCCATTTTAACGAGTTGTCTACAAGAAGTCCTAAGAATTTCACAGAGTCCACGACGTCAATAGTAGTGTTATTAAGTACAAAAGGTTGTATAGTACTTTCATATGACAAAACTTTAGTTTTTGATAGGTTGAGGCATAGGAGATTAGAATCGCACCAAGACTTAATGGTGCGTAAGTCACTGGATATAGTATCATATAGCGCCGCAACATCTGGGCCGCTCCAAGTGAAACTAGTATCGTCCGCAAAGAGGCAGATTTTACCGCTAATGTCTAGATTTGTAATGTCGTTGATAAACACCAGAAACAAAATAGGGCCAAGTACTGAACCCTGAGGGACACCACATTCTATAGGCTTACAAGAAGACATAGACGTATCAATCCTCACAAGCTGCCTTCTGTTGCCAAGATACGACTTAAGCCATTCGAGCGGCACTCCCCTGAAACCATAGTATTGCAATTTGTTAATTAAGATATTATGATTTACACAATCGAAAGCCTTAGAGAAATCACAGAAAATTGTAGCTGTAGAGTGATGGTTATTCAGGCTAGAGTATACATTATTAAAAAGGTCGAACATAGCATCATTTGTGCAACTGTTACTTAGAAATCCAAATTGATGGGTAGTAAGTATTTTATATTTAAGGAGAAAAGATAGAAACCTTTTTTTAACCAATCTTTCAATGATCTTAGATAATGTGGGCAGGAGTGCAATTGGGCGATAGTTCGAAGCTTCATCTTTATCACCTCCTTTATACAGAGGAATAATTATTGCTGTCTTAAGGCAGTTTGGAAAAACTCCTTTTTGGAATGACTCGTTAATTAAAGTAGTAAGATGGTTTAATGTGCATTCAGGAAGTTCAGAGAACATTTTGAGAGTAAGCCCATCAGTCCCAGATGAGGATTTACCTAATACATACCTAATAATTCAAAGTTAGGATGCAAATATCTTGCTGTAGCAAAACCCGCAAAACAAAACGCATACACAAAATGTCTCAATTAAGTGGAATCATTGTTTAGTATTTGGTTTTTGTAGAAATGAAAATTAATATTTAATTTTTAAAAAGAAAAACCCTGATACAAAGACATGATTCCACTTAATGGACTCATTTTTTGTTAAATAGCGCTTCAAACATTTGTTAAAACAGTTTTTGCTTATTACCTCGAAACAACGTTTTTGGGGTAAGACGGGTTTTGCAACTTGACGCCTCAAATATTTTTTGAACAAGTATTTATTTCTTTTTTTTGCTATAAAGGAGTATACATGTAATAAATTGATTTTTTAAATATACAGGTTGTTAATTTGTTTATTACTCGCGGCAAGAGCTTTATGGTTGAAATATGGCAACCTCGGCCCGCTCGTCGAGAGACGACGCGACGGGATGAGTCGGTAGCTTAGCTTAGTACTCATTTGGACTTGGATGGGTGATTAGGCAGTGTTGCCATTCTGTTCCCCAATAAGTAACTGTCCAGTTAACAATCTGTATATGCAAATCTACGTAAAACAATTTTATTTACATACAAAACTAACAAAAACAGGTTGCTATAACTATCATTGTCTGTAATGTATGAAAATGGTATTTGACTCCTTTTTTATGCCGGGTCCAGACCAAGCAGATAAAACAACGACAAGAACAGACACAGAAACATTCATGTTTTTCGACAAGATTGCGACAAATTCAATACATTTCTGCGACATTTTTGTCTCATTTTTGTTTTGTTTCAAAATTCGGAGACTTTTCAATGTCTCGTCTCGAGTCGGTAAAGATCAAAGTGTCTATGTTTTGTTCGTATATTTTACGTCGTCGGCGCAGTGTGGATGGCGTGTGCTGCCAACAGTAGGAGACCAGTGAAATCACACATGGTTAATAAAACTCATTTGCAACTAAACTTTTGACGTTGTACTTTTGTCCTTGCGGTGTGGACAATTTGTCTCAAGTTTGTCTTGTTTTTGTCTCAAAATCGTGTTTACTTTTTTTCGCCTTGGTCTGGACCCGGCATTAGGTATATTTATTCAATGCTAGGTCCACGCGATTCAGAACACACTGTAGTCAGTGGCGTATAATATTAGAAATAAATTAGTTGTACTCGCAAAATGAGTGATTTAAATTACATTTTGTTAGGTTGTGCCCCCACAGAAATTAGAACTTATATGGACCCGGCATTAGGTATATTTATTCAATGCTTGGTCCACGCGATTCAGAACACACTGTAGTCAGTGGCGTATAATATTAGAAATAAATTAGTTGTCCTCGCAAAATGAGTGATTTAAATTACATTTTGTTAGATTGTGCCCCAACAGAAATTAGAACTTACATTTAAAGTGCCTGGTTCGGCAGGTAAAGCTGGTCGAGATCCTTCCATAGTCATTTCTGCAATATTTTCCGTGCTAGCAGAATCGTGTAGTTTGTTATGTTTGATTTTTTTATTGATCGATTTCGCAATTGTTCCATAATCGCTTGGCAGATTTGCCAAACTATGGAAAACCTAAAATTGGTTTATTATGTAAAATTATCTTTTGAAGATTTCAAATAGATTAATTTTGTTGTGATTTATTTGAACCTTTGTCATAGATCATAGGTTAAAACTACCATAAAAAATATATAAAAAGTTCCCAAACAAAAAACAAGCAATTAGACTATTTCTATTTTTCACAGTGTAGTTTGTTCTAACTTTTAACGAGAATGTCAAATAGCTCATGATTAGTTATTATTAAGGAATTCGGAGATAGATATCGTGAAGCTCCAATTTCAATATTTATATGCATACTAGAGATGAGCAAGAAATCGCAAATTGCGATTCAATCGCAGCGATTTTAAAATCGCAATCGCAACCTGCGATTGGCTCTCATAGGAAACTGCGTTTGCAATTTCTTCTATTTGCGAGTTTCAATTTAGGCAACCAGTATTACTATAGCTGCGGTTTGTGACTTTATTGCGATTCGCGATTTTTTGCGTCTTGCGATTTTGCTGCGAATGTGATTTTGTAAACTGGGATCATGATTTCTATCTGCGAGTTTGGATTTTTAGGAGTTGTGATTTGCGAAATTGTTGCGAATGTAATTTTGTGCTCTATTGAAGCATTTTATAGTAAACTGCGATTGAATTTCTCTCTGATATTATTTATTTATAAGGTATTATTTTCTAGGGCTAGGATCAATAATATAACGGGTGTTTCTCAAGAGTGGTTCACCCCTATAACTTTTTTTAAATATTTTTCTGATAAAAAACGAGATTTGGTATGTTAGTAGAATATGACATAAATTAGGATTGATTTACGATATTCAATTTCCTGTTTTGCTGTTTGGTTAGGTTAGGGACTACAACTTTTGATTTTTCAATAACATCCTCGGTATTTTTTTACTTTATTCTATAGAAAATGTCACTCTGAATAGAATGGCATATAATATGGCAACTTCTGAAATTTTCGCTTAAAAAAATCGTATTTTAAATTTCAACCTAGAATGTCATGGCTGGGTTAAAACACTAATTTTAATCAAGATGCCTTGGAAAAATAGATTTGATCCTCTATTGTTTTTCGCATCTTGTCCTGGCCAGTTAAAAGATGCCCAAATCGTATTTTAATTATATCGCAATGTTTTCAAATGGAATGAAGGTGGCTCATTGGCATATTTAGAAAAAACATTTTTTACGAATAATTTGGTTTGGTAAATATTAAAATCGCAATCGCAGGTTCCAGTCGCTGCTGCGATTGAAAAATCGCAATCGCAGTTTCAATTGCGATTGGAGAATCGCAGTTTTGCTCATCTCTAATGCATACTGTGACGTCGTTTTAATTCAAGGATACACTGTATATCTGTGTGGCAAAAAATATTTGGTTATTTGGTACTTTTCAATAAAATTACTTACTTGTCGTTTTCTAATTATAGTATAAACTAAATTAGAATTTCCATCAAACTGATACTGGATAATGTTGTTAAATATTTCCAAAAGGAAAAACACCAAGTGATGATTCTGGGGTGCTGAAAATAGGAACCATGGCGTACTGAAGGCTTCCAAAAGGTGCAAAAGCTTTGTACTGGCCACCATAGAAAGAGTTTTTAAATAAGGAGATACTAAAACCAGACAATTAGAACATTACTTTTTGTTTTTGTTTAGTTATAAAAATCACACTCGCTAAACAACCGCTGGCGGTATCGAGGGTCTATACTTACTTTGCTATAAATATGGAAATCGTAAATCATACAGGATGTTCAAAATTCTACACCAAACTTTCTAAAATATAAAAAAAAATCTTCGTTTTTTAAATGGAACACCCTGTATATTATTTTTTCAATAGATGGAGAATTAAAAAATAAACATTTTTTGTATTTAGAATATTTCAAAATTTTTAACGGTTTCGCAGATATTCCCGGTTTTATATTTCATATGGCATTTTCCAGAGTAAATTTTTATCAAAGCCACCCAATGATTTTTCTCTCGTATTTTACCATTGAAAGCGCCATGTGAAATAATACTGCGTGTATCTGCAAAACTATTAAAAAATTTTAAGTACTTTAAAACTCTCCATCTAAAAAAAATAAGATGAAAAAAAGCAAAGAAAAAATATTTTATATTTTAGAAAGTTTGACGTAGAATATTGAACATCCTGTATGATTTACGATTCCCATATTTATAGCAAAGTAAGAACATACCATGTAAAGTAAATACCTAAAATAGTTTTGATTTCAGGACTGGTTCTTATATATTTGTACCACAAACTAACTTAAACAGATGCGACACCTTATGGGAAATTTTGTGTTCAAAAAGACCTATGTTCGGAAGTGCGACGACAGAGCGGCGATACCGTCGATGAAGGCAAAATATTCGGCCAAACAAACAGCCGTGGTGACTTCAAATCGTTCCCGCACACCCCCTTCTCTAAGCTTCCATTTCTTTCGTTCTTTCTCGCATTTAACCTTGCCTTTGATACACCGCGCCGCCTCGTCTGGCCGTCGCAGCCGACGTACGATTATAAAGTCAAAGCGAGATTGCCAGCTTGATTTTTTTTATGTGAGAATTAAATATTATATGTACTTGTATTAGCGCTTTCTCCTGGATAATAATAAATAACTATAATTACATGATGTTAGGAAATATCAGCTAATATTTATTTGTAAAGTATGAGAAATTTACAAACTTTAACAATGGGTTAAGATCAATACATATGTATAAAGAAAATGACGATATCTTTAAAATTAAAAATGATATAAAATATCAGAAATATAAAATTCTTAAAGAATAGGATCTTTGTTGTCAGCTTGCCGTTTGTATTTAGCTGTACTTCCAGCTGTTAATTTCAAATATTAATCTAAAGTCTATCTACTATTAGACAGCTTAAATTATCTTTAATTATTTTTATATCCTGCTTGTTAATAGTTTTATGCACTAATATCATTTTATTTGATATTTTAAATTGATTTAAAATTTAGCAGCTGATCTTTTATATAGCAAATAGGTACTTTTATGATACAGACACGGCATATTGTTTGCATGTGCCGTGATACCGATATAGTTTATACAAATTGGTAAGTAGAATTGGCAACACTGTCCTAGAAAAAGAATATGTGAATCTAAGATGGGAATATTGAAGGCTTTCAGAGGATTTTTAAGTCAGTTTCTTCAGTTGTTTCACATGGATATTACATACATCATTATTATTAGCTGTTTCCGATTTTAATTTTCTGTTGGGTTTTGTTGGTTTACATTTAGTTAGTTCACGGTGTTCTTAGTATTGTTTTAGTTAATTCAGCTATTCAGTTTAAGTTTCTTGTTTTGATTTTATTTAAAATGCTTTTAAAAAAATGTGCATTCAATGGATGAGAAAACACTAAAAACTGAAGAAGATACATTTTTTAGATTTTCTAGGACTAAATTATATCAAAAACTGTGGGTGTTTTTTTCCGAAAATACCTAGATTTTCTAATACGAAAAAAGCGAATAGACATACAGTTCGATCAAATAATCGACTTATTAACTACATAAACTTTGTAAAAATATTATACTTCTATGCCAGGTAGTAATAAATTTTCATACCAACTTTCACCCCTATATCATCCCCGAGATGAGGAATTTTCAAAAATTTCCATTAACATACAAACTGGATAAAATGTTCTCACATTTATGTCCTGAGCCTGAGAAAAAACAATATGGCGATATTATTATATAACTTGGTAATATTTGACGGGTAGTTTCATCTCGTTGGAATTTGACTTTCGAAAAATCTGTTTGTCAAAAATAATTTTTTTTACGTCAAGCAGTTAAGCAGAATCGTAGTTAATCAATTACCCAACTTTTTGGAACACCCAGTATGATTTTTTAAAAAAATTCAAAATATGTAAAAAAACAAAATAAATTATGCGTGTCCAAGCGTTTTCCCGAAAGACTAACCGTTTTTTAAATAACAAATATTGTAATATTTGAGGGGCATTTTCACCCCCTTGGAATCGAGAAACCCCTCCTTATATATTATCTTTAAACGTCAAGCAGTTTAAGCAAAATCGTGATTACTCAATGGTCATATTTTATGAAACACCCTGTATAAATTTTTAAAAAATCTTAAAATATGTAAAACAACAAAATAAAATATACGTTTTTAAGAGCTTTTCCGAAAAACTCATCGGTTTTTAAATAAAAAATATTCTAATATTTGAGGGGTGGTTTCACCCCTTAGAATTCGAGTTTCGAAAATCCCTTCTTATCGAACCTCTACACCCTAAAGTCAATCCGTTTTCCAAAAATCAGCTTTTTACGTCAAGCGCTTTAAGCAGGATCGTGATTAATCAATGACCAGATTTTTCGAAACACCCTGTATATACATTTTTAAAAAATCTTAAATTATGTAAAAACAAAATAACACATACGTGTTTAAGCGTTTTTCGGAAACTTGACCGTTTTTTAAATAAAAATATTGTAATATTTAAGGGATGGTTTCACCCCTTGGAACTGGAATTTCGAAAATTTTCTTCTTTTCGAACCTCTACACCCTAGAATCAACCTGTATGCCAAAATTGAGCTTCTTACGTTGAGTGGTTTGAGCAGGATCGTGATTAATCAGTGAGTCAGTCACTTAAGAATTTTATATATTAGTAGGTATAGATTGTGAATGTATCAAAAATTGAAAAAAAACTAATGAAATTAAAATCATCTCTATTTGATTCCGAACTACAAAATTCCCTCTCTATTTTCTACACAAAGGAGGCGTGGCTTCTTAGTAAACGAATGGAGGTTACTTTGCTGGTCCGCTGTAAAATTCGCCTATATGACAAATCTAACGGAAAAATTTGCCTGGCGCATTCGCCAAAATGTAATTTTCACATTTGCATTGTTTGTCGCATCTGTTTAGGTTAATGCGCCAAAATGTAATTTTCACATTTGCATTGTTTGTCGCATCTGTTTAGGTTAGTCTGTGTTTGTACTAATTTTTTTAAGGAAGGTTGAAAAATATATATTTTTTTTATTTACTTATTAATATCTCTGAAACTATCGAAATAAATTTACTCATATCTTAGGATTATGTAAAGTGATCTGAAAGGAAGCAAAAAAAGCAATAATATACAGGGTATCCCATTAAAAAAAAATATCCAGATCCACTCACACTTTCTTGAGCCACACTATAAAAGTTAAAATATTTTCCTGAAATACATTCTAATACATACTTTAGATTTGCACTTAAACAAAATCCCCAAGTTTTGTATTCTACGAGCTACAGATGCCCGACGCACTATTGCCGGACCCTGTATTTTCTTTAATTCTTAATTTCCTTTAATCCTCAATTTTTATTATCCTTGAATCACTAGAAGGTCAACCAATTATGGGGTCTTTTTATGAGACCGAATTACAGAAGATAAATCTCTTGGTATTGATGAGTTGAAATAATACTAGGTCACTGGCAGAAAAATAATATTAAACAGTTTTATGTGAAGTGGTTAGGCGATAAAAAAGTTTAGTGTTCTTTGCTTGCTTGTTATGCCCCGAACATGTCAAAAATGCTTATTTTTGGATGCAATAATATATAGTTTTATTTTGACAACAGTACCTAATCGCAGAACTTCGTTGGTAAAAACAATAACACAAAATTTGGTAAAATAAAGGCGGTATTTCTGTTTTTTTTTTAAATAATATACAGCCGGCGCGCGGTGGTATTCTTTGCATATTTAGCAACAGCCGTAGTTGAAAAACTACCTCGCTACTGTTCGGCGGTATAAGGTCAATTGATTATACCGCCGGCGGTAATTTAGCCAGTTTGTATAAAAATACCTACCGTTGACTAGAATAGTTAATAAACAATCGAAAAGTGGTTGTAATCTTTGGTGTCCTGTAGTAATAATTTTATGAAAGACAATGACAAGTAAGTCGGCGTGTGTCCCAGTGAATACAGGTATATCCATGGGTACTGTAGCAGTGTAAGGTTTGTTCAATCTTACACCCAGATTCCTTTCACCAGACAGCAATAAAAGAATAAATACTCCGATATGCATTAAACCAACGCGAGCTAAAATAAAATAATACTAAAAAGTAAAGTTTTTAATATAAAAGAGTCCTTACATTGATCTGCCCTTGAATCATTTAAATGGTACAAAATTGGTACTAGAATTTCCAGTACGTCACTGCTTTTCAACACAAAATATAAAAATTTCTGAAACAAAAACATTAAGGTATTTTCATTTCAAGAATAATTAGTTTTCAATACTACCTTATTATAGTCACACATTTTCCAGAAAAACACCAACAGCTCTTGATGAAAATGCACCTTCTTAGTCGAATTTGGTAGGTAAGTTTGCATTAAAGGATTATTAAGCAATCTTGTAACACCGCTCAAGATGAATTGAAAGTCTTCATCTCTGTGTATTCGAGACAAGTAGTTAATAAAAAGATTGTCTGGAATTGAAACCTACAAAAACCAGTATTGTGTAATAATAGACGAAGAGCTGGCTACATAAAAAAAAACCTTATCATCGTTACATGGCTAATTTTTCTTGTAAAGTATCCTTTTGTGTAGCCATTATGAAATAGTCATGTCTGCCAGCGCGATCCCGGGGCTTAAAGCGGGAGCGGCCAATCGAAAAGGTAAAATTTTGACACTAAAAATATTATAAGGTACACGAGTTATAATTGCAAAAATAGCTTTTATTTATTATTAAGAAACGTGGAAAATTGTTGGCTGACATTTTTATCGTGGCTAAAATGCCGGCAGACAACGCGAAAAAAGCATGAAATTTTGACAAAAAAAATCATCGCATACATGCGTGCCGACTGGTGGAATGTCATATTTATTGATTTAAAAAGCCGTATGCAAAAAGGCAGACAGAAAAATCGTGGCTCAATCAGCGATAGGCAGTTATCAAAAGCCCGATATTACTATACAGGGTGAGTCTTGAATAAGTGCAAATATTTTCAGAGCTGGTAGATCTCGATAAATGAAACATATTTTCTCTTTACCGTTTTCCAAACGTTTTTTTTTTGGGACCACGTGTTTTTTTCTATATTTGCATCCAGGCTTTTAGTGTCATAACGATAGACATATCATGTCTATCGTTATGACACTAAAAGCCGTAAGCATGGTAGGTTAAGAAATAATTATACCGTGGGTAAATTTGTGGTAAACAGGCAGTTCTAAAAAGTTTTCTAAAATATACAAGAAAATTTAAAAAAATGCACGATTTTCAACATCTTTTTTGCGAAAAAAAAACTCATAGACGTGTTCCTGGGGTCGAAATATATCACCCCTAAAAGTATTTGCACTTATTTAAGACGCACCCAATTTTAATGCCAAAGTCGGTAAAGGCAGGTTGGGATCTGTGGTCGGAAATTATGGTTTAGGTGAAAGGAATGACAGAGGTGAGAAACTGATACAATACTGTGAAGAAAATAATCTTACAATCACAAATACATGGTACAAACTCCCATCTAGACGACTTTATACCTGGAAGTTTCCACAAGACAATGATTACCGTATTGTTCGTAATCAAATAGATTATATACTAATTAATAATAGATTTAAAAACCTGATCACAAAAGGAACTACAATGCCAGGTGCCGATATTGAATCGGACCATAATCCATTACGTGCCAACATCCTGTTGCGTTTTGCCAAACCTAAACGAAAAAGCTTGAGAAAGAACTTGGATCCAAAACTTCTCAGAGACCAGCAGACAAGATCAATGTATGAAAACCATATAAATAGAGAATTGGAAAGTATTGTCAGTACAAATGACATTGAGAAACACTGGCTGGGCATTAAGCAAGCTTTCAAGAACACAAATGAAAACCTCCTCACGGCTAATCGAACAACAGCGAAAAACGAGTGGATGACTGAAGATATTTTAAAAATGATGGAACAACGAAGACAATTTAAAATCCAGAATAATCACAACGAATATAAACCAAATCTATGCAAAGAAAAATTCGTAATAAAATAAGAACGGCAAAAGAGACATGGTTGAAGGAGAGATGTATAGAGGCCGAAAATCTCAGTCACCTTGGAGACAGTTTCCATCTTCACAAGAAAGTGAAAGAGACAGCTGGGTTACACCATAATAAATCAATAACCCTAATTAAAACTGATGAAAATAAAATTATAACGGAAACAGAAGAACTATTGCAAACTTGGAGAAATTATACCATTAATCTTTTCAACGACGAAAGATCAGGAAACCCTGCAACTGAGATTCCCATGCCATCAGGACCAAGCATATTGGAAAGTGAAATTATTCATGCGATTAGATTAATGAAAAACGACAAAACTCCAGGGCCTGATGATATGTATTCGGAAACGTTCCACTTAATTAATGAACAAAACTTAAAAACTATAGTACAGCTTTTCAATAACATCTATGACACCGGTTACATCCCTGAAGACTGGCTTCGTTCTACGTTTATCACGCTGCCCAAGTCAAGTAACGCAACTTCATGTAAAGAGTATCGTCTTATTAGTCTAATGAGCCACTTTCTTAAGCTCTTTTTACGGGTACTGCATACAAGACTCTACAAAATATGTGAGGAAGTAAGTGGAGAAAGTCAATTTGGATTTAAGAACGGCTTTGGTACTAGAGAAGCCATATTCAGTCTTCAAACTTTAGTACAGAATTGCCAAGATCAGAGAAAAGATGTCTTCATGTGCTTTATAGACTATGAAAAGACGTTCGATAATGTTAAACATAACCTCCTTGTATCATACCTCAGAAACTTGGGACTTGATGGAAAAGATATAAGGCTCATCAGTAATTTGTATTGGAACCAAAAAGCTGAAATTCGTATACATAGCGTAGGAGTAACAGAAGATTTTGAAATAAAAAAGGGGGTAAGGCAAGGGTGTATTCTGTCTCCAATGTTGTTCAATTTATATGTGGAAAAAGCATTCACTGAGTCAATCTCCGATAGTCCCATTGGTTTGAAAATAAATGGCATTCCAATTAATAATATCCGATATGCGGATGACACAGTGATATTGGCAGACAATGCAAATGATCTCCAAATCCTTCTAAATAAAGTGAAAGTCAAAGACTGGGTTTAAACATAAATACTACAAAAACTAAATTTATGGCTGTTAGCAGAAACAATATTCCGAACACCAGAATTTACTTAAATGGAGAGGTCATCAAGCAGGTCACACAATTTAAATATTTGGGATGCATGGTTAACGAAACGTGGGATCCGGATCAGGAGATCAAATGCAGGATCGAACAAGCAAGATCGACTTTTCTGAGACTGCAAAGATTTCTCACAGATAGGAATTTGAACTTCGGCTTTAGATACAGAATGGTGAAGTGCTATGTCTGGTCCATTTTGTTATATGGCGTGGAAGCATGGACACTGAAGGTAGCAACAATAAACCGAATTGAAGGCTTCGAAATGTGGACCCTACGACGAATGCTAAGAGTGCCCTGGGTCGACCGTGTGAGGAATGAGGACATTCTCAGAAGAGCTGGTCTGGAACAACGTGAACTCTTCGAAATCATCAAGAAGAGGAAAATAACGTATTTGGGACACATACTGCGTGGAGAACGCTATCACTTTCAGCGTCTGATTCTCCAGGGTAAAATAGAGGGGGGCAAAAGGGGGATAGGACGAAGGAAGCTATCCTGGCTGAGAAATATTCGTCATTGGACAGGCATACAGGACTTCCAAGCACTCCAAGTCGCGGCAGTTAACAGAACCATCTGATGAGGAAGAAAAATATGAACGCCTACGCAGGAATCTGCACGGCACCTTAAGAAGAAGACGCACCCTGTATAACGTTTCGTCCTACGTGGGCGACATAAGCGAGCGAGCGACGCGTGCGACAACAGAGGGCGACTCGCGCGACTAATTTTAATAGCCTTCGATGCCGCTTCAGTCGCGTTAGGTTAGGAGCGCGTCTTCTGCTTAGGAGTCCTAAGTTAGGACAGCTTCGTAAGAAAACGTTGTTTGATAAATACGCGTCGCTCACACCGCGCACCGCCTGAATTGCGCGCTTTTGTCTCCCACGTAGGATGAAGTGTAAGCGTTTTCCGGAAACGCTCGCCGCGTTATCAGTTGAAACATAATACATGAAGCCCACAAAGATTTTATGGTGCATATATTGACTCACTCGTTTGCGAGAGCGAGAATATGCAGTACGACGAGTCAGATACAAATAGTGAGACAGAATAGTAAATGTATGATATCTGTTATTGAAATCATAAAAAAATATATTTATAATATAATCGTCTACTTGATTTCTCTATCCTGATTTAGCCACGATCTTTTTGTCTGCCCTTTTGTATACGGTTTTTAAAATAAATAAATGACATTCCACCAATCGGCATGGATGTATGCCATGAGTTTTTTTTCAAAATATTATGCTTCTTTAGCGTTGTCTGTCGGCATTTTAGCGACGAGAAAAATGTCTGCCAACAATTTTCCACGTTTTTTAATAATAAATAAAAGCTATTTTTGCAATTATAACTCGTGTACCTGATAATACTTTTAGTGTCAACATTTCACCCATTCGACTGGGCCCGCATTAAGCCCCGGGATCGCGCTGGCAGACATGACTATTTCATAATGGCTACACAAAAGGATACTTCACAAGAAAAATTAGCCATGTAACGATGATAAGGTTTTTTTATGTAGACTATAAAGACTAGTAGCAGACTATAGCTTTTAGACTATAAGACTTCCAAAACTTTAAATAAAATACTTACATCTTCTGACTCTGCCGGTGTAGACGAACTGGTATCGTGGTCCAGAGTAACGATTAATATTTGAAGGGCAGCCTCTACAAGCGGTTCTAAAGAATCGTTGAAGAGTAGATGGTTATAGGGTACGCCTAGACCAACCGGATCATAGGCGCTGACGGTATTTAACAGGGAAGTGAACATGGGTAAGGCGTGACGATTCTCGGCTGACGTCAAGTGCCTGAAAAATAAATTCCAGGTACTGAATAATCTGAAGTTTTATGTACCCATGACAATGTGATCATAAAAAGTAATGTTAAATGATCACTGATAGGGATCGGAGTATTTGGGCCGAATGTTAAATACTCCGAACCAGGGTTGGGTAACGACGCGTAGAAAATTAATTTTCTACGTGTATGTAGAAAAGTGCGTAGAAAATGTAGAATATTAAGTAGAAAATGTATAAAAATCTTGGAACAGGTCAAAAATTGTATAAAAATGGTATAAAACAGGTATAAAATCTGAGAACATTAATTTTGTATATTTAAAGCCGTTTTTTTTACTTTAGAGGTTTCTTCCTTTCTATTTTCTTTAAATTCTATAAGTGTTAATACTGTAATATGTGTGCGCGCGCTATCTGTCTATTCTGTGACGGTACTAACTTCCTGAAGATAGAGACAGTAATCGATCTGAAGACTATTAGAATATTTTTTTCTGTTTAATCTGAAGACCGTACAGAAAAGTCTGATTTTTTCTTTGGAAGTTTTCGTTGTTCCTTTTTTTAATTTTACCATAGAGTGTCTATTCTTTCATAAACTATATACGTATAATAATAAAATTATTGTAGTTTGTAGTTCTTACTTTCATTATGTTAGATGTTATTTTTTGTTGTTGTTCTGTTTGAGTCTTATTCTGTAAAATTTGATCTTAGTATTGAAAACTTTTAAGATAACTAAAAACTTCGACTATAGTGTGTAACAAATCAAGAAAAATTTCGACAGACGACATCCAGAAGATGACAGAAAATACGATATGTCTGTGAATTATAATGACACAACAGTCACTATAACGCATCCTCCCGTTGTACACATCAATTTAAAATAATATGGAAGTTAATATAGTTATTTTTTACATACTATATACTATCCATTTATTAAATAATAAAATAACAATTAGAGATATCGTTATTAGTTTATTTCTTGTACTAATGGTTGTGATTGAGTTATTTGAAATAAATATAAATTCAAAAAAGGCTTACAATATACAAAACTCTCCGTATAGAAAATACGGTAGAAAATATAAAATTTTCTACCTACCCAACCCTGCTCCGAACCAATGGACATTTGTCAGAAGTTACGACCGAGAAAAATCAATGATTTTCCTTGATTTAAGTAAGAACAGTCTTCGTATTGTCACGGGGTTTTTAACAGGACACTGTCTCCTCAACGGACAGCTCAGTAGATTGAAGCTAAGAAACAATGAATATGCAGATTCTGTGAGGAAAATGGGGAAACACCAGAACGCCTCGTTACTAACTGCGCCGAGACGGCAACCATTCGTCATGAAGTTTGGTACGGCTGATATCGCAGATGAAGAACTAAGCTCTGTAAAAACCGTCTCATATACTAGCTTTTGTCAAATAATTTTTATTTCGCATTTCTCTGAGACTGTATGATGAGTTATAACTCGTTATAACTCAAGAAAAGAGAGCACAATAGATCTGTACATTCTACATTGTACATTCAACCATTGTCGCGCTAGACAACAAGCATACATGTTATCTTTATTTATACATATTTTTTCGTGCGTCATCAAAAAATCAAATAAGATCGTTTTGCTTTTCTGTTTTATTGACAACAGATTAACTGTTAATGAAAAGCTCGTTATCACGGCCTTCAATTTACATAAATCGATACTTACATAATCCATTTGTTCGGATTTTGTGCGATATCTGCCGGCGGACGGTACATTGTCTCGCTAAAACACGTCAACAGCAATTTCAATAGCTCGGTCCGGTTCGCATCGTAACCTGGATTTCTCGGTGGAGAATAGGCGAAACCCACTCCCGCTTCCCAAATGTATTCGCAGCTGTCGATCAATGACAAATCTTCAGCTTTATCCTATAATAATTAATAATTAAAAAAATTGTCCTGCAAGGGCAGATTTCGAAAAATCGATTTTAAATTTTATTTATTATTAACAGTTATACACGGTTGGCAACGTCTGGCTTTGGGTGCTGATTTTCGCGTGTATAGTCAATGTGTTCAGTACAATAAGATGTACTGAACAAAGAGAGAAGTTCCTAAGTGCATGAAATTATTACTGAGTACTTATGTTTTATACCGGGTGCGTTTCAAAAGTGGCTCACTCCTATAACTTTTTTTATTTTTTCAGGTAAAAAAAACAGATTTTGCATGTTAGTATATGACATAAATTAGGATTGATTGACGTATTCAATTCTTTTCGGCCACTTTCTGTTTCACCGGAAATGACTACAACTTTTGATTTTTAAATGACACCCTCGGTATTTTTTACTTTATTCGATAGAAAATGACACACTGAATATAATAACATATCATATGTCAACTTTAGACATTTTCGCTTAAAACAAAATTGTTTTTTAAATTTCAATCTAGAGTGCCATAAAAACACTCATTTGTAAACAATTAAGGAGCCTTGGAAAAATAGATCTGATCTTCTAAAGTTTTAGTGTCTGGGTCTGGTTAGTTAAAAGATGCCCAAATCGTGTTTTTAATCATATCTTCAATGTCTTCAAATGGAACGAGGGTGGCTCATCAGCATATTTGGAAAAAGCATCTTTTTACGAATAATTTGGTACTATACACTTGGTATTTTGAGTCAAATTATCGTTATGAATCGCATGTTACAATTTCAAATAAACAAATCAATCAAAAGTTGACATATGATATGTCATTCTTTTCAGAGTGTCATTTTCTATCGAATGAAGTAACAAAATTCCGAGGGTGACCGAAAATAATTGAAGACGTCAATCAATCCTAATTTATGTCACATACCAAATCTCGATTTTTTATCTGAAAAAATAAAGAAGTTATAGGGGTGAGCCACTTCTGAGACGCACCCGGTATAATAATAATTTATTAACTAAACTACACTCAGATGCAAAAAAACGCGACGGAAATTTTTTTCGTCAAATTTAAAGTGTTAAATTTTTTTTTATTTTGAGTTGCGATGATTCTTTCATTCATGATTCTTTTAGCAAACTGTATGTAAATATATTATATATACTTTAATTTATAAAATTATATAAGTATTCTTGCCTTGAACTGCTAATATAGAAATTAATTCAAACTGAGTTTATGAATTAAAGTTGATATATTTATATATTTTGGAATGTCAAATGCCCTTTCGTCATAAAGCTGACGATTTGTATGTATTTATTGAGAGGAAAGATATGGTACCTATATTAAAATTAAATACTTACAGGTCCACTTTTTCTTCCTGCTGCAACTGTGAAATCAGGACAAAATAACAGATCCTGAAATATAATTATATAAAATAATATTGAAAAATGGCTGTATCTAGCTTCTATTCATTTTTATGTGTTAAAACCAAACCAAAAACATTGTTATTTAAAAATGTAAGTTGTTTTTTATATTGTTCATGAAAATGTATTTAAATAAGTGAAATTACTACATATACCTAAGCATTAATTTATTTCTCTTAGATAATTTCAAAATAACTTATTAACTAACTATATTTTAAACTAGGTTTTTTAAATATATTAATGACATTTTTCTTTGATGTTAAATTATTGATTTTAATATTTTTAATATACTTTCTTGGGGATAATTTTTAAATACACACTATAATAAAATGCAATGTTCACAGTTTAGCACACATACATAGCTTAGCACATAAAAAAATATTTGTAATCTTAAATAAGGGAATGGAGTTTTAAGAAACAAATACCCCAGCTAATAAAAAAACAGTACAAAGAAAAACCACTAATCATTTACACCTTCAATTAACTTTGAGTAACTGTAACATATCCTGTATATGATGATACTCTGAATTAGAATGTGAGGAAATTATATTGCAAAGGTTTAAGTAAAGCTACTTAGTTGGATATTGATTCAATAAGGAATTAAATAAGGACTACATTAGCCTTACAGGTATAAAATTACTAAGTAATTTTTTCTACAATATTGTTTAAGAATGAAATATTAGTATTATGACCACTATTGGGCAGTTCTCTTAATTGTTTTAAGTAAAATATTCAATTCAGCTCAAGGAAACAAAGTAACTTACACATATTGCATTCAGAAGTGATTGTGCTAATGGAATTGACTCTTGTTCGTCTTCCTCACTCTTACTAGGTAGAGATGACCAGAAAAACCCTTTCCATTCTGTGTCTTCAAAAATGTATGGTAGGATCCTTGTCAATAAACGTGTACAATTTAAAACTGAAATATTTTCAATGATAAAGTACCAATAACAATTCAAAAATTACACAAATTACCAGTCTGTTGTTCTCTGTGTGTTCTACAACTACTATCTACTGCTTTGACTAGTTTTTCAACAGCTTTATAACACAAAGTAGCTAAGTTTGATGGAGCATCTTCGCGTAATTGTCTTATTTCAGCCGCTGGAATGAGAGTAAAGATATCTTGCACGTTTGATACATTCTCAGACCAAAATTGTTCCCAAAAGGAATCATCACTAGCATTGATAGGCTGTAAAATAATTAACTAAATTAGGCATTAAACATTTATGTAAAGAATCAACACTAAATCTATCTTTAAATATACAAAAATAGACTAAAACTTCAGTTAAGGACATATGTTTAAAATGATGATACAAAGAGTAAGATAATGATTGATTGAAAATGGCTAGTCGTTAACTATACAAACCTCCGACTTTGAAGTTAATTGTACAACAGCTTTTCTAAAGTTAAGTTTAGTATCAACATTTCCCATGTTTTCTTTTTTAAAACAAACAAAGTGGTGTTGCGGATGTGTACAATAAACGAGTTAAATGTCAATTGCCCACTTACATGCTGACGTCATATGTTTATTTTCTCCTACGATGTGTCAAAATTTACCCACTGATCAGAAGTTTAATATACTTTTGAACTACAAAAAACGTGTAGGTAATTTGTCCCTTCAAATGACAGATATTTAAAGGTTATGCTTATATTATTTTTTTAAAGTCGGTAAAGAAATACCAGTAAAGATTAAAAAGATTTAGTACGGTACTAACAGATTTTATGTATTCAGAATTTAAGTTTAATAATTTAAAAAAGTTATTCAAGTGAAATGGACATTAACGATAAAATAGCACTACTAAAACTTGAGGATGAAAGTAGTGAATTAAAGTACCAATATATTAACGTTTTTAAAGTAAGAAATTAAATTCACAGTTGTATTTTTTGTTTATTGTCAATTTCTAGAACCCTAGTAAGCTTCCAATAAATCAAATGCATTTAGAAAGGACATGGAAGGAGTTAAAGAAAAAAATACCAAAAGACTTTGTAACAAACATATCTTATTACATAAAATATAATTTAACATGTTGTGCAATATTTTAGGATCTTTTTAATGCATCTCCAGATGAAATAGAAAATGCTTGTTTTGAGAAGAAAACCGAAATTCGTCCTGCCCTTGACAAAAAGTGGTTGCCAAAAGTTCATTTTTCTAATTATCAACCGTACTCTTTTGCGAACGACACAGAAGACTATGAGTGTTATATAGAAAAAAATTTGCTATTTCTTGAAGTTTTAGAATATTTACTAAACTGCAATTATCATCAGTTTTGGTGTACAATACTTTTTGAACCTTTGGCAACAGTATCATTGAGGAGTTTTCTGTTAAGCCCAATTTTACCATTTCAAACATCGTATTTAGATAGTGAATATCTAGAAATATACAAAGCGATCTATACAAAATTTATTCTGGTGTATCGAAAGTTACTGTTATTTAAACAAAACGAAGTAAGCATTCATTTTAAAATTTTTTGACAATTAAGAATGTATGATTTTTATTATTTTTTAGGTAGAGTATATGCCAGAATCATTTGGTTTATCAAAATTAATAGAGCAGAAACTATTAAATTTGCCAATTGTTGTAACATTAGCACTTTTGTACAAGGATACACATTTAGAATTTGTGAATAAAGTTTCCAATATTTATTTTGAAAACCCATTACAGTCCGACTTTTTAATTAAAGAAGTGGAATCTACAGTTGATGAGAGCTTTCATGTAAGTACATATATTTTTTTTTATTTTGTAATAAAGTATGAAAATTTAACACAAAAATCCTTAATGTTCACTTAAAACAAAAATTTTACTTTACTCAGCAGGCACATAACATAACTTTGTAGTGTTTTAGTGTTGAACAAGGTAAGAGGCATAGGGTGTCTTAAATTGGGGCACAGTTGTCTGTTAGAATCCTGTGGTAATCAGTTTAGTAATTGAACTTATCTTTGTCATTTACTGAAATATGGCTGAAAAACTGAAATTTTTATTTTCGATTTTTTTTACAAATTTATTTTGACAGTTAGAAAATCTCTAATGACATTCTCAAAGAAACTTTCATCATCATCAACATTACGTTTTTAAATACACATATAACCACCCTGTATCTCTTATCGTTTTCAAGATCCCAATAGTGAGAGTCAAATTTGTAATTTTCACTTAAAACAAAATTTTTACTTTACTCAGCAAGCACATTAGCACATAACACAACTTGTATAATAACAATATCATTTTGCAGTGTCCATTAAACATCATCATTGCTACATTTCTATGATGTATTTCAGATCTGTAATATTCTTACAAAAAATAGGTTTTGTGTTATAACTTTACAGATAATATTAGATTTATAGGTAATATTACATTATTTGTTTAAAGATTTTAGAAATGATCAATGGCTACCTCAATGGGTTTGAAGAAAATCATATAATGATTCCTATTTCCATAGAAAAGCGACCAGCTGTTTTCAGTTTAAGTTGGGTTTACAGTTTGGTCACTTACTTATTGAGTACTGTTGCGACAATAAATGTATTATTTCATTTTCATAAACCTGCCGTAGAATTTGCTTTAGACAAAAAATATCCATATAGGTGAGATTTTATATATTTTTTTTTACTTAACATAGTTATTATTTGATAAATTGTACAGGGTCCGGCAATAGTGCGTCGGGCATCTGTAGCTCCTAGAATAAAAAACTTGGGAATGTTGTTTAAGTGCTAACCTAAAGTATGTATCAGGATGTATTTCAGGAAAAAAATTTACTTCTACAGGGTGGCTCAAAATAGTGTGAGTGGATCGGGATGATATTTTAAATGGAACACCCTGTATATTATTGCATTTTTGGCTTCCTTTCGAATCACTTTACATAATCCTAAGATATGAGTAGATATATTTCGATAGTTTAAGATATATTAATAAATAAATAATATATATTTTTCAGCCTTTCTTAAGAAAATTATTAAAAATACAAGAACTGTCCTGAAATTAAAACTATATTATGTATTTACGGTACATGGTCTGTACTTACTTTGCTATAAATATCGTAGTTTTAAATCATACAGGATGTTCAAAATTCTACGCCAAACTTTCTAAAATATAAAATAAAAAATTTTCTTCGTTTTTCGAAATGGAACAGCCTGTTTATTATTTTTTTAGTAAATGGAGAATTAAAAAATTTTCCATAGTAAACTTTTATCAAAGCCACCCAATGATTTTTCTCTCGTATTTTATCGTTGAAAGAGCCATATGAAATAATACCGCGAGTATCTGCGAAGCCGTTAAAATTTAAAATACTCTAAATACAAAAAAATGATCATTTTTTAATTCTCCATCTATTAAAAGAATAATATACAGTATGTTGCATTTAAAATAACGAAGAAAAATTAGTTCATATTTTAGACATTTTGGCGTAGAATTTTGAACACCCTGTATGATTTAAGAGTACGATATTTATAGCAAAGTAAGTGCAGACCATCTAAAGTAAACACCTAATATAGTTTTGATTTAAGGACAGTTCTTGTAATAATAATAATAGCTCCCGTATATAGCGTTTAACGCCTCGGGAGTAGCAAGGTACAGTTTGCTATAGTAGAGCCATTCGATATACAAGGAAGGTAATGTGGCTAGCACTACGCTTCAACCGCCTATTATTACCTCAGGATTGTGAATCCCAAGTACTGATTTAAGGCTGAGTCGACCTAGGTACCCAAACTATTTTTATTTTAATAAAAATAGTCGGCTGATGAAATGCCGGGTGTGGGAATCAAACCCACACCTTGAGATTGGTAGACGAGAGCCTGTACCTCTACGCCACCGGTAGTAGTAAATAAAACTTTCTTAAGTAATAATTAAAGTAAAAAATAAAAACCTTCTTGTAGTAATAATTTTTAAAAAAAAGGCTGAAAAAAATATTTTTTTTATTTATGAATATCTCTGAAACTATGAAAACTTATTTAAAAATATCTTAAGATTATGTAAAGTGATCAGAAAGGGAGCTAAAAATGTAATAATATACAGGGTGTTCCATTTAAAAAAAAAACATCCTGATCCCTCACACTTTTTTAGTCACCCTGTAGAGGTTAAATTATTTTCCTGAAATACATCCTGATACATACTTTAGGTTTGCACTTAAACAAAATTGCTAAGTTTTTTATTTTAGGAGCTACAGATGCCCGACGCACTATTGCCGGACCCTGTATATCAAAATATTGTAAAAAAATCCCTAAAGTGTTAGAACTTAAGGCACTACTCACACGGAGATACTCAAATCTCGAAAGGACTGGGATATTCGGCGACTTGGAGACGCGTCATAATATGTAATTATGTGGTGGCGCTCAGACGGAGAAACTCCAGTAGTGAACTGTGAAGTTGCTTAGTATCCTTCTCTCAGCCATGAGTGAACAAGCGTTTAATTTGAAGTTTGTGGCCTAAGTGGAAAAAATTCCAGTATTATTTCGTTATAAGCTGAAAAGCTTCTTCTGTTCCTTTCAATATAAGGATGTAACCAGTATTTTCTCACTTCTTTTGCGACGGTAATAATATAATATAAAATAATATATATTGAATAATTATATCATCAAACTACTGTAACTAGACATTGTAAATTAAGCACTCAAATAAACGAACCTCTGATACTCGGAACGGATTGAATACTATTTTTTTTTATAGAAAACCCGCGCAACTTGAGTCGTGACTGTCTGAGTATGACAGACAACTAGAGTCTCCGAGTCTCTAAGTATCCGTATCGAAGTCGTCTAGTATCCGAGATTTGAGTATCCCCGTGTGAGTAGTGCCTAACCCTTAGGAATTTTTAGCGTACCGTATCTTTATGTGAGTATTTACAAAGAACTTTATCAATTATTACAAGGAAGAGACGAATTAGTAACCCAAGTTGACTTATACGAAAAGGTAGTGAATGAAATAAACTTGGGAAGAGCTGAAATTGTTGGACTATATCATACATTTGCTACCTATTGTTTAGACAAAACCTTAGAAAATATGTAAGTAATTTTTAATAGAGTAAATTATAACAAATAAGAAAACCAAAAAACACTTTATTTCAATACTTTGTAGAGATGATAGTACAAAACAACAAACATTTGTTGAGGACTATTTAAAACTGATGACAACAGCATTGGATGATGAATATTTTATATGTGATTATAATTCTACCAATAGTGTTGAAAATTTGAATGAAATGTTCCAGAGTTGTTGTGATATGTATCCTTTTTCTTTTCTTGAAAGCCTGTATACGGGTTTTGATTAAACTGTAATAAGTGTAAGTATTTTGATCTGTTGGACACCATAACAGTTATTGCGCGTTTGCTTAAAAATTATAGGTTATGATAGGTTAGGTTGCTGGGGTTTGGGATAATGTTAGATCCCCCACTTGGAGGCTTTGGGGCCATTGCGATACCCCTGTATTATTGCACCAAATCTTACTCTCTTTGCTTTAAAGCACTTCCAGCTCTTTGCAAAGTTCCCGATGTCGCTGATGTTGGCTTCTGCTTCTTCCTCTAGTGCCACCAAAAAACCTTGAGTTAAAGTTTTAAAGCGTCGGTATTCCAGTGCCGGACAGTGGCACAGCAGGTGCTTTATGGTTTCTTCTTCCTCTCCGCATTCTCTGTAATAGTCATCGTTGGAAATCTTCCATCTCAGAAGCTGGTTTCTCCCCGTGGGGCAGTTTCCAGTGATGACACCTACAATTATGCTTACTAGGTTCTTTTTGTACTCTAGTAGTTGTTTTGTCTTTTTGCTATTTACCACTGGTCAGTCTTGGGTCAAAGATATATTCGGAGGAGTATTCTTCTCCCTAATGGTAGGTATTAAGAGAACAAATAACTTTTAAAATAAATTGAAAAATACCGCTCCTTAACACTTTTATATAGAGATTCGACTCGTACTGAGTTTCTTGTGACTTGTATTAATAAATTACCTCGAAATAAAACCCTGGAAGAATACTTACAATTACAAGATTCAGGAATTGAGACTACATTTAGGAATTTTGCACCGGCACAGAGGAATCACTTTGCCGTCGTAGAACCAGAAGCTGGACCTTCAGGTGTGCAGAATCATGAAAAGAATGCGGAGGACATAGAAGAGAAAATACAGTACATTATGGACATGTTTCCTCATATTGGAGATGGTAAGTGTTGACTGCCACGGCATTTGTAGATTAACCCTTCTCAGATACCACGGTGTGAAAATCGCAATAATGAATCAAAATGTATTAAAAAACACCATTTTACATGTTTTTTTTTCTCTTTAAGTGTCCATTTCACTAGTCTGAAAACGTAGCAAAATAAGCGTTCGGCATTTAACGTTTTATGTAAAACTGGCTAGGTATTTTTATACAAATGAAGGAAATTAAAGATAAAAGATTATACTATATCCGTATTGTAACACATTTTTAGACAACTTCTTTATTTTTAAGATCTTGAAGGTCAAACATCAACAAAATATTCCTTATGTTTGGGCTAAATTTTCTCGAAAATAAAAACATAATTTAAAATTCTGTTACAATACGAAAATATATTGAAGTTTTGTGATTACAGTGACATATAATTTATAAGGTTTTGTAACAAATTGCTCGTTATTTTATGGAAAATGCTGAAGATCTGCAAACCTTAATCAAGCCTTAATCAAAGCACGAGTGTTTGTAATTTTGGGTGTCGCTTAACACGACAGGATCGGGCTAAGCCTTAGGCAGATTTCTAAAATATAATATATATTACCTTTGGCCACACACCCGTTTTACCCGACCTCTGAGAGCGACCAGAACAGTACAGCATAATAGACTCTTAAAAAACACTACATATGTATTTTCCTAGTCTATTTCAAACGCCCAGTACCATAAATTTCAACGCAAACACCACGAATTTACTTGTTTTAGGCGCTGAATGTGTAGACGGATCTTTAGAAATACAGGGTGATTTAAAAAAAAAACTGCAGTGATGAGGGAGGTCATCTCCTTAGTTTTTTTTATAAATACCTATAAATATTTAAGTTGGTAGAGGCCATCTGAAGTTAGAGTCATAAAAGTAGTTAATATGGAAAATTAGCTTATATGAAGCTTGTTTGTAGTACCTAGTCCTAAACATTTTCTGTATATTTTTTGTCAAAATTAACCACTCTGTAAATGTTGTAAATGCGTAACGTAAAGACCGTCTCGTAAGCTGTCAATTATGCTTTAATTAAACTCTCCAAACTGTAGTGAACCACTATAGTCTGTTCGGGAAGAGAATATATGACTATAACAATTGTCTGACCTTTTATAACTATATTATTTACAGGTTTTGCCCTTCAATGCCTCGAATCGTATAACTACAGTACTGAAGATGTGATAAATGCCATATTAGAAAACAACTTGCCTCCTCACTTGTCAGAAATTCCATTTGACCAGATAAGAATACCTCCAGAACCCGAACCAGAACAACCGATTTTAGCTTATAAAGGTAAATCTATATGACATAATAGCATATAATATGTAGCTATAACATCAATTTACGTTTTTTGTAGGCAAGAAACCTGAATATGATGATGCATTAAAATTATTAAACGACAAAAGGGAAATTAAGGAAATAAAGAACTTGGTATTAGAAGGAGTGTAAGTTTTTTATAACTTTATATTTTCTGTTTCACACTGGGGAATTTTATCTTTGTCTTAAACTATTTGTAACAGCCATATAATCTGTCCAACGAGTCAGGGAAGATTTCGACAGACGACATCGAAAAAATTACAGAAAATACCATTAACCTCCAAGTTAAAATGACAGAAACAACTGTCACTGTCATGTATCCTCTCTTTGGACTGGCTATAGTCTAGATGACATTCAAAAACTGGTGGAATAAAATAATCTAGTTTTGAATTAAAATGACAGGCAACAAGTATTGTCATATTTTTTTTTATACAAACCAGATTTAAACAGAAAAATGCTAGATTTCCACTTATTTAGTAAAAACGTTTAGTATCTAAGATCGTATATGATTATATGAGCCGTTCAATGCACAATTTGATTAACTCCACTTTTGAAAAATCTAAATTTTTTTTTCTTTTTTTTTTAAACCATTTGGTAAATTCATAAATTTTATATTTATAATATTTTTCTGAACATTAGAGAAATAGTAACCTATAAATATACCATAAATTTAAGATTTTTCGAAAAGTGGAGTTAATTGAAGTGTGCAGGAATGGCTCATATAATTATTGTTACTTTTGTACTTTGTTATTTCTTATATCTAAGAAAGACCATTAGGATATTTTTACTAAATTTAATAAACTTATGTATTTTTTGTTTAAATTATTTTTTTTTTGGAAACATTTACAGGTATCCTATGTAGTATTCACTGACTTTATGTGTACCTAAATTTAATTCTTAGTATTTTTATTTCTATAGACAATATGAATATGATCACCTCTATGACGATGAATACGACGATAGGTATGATGACGATGTTGCAATTAGAGTTCCTGATAATCCAATCACTGAAGAGTTAGCAGTCTTTAATCCAAATAGGAAAAACCAAAAAGAATCAGAAAGCGATGAGAGCTCAGAGGTAAATAAACATCAGATATACAGTTCGGCTGAATCATTAAGGATATATAGTTTTTTTTTCAAGTAATTTTACGTATAAGGTATTATTTAAAAAAATCTATAGATTGAGTTTAATGTCTGATAGTGACTGTTAGTTCAAGTAAAGGAAGTTTATGTATGACTTCAAATCAACAGTATTTCAGTATTTTTTATAATGTCGCTATAATCATGTATACATATTTGTAAATATTTTAGGAAGAAGAAAAGGATAGTGGTTCTCGTCCTAATAATAAACTGAATTTCTGCGAAGATCCGGCCATATTAAGAGAAAGGAGGGAAGCTAGATATAGAAATAGGCCACAAGCTAGCACTACAAATAAGCCAAAGCCTGACGTAGTTGGTTAGTATATCCCTTAATTTTTAAATTTAAATTTAAATCTTTTATAAATTTCAGTCTTAAGAGTAATTTTTATTTCATGATGTGGTTTAGTTTGATCTAAGAAAATTTTGGCATTCATCGCCTTTTGTGCCTGTTGTTTTATTTTTATAATCTTTCATAATCACAAAAAATCTGTTAAAATATAGTAGGCGATAATAATCTAGTTGTAGAAAATGTGGAATGCCATGTCAGTGTCATTAATGATCTTTGACAATAAGCCATAACTAATGTCAAAACAAATAAATCCGCATTTAGAGCCACCTGGTGGCCCGGAAGAAACTAATGGAAAGTTTTGGCATAACATAATTTATCGTTCCGTACTTATTAACGCTAACTAAAACGGTAACGTTATTCATGCGCGAAATTATTCCTTGTAAACTATAAAATAATAAATCTAGACTTTCTTATTACATCTTATTTTTTATTAGATCATTAGAAGTGTAACATAGTCGAAACAAAAATAAAATTATGAAAACAAACATTTTAAACACAGCAATAGAGCACATACCGCATATTTTCTTTTAAATTTAACAATAAATGAATTATAATATAGTAAAAATATTATAATGGCTACTAATTAACGTTACCTCTGTACTTACTTATTTGTAATCAAGCTATTCGTTCATAAATTTATTATTTCTAAAATGTCTTTATTAATTAAAAAGAAGTTTAGTATCTAATATGAAAATGATGATCGCTAATAAATACCAAAATGCTGTGAGGTATAATTTATTTTATACTCTAGATGAAATAAAAAAATATATAATGATATATTATGAATGAAATATGGCAACCTCAGCCCGCTCGTCGATAGACGACGCGACGGGACGAGTCGGCAGAAAATTCTATAAGTGCATGTGTTCTCTATAGGCAATGTTGCCCATTCTGTTCCCCTATAAGTAAACGTCCAGTTAACAACCTGTATATGATAGATAAAATTAAATTTCAAAATAAATTTATGATAAATTGCGCGAAACACTTTTTTATAACTATATATCAACAGGTAAAGCTAAGGGCCAAGGACAGGACAAATCTGTACTGATTAACAGACAAAAGAAGAGCGTCAATAAGTCGAGTCACGGTAATCACAACAGAAAAGGCGGAGCTCAGTGGAAAAGGAGCAGAGGAATGTTTCCATCATAGTATTGTGCTTTAAATATTATTTCGTTTATTCCGTTTCGTTTATCTCCTAAAATTTTTGTTAATTTCGTTTTGATTTTTTTATAACTAATTTTAAGAGAATGTTATTTAATTCAAATAAAACAAACATTTTGTTTAATCTGTTTTTTATTGTATAAAAAATACGTTTCCAAATACCACAAAAAGAATCCAAATAACTCAAATTCATGCCGATTTGGTTATATAGGTATCTCAATTAAATGACAATAAAAACGTAATAAACATTACATATTAATTAAATCAATACAGGGCGTTTCAAAAAACGGTCCATCTCTCCTGGGTAATAATTTCGTAAAAATAAGATTTATTTTTATACCAGCGTAGGTCCAATTCTGCTTTGTCTTGTAGCTACAGGGAGTAATCTTCATTTTTTGGATTTATTATAATTTTCTTCAAGTGCTTTTAGCGATTCAAATGAAATTTTCAGGGTAAGTTACTATAAGTTCTGTATATTCTAAAGCTAAAAAAGTGTCGAGAAATTCACCAGGGACGTGCATATGGGTTATAACTGGAATATTTTTCAAAGAAAAACGTGCACCACTGATTTTGAAATACATTTAAAAATGTATTAATCACGATTAATAAAACAAATTTATAACACAGATGGTCAACAAATTCAGAAAAAAATAATGGTATTTAAGATAATTATGAGAGATGTTTTTTAAAAGTTTTAACATTCTTTAACTTTAAAACTATTTTTACATTTAATAGACATTAAACGGCCTACATAACTGTACTAACAAGAGAAAAAGAGTCAGTAGCGCACATTTTTTTAAATATTTCAGTGATATCCCATATGCACGTCCCTGGTAAATCTGTGGACACTTTTTAGCATTAAAATATGTTGCACTTGGAGTAAATTTTACCCTTCAAATTTCATTCGAATCGCTCAAAACATATGGAATAAAAATATAATAATTCAAATAAAAATTAAGATTTTAACCCCCTGTAGCTCTGAAACAAATCAAATTCGGACCCTATGTTGAAATAAAAATAAACCTTAATTTTTACGTAAGAAATCTCCCCGCGAGAGATGGCACATGTTTTTTTTAAACACCCTGTATATAGTATTTCTGTAAAAACTATTGATTTAAAAATACATTGGATTAAAACTGTCAATAGGTATGTATAAAATGTCAGAAAAAAATCAAACAATATTATAGTCTGTCCGACGAGAGAACACATTACAGTGACAGTCGTGTCTGTCATTTTAATACACACGTAAATTGTATTTTCTGTTATTTTTTAAATGTCATCTCCCTCTGGCTCGTTGGACAGACTTTGTATAATGCTTTTTTCATGCAATTTTAAATGTGAATTTATAACTAAAACTAATGAGACCGTTTTTATCACTAGGTATTTTCTTAAATTAGACGTAAAAATGAAAAATGGCAAAATTGCAGTCTTAAATTTTATCCACATTTTCAAACACGATTTCAAATATAATATATTCAGCTACTCAAATTTTAAAATATAATATGTACAATTTATGTTAACTTATTAACTGAATATATTTATCTGCATAAATAAAATAATAACTACAAATGAATCTTTAAGATACATTTATCAAAAGTGATTTAAAAAAATTAAACGTTTTGTGATAAATCGCTGGTAATTTGTGATGTAACACGGCGTCAGAGTTGGTTTGAAAAGAAGCTTGATGTCATTGATCATTATTTCCAAGCCAACTTGACGTCGTATGGTATGTCTCTAATAATCCTTAGGAAATATTTTCAAATATATACAACATGTTTAATATAACAGTGCCTGAATTCTGTAGCTTAGAAAACGTTAAGCACTTTTAGACGTTTAGCGCATATGACGTAAATATTGCGTATTAATGCGCTTAGCGTGTTTACCGATTGCACTAAGCGATTCGAAAACGGCTACCTTAAAGGATCGTTTTGCTTGTCGAACTAACCTAAAAATAGATACAACTGTCAGTAAAAATAGAAAAAATGAATGTGATTTTGTGGGTTCTCTTGCTCGTTAGTGAAAAATACTTCTATAAATTCCTTATTGGGTAATTGATAATTTACGACTTGGTAGCTATAAATATTGTTCAAAACATCGAATATGCTGGGAAGCATCTTCAACATTTCCCTTGAATAATAAGAATGACATATCTATAGAAAAATAGGTTGACGTAACTCAACAATATGTTATGAAATTAACCTAACAGTGACATTTTTCATTAGAGATACCTCATACCGCAATTTCTCAGGTAGGTATCTCATAAACGGCATACACACGTAACGATTTATCGTACTGCGCGTTGAACTGCAGATCGTAAAGAAAATCGTACGGCTTGCAGTACAGTCATTTTTTGTACACACGATGCAACACATTGTACTGCCGCAGTTCAGATTATTCACTTTTCGTCGAGAAGGGCTACCGTTATGTCAAGAATTCCAAAGAAGAAAGCTGCCGTGCTTGTAGCTGCAGTATTGCTGATAGATGAAGATGATGAACAAAAAGAAATCAAAAAGCGAAAATGGTGTAATTCACATCCCGTAAGCATCTATTTTCTCTATATAAATCAGAGAGAAACTAATAACTAAAGTGAGAGGGCTTGTGGAATAGGGCATTTCGTAGACAAGTTTATTTTGTCACCGCGCATCCCAGACGCGCATAGCGTTTAGGCGGTCAAAAAAGGAAGTTTTCAGCTTTGCAAGTTAAACATTTGACAGGTTTAATTAGATTGTCAGTAGCTTTTTGCTATTTCTTAGTTCTAGAAGGAGATAACTAAAATCTGTTGATAATCGGAGCAAATCGGAGTAATAAATTGTTTTTGACTGAATGTGCCTGTTCTTTTAGCTTGTCAGAAGAGAAGATTATTGTCATTATTGATTATTTCAGATTCCACGATTATTCCGCATTTTGTAATTTTTGTTTTGTGGTTGAGACCCAGACAAAACGTTTCCTTTAAAGGTAAGTTTTATCTCGGTAATTATTTTAACATACCTAATAGTAATAGTGAGTGCACATAATAATCGTACATTGCTAATTTAATTTTTTTAATTTAAAACATCACATTCTTTTCTGATACCTATGGAGCGACTAGGTATTATACCTGGCAGTGGCGGCTCGTGACTTTCTTTCATGGGAGGGCACAAAAAAAATGAAAAGCTTTCGAGCAGGGGCGGATACAGAAATTTATTTTAGAGGGGGCCCAAACAAAAAGTAATGTAGAATATGCTTTTTAAAGCGCCATTTTTAACCCAAAAGCCTAATATTTAACCCAGTTTACATATTTTAGGGGGGGCCTTGACCCCATGGGCCCCCCTTTGTATCCGCCACTGCTTTCGAGTAACTAAAAGATAATTATAATAATTTTTATATTCTTTAAACGTTTTATAACCAAATTTTAAATGGATAATTTTTAATACATATAAAAAATTAACACAAAAACATTATTTGTATAAAAAATCTTCTAGTTCCATATTCAATAAACTTAAAAATAATTAAAATCAAACAAAACTCAATAACTCCAAATCAACAAACAATATTCAATGATCCGCCTCCTCAAACTGAACCAATCAATTAAATAACGTGTGTGTAGAGTAGTGTGCATATAAAATTCGCCGACGTTGCCGTCGCGTCGCAAAGCGAACCGACAAGTGCATGCGAAGAGAGGAAGAGACGCAAAATATTGTGTCCATTTCGCTAGCGAATTAACCATTACTTTTAACGGTTCGGTCACCAGATCGTCAAGAATATGCAATAAATATCGGGACAAAATATGAGTGGTCCCCGGAAACAAGTTTTGATATCCGTTGGCTGAAATATTATCATCTCAATAGTCGGAAAGTAATTTTGATTATTTTTGATGCAATAATATAATAAAATTATTATAATGATCATAATGATACTATTAACTGGTTGGATTTATGGTGTATGGAGGGTGGGCACGTTCCCTTGTGCCCTTTAGTACCAGCCGCCACTGATACCTGGTATTATTTCCAGAAATACAAATTATTTTCTTCAACTGTTAGGTTCTTGTTATAGAAGAAAGACCATCAAAAACATTGAATACCTACGGAATACCGACTGATACTCTGTGCGAGCTCCAAACCGTGCTTCCCTGTTCACTCCCAACCAAGTTAGATAAAAAAGATACTGAAGATTGCAGCCTTGAGTTGGAGTATGGCAAGAAGTCTGGAGTTAAATAAATTATTATGTTCCTACACAGTATTTTATTTATAGGTTTTAATGCTTAAAGTCTAATAATAAATTTTCGTTGTCAAGAAAATAATCTAAAAAACTACGAAGATTTCTTATTATAAACTTGAAAGATTAAGATTCGGTTCAAATATACAAATTTTAAATTTTTGGCGCCTGTATATAGGTATGAATGCAACCTACTATATCGATAGTTCGCTCATAGTTCGGGGACTAACATTGTCTTCAAAAATTAACGTTGATCGGTCTCTCTCACTTTAGTTATTAGTGTTCTCTCTGATATAAATCAATGAAGTATTCCCAGAACGTCTTATTTTTTAAATCCATAATATTGATTAAACCAAAAATAAATAAAAATTATATCGTAACTGCGCGCTGCGGCAGGGAATACACTCCACACGTTCAGACTTGCGTTCAAACCCCACCCCAGACACGACCCGTTGATACGATATTTTACGGAAGCTCCGTACTGCAAACGATTTGACGACTGCATATTGCAAACCATCCAATTTCCCTACACACGCTACGATTTATCGTTAATGTTACAGTTTCGATGGATATCGTACTGCATACAGTAGGATAAATCGTTACGTGTGTAGGCCGTTATAGTTAAATGTGGATAAAACGATAAAAAATGTCAATGTTACGTGAATTTCATAACCTACTGTTGAGTTATGTCAACCTATTCTTCCATAAAGATGTCATCCACGGGGGTGTCACTTGTATGGGAAAACAGGCAACAGTCAAATTTAAACGTGCCAGGACCAACGACAAAGAAAGCAACATCTGCCAGGCATTGGCTATCTTTGTCATTCACATTGCTTAAATCATGATACTGCGGCCATTTTGCCAACAAAGAAGCTGGCCGGGCTGTCCTGGCAAGTGATTTAAAACAATTTTGCTTTTTTACAATATTAAATTACCATTTGGATGTATTTAATGCGATTATTCAGTTAACTGGTAAGTCAGAAATTACACACAAATACTTTATTCGTAAATACAACTAAGATATAAACGTATTTTTTGTATTTTTAGATTCAACTTTTGCAAAGACCCGCCGATAGAACTTGCCTGGCAGCGTACCTGTTTAACTAAACGTATTATTTCCTGATAATAATATCAAAACACGTAAGTACCTCTATAATTTATGATGACAAATGATTTTGATTATGTTTTATGTTATTTAAATACTTTCTAACCTCAAATAATAGTAAGATCCTTGTTTATATCGCACAGCCCGTTCAAAACTGTATTGTCTTCAAAAAATGTTTACAAAACAAACAATTATTACAAAAACAATGTCCTTTTAATCTGATTTATACCTCAGAAGGATGCCAGTAAAATTTTATTAAATCAACATTATATTATTTGGCCATTAATATCCAAAAAGGAGCATATTGCCTTAACTTAAATTTTCTTTTACTTCTCTTGACAATGTTCTCTATATTCTCTATTTTGAGTTAGTAAACTTTTGAACGGGATGTGCGATATATAAAATACATAATATATCCAAGGGTATGATCTGATAAAAGTATTTTTTGATGCATTTTTTGGTTTTTTATGCACGTTGGCTTGGTTTATGTTTTATTCAGCTTATATTTATTTGGTATAACAGCTTTTTTTTGCCTTTGGAATGGCATGCATTGAGGCTAGATAGTGTTTCATTAGATCATTAAAGGAATTTAAATTAGCATATATTTTTTGTGATATTAGTGTATTATCATGATACAGGTAGTTGTATCATAGTGCCTTATGCATGTTATTTACCCATTATATACTTATGTATTATCAGTAAATAGATAATAATATACTACTAAAATGTCTTTTTAATAGTATGTTTATCTTTCCAATTCACTAGTTATTTGCAAAATGTATTTTGAACTAATTTAAGTCATTAATTGATCATCTTTCTTTTTCAGGTTGCGGGATATTCTTTTTCATTGTTAAAAATATATATATATATATATTTCAATATTATTGTACTATAAATCGCAGCTCTAAAAAATAAATGATATTGTTTACTAATGTGTAATTTATTTACTATGAATTTTCTCTGAAAATAATAAGCCTTTAATAATATCATTGATTTGCTGTGTAAAGTTAATAGACATATTTTTTAATACATTAAATTATATTAAAGTAATAAAAATATGTTTATTAACTTTAAACAGTAAGTCAGTGATACTTATAAAAATATTTTTTTAAAAATTTCCCCTCTTTTAAGCCCCGCCCCTCCAATTCCCCTCAATTTAGCTAGTACTGCCAGGCGACACCAGGTGGCGTCTGTTTCCATTTTTTAACATGAAGTTAGCATTTCTTTAATGTACCTATTCTCTGATGTCATCATTCTTATTATACAAGGGAAATGTTGAAGACGGTTCCCAGCATTTTTGATGTTTTGAACAATACTTATAGCTGCCAAGTCCTAAATTATCAATTACTTTTTGATGCATTTATAAAAGAATTTTTCACTAACGAGCAAGAGAACGCATAAAATCACAATTTTTTCTATTTTTACTGACAGTTAATAGGTTAGTTCGACAAGCAAAACGATCCTATAATCTATAAGGTAGCCGTTTTCGAATCGCTTAGCTCAATCCTTAAAGAAGCTAAGCGCATCAAATGAGAATACCCAAATCGATAGTCAAGTGCGAACTAAGCGAAAATTTACGTCATATGCGCTAAACGTCTAAAATTGCTTAGCGTGTGCTAAGTTACAGAATTCAGGCCCAAATATTATTTACTTAAACATTAAAAGAAACTAATTTAACCAGTGATTAGTAAATTATCCCTTGTAAAATTTTTCAAATTTATCCAGTGTTATATTAAAGCTCAGGACCAAAAATCACAATAAATGTTTTTTATAGAACTATCTTTCTATCACTCTAAATAAAACCAGGAAAGAAAAAAAAATGTCTTTGTTTGATCCAGAGATTGAGCTGTCTTCAAGACAATAAATTAAAGATCTGTCTAGTCTTAACATATTTTAATATTAGTTTCACCATATTTTTTCTGAATAAAAATATTCTAACCGAATTTCCTTTTGGCGAATTATATTTTATGTTACATCTAAACATTATATCGCCCCATTAGTGCAACAACTAGATAACTCAAAATTTATGCATTTTGAGTTATCCAGTTAAATCTGGCCCATTTTTCATGCTCTTTTTAATGCAACAACTAGATATCTTGTATGAGCAACCAGACTTATTTTAAGAGTGGCCAAAAACAGATAACTCTCAACATGTACGTTCCATAACTAGGCACCTTGAGATATCTAGTTGTAGGCAGGTATCTAGCACTGGCATTATTGAGTTACTCCCCGGTACCTTCTCGGTATCTGTGAGATATCTAGTTGTGAATGTGAAACAACAGTTATATTTCTGTGCTGCTAAATTGTTTGTAAGAAGATGAAAGCCGTAAGTTGGTTGGCAGAAAATGTGCTGGATGAACTTTTCTAAATTGACGCCATTTATTATTAAGTTCAAAGAAGATTTTGATGGGGAATTTAGACTTAATTGTAATCGTAAAACACGTATATCCTCTGCAAATAATAACTTAGAGCCTTTATATCATAATCAACTACCTCTTACAAAAGAAAAATATGACGACCTTATGTCTTTGTTCAAAATGAATCTTCCGGACCTCCCTAGCGAGTATAAAGCATTTTTGGAAGTCTTCCGTTCCGAGGAGACCAACGTTGAAGGCCTCAAAACAAGGACGATTTCGAAAGTGATATCAGTGATACTGACATTTTAAGTTGTGTTAAAAGTTACATCTTTTGGGTTTTATTTACAAATTTTGTTGATTTTTTATTCCATATTTTCATTCTTTTCAGCAACAACTAGATATCTCAAATTTTAATCAAATTCTCCAAAGATAATAAACCTTCCCCAAAAAATTGTCCCCAAAGTTAACAAATTATAATTTGATATGCAACATATAATATTTTTAATTGCTTAACAGATATATTTTTTTTGCTCTTCGAATATTTAAAATGGGTTTTCTCAAAACTATGAATTTCAAGTTATCTAGTTGTTGTACTAAGGGGGCGATATTATACATGGTGGTCCAGATTATATTCGAGAAATTCCACCAGTATATTTAGCAAATAAAAATATGTAAAAAAGTTCGTATAAGTTTATGTCGTCACATGCTTCATTTCGGAGATACGTATAATGGATATATCATCGGAGATAAGTTCGTATAAATGTATGTCCTAAAATGATTAGTTTCGGAGATACAGGGTGTAGAATTTTCATTTTTATTTCGATTTTTTCCAAATAATTTCTGAACTAACGACGATATTTGGATGAAAATTGTGTCTGGGTGTTTTTTAACACGAGGAATTTGATTTTGATGTCAATATGACCCCTATTTGTAGGGGGCGCCACCTACATGGAACTTTTCGTCCGTATCTGTATTAAACTACAGAGCGGATGAATATACACTACCGCCATTTTTTACGCACAAAAGGTCTTTTGGTAAAAATGGCTTCGACCAATCAACTGTTCTCAAGATATTTGGAATCGAAATAATCAATACATGGCCATTACAAAAAATAAACATGTTGACTATAGTGTAATTATTTGACTGAAATTATAAATTTGGGAACTTTTGTTTTTAAACGAGTCATATTTTTTTCTGGAAAAAAACTATGATAAAACAGTTTTAATCATATTTTTTTCTGAAAAAAAAACAGTATGATAAAACAATTTCTGTTAAACCTTTCTTTGAAACCAAGACATTTCCAAATTTATTATTTCGGTCTAAGAGACCCTATTTCACGTAAAAATGGCGGAAATGTATATTTTTCAGTCAGTAGTGTAATACAGGTACAGACGAAAAGTTATTGCTCATCAAAAAACATATAGTTGGCGCCCCTTACAAGTAGGAGTCATATTAATAATCTAAATCAAATTTCTCATTTCAAAAAATACCCAGACATTAATTTTCATCCAAATATCGGTGTTAGTTCAGAAATTATTTAGAAAAAATCGAAATAAAAATGAAACTTTTTCAAAAGGAAGAATTTTCGGATATTCATTTATAACAATTTTTTACTTATTTTTATCTGCAGAATAGGATACCGAACTTTCCGGAATACAATTCTGACCACCCTGTATAGAGATGTAATTACAATAAAAACATTTTTCTTGCGATATTTTTGGTCCTCCCTGTTTAGTTACCGCTTAGTTCTAACCTGTTCAAGTTAAAAACGTAAAATTATGGAATGGAAATTACACCTAAACCGACTCCACCTTCGTGAGCTATCATGTCTGCAGCATACTTCCATTCGTTCAGCTTCGGATCATATACTTCCACGGTCACCAGGTTTGAAATGCCGTCGTAGCCACCAACTGCCCACAGTTTGCCCATGTTAGCTGTCAGAGCCACTCTGCTACGTTGAGCGTTCATGGGAGCAACGTAGGTCCATCTTGAATGGGACAACAGTTTTAGTTAACAAAGTTTGAAGGATCGTATTTTTTATTATTATTATAAAGCAGGGTTTCTTAAGGTACGGTTCGCAAGATAATGGGTTTGCGTCAGTAGATCTTTATTATTTGAAAAAATCTAGGGTGGCTGTGTGATATACCTTTTGTTAATTTAACAAAAATTAAAGATTGTAGAGCAAAATACTCAAATGTAATAAAAGATTCACGTTTAAAACATATTTTAATTATTACAGAATTAAAACTAGATATAAACCTATGATTATGTGACAAAAATTAGCTAGATGAAATCAAATGCTCAAAATGCTTTCTTTCCTGTTAACTGCATAAAATGATTGTATTTTCAAAAGGATATTTTCATTTTAAAAAGCATACGTGGAGTTCTACCCCAAAAAGCAGCTACAATAACTTCTCTCATGTTGTCGACAATAGTTGGTCGAGTTTTGTAAATACTGTCTTTAATATATCCTAAAAAAAAACAGACTAGATAAAATCAGAAGCATTTAAGTATTCTATTAATTGGTGAATGCACATTGCATTCACCAAACTAACAGAATCATATCAATTCTCTCTGATGTAGGAAAGTTTGCATTTTCGGCAAATTTCTGAGAATTTTTTTTGTTTTAACTGACACAAAATGATAACTAGTTGTTAAAGTTGGACTAATTAGACAGCTATGTTGAAGTAACGTTACACATATCACAGCCACCTAGATTTTATCAAATAATAAAATATCTAGGAAAATCTTTGAGGGGTAGGCATCCTTAATAGTATTTTGAAGAGACATGAATTCTCCACTGAATATCGGAATAATATACTGGGTGTTCCATTTAAAATGCTTTTAAAGGTGACCAATGTTCAATATTAATTTTGTCTCACCCTGTATAACTTTTTGGATCAAGTTTTAATTTGATTTAAAGAACAATAGTTACCGGGTTATACCGGGTATAATTCCAATTTAGGTAGCTTTTATTCTAATTTAAAAATTGTTCTTTATTTCTAGAAAATGTTAAATATGTCAAAAACCTTACATTTTAGTCATATACTTTTCTTATAAAACTCACCTTTATTCTACAATTCCAATTTAGGTAGCTTTTATTCTAATTTAAAAATTGTTCTTTATTTCTAGAAAATGTTAAATATGTCAAAAACCTTACATTTTAGTCATATACTTTTCTTATAAAACTCACCTTTATTCTTCTCCCAGAATCCGAAAATCAATTAATATATAGGGTGTTGCATTACAAAATATACAACTTTGATATGTAACTTTTTTTAGGGACACCCTGTAGAACTCTCTATATTTTTAAAAAGTGTTCTGAATTAACCTACATATGTGCACAAAATCTCATTTCAATACAAATTGTCGTTCTCTTTGAAGCTTCCGCAGCGTGTGAGAGTCGCCACCCTGTATTTAGTTACACTAACAAACTATAAACACTCTCAAAGTGAGAATATCGCCTACTCCCTTTTTATTTCTGATGCCTCAGTTAAAAGTAAGGTTAGGACAATTAGAAGGTAAAATTCTACTTTGCTTTGATCAACATTTCTAGAAATGTATCAGTAGTAATAATAACTATATTTATTTAGTATGTGATAGTTATGGCATAACCAACCCAAGGAGGATGTGCTTCATTTTAGGTAGTTTATGTCCATTTGAAATATTTCACATATATTTACCCCAGTTAATGCCAAATAAAATAAGGTGTGAGTAAAAAAATGACAGTTAATACTTACTTGTTAGCTCTTGGATCAAACATTTCTACAGTTTGAAGGAATGAACTTCCATCATATCCTCCACAAGCGTAGAGTTTTCCTCCAAGCATAGCTACTCCTAATCGGCACCTAACATTGTAATTATATTTTGTATGAGTATTTTGAACTTGAATTATAAAGAAATAAAAATTGATCCTACCTCTTGGTAAGCATAGGCGGCGCTTCGATCCATGTATTAGTGGTGGGATTATATCTTTCAACAGAATCGAATATTGAGAGACCGTCGTGGCCACCCAGTGCATAAATATGTCCTAAAAATCGTTATTTATAAGATATATGATTTTAAAAAGACCCACTGTTACCTTGGCAAGCAATAACAGCACCAGCGCTTCTTGATTTGTTCATTGGAGCTAGCGAACACCACGAATTTGTACTAGGATGATATCTTTCTACGGAGTTTAGAGAAGTGACTCCGTCATAACCTCCGCATACGTAGATTATATCAGCCAGTGCTGTTGCTCCAAGGGCACTATAAAAATATAATTACTAGAGATAGATTGGACACTGATATAAAACAAATAGGTTCGTCATTTAAAGCCACCTAGTGATCCTTAACTAGAAGAAACTAATGGGGAGTTTTGGTATAACATAATTTTAACATTCCGTTACTTATTAACGCTAACTAAAACGGTAACATTATTCAAGCGCAAAATTATCTCTAGTAAAATATAGAATAATATAGACTTTTTACTACATTTCATGTTTTATTAGCTCATTAGAAGTGTAACATAGTCAAAACAAAATTAAAATTATGAATACATATATTATTTTAAACACCGCGCTTTTTTTGATTTAACAAATAAATTATAATATAGTAAACATATTATGGACTACTAATTAACTGTTAACCAACAAAGTACTTACTTATTTATGATTAAACTATTTTTTTATTTCGTTCATAAATTTATCATTTCTAAAATATCAAAATGACTTTAATAAAAAAGTTTAGTATCTAACATGAAAATGAAGATCGATTGTAAATATCAGAATGCACAAAGTAATAAAAATAAAAACTATAAACACAAATCACCGAACTTTCCGACAAATCAGGAATATCCGAATTAATCATTATTTAAATATTGATTTATAAATAACTTGACGGATCACCAACATTGTCAACTAGACCAAAACTAGACCATTAGACGGTAGTTCACATAGACACTGTCATATATAAGTAAGAAACCTGTACTTTAATGTCTTTTGCGCCGTCTGGCGATGAGGAAGAAACTAAATTTGTAGTTCTATAAAATTAGCATTGAGTGTCTAGGGCCTGACTGATACCAACAAAATATAGAAGTGTCTAGCCCTAGCAGTCAACTATTAAGCTTGACCAACCAGGTTGGTTAGCGTGGTTATTTGGAGGGTGTTAACTCATTTGTGTATGTCAAGAACTCTAACGTGATTGGTCGGGCTTAATAGTTGCCTGCTAGGGCTAGACACATGTACAAAATATAATATCATTTATGAACATTTGATGGGATAAGCAATAGTAGTTATATAGCATATACCGGGTGCGTCTAAAAAACAAGATTTGGTATGTTAGTATATGACATAAATTGGGATTGATTGACGTATTCAGTTGTTTTCAGTCACTTCCTGTTTCACCGGAAATGACTATATCTTTTGATTTATAATTGCCCCCCTCGATATTTTTTTTTTTACTTTATTCGATAGAAAATAACACTCTGAAAAGAATGACATATCGTATGTCTTTCATAACTTTTGACATTTTCGCATATGGCTTATTTGAAATTATAACTTGCGGTTCGTAACGAAAAGTTGACTCGAAATACCAAGTGTGTGGTATCATATTAATCGTAAAAAATGCTTTTTCAAAATATCCTAACGAGCCACCCTCGTTTCATTTGAAAAAATTAATATATGATTTAAAATACGATTTGAGCATTTTCTAACTGGCCAGGACAAGACACTAAAAACATTAGACGATCAAATCTATTTTTCCAAGGCTCCTTGATTAAGAATTAGTGTTTTTAACATAGCCGTGGCACTCTAAGATTGAATTTTAAAATACGATTTTTTATTAAGCAAGAATGTCAGAAGTTGACATATGATAGGTCATTCTACTCAGAATGTTATTTTCTATCGAATAAAGTAAAAAAATACTGAGGGTGCCATTTAAAAATCAAAAGTTGTAGTCATTTCCGGTGAAATAGGAAGTGACCAAAAACAACTGAATACGTCAATCAATCCTAATTTATGTCATATACTAACACACCAAATCTCGTTTTTTTTATCTGAAAAAATAAAAATGTTATAGGGGTGAGCCACTTTTGAGACGCACCCGGTATAGGTCAATTCATAGTAACAGAAGGCACTGTTAGTTTAGCTTTATCTGATGGCAGTGTAAGTTTTGTCTGGTGTAAGCGTATAAGTGACGTGAGAGGCTGAATCTGTATAATACCAAATAATACTTTGAATATGAAATATTAGATTTTGACTATTTTTTTTTATAAAATGTAAATAATATTGGGACAAAATTAACAAAATTATGGGTAACATCATTTTACTCAATATAAAAATAAATTACAACCTTCTTAAGACAAACTGCGCAATTAAAAAATACGAAGAGTACGGGAGAAGTAAATGACGGCTAGGGCTTGACTTCGTTAAAATTACCATAGATTGTCATTCCCCAGCCGTCTTCGACACAGTTTTTTTTTCGATGGTATGCATATATCCAGGGTTGGAAAATCCTGATTTTTTTAAAAAAAATCAAAAAAATCAGATTTTTTTTTATTTAAATCAGATTTTTTTGATTTTAATTCAAAACAATATTTAAATCGGATTTCCAAATGACTAGGACTTATTTTCAATTAAAGTCCTATCCTAAATGGCTAAATCTATACGCCGATACCAATAATATTAACAATTCTACGGGGCGTGTGATTTTTCCACATTAGTTACCAATATATTCCGCAAAAAAAGTCGTTCGCTTCAGATCAAAAGGATTTTTTTTCAAACGTCTCAAAAGTATTAATTTTTGTCATTTTAACGCCTAGACATAAAAGTAAAGTACTGTTACGCCTAAGCACAAAAGTACAAAAATATATTATTAAACTGATATTAAGTCAAATTCAACGAGTGTACAAATTGTTGCTCGATTACTGTTTACATTATTTGTAATGTTTGAAATTGATTAAAAAAATATGTGTAATGTTTAAAAAAATGGTATATTCTATTCGGAGTAAAAATGTACTTTTTATGCCTCCCTGTAACGTCGGAATAGCTTTAGGATTGTCTTTCAAAGGTACAGCATCGTCAAAAAAAGTATAATTTTTACTCCTAATAAAACAATACACTATTTTTCGGAAATAGTCTTATGTCGAGAATGAAATTAGTATGTATTATGTCAAAGTGTAAAGTACTTACTGCAGATCAAAATGTCGGTAGGAATTTGGAAACATACAACCGTTTCAAAAAAAAATAAAACAACATATTTTCTGACAACGATTGTAGATTCTCGGGAATGAAGATATAGTCTCTATATAAGAAAAACCTAGTTCTGCATTAGATTTTGCGAATGATATGTATTCGAACAGCGAATTTTTCACTTATTCATAAATTTTAAAATCCCTGCGTTTAGCGGTATAATGAATTCACACGAAAGTAGTTAAAAATTCGGTCCAACAATTATGAATAGTTTTTTTTTATATAGTTTTATAAGTTTTATAACGTTTACAATTATTTTTCGATTTATTATCTATTATATCTGTTATAGAAATATTTTTTTATAGTTTTCTAGGACACATTTCATTTTTATAACTTTTACAGTTATTTTTGGATTTATTATAAAGTTTCAATAAAATATTTTTTTTTTATTTAAATCACATGATTAAAATTTAAAAAATCACTTGATTTAAATCACGATTTAAATCATGATTTAAATCATTTGATTTAAATCATGCCAACCCTGCATATATCACAATAATATGCCAATGAAATTCTGAACTTTTGAAAACAAATTTACATCAAAAAGCCATTGACGGGTATAGATTTTAAAACAGTTTATATATGAGGCTTTTATATGAACTGGCAATTCACTATACAGTTTAGAAAGATCATACCTACCTCCTTTTACATATCATCGGTGTAACCATACTCCATTTCTTTTGCAATGCGTCGTAAACTTCAACGCTGGATAGTCTGTCTCTACCATTATAACCGCCGAATGCGTAGAGTTTATGTTTAATAACAGCGACGCCCAGTCGCGACCTCATCATTGACATTGCGGGAGCCAAGTTCCACTTCTCCAATTTCGAATCGTAATATTCGACAGTCGAAAGAGATTCGCCTGGAAAAAGAAATCTGGCTCTTTGAAAAGTAAAGGAAGTAAAGCTTCTCATTCTCCACCTATAGATATAGTTTTTCTCGTCTTCCTATAAATATAGTTAATTTTTCATCTTGAGGCATAAAGGTGCTCAAAGTCAAAAGTTGTTCAAAATTTTAAATTTTTGACAAAATACCCTGTATGTAAATTCCCTGAAGGATTATTATTCATTATATTTATTGATTTATCATATTTATTGAAGTTTTTGGTTTGAGATTTTCACTCCAATTTTTTATAAAACATGGGGCAGCACACATTTTAGTAGTCAGCGTACAGGGCGATTCAAACATAGTTTTATCTAAAATGTAATATTTTTAAATAGAAAGCTATACCGAGTGCCTCAAAAGTGGCTCACTCCTATAACTTTTTAATTTTTTCAGATAATAAAAACGATATTTAATATGTTAGTATATGACATAAATTAGGATTGATTGACGTATTCAATTCTTTGCCAATTCCTGTTTCACCGGAAATGACTACAATTTTTGATTTTTAAATGACACCCTCGGTATTATTTTACTCCATTCGATAGAAAATGACACTCTGAATAGATTGACATATCATATGTCAACTTTTAACATTTTCGTTTGAAAGAAAATTGTATTTTAAATTCCAATCTAGAGTGCCATTGGCTGTGTTAAAAAACCTTAATTTTTAATCAAGGAGCCTCGGAAAAATAAATTTGATTGTATAATGATTTTAGTGACTTTTCCTGGCCGGTTAAAAGATATCCAAATCGTATTTTTAATCACACCTTAATTTTTTCAAATAGAACGAGGGTAGCTCATTAACATATTTGGAAAAAGCATTTTTTTACCAATAATTTGATACCCCACACTTGGTATTTCGAGTCAAATTTTCGTTATGAATCGCATTTTGCAATTTCAAATAAACCATATACGAAAATGTCAAATGTTGACATATGATGTCATTCTATTCAGAGATATCATTTTCTATAGAATAAGTAACAAAATACCATAAACAAAAAAAGTTATAGGGGTGAGACACTTTTGAGCCGCACCCGGTATATCTATTTTTTATATGTTTTTTATGTATGATCGAAAAAAAAAACGAAGACCAGTTCGCTTGGAAAAGAACATCAATGACATTTTCCAAATACAGCGATCTTCATTCCTTAGCCATTACTGACGCCGTTGTTTTTTCGATCATATTGTATTTTTTTAGTAGAGAGAGAGCTCAGTGGATTTGCTACTCGATTCTCTTTTCAAAAATGTGGTTTTTGAAATATGATCATTTTTTTATACTTTTTAACCAGAAGTTTTAATACTTTTTAACTCGGAATACTTAATAGTGTCTTTTTCAAAATTCAGCGTATTAAATACTGCAATACTGTTTTGATATAATGAGGGTGAGTCAAATTAAACTTATTTTAACCCCTAATTCAAACCCTGCATTTTGTATAATGAAAGAAAAATTTGGTTTAACTTCCTTGTTTTATAATAGTGATGGGTTGTTATTTAACTACCTGTTATTTTATATCAATTATTTAGAAATAACATAACGCAGAGATCGACCGTTCGTGAAACAAAGTCGGCGCTCTGCACCGCCACGAAATTCGATGCTGCTCGAAGCAATTCCAAAAAACAACTAGTATGGATGGAAAACATGTTATTTCGACAACTATCGATACAGGCGGCGAGATACAACGGACAACGAAGTGGGAAATGCGCTACGGCACGGCGCAGCGAACGTAGCTGCATCGGTCGATGGTCGTATTGGGCTTGCAACAGCTTAAAAATAATAGGATATAAAAGAAGCAGCTTTTTTGAAACAGTTGCGGGCATAACGCCTGGCGGTCGAGATAACAGGAGTGGGAAAGGAACGCTGCTGCATCGGTCGATTGTCGATGGAGGCTCGCAACGCGTTGGAGAATAACGTATAGAAAATAAGCAGTCATTTTAGATAGGTACATTGTTTTTTAACCTGTTACGAGCATAACAGAGCGGCGGTTGAGATAATCGGAGTGGGAAAGTAACAGCGCTTTCAGATGGAGCGGACCGTACGCGCGGAGCGTCCGCGTGGATGTTTTTTCGATATAGCTCATCCGGACGGAGCATACGCGACTCATGTGAAATCGTCCATATAAGCCCATGGTACTTGCTCGAAGTCGCGGACGGTCCGTCGCGGAAAATCTGAAAACGTTGTAACGCTGCTGCATCGGTCGATTGTCGATGGAGGTTCGAAACAGGTTGGAGAATAACGCATCAGTTGTTTTAGATACATTGTTTTTCAACCTGTTACGAGCATAACGGGCGGAGGTCTAGATATTATGGCGCTGTATGATTCAGTACTTAGTTATTAAGTTTCAATATTTAGGTATTTATTTATTCTGAAAAATTTTCAGAATAAATACCTAAGTAGAAATTCTCCTTTGCAAATCTATACTAATAAATAAAATCCTTAAGTGACTGACTCACTGATTAATCACGATCCTACTCAAACCACTCAACGTAAGAAGCTCAATTTTGGCATACAGGTTGATTCTAGGGTGTAGAGGTTCGATAAGAAGGGATTTTTCGAAATTCCAGTTCCAAGGGGGTGAAACCACCCCTCAAATATTACAATATTTTTTATTTAAAAAAACGGTCAAGTTTCCGAAAAAACGCTTAAACACGTATATTTTATTTTGTTTCTTTTACATATTTTAATATTTTTTAAAAATGTATACAAGATGTTTCGAGAATTCTGGTCATTGATTAATCACGATTCTGCTTGAAGCCTTTGACGTAAAAAGCTGATTTTTGGAAAACGGATTGGCTTTAGAGTGTAGAGGTTCGATAAGAGGGGATTTTTCGAAACTCGAATTCTAAGGGGGTGAAACCACCCTCAAATATTAGAATATTTTTTATTTAAAAACCGGTGAGTTTTTCGGAAAAACTCTTAAACACGTATATTTTATTTTGTTGTTTTACATATTTTAAGATTTTTTAAAAATTTATACGGGGTGTTTCATAAAATATGACCATTGAGTAATCACGATTCTGCTTAAACTGCTTGATGTTTAAAGCTGATTTTTGGCAAACGGATTGACTGTGGGCTGTAGAGGTTCGATAAGGAGGGGTTTCTCGAATCTCAAATTCCAAGAGGGTAAAAACGCCCCTCAAATATTACAATATGTGTTATTTAAAAAACGGTTAAAGATCGCGCACACTATACCTACACGGACCGGCACGGACGAGACCAGTAAAATCTACCGGTGAAGGTGACCGTGTTATTTAATAGAGTAGAGCACACTAGACCAGTACCAGCACGTACCGCCACAAGCCACGACCGTCAAAACAGGTCGTGTCGGTCAGGGACAAATATGACCGGCAATATTTATGCGTGGTCGTGCTGGTCCGACCTAATGTGCGCACCGGCGAACCAGCACACCTCCACAAACGTCGATCGAGGGGTAGGGCGAAGGTAGATCGGAATGTATAGGTATAGACGAGTGGCGGCATTTTGACTTTTTTATATCGCAATTTGTAAACAGCGCTTATTTCTAAACAACCACCGTTTTTAGAGAGGTATTTTAGATAACAATCAATATTTAGAAATGTTTTGACACCCTGGAAATACTACCACCGAGCACGTCATTGTTGAAACTTGCAACTGCGTTAATACGCCTGGCGGTGACCGCCTCATACTCTTTCAGATATTTAGCAATAAAATAAAGAAACCTGTTATTTTTAAGCTGTTTTTTATAAATAACTATAACAGTTTCAACTGTTATCTAAAAATAACAGTTTTGCCCATCACTATTTTATAAGCACTTTCTATAACTAAAATCTAAAACCGATATTTACTGCGAAAATACTGTTAAAAGTGTTGGCGCAGTTATTGCCCGTATATTTTGGTAGTAAGATTGGACTAAAAATCTCAAATCAGAAAGCTTTCTCTGACCTGAAGAGAAAGATCTTAATCTAAAGATATCTAGTGAAATATGTGCAGTGCCTAACTTGATTTGATTGTGTTTAGTTATTTCTTTTTGATGGCCACTAGAGGATAACCCCCTTGAAATATTAAATAACTTATGTTGATCATGTGATATTACATCTAGAATAAAACAACCAAAGTCCAATCCCATTTTAGACAAAAATAAACGAGTATTTTAATTATTATGACTTTGTGTTGTAACAATATTCTACACAAGGCAAACTATTATGATAATATAGCTACTAGTTAAAATGTGTTATGCATTTTTAATTTATCATAATAATTCTTATACCTAACACACTTATCAGTTATATTACTGGTAATATTTCGAATACAAATTATATACAATAAATATTAAGTATAATTTATATTCTGAAGGATAAACCTAGGATGTCAATTGTTACTTGCAATTTTTGGTGTGGACAGTAAAATTAATTTTTATTTTTTCCATTTACAGATTATTAAATAAAGAGAAAAAAAAGAAGAAAGAAAGAATTTTATTTATAAAAAAATATATTTATGAATATTGTTTTTTGACTAAATTACTAATATTACCATGTCTATTTAAGCCTCCAACAACATAAATGTATCCCTTAACTTCGCAAACGCGAGGTTCGGTCCGAAAACTTTGTATTAGTGCTCTTCTTTCAGGTATAAGGTGGAATGTTAAAGCTTCATCTACTAAATCTCTGAAAAAAATATATAATATTAAATATAATAAGACAATGAAATTTAACCTAAAATCTCACCTGCACTGTATAGAATATCTTATTTGTTCCTCATTCCTGACTCGATCAGTAATGTATAAAGGTGACAGAAGAGGCAAACGTACTAGAGACAGTAATTCTGGCAAGAATTCTTTTCTATTGTCGATGTCGTGCTTAACCCATCGCATACATGCTTCAAATACTTGTTCTTCACTATGATTAAACAATTAAAAGTTTAGAAAACAATAAAAAGGAACAGAAAAACAATTTATACTTACTTGTCAACTCTAAGATCATTTTTACCTAACAAATTTTTAATTTCAACTAGGGATAATGATAAGTATTCTTCATGCTGAGAAACTTCATGAAAATACCAGTCAATATATTTTTCAGCTGATTCGGCTAATGTCGAGGAACCTAAAGATTCTGCAAAATGACGGAACCCTAGAGCATTTTGTGGGTGAATCCTATAAATCAAAATTTAAAATAAATTAGTCAATTCTATTAAAAAAATGTTTCTTACAGTTACCTTTGTAACAAGTAATTAGCACAAGCATCGCGGACTTTATTTAATTGTAGATAAGATGCACCGATCATAATACTTTGTACATTATTTTTGTCCAGAACAACTTTACCCGTATAGGCAAAATTTACCAATGCTTCTAAGGCACTGAAATAATAACAGCAGACATAAATATAAGTTAAAAAATCTAAAAATATTTGAAAAGCAATTGCATAATATATGAGTAACTTACGTGGCATCAATACATTTAATTTCGATTTCTTTATTTCTGGACTCGACCATATCATTCATAAACATAGCATGAAAATATGGGATGGTAGAAGCCAAGACAATTTTATGGGCACTGAAGTGTTGCCCTTCAACCTGTTGATTAAACGTACACATCCAGTTCAAAAAAAAAAGTACACATCCAGATTCATTCAACACAGATGTTTGAAAAAACTCATGCCAAAAACGGCAATTTTGTATTAAATTATTGCTAAAAGTGTACATTACCTTTAGGACTACATCACATAGTTTTCCTTGTCTTCTAATATCGGCCATCAAAGGGAATGCCGAAGGGAATAAATCGTTTTGTTGAAAAATCAAATTTTCACTGTTCATTTCCAGTACATTTCTCGTAGTCAAAGCGTTTTCGTTAGAATCACACTCGTTATCGCTATGCATATCGTATCTAATGTTCCAATCCATTTTATCGTCTTTATCAACTAAATAGTTATCACAACAATAGTGTTTTGATTTAATTAAAATCAATTAAAATGTTTTTATTTTTTATTTTTACGAACGTAAAGTTTTGAGGTTAACTTTAAGTCATCTGTCATTCTGTCAATCCTTGTTGCAGAATTAGTTCAAATGTACCAGGCGCGAAGGGCGAGATCAATATTTTCAATTTTAATCTACTATAACTTGACCAAAATAAAACTTTTCTACATCTTTATTATTTATTGAATATTTATTACTATATTAGTATAAAGATATCTGAATACAAAAACGAATTTCACATGAGATATTATACAATATAATATATAAAAAAATAAAATTAAAGTACAGTTTAAAAAATGCATTTAAATATGCGATAAAATCTTATCTATAGAATTGTTCTATTCTCAGAGTAAATAACAAACTGGAGAGTATGTTTATTAGTCAGCAGCTTACACTTCACCTACGATTTAATAGTTTGTTTTGAATTTGTTTACAACCAGAGTATAAAGCGTTTTATTTTTTAACTATTTTTGCGCAATAAATTAATATACCGGTGCAATGATTTTTGTAGTTATATTAATAGGGATATTTTTTGTGTATTATTTTTATATTAGACCGTTTAGTTATTGGAAAAAACGGGGTGTAAAACAGGGAAAACCATGGTTCTTCTTCGGAGATACGTGGCCTATGATTTTTCGAGTTATGGATATGGCGACAAATGTGTCCTCTGTTTATCAGCAAATGCCTGATGTTAGGTAATTTATTTATCTAGTTAATTAATCTCGATAATATAAACATTGCATGTCTACAAATTATTATGAATTCATTGCGCAATATCTAATAGAGTATAATACATAATATATTATTTAATACAAATATATGGCGCGAATTTCTAACAATTATGCTATTTTTATTAATAATCTCTAAGTATAAATAAAATAATTTAATTATTTTGTTGAAATAATTGATTTATGCATTCCTATTTGATTAATGTTATCAGATATGCATTAAGAAATGCGCAGAATGCATGTTTACCTTTGAATGCAAATGCGAATATTAACTTGTTTTTAAAAAAATGTTATAATAAAGATTAGATGTTAGAATTACGAAAAATTAACTTTTAAATGTTATTTTTTTCTAAAAGAAGTTTAATGTTACAAGTTACAGGGTGTTCAAATCAAATTTATGAATTTCAACTATTTAAAATTAAAAATTTTCATTTTTTTTGGATAGCTCACACTATACAGGGTTGTTCACCAGATACGACACGGAGTATTGTAGCTAAACGATTAGATTTTTAGAAATTGTAAGTTTTGGGTTCATTGAAGGACTATTAGAGCTACAATTTACAAATATTTTTACATGATACAGAGTATCCCAAATAAATAAAAATATCAAAGTTGTAAAATACATTTTTAGTTTCTACGATTAAAATAAAGGTACATTTGATTAAGGTTTATCACACTTGAACCATACAGTTTTTGAAATATTTTCAATTTTGTGAAATTGCAATAAAAATTTTAAGGCTTCATTTCTCCAAGGTTATCAAGGTTTTTAATACTAAATATTTACTGAAGTTTATTTATTGATCAGTTATTGTGTTGCAACAATCAAAATAATCCTACCTCATACAGAGTGTCTAAAAATTTATTTTAAATAATTTCTAGCTTTAAATGGCAATAACTTGTTTAAATTAAATGGAACACCCTATATATTTTAAGAGAATCAGATGCACAATTTAATTGTCTATTAAACTGAATTATACCATTTCTTACCTATCTCATCAAGTTTTCATAGAAAATGCATTTTTTATAATTTAGACCTCGTTTATCAATATACTCATGGAATATTGACATTTTAGATTGTTTTTAAAGCAACAAATGTACAAAATGTACAGGTGCTAAAAACAATAATATTACTAGCCCATTTGTATACAAAAAGAAAACTATTTAAATATTTATAAAAGAGTATACCGTTAATTAAATATACCACCATTATGTCCGCCCAAATATTAATTAATTACATACTTAATTCTGTTAGTTAATAAATTATTCCAAAAAAATGTTAATTTGCATTAGAAATCAATATAATAATAAGTTATGAAAATGAACGTCTCTGTTGTTATAAATAAGCATTCGTCAAAAAATGGAATAAAATTTTTAAGGTGTTACCGCATTGTCTAATACACATACAAAACTACTACTTTGATTTTTAGTATTTGGAACAATTATTATTAATTAACGCAAACAGTCAATTAATGTAGTTTGAATACTGGAATCATACATGGAATCATATCAATTGGTCCTCTTTAGCAAATATTTAAACAGTTTTTTTAATTTTTTTTAATGAAATAAACGAACTATATCTACAATATTAGTATCAGTACTCTTTAAAAATTTGTTACATCTTTAAAAATAATTTAAAATGTCAATATTCCATGGGTATATTGATAAATGAGGTCGAAATTATAAGAAAATGTATTTTCTACAAAAACTTGAAGAGGTAGGTAAAAAATGGTATAATACAATTTGATAGACAATTAAATTGTCCATCTGATTCTCATAAAATATATAGGATGTTCTATTTAAATTAAACAAGTTATTGCCGTTTAAAGCTAGTAATTTTAAAATAATTTTTTAGACACTCTGTATAAGGTAGTATAATTTTTATTATTGCAACACAAAATTTAGTAAATAGAAATACTTCAGTACAATATTTGGTTTTAAAAACTTAAATACGCATAGAGAAATGAAAAATTAAAATTATTACTGTATTTTGACAACAACCTAAATATTTCAAAAACAGTAAGATTAAAATGCAGTAAACCTTAATCAAATTTACCTTTATTTTAATCGTAGAAACTAAAAATGTAATAATATACAGGGTGTTCCATTTAAAAAAATACAACTTTGATATTTTTTATTGATTTGAGACACTGTGTATCTTGTAAAAATATTTTTAAATTGTAGCTCTAATAGTCCTTCAACGAACCCAAAACTTACAATTTGTAAAAACCTAATCGTTTAGCTACAATACTTCGTGTCGTATGTGGTGAACAACCCTGTATATTCATTATTTTTACTGATTGATATTACAAAGAAGCGTTACATTACAGTGTTGGGCTCAAGTCAATCTCCGCCTTAAAAAGTCTTTTTTAAATAACACTTTATAGGTACTACGGAGCTTATCAGTTCAGTACTCCGAAAATAGTTATTCGTGATCCTGATCTGATAAAAGCGATTACTGTAAAAGATTTTGATCACTTCACGGATCACGTCGCTATGGTTGATCCTAAAGCAGATCCACTCTTCGGCAAAAATCTTTTGGGTTTAAGAGGTATGTAATGGGTAAGATATTATGTTAATCAGGGTGACTCAGATATTATGTTAATCATACAGGGTGAGTTTTCTATGATGTTCTCTATGGGTATCTCGGAAACTACCGAAGATAGAGAGTCGGTTAAATGGAGAAATAATTGCAGTTTTGTGTTGTGGGGTCATAAATATGCGCCTTTCGGATTTTTGAAAAAGTTCATCGCTTATTAGATATTTCGAAAAAAAACAAATTTTGGCTATTTTAAAAATAATGGTCCCTAATTCCATTATAATACTCGACAAAAAGTTTTCAGATAAAAGTTGTAGATAATCACATCCTTAATGAGATTGTCTTGGAAACCATAGTTGGCCATGACTTCATAAAAAGCGCCATTTTTTAAGCTTTTTCAGCGATATAAGCGTATTTTCTACGGTGGTAGAACGGTGGTACGTATGGTTTCGGTACTAGGGAGGCTTTGTTTGCCTACAATGTCTTAATGCAGCGATGCCTTGATGTCAATCAAAATGTATATGCCTGCTTTATTGACTATAATAAAGCATTTGATAAAGTAAGACACAAGCAACTAATAGAAGCGTTAGAACGAAAAAATCTCGATACAAGAGATATACAAATAATAGTAAAACTGTACCTCAATCAAAGTGCGTCTGTTCGCGTCCAATACGGGGAGTTAGACAGGGATGTGTTCTTTCACCACTCCTTTTCAACGTCTACTCAGAGGAAATCTTTAACAAAGCCCTCGAAAATGATGCTGGTGGAATACGAGTTAACGGCATACCACTGAACAATTTGCGCTACGTGGCCGATACAGATAGGATGACGATACAGTCCTTCTCGATGAAAACATGCAAGACCTTCAGAATATGTTAAATAACGTCATTACAACTAGTCGAGAATATGGTCTGACACTCAATGTTAAACCAAATACATGACTGTCACTAAAACTGTACTTGGAAGGTGAGGAACTCGAAAGAGTAGAGAGGTATGACTATCTGGGTACAAGTGTCGACTGCACCGCGGATTATTGTTCTGAAATAAAGATTCGCATTGAGAAGGCCCTTGCATCCTTTGTGAAGATTAAGAAGCTGCTCTGTAGCCGCGATTTGAGCCTAGATCTGAGAACTCGTATGCTCAAATGTTATGTATTCCCAGTCCTTTTGTATGGTATGGAAGCTTGGACCCTCAACGAGCTTTGCGAGCGGAAACTGGAGGCCTTCGAGATGTGGAAATACCGTAGGATGTTGAGAATACCATGGACAGAACATGTCACCAACGTGGAGGTTCTGAGAAGAATGAGGAAGGGCGTCGAGATCCTCAAGGAAGTGAAAAAAAGAAAATTGCAATGGCCATATCATGAGAGGTCCAAAGTATGAGATTTTGTAACTCATAATCCAGGGAAAAATTGTAGGAAAAAGATCTGTTGGAAGGAGAAGAATATCCTAGCTCAGAAACCTGCGAAAATGGTTTAATGTCACGTCATCTGACCTATTTAGGGCCGCAGCTTCCAAGGTCAAAATAGCAATGATGATAGCAACCTCCGATATGGAGACGGTACATGAAGAAGCGATATAAGCTATAATATAGTTTTTTTTCGAAAAATTAGTGAGTTATAGCCAATTTTTATCATTTTTAAACAATTTCACTTAGTTAGCCATGGAAACAAGTTCAATTGTCTTTGCTCTCAGAAACATCAAACTGTCACATCCAAACTATGTAAATTAAAATAGTCAAAAATTGTAAATATGATTTTTTCAAATGAAGTAACGCGTGTAGGATTATTGGTTCAACTTTTCTTGGCAATACATTTTCGGGGATACGTTACATACACTTTTTAGAGAACGGTTTTCAAGACATGTTAGAAAAGTTAAATTTAGAGACTCGCGCATCAATGGAGTGGTTCCAACATGACTTTCATTATGACAGTCCGCCCCCCCATAATGAGAGAAATGTTAAAAATTATTTATATCATAATTCAAACTCAGGGATAGGAAGAGGTGGACTAATTGCATGGGCCTCCTTGATCAACTGACCTATCCATTTTAGATTTTATGCCGTATATTTTTTGAACATTTTCTAAAATAACTTACAGTGTATGTCGTGATATTATTTTTTAAAGTTTTAGTTTGTGTAATGTAAATTGTAAAGAACCGTTTAATAAAATATTCTGTCTTTTTATAAGTTATAAATTATAATAATTAAATAAATAACAGAATAAGAATACCATACCAACTAAGTGAAATTAGTTAAGAAAGATAAGAATTGGCTGTAACTCAGTAACAAAGGTTTGTGTCATATGTCAAAAATGACAGGCTTTAGAAAAAACAGAAAACACAATCTCATTAGTGATGTGATTATCTACAACTTTTATCTGAAAACTTTTTGTCTAAAATAGATTATAATGGAATTAGGGACCATTTTTAAAATAGCCAAAAGTTGTTTTTTTCGAAATATCTAGTAAGCCATGAACTTTTTTAAAAATCTGAAAGGCGCATATTTATGACCCCACAAAACTGCAATTCTTTCCTCATTTAACCGACTCTCTATCTTCGGTAGTTTCCGAGATACCCATACAGAACTCACCCTGTATCTTCTTTGTTTATATATAATTTATAAGATAAAGACAGAATAGTTAATGTCTCTTAAAAAGTATTTTAATTATTTGTATATCTCGACCCGAGATTTATTAAAAAAAAATAATGTGCACTGTATTTTAGGAGACGAATGGAGAAACATGAGAGCAACCTTAACAACATCTTTCACAAGTAGCAGAATAAAAACAATGTTTGAACTAATATCAGAAGCAGCGGAAAATTATATCAAATATTTCCTAAATAAAAATTTGAAAGTAGTGGAAATAGAAGCAAAAGAAACATTCTCGAGGTGAAATATAGAACTATTATAACATACATTTTTAAATATTTAAAAATAACCTATTTTTTTTTATTTCAGATATACAATTGATGTAATAGCTACCACTTCATTTGGTGTAAAAGTAGATTCTTTGGGAGATAAAAATAACGAATTTTTCAGAATGGGCAAAGAAATATCAGAAATAAAATTTACTGCCCTAATCAAAATATTGATAATGCAACTTTCCTTGAAACTATACAGGGTATGTATAGTATAATTAGGTAACATTAAACGCGCGCGCGCGGTCGCTTTATTCATTTTAATAAAAAATATATTTATAAACTCAGATGCAAAAAAAACGCAACAGAGAAATTTTTGTTCAAATTTAAAGCGTTATATTTCTGTTAATTTTAGCCCTATTTGCATGAATTTTTTAGCAAACTGTACTTAATTATATCAACTTTAATTCGTAAAATCAGTTTTTTGTAAACTTTAATAATTGGCATATTATACAGGGTTAATCGAGGGGTTGTTTTTTATACTACTTTAAAGCACCCTGTGCAATAATTTCGTGTGTAAATTTTGCTAAAATATAATTTTACGGTAAGAACAATGTCTCCTGAGCATTTTGTTTTTTGGATCACGTCAATGCATGCTTTGGTTATTTTTTAAGAGCGAAATGAACTGATCACGATCAATTTGCAATTTTTTCAGTTATCATTACTTTTGATGTAATTTTTTTAAGAAGACGATATGGTTTTGGTGACTATTGTCGTAACGTCATATTACGCTGCATCGGATACTCTATACTAAATTAAAAAAAAAAACGTTAAAGACTAACTATACAGTCCTGGTTTTAATAAACATTAATAACGATAACAGAACTAACGATATTAAGGAAAACATCTGTAATACTGAAGTATACAAACAGAAAAAAATTGTAAAAAATTCCTTAATACTTTGTATTGCCTCCCTGGCTGCTATAACTGCCTTATACGTTTGTTCATACTGTCATTGAGGCTGCATATATCATATTGCGTTACGTTTTTCCATTTTTCTTTAAGGACCAAGCGAAGTTCATTTATGAAGCTGCTAACCGCTTCGCGACCTCTAACCCTCCTGCCAGGCATTTCCCAAACGTCGAACATGATGGGTGATGGGCAGTTCATAGTAGTATATAGTTCACAATAATCACCAAAGCTGCCGTGTCATATTGAAAAAAAAAACTTCAAAAATAAATTATAATTGAAAAAATTACAAATTGTTGGTGGCAAGTTCATTTCGCTCTTAAAAATTAACCAAGGCATGTATTGACATGATCCAAAAAACAAAATGCTCAGGAGACATGGTTCTGACCCTAAAATTATACTTCAGGAAAATTTACAAACGAAATTATTGCACAGGGTGTGTCAAAGTTAGGGTAAAAACGTAGGCCAATGGCTAGTCGTTTTGAGAATATTTGCTTATAGAGTATCTCAGTTGGTTTCGTGTTCTTGTAAAAACGGATAACAGGCATCACAAATTCATACGAGAGGTTGTTTACGCTTTGTATGGAGTGGTACTAAAAAGCGGAGATTGACTTGGGTCGAGTTTTGTAATGTAACGCTTTGTAAAGCGAGCATTCGCTAGTCAATGCCGGCAAATAATCTGCGAAACGACCGGCTCGATCGCGAACAACAACAGTGCTCCACGCGACTGTCGGTTCTTTAGCGAATCTCTTTGAGAGATCGCTAACCTGTTACATTACAAGTCAGTAGAGTTTCGGCGAAAGTTCGATTTCAATCATATTTCTATAGTAGATACATACATATTTGCTTTGTGATGTGTAGAATATAGAATGTTTAGGAGGGGAGTTAATCATCGCGACCTTACAGATCTATTGTGTGTTCCCCTTTCTTGAGTTATAACTCATCATTCAGTCTCAGGGCTTTAACAAAAGCCAGTATCTGAGACGGCTCCACAGAGGCCAGCTCTCCATTCTCGACATCAGCCGTACCAACGTTCATGGCACGAACGGTCGTCGTCTCGGCGCACTCAGTGATAAGGTGTTCTAGTGTTTCCTCATTTCCTCACAGAATCTGTATTCGCCGTTGTTTCTCAATTTCAGCCTTGTAAGGTGTTCGTTGAGGAAACAGTGTCCTGTTAGAAACCCCGCGACAATCCGAAGATTGATTTTACTTAAATCAAGGAAAATCTTTGATTTTTCTCGGTCGTAAGTTCTGAGGAACTTTTTCGAGTGTCTTAGACCGTTGAAGAACATCCATTCCAGGTTACGGATGGAGTCTTCCAGATTATTCAGTTCCGCTTTCAGTTGGCTCCCGCATGGAAAACAGAACGGTTCTGGTCCAGTTAGTGGAGTGTTCGCTCCTTTTCTAGCTAGATCATTTGCTTTTTCATTGCCTTCTGTCTCTGGGTGAGCAGGCACCCAGAGTAGGAGGACTTTATTTTCTTTGCCTAATTTGTTGAATTTCTCTAGGCATTCTTTGACCAACTTCAAATTGATGGTTACTGAGTTGATCGCGTTTAGTGCTGCTTGACTATCGGATAAGATGGCTATTTCCTGTTTTCTAATGTTCCTATCTAAGATAAATTGTACGCATCTTTCGATAGTGTAAATTTCTGCCTGAAGGATGCTGCCCAAGTAGCATTTGCACGACTTGCGACCACATGTTTACTAAACACAACGTTGGATTAGTTACAAAAAATAGTTAGCTCCCTACCTTTGGTATTAAAATAAATTTAAACGATTTTATAACGTTGTGCCGACGTTGGACTAGTACTACAGCAAAGTAGAAGCTTCTGCGACGTCGAATAAACGTTGTCTTGTAACCTTTTTTGCTTAAGTGATCTTTAGGTGATTCGGACAACGTAGTTACAACGTTGGACAATATAGAGTTTTCCGACGTCAGTTTCAGGACCTATTCCAACGTTATGCAAACGTCGTCTGGTTTACTAATTCCAACGTTGTTTATATTTCCTTATTCTTACGTTGGTAGGACGTCGAGTCATTACCTTTTTGCAACTGTATTGAACCATAACCTTAAATCTTAAATTTTCACTTCATTGTTCTGTTCAGTCAGACAGTTCAGTGCTGTTTTTGTTTTATAAAAAAACTTAATTAAAATGGGACATAAGAAAGGTACATATAAAACTAAATTTAAATATACATCGACATATATTACCGATAGTTTATCCACTCCCTCGTTTATTTAGATTATAGAGGGCGGCACAAGCTAGACTCTAGGATGACTAAATTAGACAATTTTGCGACTAGTATACTACCTGTTAAGGCCGAACTGCGACTTTAATAGTCCAGTATGCGACTACTCGAACTACTCCATCTTAATCTCCAAAACAACAAAGCGAAAGCCGCCATGTTGTTAAATAAGAAAATGTTTCGTTCCTAAAATAGCAATTCCTGCTTTTTGAATACATTAACTTGAAATATTTGACCCTAAAAAACACGCGGAAACAATTTTTTCGACTGCGAATAAATTATTCTCATTTTACTAAAAAAAATTCAAGAATATTTTTAAAACTTCTTTAATTTCAAGGCCCATTAGTATTTTTCAAAGTAGAAACAATACATTTATCAATAAAGTTGTTTGCGTTTAACTTTTTTTGCCTTGGGTAACGAGTTACAGAGTCGGTTAAAGTGTTTCAATAATTATGATCTTCAAACATCCTCCACACTTAAATACTTTTGTTTTGTTTTCCTTCACTGTCATCTGACATATGTCTCTAACTAAATCATAAAAATAATATTTTTACTATAATTATCCCAATTTAGGATAAAACGCGACTTAGACGCCATATTAGTTTTGTATTTCTGTAAATTAGGATTTTAAACAACGTTGCAGTTTGTACTAAATTAGGCTTCTAGCCAACGTCGTTTCGACCCAAAAATTATTCTCCAAACTAGTGCAGACTAGGGTTGGCACGATGTTGTGCCGACGTTGCGCCCGGACGTTTGGTCGCGTGACACAACGTTGTCCAGACGTCCAAATGCTGCTTGGGTGGGGTAGGTGCCTATTGGTTCGAAGTATTTAGTTTCCGGCCTAAATACTCCTATCCTTGTCCTTGCTTTGGTTTTAGAAGCATCAGTATACCACGTTATGGTATGGTCTTTTACATGCTGATCAAACGTTTCTTCCTTCCAATCCTTTTTATTACTCAATACTACAGTGAGGTGTTATTAATTGTGTTTAAACGTGCTTCTATTAATTGGCGGTGCAAGAAGTATAAAAAATGGCTAAAAAGTTTGAATAAACGTAGGACTCCCAATTTTTAGATCCGACTTCTAGTGACGATACCTACATTTTGATCCGACTTTAAAGGTCCAAAAATACTGGAGTACAGCCAGTCGAGCGTTGAGCGTTGTTCGACTTCGAACGAAACGCTCATTCGCGAGCAGTAAACAAGCTTTATTAGCTTTACATTACAGCGTTCGGCTCAAGTCAATCTCCGTCTTAAGATGAATATAAGATATTAAGTTTATTACAGTTATTGGATTTTTTTAATAATGAAAAAATTTCAGTTTCTCAATTTGGCAATGTTCAGAAAAGAAGTAAATCAATTTTTCACATCTTTAATAGAAGACACAATCAGAACAAGAGAAGAGAAAAATATATATCGGCCAGATATGCTTCAAAATTTGATAGAAGCAAGAAAACAGAATCCAGGTAAAAACTATGAAATGTTTTTAAGGTATTAGAACAATTTTTAAAAACAATTTGTTGTTAAATTATAATTATTGAATTACTAATATCGCTATTAAAAAATAGGGGTTGATGGTAGAAGGATGAAAATTTAGGGTTGTATGTATTTTTAATGCCACATAATAAAAAAGATTGTCCAAAAAAATAAAGAAAATTGGGGCCCACCCTTATCACCTATAGGGGTATAAAAAATAGATAACAACCTATTCTCAGATCTACTGAATATACACATAAAATTTCATCAAAATCGGTCAAGGCGTTTCGGAGGAGTACGTAGGAGTAACTAAACAGAACAGGTACAATTTGTACCTGTTCTGTGCTAAAACTGTGACACGAGAATTTTATGTATTAGATTAATATCAATCCATTAATGCTATCAGTCAATACATTTCATATTATTATAAATAGCGAATGATCGATAAAAAACGGCGTTGGCTTGGAAATGACGGTCGATGACATTTTCCCGATAATTTTACATACAAAATGACAAAGGTCTTCATTTCCAAGCCATCTCTGACGCCGTTTTTTTTATCATATGGGATTTTTGATACAGCTTTTCATAAAACGCACCACATTACTAACGTTAAGCTGTATACCGGGTGCGTCTCAAAAGTGCCTCACCCCTATAACTTTTTTATTTTTTCAGTTAAAAAAAAAACAGATTTGGTATGTTAGTATATGAAATAAATTAGGATTGATTGACCTATTCAATTGTTTTCGGTCACTTCCTGTTTCACCGGAAATGACTACAACTTTTGATTTTTAAATGGTACCCATATGTCAACTTTTGACATTTTCGCATATGGTTTATTTTAAATTATAACGAAAATTTGACTCGAAATACCAAGTGTGTGGTATCAAATTATTCGTAAAAAAATACTTTTTCCAAATATGCTTATGAGCCACCCTCATTTCATTTGAAAAAATTGAGATATGATTAAAAATACGATTAGAGCATTTTCTAACTTGCCAGGACAAGACACTAAAAACATTAGACGACCAAATCTATTTTTCCAAGGCTCCTTGATTAAGGATTAGTATTTTTAACATAACCATGGCACTCTAGATTGAATTTTAAAATACAATTTTTTATTAAGCGAGAATGTCAAAAGTTGACATATGATATGCCATTCTATTAAAAATGTCATTTTCTATTGAATAAAGTAATAAAATACCCAGGATGCCATTTAAAAATCAAAAGTTGTAGTCATTCCGGTGAAACGTGACATAACCAATAACAATTGAATACGTCAATCAATCCTAATTTATGTCATATACTAACATACCAAATCTCGTTTTTTTATCTGAAAAAAAAATAAAAAAAATTATAGGGGTGATAGTTAATATTATTTGGTATTTTTTTCTTAATTACGCTTATTCTTTTTTTTATAGGAACTTCAAAGGTAGCACGTAATTTTTCTAATGAAGACATTACGGCTCAAGCTGTGATATTTTTCTTTGCTGGATTTGATTCTGTTTCGTCTGTAATGACATTTTTGAGTTACGAATTGGCAATAAATCAAACTATTCAAAATAAACTGAGAGAAGAGATTTACGCAACACTGAAGGAAAACGATGGGAATGTTACATATGAAGCTATAGTTCATATGAAATATCTGGATATGGTAGTTTCTGGTAAGAATTATTTGATATTATACTGCTGTAAATGTGTAACTAAGAACTAGACTCGCTAATTATTTGAAAATTGAAGATCTTTGATGTTATACAATTCAACCATTCCTTTAAATATGTATACGGAATACAGAATTTTCTTTTGTAAGTTCTAGAACAATGATATTTTTTGTATTTTTTATTTAAGTCTTATTTAAAACCTCTAAATTCGTAGAATAAATTAGTGGTTTCAATTATACTTCATACTTATGAGTTTACGATCATTCACAATGTCTAAAAAATACAATTAAAATTAATAGAATATCCTTGCAACAGCTTTCTAATAGGTAATTAGTTTATAAAATACGAGTAATAATACACGTTTTATTTTTAACCACAACCACAATTTCGCTTGAGAGATGATAATCAAAGGCCAAAATTACATTACTCGTAAATTTTGAAGTCTTTGAAGTATAATTAGTGGAAAAAATAACTTTTTCTACTAACTGTTATGAGATATTTTACTTTGAAGATATAAAAAATGATTTTTCGCTTAAACTTTGAGAATCACTGGATCTTTTCTGGATTGTTTTTCTTGTTAATTTAATCTACAATATATATTGTGCCATATTAAGAAGATTTTAACTAAAAATAAAAAAAATCATTTTTTTCCAAAAAACTGAAAATTTTCAATTTTTAAAACTCACTCTGTGTACTGACTTTTACTGACAACTTTTACTAAATCTAGTAAAAGTAAATAGTAGTAATCTCACTAGTGACGACTAACAATTACTAGAGTCGACACATTTCTTTAAAATACTTCATTTAGTGGTCCAATGCGTAATTGTTATCATTTTCTAGCGATTGTTAACATTTACTGAATTTCAGACATTTACTGTAACATATATAAACTAACTATTTTTTTCTATGTTAATTGTTTCCCTATTTTATAGAGGCCCTAAGAAAATGGCCACCTTTCGTATTACTCGGACGCGAATGCACAAAAACCTACGTCATCGAACCACAATCACCAACCGAGAAACAAGTGACAATTCCCAAAGGAATGGCCGTTACAGTGCCCATCTACGCCATCCAACACGATCCCCAGTACTACAAGGATCCAGAAGAATTCATTCCAGAACGTTTCGCTGAAGAAAACAAGAACCAATTACCCTACTTGCCCTTTGGACTAGGCCCTAGAAGTTGCCTGGGTTCGAGGTTCGCCCTGGTCGAAATCAAAACTATATTTTTCCATCTGGTTAAAAATTTCAAGCTGGTACCGACAGGAAGGACTCAAATTCCTGTCAAGCTTAGTAAAAAGTTTTCTGTAAATATCCGTCCTGAACAAGGACTCTATATAGGATTAGAAAAATTGTGATATATTTGTATTTCTGTATATTGTAACCTAATACAGAGGGGTTTTTTACGCTAGCTTCAAATTTAAATACAAATTTGAATGTTTTAAGTTAAGATTATTTCCAGGTTTACTTTCTTTTTAAAATATTTTTCATTTATTTTGATAATTCTGGTATAACCGTAAGTGATTGTCAATTTACTTATTTTAAATGGAAAACCTTCTATAAATTCTTGTAAATTTTCTAAATTTTTGTTGTTTAGAAAATGTCTTAGTCTGCTCAGATTTTTACAATAATTTATCAAATATTATACAGGAAGCTCATAAAAATGTTACGTTAACAAAACTATAAAAACTATTATTTTTTAAATCGGAAACACTCATTTCTTGAATGCATGTTATATAAAATTGTCTATACACACTTATGCAAAATAATTTTCAAATTGTTTAGTTATTAATATTCTTCTATTAGTAAAAAGCTATTTTCCTTATTAGATTATAATCAACCAAGACTGAACTAACCCTGGGCAAGGGATACTTATATTTCTTTTTTATGATAACTATAGAAACAAACACATAAAGAGAATAAAACACATAAAGAGAAGAATAAAGATTATGGCGCCCAACGTGGGGCTACATATATTTCTACTATTGCTAAAAAATATTTTTTTTATCCAAACGGAAGTAACTACTAACATATTAACTAACTAAATTACTTTTTTAATACCAGTTGTGATGATTTGATAAGGGAAAGAGCCTTTTACTAATAGGAAAATACTTTATACAAAGTTAACTTTATTTTTATCAACAAATAAAGTCAATAAATGACTTTTTATAGTTTTGTTCCCTATATTTTATAGTTTTTAGACCCTTCTATAATTTTTGTTAAATTACTATTGTAAAATAGTAGAGTAAAATATTTTCTAAAAAGGAAGCAACATAAAAATGCATTGACGCTGAAAAATATTTAATTATGTTTAACTCTGCAAATGTCATTTTCAACATAAAACTGACATTATTTCAAAGTTGGTTAGACTTAAATAATATATAACATTATCCGTGATTAAGCTTGGCCGGCACAGCGTTGTCATCTTTTATATATTTTCTTTTAATTAAAATATTTTAGGAAACAAAAATAAATTAATTATAAATATATAAACAGTTTTTATTTACATCGACAAAACTCACCTTCTGCACAGCACTTAAGAGACATAAAGAGCCATTACTACCGCTTTCCCGTTTAAAATATTTTAATAAAATTTAAAGCGATGATTTTTTTTACGGCTATTAAGCTATCTTGTACAGTTCGCACTAAAAGTGGTTCTAAAAAGAACATTGTTCTGACTGCAAGGTCTGCTAGTGAACATTTATAAGCTTAAAGTATCACAACACTATTTATTTACACCAAAAACTCGTAATATATACAAAACTAAAGTGTCAAAACGAATGACAATGTCAGGAAATAAATAAATAAATGTGACAACTTGAGATTTTTTACAGCAGAGCTACCACCTGAATCCCCAGCGGGTAATTTATTTATATGCCCATGGTTGGCAACAATGAATTTAAAAATCGCGCTGTCGATTACGTAAATAATAATTTAATTGCTTTCAAGTATAAATCTGTATCTAAAAAAAATAATAAAAAGGCTGTACTTAAACTGCCGTTAAACGGTAGCTTACTAAAATGCCGTTAATAGGTATGACGTCGTTGATATGACGCACTTGACGGCTTTATGAAATATAGGAATTTTATAAGAACTAACCAACGCTAGCCACCCCACCAAATAACCAACTTAACCAACGCAACTAACCTCGACACTGATAAAGAAAATATAGAAAACAAATATAAATTAGTAAAAACCAACCAACCCCACCAAATAACCAACTAACCAATGAATTAACACCCTCCAAATAACCACGCTAACCAACCCGCCAAATAACTAAACCAATCCAACCAAAAAGAGTGAAACCAGTGCAATAAGATTACGCTATAAGCAAAAAAAAATATAAAAAAGTCTTGGTCGGAGTGAGGTTTGAACCACGGACTATTCGTTCACGAAGCGATAGCCTCAGCCACGGAGCCACAGGTGCTCTTGCAAAATGCCTATCGCTATGCATTATTTTCCGCCGACACACACTAATTTTAATTTACTAGCGGAACTTAATTCAAAAGAACAATTTTTACAAAAGTACAAAAATATGACATTTTTTTACAGCTAAATGTTTGAGGAGTTGAACATTATCGGAAAAAATAACATTAGCACCGTTATATTGTTTATATCAACTCTGACTTTGATTTGCAATTGACATGTCTTAAAACAAAATATTGTTAGTCATGCAGATTCGTTATTTATCGAGTAAGTTACAAGTGTTTAATGCTTCTAAAAGAAAAGCTGCGCATATTATTATCGTCTCCAGTTTTCAGCTATTCGACAAGGTAAAGCAAAGCTTAATCCAAGTTAATTCATTCTGAATTATTCTCCATTTACTTGGATATGTCAATATGTGATAATATTTCAATAAAATCAAAACTTCACGTTGAGTTTAAAAAATGTATCCGCGTGTATCCAAGTAAACATTGCTTTTGTGAAGTTCTTTGATAAATACTTAGAATAAAAATATTTATTTTTTTTGCCCTAATTTGCCCTTTTGATCTATATATGCATTTTCGTTGCAATATGCACTGTAAGCACCCATTTTAAGCTATTATTATGTGGATTATAAACGCGAGTTTATTTGACATATCTAGGAGTGGAATAAAATAATCATTTGAAATTTTTATTCCGCTATAGGTAAAAACTGTTTTTTGATAATATTAGGGTTGCAGTGTTGCCAGATCTAACCCAATACAAAATGTTATGTTATGATAAACCTGGTATATTATTTCATTTTTACGTTCTACCGGCAGCAATTCTAGATCTTTTTCATATGGTAGATGTTTTCTCTATACCTAAATCTAAACATTCTGGAGATATTTGCATTAAGTCGGTTCCAGACAATGCGTGTATTTGCCGAACATTTAGTGTTTTGACTCATTTGCGTATTGTGTGAACAATGGAATCTTCGTCGAAGGTAAACTCAGCTTATTTTTTTATAATTAACAGGGCTTCTTTCGAATACAAAGAGAATAGGAATAATTCCGAGTTCGAAATCGAGTTCGAAAATGATCATCATAAACCTCACAAATTCGTTAAAACGTCATTTTACTACTAACTGTAGATCGTCATTTTAAACTTATTTAATACCAGTTCTTTTAATTTATATATTTTTTAAATATTTTTTTAGTCACAAAGCTCTCAATATTTACTCGTAGTTATCCCTATGTTTTTTTGTATGAGAGAAATACTAATTTAAATTATAATTATTTTTGGTCCTAATTTGTGCCTAAATTACAAATTAAACAGAGCGCTGTTGTAATTAAACACAAATATGTCAAAATGATCCTAAAAATCAACATTTTTCAACATAAAATTTACAAATTAAGTGAACTTTTGGGAATTGAAATTAAGTTCCGCTAGATGTTCAAAATATCACAGTGTGCGACATGAACGACGTCACAATATCTATTAACGGCATTTTAGTAGACTACCGTTTAACGGCTGTTTAAGTACATCGTAATAAAAAACTATTAATAAAAAGCTGTATTAAAGACCATGTATAAGGTATACTTCTAACAGCATCATTAAAGATAAGATTTGAATTTAACATAAGTAAAAAAAAATCAATTTGGATTTCAATTTGATAATATTGTTACTGAACTATAAATCAAAATACATTGGTATAAAAATTAAAAAATATTGAATGGGACAAATTAATTTTGTGCGTATTAACTACGAAATAACATATGATAACTAAGTTAAATGAAACTTTAAATTAACTTTAGAAACTAAACTAAACTGTATGCTTAACGATATTTGTTTAATAAATTATTAATATCGTGTCTGTTATTCTTACAGTAGCCGTCTGGTGTAAGTGATACATCAGAATCATGTCGTCTCATGAAGCTTAAAGATATACTACTCGGTGCGTATTCGCAAGAAACCTCATTTACCTATAAAAAACAATAAAGATATTTGTATTAAATATCTATACCTATGTGGCGGATTCATTTTCAAGAAAACCTATATGGGTATTTCGCCACTGCAAGAAAATTTACAAAATAAAATGGTTTTTGTAAACACTGCTGCGTTAATCCAAATGGAAACTACTTGTCAGGAGTTAGGTTTACAGATATACAAATTTGCCTAATGAACAAAAAAATGGTTAACGTTTCGGAAAGTTTATCTCGAAAGCAAAAAAATACAAAGAATAAAGAAAAAAACTATTTAAAATAATATTTAAATTCAACTATTCGAGAACACTTCAGTTTTTTAAAACAGATACGTCCACAAAAACCGTTGACGTCTATTAAAATGACATTATATTAAGTTAAACATCAAAATTAACACTACCTGATAACAATTACTTAATAAGGTACAACCTTTGAATAAGAAGACTAAGGAAGGAGCATATCAAAAATCTTAGGTACACCGCGATGGGCCTCAAATATGGCCGGCTTAAATTCCGGTTCATCAGTGCCGTTCTAATTTTATTTAAAAAAATGTAAAACTATGATGTAGGGTAGACGTGGGGTAGACTCAATAATTTGTTATTTTATTTTACGTTGTGAATAAATGTTGGTAGTTATTAAAATTGTTACAAAAATATATAATTCTAATAAAAATAGATAAGTTATAATAAGTATTTATTAACACAAACATCCGATACGCTGCTGAAGCAGGTAAGTCAAATTAACGTATCAAAATTCTTTGACATCTCATCTTTGACAAGTAGTAAATAAAAGCTAAAATGCAAGAAAATATATAATTTAGTTAATTTAAGTGAATTTCATAAATGATCGGTTTACTACACGTATGTATATTATATAGTCACTTACTAGCGAAAACTTGTTCCATTATTTCACTCAATTTTTGCCGAGATCTACCGCACGCTACACAACCAACTATTTTAGAGTCTTTTTCGATAAATCGCGATAATGTCACTGTTAATTTAAGTTCTGCCACAATTTCCATCTAGATTTACTATCTTTATACAACTATCAGTAGTAGAATAAATAATAAATAACATAAAATAAGCTCCGTAAAGACTGACAAATAAACAACATTTCAAATCAAATTCAAATGTGTCAAATGAATCGTCAAACAGAACTGTCAAGGATCCCCACCCTAGAGAGCTTTTTCCGCCCACCATGCATGAATACATGGATAGCATTATGCTCCTTCCTTAGTCTTCTTATTCAAAGGGTACAACCAAAAAGCCCCAAACTTTCTATATGATTATTTTTAATTTTTACGTATGTTATGCTTAGAGGCTATCGCTTCTTTCATTATAATTTTGGCGTTATTAAAATTTATTCTGTGCCCTGTGTTCCATGAATGCTGACAAATCTTAGATTTGTGAAAATCTCCCTTTCTTAAATAATCTTTATGTTCTTTAATTCGAACATCTAAAAATGTCTCACCAATGTAAAATTTATTGCATTCTCTCATTTATCGGTATTTTGTATATTACATTTTTGGTTTGTTTTTCTGTATTCATTGGTTTAGTATGTGATAAAATGGATCTAAGTGTATTTTGCGTTTTGAAAGATGTTCGTATGTTATATTGTTTTCCTATCCTTCTTATTTTTTCCGAAACGCCTCGTATGTATGAAATTCTAAGTTGTATATATTGTGTATTGTTATCATTGTGTCTATGATTTGGGGTTTGTATTTCGTTTAATGTTTTGTCAATAAATTATGGTGGATAGTCGTTTTTTATTAATGTATTTTTTATGTGGTCTCTGTTTAGTGAAATGTCGTCTGAACATATTATTTTTGCTCTATCATATAAACTTTTTATAACACCTTTTTTTACGCTTATAAGTAATAACTCTATTTTATTTTGTAGATTTTCTTGCAGTGGAGATACTTTTATATATATACTATTTTCTTGCAGTGGAGATATCTTGTTTTTGGAGATACTTTTATTGGTATAGCGAAAAGATATTTGAATCGAAAATAAACATCAATGATGTATACTTTTAAGTTTTCTTGCCTACTCTAACGTGACTTCTCTGTTAATTGTTAATTATTTAGATTATATACACATTATGTACAAAAAATTACCTGTTTAAAATCAAACATATTGCTAGGACTTTCTGCCGCCTGATTATTCAATCCGAATTTGAAATTAAACTGTCTGTAATCTTTTTTGTCCGACTTTAAAAACTCTTCGAAAGTGTTTGCGTTAGCGTCACTAAAAATGTTCATGTTGATATTATTCTTGAAGGTGAATGGTTGCACTGAATTCGATAAACGTTTGCGCTTTTTTTGTGTTGGAGCTGGAATAACCTACAATAATACAAAATATCAACGATCTTTTAATAATTAGTAACAGCTTAAAAAGAGAAAAAAACAAGCTAGGGTATTTATAAGTTATTGTAAAAACTACTAAAATCACGATTGTTTACAAGAAAATAAAGTCCTCCTACTCTGAATGGCAGCCCTCCAAGGGAGAGAAGGTAATGAAAAAGCCAACGATCTAACTAAAAAAAAGAGCGAACCCTCCCCCACTAACTGGACCAGAACCGTTCTGCTTCCCAAGTGGAATCCAACTATTAGACACTCGAAGAAATTTCCCAAAACTTAGGAATGAGGAAAATCAAAGATTTTCCTTGAGTCCATTTCACTAGTCCGAAAAAGTAGCAAAATAAGCGTTTGGCATTTAACGTTTTGTGTAAATCTGGCTAGGTATTTTTACCACAAATGAAGAAGGAAATTAAAGAAGCCAGAAAAGTTATCACCATCATGGTTGAGACGAGTCACTCCTCCAACCACGAGAAACCAACGGATGTATTTGAGATAAAACAACATTAAATAATACTTTATTTTACATGAATATCATTTCCAACAAATGTAATTTACAAATAAATAATAATAATAAAAAAAAAATGCAAAAAAGGAACTGAAGACAATTAAAATTGGTTTAAATTTAATTCCTGTCAGATCACAATATCAGCTAGTATAAATAATGTGTGTTATGTAGCTAAATTATTTTACTGTAACTTATCTACAAAAACACACACCGGAAAAATCTAGGAATATCATTTTATTAAAGTTAAAAATAAATGTTTTGAATAAACAACCACATATTTGTAGGCCGATTCTTTCTACTTCGATTGAAACGAAGTAGTCCACTAGTTATTTCTAAATTTGGGATATTTGCAGAAGTGTTTGTGCATTTTTTGTCAAATGTATAAAAAGCACCTAGCATCGATTTTTCGAATTTAACCTGTACTGGCTATGTTTTTATGATAATTGGCCAGAATTCATTCAAATAACTCTGTTTAGTATTAAACGACATTATGGAGCGTAGACATCTTAACAGAGACGAAATGCTAAGGACCATGGGTATGCTTGAAGCTGGAATGCGTCAAATCGACTTAGCTAGAGCATTAAATACAACGCAAAGTGTAATATCGCGATTAAATGCACGCTACCGTGAAAGTGGTGATGTTGCTGAAAGGCACACAAGGCGACATCGCATTACTACCCCTCAGCAAGATCATTTTTTACAATTAAATGCTCGACGCCGACCGACTCTTACAGCATCAGAGCTTAGTTTAATTCTCCAGGAAACACATAATGTAACCGTTAGTCCTGACACTGTTCGCAATAGTTTAAGAGAGGTCAACTTAAGAAGCAGACGCCCCTGGAGAGCTCAACCCTTAACGAGAGGAAATCGAGAGGTACGATATTTGTGGGCTCAAGATCATGTTTAGTGGTCGAATGAACAATGGGCCAATGTTCTCTTCACGGATGAGTCACGCTTTGGATTACATCCGGATTCGAGAAGGCTTAGGGTATGGAGAGAACCGGGAAATCTTATTCGGTTGGATCATGTTCAGGAAGTGCACCCTTATCAAGGTGGAACAGTTATGGTCTGGGGAGCAGTCCAATTAGGCCGAAAAACCGATCTCGTTTTTCTTGAAAGGTTTCTAACAGGAATCACATATCGTGATTTAATTCTTGAGCCTGTCGTGTTACCATATGCCAATGATTTTGGGAGAAACTTCATTCTCATGCATGACAATGCACGGCCTCGTACAGCCAGAGTGGTAAGTGAGTTTATCAATGCTCATCAATTAAACATCTTACCCTGGCCGGCACAATCTCCTGACCTCAACCCCATCGAGCACGTACGGGACGCGGTCCAAAGAAGAATTTTGAGAATGGGTATGCCTCGTGAAACTCGTAGGGATCTGGTTCGGGCCGTGAATGCAGCGTGGCAGGCTGTACCTCAAGAAGAGATCGACAACCTGATCAGGAGCATGGAGAGACGACGTAGGGCTGTAATGAACAGTAGAGGACGCCATACCTTTTATTAAATAAAAATGGTTTTATCTTTTTTTAATAAAAAAAATGTGTGTATTTTTTTGAGTTCAATAAAAATCAAGGTAAATTTGAAAAATTCGGTAAATTTCGCATTTTTATTTCCAATACGTCCTGTAAACTATTTGTTTATTTTAATTTTATTATATCAGAAATGCAAATAATAAAATTACTGACGATGGCTGGATAAAATTGTAATATCCCTAGCTTTTCCGGTGTGTGTATAAGTAAATTATATAGTAATCCTATGACTAAGAAAATTTAGTATGAAATTCAAAGAAATAAACACAAAGAAAAGTATTTTATACTAAAATAATTCTGAGGTAAAAAAAAACTAAGAGGGAGGAGAACTATCCAGAAAATGTTTTTTAGTTTATTTTTAAATGCAGCACTCTGAAGGTTTATCATTTCCGCTGGTAAACAGTTGTAGAGCTTGGAAATATTAAATGAGAAACATCTAGTGAACAATGCTATTTTGTAAGGTGGTGGAGTAATAAGTCCCTTAAATGTAAGGTTTAAGTTGTGCACATCTGTTCTGAATTTTATTTTATTCGCCAAGTATGGAGGACAGTTTAGAAATAACTCCATGAAATAAAACCAATGAATGCATCTTACGTCTGTTTTCCATATTCAACCACTTAGCTTCTTTTAACTTATACGAAATGGGATCAATCTTATCAAGATTAATCAAGATCGATATTGTAGCACATTTTTACACAACTTCTTTATTTTTAAGATTTTGAGGGTCAAACATCGACAAATATTCCTTATGTTTGGACTAAATTTTCTCGAAAATAAAGACATAATTTAAAATTCCGTTACAATACGGAAATAGATTGAAGTTTTGTGATTACAGTCATATATAATTTATATAGTTTTGTAACAAATTGCTCGCTATTCTAAGGTAAACGCTGAAGCTCTGCAAACCTTAATCAGGCCTTAATCAAAGCACGCGTGTGTTTGTAATTTTGGGTGTGGCTTAACAGGATCAGGCTAAGCCTTAGGCAGATTTCTGAAATATAATATATATTTCCTTCGGCCACACACCCGCTTTACCCGGTACAGCGTAAGAGACTCTTAAGTAAGAACAATCTTCGGATTGCCACGGTGTATTTAACAGGACACTGTCTCCTCTATGAACACCTCAGTAAATTGAAGTTAAGAAACAATGGCGAACGCAGATTCTGTGGAATCTGGAAAATGGGAAAAACACCAAAATACTTCTGGAATGAATATCGTGAATACCATTCGTGCCATAAACTTTGGTACAACTGATATTGTAGAAGGAGAATTAACCTCTGCAAAACCGTCTCAGATACTGGCTTTTGTCAAAGCCTGGGGAGCCAATATTTGGACAGTTCAAAATTTCCATACGATTTCCTATGTTTCCAACGACGATGCACCACCCGGTATAGCACGCCATGTATACTCCGGAAATTTTTATTTATACGTACCTCAACTCCATAGTCAGTTTTTCTAACCGTAGCAATACAGGTACTTCCCTGAATTTGCCTTGCCGTAGGTCTCCTCAATCTCTGCTCCCACATTTTGGTCAAGTCAGACGAACTGCTGCTGTTGAACAACAGCAATCTGTCCTGTTCCAAAAACTCTTGCTGTATCTGCTTTCGGCTTAGCTTGGATGGAGATAACACCTTCCTACGCTTTGGTTGTTCTAAAACGCGACAGTATAGGTTATTACACTATAATATAATGAAAAGTAGCATGTAACAATGATTAATGTAATATTGCCATATGCTTGTACCAACAAGGCCTATCCCGTAGGTTGTTCGACTTGCAGACATTCTAAGTACCGCTGATATGGTTATCGGACATGCACTAACTTTTGACAGTATTCCTTTTTGGATAGGACTTCTAATAAAAAAAATTCTCATATGTGGCATACTTCGACAATATTTGGATGTAATATAGTATAGTTTCACTAATAAAAATAAAATTTTGAAGCCTTATAATTAAATAATCATTTTATTATTCAAATATTAGACCATTTTGAAGTCTAGAATAGCAATTAAAACTTGAAGAGTAATGATGCATTTTACTCCTGATGCTGTATATTACAACTTTAAGTAAAATTAATTTATAATGAATTTAATTACAGTTGTTTTAATCATTCAAAATTGAAATAAAATGAATACCTGAAAATTAATTTTGTTACTAAGTTATATTGTAAAATAACAGAATCATAACAACAAAAATAGAATGACAGTTAGTAGCAGAGAGAACACTAATAACCATAGATAAAAGAAAATAATCTACTATTAAGATAGATATGAAACTTAATAGTAAAATTTTGGGTCAAAGCGCCCCTTCGTGTTTTTAGTGGAGACTACGTTTAACCCAGCGCCTTCGCCTTTTCTGCTGTAAATGTTTTTTATGTTTATATTTGAATTCAAAGGATTTATTTTTAAAGTTACACTGATATATTAGTATATCAGAGTAACTTTAATAAAACATAAGAATATATATATATATATATATATATATATATATATATATATATATATATATATATATATATATATATATATATATATATATATATATATATATATATATATATATATATATATATATATATATATATATATATACAGTACCAAACCAAAAGTGGAGAAACTTTTAATATTTTTACTATGTCAAAATACAGTTTACTCTCTGCAGAATAGGATGTCAAGAAAATATTTCGCATTTAATCTGCTTTGTATAGCCATATAAAAACTGCTTATTTTGTGAATAAATTTGCAGGCAAAAAATTATTTACAAATTCCAGCGGACATAAGTGGAGAAACCTTATCTTCTTCTTAACATTCTGTGAGATATTCTCTTGTTAAAGCGTCTAGATCGTGGTATTGGGTTCACAGTACGTTAAAAATATGCCGCGCGGGATAAATTTGTCAGATCAAATAAAAAAATCATAATTGAGAAGTATCATTCGGGAATGAAACAAATTGATATTGCTAGACACTTAAATTTACATAAAAGTGTTGTGTGCAAACAGATTAATTTGTATAGAAATCGTGGGACAACTGCCAGCATACCCACGCCCGGAAGACAAAAAAAAACAACTTTGGCGACAGATAAAATAATAAGAAGATATTCACTTAGAAATCCATTTTGCATTGCGGAGGATATAAGGAACGAATATCCCTTTATTTCAATATCTGTTAGGTCCATTAGACGGCGTCTGAAACAGGCACAACTAAATGCCAGAAGACCTGCCCGAAAGCCGTTTATTTCTAAGAAAAATAGGTAGGCCCGACTACAATTTGCATTGGAACATGCAAATTGGACCTACAAGCAGTGAAAAAATGTACTCTGGTAGGACGAAAGCAAGTACAATCTATTTGGTTCGGATGGTATTAGGTGGCTGAGACGTCCTTCCAATGAGAGATTCAATCCCAAGTACACCATACCCACCATAAAACACGGAGGTGGGAACATTCTAGGCTGGGGTTGTTTTTCTGGGCATGGGGTCGGGCCCCTTGTTCAAATAGATGGAATTATGGGTCGTTATATGTATTTAAATATTTTGCAAGAAACACTGGTAACTTATGCTGAATCCTCTCTCCCATTAACCTGGACATTATGCACAATAATGATCCGAAACACACTGCCAAACTTATTAAGGAATTTTTAACCGAGGAACAAGTTGAAGTGATCAAATGGCCAGCTTAAAGCCCCGACCTGTACCCTATAGAGAACCTATGGGATCAACTAGAAGTCGATGTTAGGCGTAAAAACAGGGACAAATTTAAAAATAAAGATGTTTTGTTCGCTGCCCTATTACAAGCCTGGAATGAAATATCCGGGGACGTAATAAAGAACTTGATTGAGTCTATGCCCAAAAGGTGCCAAGCAGTCATCAAAAGTAAAGTCTATGCAACCAAATACTGAGACTAGCGACTACAAATGTATAAAAAATACCAGTTTCTCCATTTATGTCCTCATAGAAATTAGTTTAATTTTTTCAAAATTTAATAAATGCCTTTTCCAAAAAAATCGTGTGTGTATTTTTATGATACAGTTATCCTATGTATAAATATATATGCTTTATAAACATTTTCGTTCTTGTAAAACGGCAGCAAATAAATTTAAAAAGTTTCTCCACTTTTGGCATATATATATATATATATATATATATATATATATATATATATATATATATATATATATATATATATATATATATATATATATAAATATATATATATATATATATATATTTTAATTATTTTATTTATTTTACAAGTTTCATGTAATGATCGTAAGTCGACTGGCTGTCTAATAAATAGACCGAAGATTTATAGATTTTAAAGCGAACGAAAAAAATCAAACAACGAATACATACCATATATTTTTCTTTTATCTAAGATACATACCTTATCGTCTTTTGGAAACACGTACATTTTTGCAGTTTTGTTAGTTTCTTTGCAAGATGCAACACAACAAGAAAACACCATTTTTACAGTTAATAAATAATAAAACTATTTCTGACTATGATATTTAAAATTTAGATAGATAGAAAATTAAAAAAGAAACGAGTATTTGCAAACGCGGGCCCAAATTCAATAAAAATCAAAATTTTTCCTGCGAAAATCAGGCTTTTTTAACTGAAAAGGTGTTTTTTGATTTATCAGCAGTCATTGTGAAGTTGACAATATACAGGGTGTTTTCAAATTAGTCTAAAAAAATTATGGTGTAATTCCTCATGTGTTCTTAAAACAATTTTTATATAACCATTGGGTCTAAAGTACTTCCTTTCTGATCTACAGGGTTTAAAAATTAAAAAAATCGATTTTTTTGCTTAACATAAATGGCACACCACTGCTTTTTTAAAGAAAATATATTTTTTTCTTGACTGACTATCCTTTTTCAACAAAACTGATCTTTTGAGTTTTTTTTGTTCATCAAACGGTTGTCGAGAAAAAAAATAAATATACTTATTAAGAGCCCGCCTTAATTCGCTTTCGAACGACTTTTTATTTTTTAGATTAATTAGGAAACACCCTGTATATGCATATCACAGGCAACCAAATAAACTAGTAACCTCTAAAAATTATTTTTCCTACCACTAGCGACATACGGTGTTTTTAGTGTGTACTAAATTATTTTATCAAAATTTCACCATATAAGTTTCCAGGCAATGACTAATAACTAAAGTGAGGGGGCTTGTGGAATAGGGCATTTCGTAGACAAGTTTATTTATTAAGTCACCGCGCATCCCAGACGCGCATAGCATTTAGGCGGTCAAAAAAGGAAGTTTTCAGCTTTGCAAGTTAAATATTTGACAGGATTAATTAGATTGGCATGTAGCTTTTTCTATTTCTTAGCTCTAGAAGGAGATAACTAAAATCTGTTGATAATCGGTGTAATAAATTGTTTTTGACTGAATGTACCTGTTCTTTTAGCTTGTGAGAAGAGAAGATTATTGTCATATGATTGTCATTATTGATTATTTGAGATTCCACGATTATTCGGCATTTTTGTAATTTTTGTGTTGTGGTTGAGATCCAGACAAAACGTTTCCTTTAAAGGTAAGTTTTATCTCGGTAATTATTTTAAAATACCTAATAGTAATAGTGAGTGCACATAATATATTCTAAGAGCTATCAACGTTTTCCAGAAAGTATTTTAAGAGGTCTGGCTATTTGATATATCTTTTACTATGCTCTCTGGAACAATATGCGGCCCGTCTGGCTACCAATATCCGTTGCGTTCACTACTGCGCATCGGAAGAAGATCCTATATTTTTTTTAATTTAGTCCTATAAATTCTAGTATTGACTATAAATCGAACATGTCTCCATAGCGCAGTGCGTAGAGCCAAACCAAACCAAACCGACGATTCAGAGTTCGAATCTGGGTCACGGCAAAGACTTTTTTATTATATTTTCGTATATATTCTGAGAGTAATGTATTAAATAATTCTGGTAATTCAAAAAAAAAAACAAATATTTAACACTTTACTATCAGAATATAAACGAAAATAAAATAAAAAAGTTTTTGTCCTGACCCCGATTCGAACTCTGACTCCTCGGTTCGTGGTCTGAAACTCTACGCATTGAGTTATGGAGACTCGGTCGGTTTATATTCAATACTAGAATTTAAATTACTAATAAAATATAAGATCTTCTTTCAATGCGCAGTCGGGAACGCAACGTTTACCGGCAGCCAGACGGGCCGCATACTGTTCTAGAGAGCATAGTAAAAGATATATCAAAGAGCCAGACGTCTTAAAATACTTGTTTTTCTGACGTTGCTAGCTCTCGTACTAAGAGTCGTACATTGCTAATTTACATAGGTAAGAATAACCTGTGGGATAAATTCGATTGTAAAAGTAAAACATCACATTCTTTTCTGATACCTATGGAACGACTAGGTATTACACCTGGTATTATTACCAGTAATACAAATTATTTTTTTCAACTGATTGGCTTCTTGTTATAGAATAAAGACTATCAAAAACATTGAATACCTTCGGGATACCTTACTGATACTCTGTGCGAGCTCCCAACCGTGCTTCCGTGTTTACTACCAACCAAGTTAGATGAAACAGATATTGAAGATTGCAGCCTTGAGTTGGAGTATGGCAAGGAGTATGGGCTCCACTACGACATGTACAGAAATGGATTACCTAAACTGGTAAGTATGTAATATTAAACCTTAATGAAAAATTGAATTTATTTATTTTTAGTTCAAGAAAAAGCATGACAATCCACAACCCATCAAAGACCTGGTAAATGAATTCTGTAAAAACTGAAAACCAAACTACGTTAAATAAATTATTATGTTCATACACAGTATTTTATTTATAGGTTTTAATGCTTAAAGCCTAATAATAAATTTTCGTTGTCAACAAAATAATCTAAAAAAACTACGAAGATTTCTTATTATAAACTTGAAAGATTAAGATTCGGTTCCAAATAGACAAATTTTAAATTTTTGGCGCCAGTATATAGGTATGAATGCAACCTACTATATCGATAATGCACTCTTAGTTCGGGTTAGACGCCAAAGGCCGCGCCACTAACACAGTCTTCGAAAATTAACGTTGATCGGTCTCTCTCACTTTAGTTATTAGTGTTCTCTCTGGTTAGTAGTAAAAATGTACAGTCGTTGCGCGAATTACGTCTAAAATGTGTTACATAACAAGAGTACGTAACATTGAGCGATAGTTGTAAACTTTATTTACCTGATTTCTCATGTGAATCTCCATTCTCCTCTAATTTACTATCTGTTGTAGTGTCCACTGTAACATCAAGCCTTCGCAACTTCGAAGCAGCAGACACGCTAGTTTTGGTCGATGCGCCATCTTTTGGGTTGTTTGGAGTAGTTATTACTTCCTCATCCATTTCTTCTGGTAGTTCATTTTTTTCACTACAACCTATATAATATAAAACTTATTAGCATATTTTTAATATTTATTTAAATTTAAACTAAAGAGAATAAACACATTAAAAGCAATGTCTTTAAGTAGAGTTTGACAAACGGATCTAAAACAATGGGGGAACGCAGATCTCACAAAACATGGCTAACTTCATTCATAAAATATCCAGACGTGTGCAGTGTTTTTGTGAGAATATATCAAATATGTCTATCTTTAAATGTATTATTATATTTTGTTTAGTGATTTCTGAAATACTCGTATAGAATATTTTTCAGAAAACATGTACAAATTATAATATGCTGAAATAAAGTTAAAAAATACAATGCAATAAAACCGCCGCTTAATATTTTTGTACTAGTCAATATTTCCACTGTTTCCTGGGAGAAGCCTAAAATTGGGGGTTTTACTGGCCAATAAGAAAACGTTATGCGCATGTCAACCATCTGGTAACGAAACGTGTGAGGATCTCCACCAATCAGGTTGTTATGAACCGGGTTGCCATGATGTATTTTCTCGGTGTTGCCGGATTGACTAAACTAGATATAATAGGTAGAATGTAAGAAATCAGTTTTTAAATAAATATACATCTATCAACTAAGACCTACGTTAAAATATTTAGTACATAGAAGTGTGGATGCTGGAATAAACTAAATATATGTTAAATTTATAAGTAATTAGGAGCAATTTTCCTTTTTCTTTGTTAGACTTGGCAACATTTATTGTCAGCATTCCCTTTGCTGTTTCAGATCCGCTTGCCAGATAATATGTTGTAAATATCTATTTATACCAGATTTTCCGCAATGATTTTCATCCAGTTGGACGGTGTATTCTGCAGTATTATCGGTTGGTTCATCTAATCTCCGCATTTTTGAAGCAGCTGAAATACTGGTTTTTGTACATGTTTTATCCTCTTGATTATTTTCAACAGTATCTTGTAGAAAATTACAAAATTAATTGAATTTGATATTAAATTATTAAAATTAAAATTATTAAAAAGCTTAAAAACTGTGTACCTGCCTAGTCACTCTAGTTCGGTGGTCTCTATTTCAATGAGTAAGATAAATAAGATAAAGTGTTGACTTACGTTATAACCAATTCATAGACAGATATAAAGAAATGCAGTGTTGCCGGTTCCTAGGTGCAAAATAGGTACAATTAAAGATTAGTTAGAAACAAAAATTGAATTAAGTGGGCACTCCAATAGAATTTAAAATATTATGTAAGTTGTAGAAAATAGCCTAATTAATTGTTACAATATTAATGGCCTCTTAACCTTTGCTGCAAGACTATTCAAAAAGCCTTCTTGTTTAGTGTTTAATTTAAAAAAAAATCCGGCAATATCGCATAGAAGAAATGTAACAGTCCACTTTTTGTGGTTAATATGTCCGAATTTCTGCTAAGATATCTCCGTTGTCTTACACGTTGAAATGCATAGATATCAACGATTTTGTGACCAGATCTATACAGATTGTTAATTGGACGGTTACTTATTGGGGAACAGAATTGCAACACTGCCTACATTCCAAATGAATACGAAGCTAAGCTGCCGGCTGCGTCGCGTCGCACACACGGCAAAATGCAATGTTTAGCTGAACAAAAATTCAGCTTAATTTTTTTATGTTTATCCAAACACTGTTTTTCTTATTTTCATTTGTAGGGCTAATTTTAAATATTAGAAAATTTTCCATTGAACTAGAGTAGTGCAAGCGTTACCGAAAATTGATGCAGTTCGCACTTTTCGTGGAGCGCAAAAGAGTGTTATTTACACCCAGCACAGCCATTTGAATTTTTTCTACTGTCAATAATATATGAAAAAAAAAACCTTGTAATAAACTTAGAGATTCATAATTTAGAATATCTGTCTTCTTACAACTAAAAAAAAACTTTCTTGATATTACAGGACTAGTATAAAAATCAGTACGACTCCCTGCAAATAAAGGGCTATTTAAAAAAAGGGCAGATTTGGAAAAGCTGATTTTTTTATACCTGTAACCATCCTGTAACAACATACATTATGATGTTAATTTTATTAAATTAAAAGCGGAACTCCGTGGAACTCACTACTATAACTCATTATGAAAACAAAATTATAAAAAAATAAACCCAAAATAGTGTGTTTAAAATATATTTTATCTACATTCAAAATAGTTTAAATTTATTATATTGATGTTATTTAATTGTACTACATGTCTGTAGCTATATTATCCATAATGATAATTAATTTTCAAATGGCTGTGCTGGGTGTAATAAAAAATTATAATATTTAAAATTAGGTCCACAGATTTTCTAAGAACGACAGTGAGTGGATGAATATACGAAAAAAAATATTTTTAATTTTGATTTTTGTCAAGCAAAACATAGCATTTTGCCGTGTGTGCTTCGTCTCTCGACGAGCGGGCCGAGGTTGCCATATTTCAATCATAAAGCTCTTGCCGCGAGTAATAAACAAATTAACAACCTGTATGCAAAAAAAGACGTAACTGAGAAATTTTTGGACAAATTTGAAGTGTTGTATTTTTGATATTTTAACCTGTTTTTTATATTTTAAAAAGTTACAAAATTAATTGAATTTAATATTAAATTATTAAAATAAAAAATAATAAATTAATAATTTTAACCCTATTTTCATGAACTTTTTGGCAAACTGTATATAATTATGTCAACTTTAATTCCTAAACTAAGTTTTTTATAAACTTTAGTATTTAAATTTTTGAATTCTTCTAAACTAAATTAAATGTTTATGAACGATAATTACATACAATAATGAAACACTTAAACATTCATATTGACAAAACATTTCTATCTATAATTCTTCTTTTACTTTAGTTAGGTCATATAATTTCATACGTACACTTTTTGATTATGGGATATATTTACCTGATTTGCTAGTTACTGTATCATCTAGCCCTCGTAACTTCGAAGCAACTGCAGTACTAGATTTTGTTGATGTATTATTCTCTTGATTATTTACGACACATATTACTTCCTTGCCTATTTCTTCATTTTCTATATAGAGAAATTATATTTAAAATTAAAATTGACCTTACAGGTTGGTGGATATAAAAGAAATTTAGAACTCATTAATAACTTGAAGGAATCAAATTAACATTATAAATGGAAAAAATATAAAAAAGTTTATTGCAAGCAAACAATTTCACAATTTACTTTTCATAACTTCAAATTGTATGATACGCATCTTCATAATTTTTATACATTGTGAAAGATACCTGAATTATTTGTTAAATATAAATAAAGTCAATATTGCGCACTAAATAACATAAATTCATGTTTCAAATTAATTTTTTTAATTTATTAATTGTCAAATTAGTTTATGACTTACCAGACTTGTTAGATGAGACATTTTCATTCAATTCATCTTTAGTAGTTATCGTATCGTCCAATTTCCGCTGCTTTGAAGCCTCCGATATGCTAGTTTTTGAAGAATCCTTATCTTCTTGGACCTTTACAGTAGTAACAGCTTCTTCCTCTTCTTTTTGTTCTAGTTCTTTAAATAATATTACATTAGTAAAACAAAATTCTCAATATATTTTTCAATTATATTAAGTAGCACATCAATCGTTAATGTATATAACTATCACTAACGTCTGTACCTTTTATTTATATTGTCATATATCACATATTATTTCTGAGGGTTAAAATTATTTTACTAAAAAAATTGAAAGAAATTACACCTCAAGGAAGGTAATGACAAATCACCTTGAGAATAGTTGAATACTACAGTCCCTCAAACAGTGTCGTTCGGATTCGGTAATAAACTGTAGGTCCCGTGTACTTGTGAAACACTGATGACACACATTACAAGAATATGTGAGAGGTAGCCTACGCTCTGTATAGAGTATGCCGCTGTAAGAAGCATTTCTATTTCTTTCTTTTCTAAAGCAAATTGACTTTAGTAATAAAAAGTCAATAGTTTTCGATATACTCGTACATAGCGTTTAAAGTAGATGCTATATTTTAGTTGCTATAATATTTATTGGTGCATATTTTGGACTTATGGAACTTTTTGATAAAGAAACAAATTCAAAACCAAACTGATCATGCTTTATTTAGTAAAGGGCATGGTAAAATGCTTTTAGTTAGATTTACAGAATATAAACCTAATAAAAATAAAAGTAGAATAGTTTATCAATATATCATAAGCATTCCAGTATCACTGAATATTGATTTTTGCATTAAGTTTTACTACACACAACACTCTACATTTCATCAATTCAATTCGGCTCGACCACACCGCACATTCCATCATTCTAAAGAGAAACATTTCTCATAATTCCGGATTGTATGACTATCATTTTTTAATTTTATTTCGAGAATAATATAAAAATGGTATTTAAATCAATACTAACCATGCATAAGCACGTAGCATACACTTAAGTAGAAAATCAATTATAAAATACATATTTTATGTTAATTTTCATAATATTCCAGTTTATTTAGATATCATTCGATAGTTGATCTCTGTTAAGTTTAACAGTTGTGTTGTTATGAAAACCCTTACAAAAAACTTACTTATTAAAAACAGGAATAAAACTTTACAACCTTTTACACTTTGCAGGTTTAATTAAGTTGAGTGACATTTTTATATTATTTTGATTTTTCGATACAGTATTTTGTATAGATCTATTTGGATCACCCTGTACATACCTTCTTCAGGTTTGTTAGACAAGCTTTTCTCTACCAATTCACTACTACTCGTCACTGTATCATCTAATCTTCGAAGTTTTGATGCAGCCGATATACTTGTCTTTGTGGAGGTATTATTTCTTTCGTTACCCCTAATAGAAATTGTTTTCATCTCTGTCTCGTTATCACCATCATCAAAACACTCTTCTGGAGAGAGGAGAAACAATATAATTATTAGAAATCAAAGACATCTAAATAAAGGGGAGACAAAACACTCCATTCATAAAACTTTATTTGTTTACAATCATACATAGGCACTTTAACACCTTTATGTGAGTTAAAAAGAGATGTATCCATTAATTACAACGCTGTTAAGTTTCGTGTGAATTTCTGTCGTTTCGATCTACTAGTGGGGTGCTGTTTTTTATCAACAATCTTAAAATGTAATTTTAATTTATAATATATAATGTAATGCACTATAATAATGATTTATCTATTATACTAATATATATATAGTAATAGTTCATGAGAATTCAAGGTGTAAAGTATATAAAAAAATCGTATAGGTGTAATTTCATTTTCAGTAATGCTTTTTCATAATAACCTACATAAAACTTATATTAGGTAAAGTAATCGCAAAACAATTCCGATGCACGTGATCAACTTTAAGTGACAAGCGATGGCGACAGCGCTGCCAGATTGTGATGGATTTATGAGATGAATCTTAATGTAAAATTGGGAAACAATATATTTATTATATAATTTTCTTAAGATTTTTACGGTTGATTTTTAATTTAATTAATTAATTAATATTTTAGCAATTAATTTAGTTATTAACAGTAGTCACTAACACTCACAGTAGAAATATTTAAATTTAAGGCAGCATCTACTCACTACAAATCGAAATAAGTAGAAATAACTTTGAAAGTGGTATAATGGTGCTTACCAATTAAACTTACTTCTGTGACTGCAGTCAAGAGTCAGGAATCAGGAATGCTACAAGCTCTTTGCTTCGGCGCAATGTGACCAACATGGCGGTAATAAAAATCGCTTTAAACTAATTTTTGCAGCTTTAATCTAAATAAAATATCTGTTACAATCATTTGCTCTATAAAGTAAAATAAAGAGCTGCTCGGTTTCTTAAATTATACAAAAAATTTTGTCAAAATTTCATTTAGTCAGGTTTATAGGCTTTAGTGTCAATTTCGATTTTTGATTGATGACGTGCATTGGAAATTGTTTTGCGATTACTCGTAGCTTTATCTCTCTTTATTTAGATGCCTTTGATAGATATCATTACCATCTAAGGATTCTTTTTGAGATGGAAACAGTTCAGGACTTGTACTAGACACGGGTCTGTCTAAAACTGTACTACTCTTATCTAGTATGATTTCTTCACTGTGGTGAGTTTTTTCTCTTCGATTGTTTGAGTATTCAACAAATGAAAGTTTAAATGCTTCTTCTGCGTTAGTTGTAGAGTTGGGATCATCAGAACTCAAATCGTTTGGACCCTCAACAACATGAACATTCGGGAATAGATGAACATGCTTTTGAATTCCATAGCTGTCATTATTAAATTCATTCGTATCCTCTACCCTACTATTTTCCTTTATAGGTGCATCCTCTGCATGTTCCATTTCTCTATTAGCCTCCTCATCTTCAAGAAAACTCTCCAGGTCTGCCTGGATGGCCGATATATCCAATCCGTCGGTGTTGTTCAAAATGGTGAAGCTCATTTTAGGTGTCGTAATGGTGATATCACCTGGTGGCATTGGCGTTGAGGTCAGTCTTGGATTTGAAGTCAAATGACCTAGAAAACCATCCATAAAGGATAATTCCCTGTTTACCATTTCATTATTTATCGAAAATGGGTAAGCTTGGTCTGGGGACGCTGAGGTATTGCTGCAGCTGAGGTTGATTTCGGGAATTAGACGAGATAAGACGCTCGATTGAGACTGATCTAAATTGGAACATGGGGTGAATACATCTTGCATGGGCTGTTCAACATTGATTGGTGTCATATTTGAAGGCTATAAAAAATAACACACTAGGTTATTGATTGTGAATATAGACTGTCCATTGAAAGAATATATCGTCAGTGAAACGTATTAACCTGCCAACTCCATTTTCGACTATAATTAAATAATACGGTTAAGAGTCTATTACGCTGTACTTTCGGGTCGCTCTAAGGGGTCGGGTAAAACGGGTGTGTGACCGAAGGAAATATATGTTATATTTCAGAAATCTGCCTAAGGCTTAGCCCGATCCTGTCCTTTGATTAAGGCTTGATTAAGGTTTGCAGAGCTTCAGCATTTGCCATAAAATAGCAAGCAATTTGTTACAAAACCATTTTCCTTATTGAAACGGAATTTTAAATTATGTTTTTGTTTTCCATAAAATTTAGTCCAAACATAATGTTGCGGACCCGTGTGGACTCGACCTAACCTAACTATATGTTCCGCCCTCAGATGACCTTAACATCGCATTAAAGAATAGACAACGTAACGTTTGGGACACCCTCTATATTTTTAATTAACAAAAAAGAATTTAAAATTACCTTTCCAAAAATATAGCACACTTGATATTTTGTTATAATCCTCTCCGAAATACAGAATTTTTAAAAGTTTGCCACTTTTAACTAGTAGCACAGAATATCTAGCTACGCAACAGAAAAATACTCGAAATGAAAGAGCTAAAATTGCACAAATAAAATACTAGATGGCGCGACAATATCATAATCAGAATATAATTGGAAATTTTCAACTTTCGGTTTTAGATCGACGGCACGTCGACAGCCTTGAAGCTCGGCTAAAGATGCACAGTTGCCAGATTCAAAAAGACTTTAATTGGCATCCCATTCTTTTTCTGGTGTATAATAATTTCTTTCTATTCTTTGTTTCTTGTCAGATACCCTTACATTAATTATTCGTTTGGCTTTTAAAATAGTTTTAAGTTTAAGTATATTATTAGAAAACATATGCTCACAAAATACATTTTTAATATATGTAATACACTACTTTATTATGTTAACTAAGAAAATAACTTTAATTACCTTTAAAATTAATAAATAAAAAATAAATAAATTCGAATTTTTATATACTCTATATCTCGAAGAGGAATCGAGCAAAATATCAAGTGTGTTATATCTTTGGAAAGGTAATTTTAAATTCTTTTCAATAAATTAAAAATATACAGGGTGTCCGATATAAAAAATCAAATTTTCTGTTGATAATTCTTAAATTATTAATTTTAAAAATATTATACTGAAACCATTAAATTCTACGTAAAAAGGTGTTTTGGAAATGTTTTCATAAAAATACAAAATTTTCCATAGCAAAAAAGTTACAGCGATTTGTTAAAAATGCATATTTTTGAAAAACATCCCGTAACTCCGAAACGGTAACAGATATCGATATGCGGTTTTCACCATCATGTTTTTGACAAAAATTGAGCTCCAGACACCGATATTAGTTTTTATCTATCTCCTACAGAAAAGGGTGTTTCCATTTAAAAGCTTCGAATTTGACCCACCCTGTACATATTTTCTTGTACCGTTTCTATTCTTTCTTGTAAAATTAGGAATAATGGAGTTAGCAGTTTAAGACATTTCTCCGACGATATGATATTATTAACAGTTCACTGCAATTTAACATAAAAAATAGATTGTTTTTGAAGTGATACTTCTTTACGCGCGCTGGGAGTAAAAATTCAAGGTAGTGACATACAAGCTAGCGAGACGGCCGTTTAAATTATATATATTTTAATTGTTTATTAGTTTTTTAACTTGCGCGTAGAAAACCATGTATTACACAAAAAAACTATTTTTTACGCCTATAAAACTATTTGTTATATTGTATATAGTATTGTATTGTACTAGTTGTATATTTGTTACGTAAAAAACTATTTGTTATACGTAAAAAACTATTTTTTAAGCGTAAAAAAATATTTTTTAATTTATTGCTTTTTCAACATTTCAAACTACACTTTTTTAAACATGTCCTTCGAATCCGTCAATTTAATAGCTGTCAGTTTCACTTCAGATATTATTAGTCTCTACTGTCAAATGGAAAAAATCTGTTAACTGCCGAAAAGAGGAGAAGTTATATGAGAAAATACTTGGCGCAGATTGAAGAATACCGGGTGTTTTTCAAAAGTGGCACACCCTTATAGCTTTTTTATTTTTTCAGAAAAAAAAACGAGATTGGGTATTATGACATAAATTGGAGTTGATTGACGTTTTCAATTAGTTTCGGTCATTTCCTGTTTCACCGGAAACGACTAAAACTTGACTTTTAAGTATTACCCCCAGCATTTTTTTACTCTATATGATAAAAATGACATTCTGAATAGAATGACATACCATATGTCCACTTTTGATATTTCTAATTAAAAAATAGCCTTTTAAATTTAAATCTAGTGTCATGGCCATAAATGTAACGACGATTTGACTCGAAATACCAAGCATGTGGTACCAAATTATTCGTCAAAAAATGCTTTTTCTAAATATGCTAATGAGCCACCCTAGTTCCATCTAAAAAAATTAAGTTATAAATAAAAATACGATTTGTGCATCTTTTAACCGGCCAGGAAAAGACACCAAAAATATTAGATAATCAAATTTAAAATACATTTTCTATTAAATAAAGTAAAAAAATACCGATGGTACCATTTAAAAATCAAAAGTTATATTCATTTCCGGTGAAACAGAAATTGAAACAAACTGATTGAATACCTACATCAATCCTCACAATATACTAACATATTAAATATCGTTTTTTATCTGAAAAAAAATAGCTATAGAGGTGAATAAAAGGATAATAAAAAGTTATAGGGATGAGCCATTTTTAAAAAATATACGGTATAAGATATGGAGTTAGCTAATTATTGTTTTAGTGCTTGGTTAATATTACTTTAACGATTTATTTGACATACCTACAATACCCTTACAATAAAAATACAAACCTGAAAAGAATCTTGTTGAGATTCGCTTGTAAACTTGATTATATTCGACTGTGACAGAATATCCTCTGCTGGTTGAATTGAGTCTGACGACAAATGTCGCAACGTTGCATCGAATATTGAATGATTTATTTGAAAGCTTCCATTCTAAAATATAAGGTGTAAATGTTCTTTTTTAATAGAACTAGACAAATATTTTAAAAATTATTTACGGCCGCTAGGTTCAAATTATCTTCAACTACAGAAGATCCCAACGTACTGAGCTTATCGCGATACTCAGCTAACAGATCATTCAAATTACCAACTGTTAGTTTCTTGCGTAACTTCAATTTGGCGACTTTGCATAGGAGTTCGTGTTTAAGACGGACTTCTTTATCTATATTGGCAAATTTTGGATCCTAGAAGATTAAAGATTCATTCAGAAACTCACAATTAGTGGTTTCAATTACACTTTATACTTTTTGAGATTCATTCAAAACCTCGCAATTAATGAAATAAATTAGTGGTTTCAATTAGCGTAGAAGTTTGTTCCTCTAATTTAAATGTCAGCATTCAGAACGTCAAAATTAGTAGTAGGAATTTTCAATTAGAGGAAAAAATTACCAAACTTTTAACCTTTCCACTAATTATACTTCAACATTCAGCCTAGTTTACTCAGTGGCTGAATATTGCGCTCCAGTTTGGCTAAACAGCTGCCACGTAAAGATAATTGACACCAAACTTAATGAGACTATGAGAATAGTCAGCGGCTGTTTAAAAAACACACCTCTACCTTGGCTACCCACTCTGAGTCATATTGCACCTCCCAGTATTCGATGACAGGAAAGACTCGTTAAGGAATATCAGAAAATATTATCAAATCCCCACCTTCCAGTCCACAACGACTTGCCAGATGCCCGTCTGCGGAGACTGAAGTCTAGGTCTCCCCCACTACTATTGCCAGAACAACTTTTGGGAGCAAACTTCAGTATAAATGATAAACGGAGGGAGTACTGGGACTCTCTGAATCCAGATCAAGCAGCTTATGTCATCGAACCTACAGCAGCTCTACCAGGGATGCCCCGCCACGAGTGGAAGGTACTCCACAGAGTAAGAACGTCTCATGGCATATGTCGTGATTCTTTTTATAAATGGGGATTGACCGGATCACCGACTTGTGACTGCGGAGAACCACGTCAAACTGTTCATCACATTGTAACTGAATGCCCTCTTACAGCATATGGAGGAGAAGCGAGTGATTTCTTTGAAGCCACAGACACCGTGTTGAACTGGATCAATAGCCTCGATTTTAAAATTTAAGTGTACTTTTTGTAATGTGTTTTGTGTATAACTTTTTTTTATAAATTTTTAGATTTCTAGTTTTATTTTTACAATTTGTGACAATCTGTTTACATGTTATATTGTGTTTGAATATATACATTTGATGTTGTAATTAAATCCATGTACGCCATACGCTAAATAAAATAACTTTGTCATTTTGGCCTTTGATTATCATCCGTCAAGAGAAAATGTGGTTAGAAATCAAAAGATTATTGTTTTATAAGCTAAATATTAGGCTTTCTCTGTGAATACAACTGACTACCGCAAGCTGTTGCTATAATAAAAGGCCGAAAAGACATTCCTCGTAAATTTTGAAGTATAATTAGTGGGAAAGTTAAAAGTTTTAACTTTTCTGAATTTTTGATGTTGTGAATGCTTACATTGGAGGGGAACAAACTTCTACGCTAATTGAAACCACTAATTTATTCCACTACTTTGGAGGTTTTGAATGAAGCTTTACACTATAATCGTACTAAATGATCATATTAAAAGACATCACAGTAGGTTTAGTATATACTGAAAATAAAGTATATGTTATAAATAAAAGTACCAAAAAGCTTTTTGTAGTTTGCTGTTGAAAATTTGTGACGTTTCGTAAACTGTCTTCCGTCCAGATATCCTTCACCATGTAGATACCGTAACTCTGTACTGTAGTTGCATTAGGTACGAGTTTGTAATTGTAGTTTATTGTTACCGACCTCGAATCGCTAGATGCTTCAGATGATATCGTTTCCATTTGCCATCTTAAAATTAATGCAAGAAATTAGTGTTTTTAATGTTTTACTGTAAATAACAGGTGGTTCTGATATTTATTACTTGTTAAACATTAAGACATTAAAAATTATATTTTAATAAAACATCTACTGTTTTACTCTCTGTCATATTCTTACTCTCTGTAATTCTACATATTTATGAAAATATACCGTGTGCGTCTCGAAAATGGCTCACCCCTATAACTTTTTTACTTTTTCAGATAAAAAAACTATACTTGGTATGTTAGTATATGCCATAAATTAGGATTGATTGCAGTATTCAATTGTTTTTGGTCACTTTTTTTTCACCGGAAATGACTACAACAACAAACTTAAATGTCGCCCTCGGTATATTTTTACTTTATTCGATAGAAAATGACACTCTGAGCAGAATGACATATCATATGTCAACTTTTAACATTTTCGCTTAAAAAAATCGTATTTTAAATTTTAATCTAGAGTGCCATGGCTGTGTTAAAAACTCAAATTTTTACAGATTTTTTTTAAAACATATACAGGTTTACTCTAGATATCATACTTACACCTTGACATTGAGAAAAATATCAGCCAACTTGGATAGCAAGCCATAATGCGTGGTAACATAAAAATACGTTTTGGAATTGATGAGTTTGTCGCAAACGCTCATTGCAATAGCTGTACCTTCTTCCACTGAGGTCGACCTAGAAGTATTTTATTAATTTTAGTACCGTATGATCCAAAAGACATGTCAGTTAGCTTGGAAGTGATGATCGATGGCATTCACCCAGTGAATAAAAACAACAAGGAAGGTCTCTAGCACAATTTTTATATTTATGCACTAGTTTTTTCTTGTAGTTTTATTTGATAAATTTGATTTTAATTTTTGCCGATGTGATGGGCTTTTCTGTATTTATTTTCCGTTATTTCTTGTTTATTTTATAAGAAGTATACAAATCTGGAAACACATTATGTCAGGATTTGAATTAGAGTGAGATTATTGTATATCTTAAAAAAATGAGTTAAAAAGTGATTCCCTATAACTTTTTTGTTTTTTCAGATAAAAAAACGAGATTTGGTATGTTAGTATATGACATAAATTAGGATCGAATAATTTTCTCTATATGCTCCTTCCTTAGTATTTTTATTCAATGTTTTAGACAAACTGTATGCCTAATTAAACTTACCTACATAACTCGTCAATAATAATGAGAGAGTTTTCGGTGATAATATTTAATATATAATTGACTTCGTGCATCTAAAAAAATATTATAATTATTAATATGTTGATGTCATAGGCGATAAGTGTATTATCATTAGCAATTTGTCTGTTGTGTCGTATAAATTAACATAAATGTCTTATGACTTATTTTACTAACTCGTAATATTTTTAAAAAATCAGAACATTATTTTAAAAAGATTCTTGCCTACCTCCAATACAAAGGATGAAGCACCGCACTCCATATCATCCTCGTTAGAAATTCTAGCAAACATTCTGTCAGCTGATTTGAATATAGCCGACTGTGCTGGAACATAACATCCTGAAAAACAGTTACTAAGAATTATATGAACAGAAAATTTGAAAAAGAAAACAGTGTGTGCACTATCTGCGCATATTTGTGAAACTTCTTACTAACATCTATTAAATTGAAGGATTTGAAAGACATGTTTGAAAAAATGACATAATGCTGTTTTAATATAAATATTATTTTCAATTTATTTCTGTAATCTGTATATTTTTTGCTTCCTCAATAGCCTGCAAATTCTGTGGAATACCACCAAAAATACACATTTTTATGCAAGTGCCTAATAATGTTATATTAACAATTAAATTTATTTAAGAAGAAAAAAAAATTTGAACCTCACCAGCAATTTGTATTTATAGTGGTTTACAGTAAATTTGTTAAATTATACGAATATTCTCGTTGACTATTTGTTTGAAGTAAATATGACAATGTCCTCCAATGAAAATGCGAGTTGATTAACTCTAATAATTTTAAGTCTGAGCTAGCAAATGAGCTAAATGTTAAAGAACCTAGACCGTTATTCGGAAGCTATAAACCTATCAATGAAAATATACATAAAAATTTACTTCCTATCACACAACCAGAGAATATTGGTACACAGGCACAGTATCAAGTTTATTGAAATGAGCTTTAAATAAAATGTTTTTTGGTGTTTGCGTGACCCTTACCACTTTTTTTCTCGCTAGCTTGTGCGTCAAGACCGTATCGTGGTTTTGAATTTTTACTCTTATCGCGCATAAAAAAGTTTCACTTCAATAATATAAACCGACAAACTTTACTGTACAAAAGGAAGGTACTCAATATATACAGACAAGATGTAAACAGAAAAATTCTATGTTGCCACATATTTGTTAAAACGTTTATTAACGAAGATCGTATATGATTATTATTAAATGATTATACAGGGTTGTTCACCACATACGACACGGAGTATTGTAGCTAAATGATTAGATTTTTACAAATTGTAAGTTTTGGGTTTGTTGAAGGACTATTAGAGCTAGAATTTAAAAATATTTCTACAAGATACAGAGTGTCCAAAATAAGTAAAAAATATTATAGTTGTATTTTTTTAAATGGAACACCCTAAATATTATTCTATTTTTGGATTCTACGATTGAAATAAAGGTACATTTGATTAAGGTTTATCACACTAAAACCTTGCCGTTTTTGAAATATTTTCAATTTTATGAAATTGCAGTAAAACTTTTAAGGCTTCATTTCTCCAAGGGTATCAAAGTTTTTAATATTAAATATTTACTGAAGATTATTTATTGGTCAGATATTGTGTTGCAATAATAAATATTTTACTAGCTTATACAGAGTGTCCAAAAATTTATATTAAGTAATTACTAGCTTTAAACGGCAATAACTTGTTTAATTTAAATGGAACACCCTGTATATTTTACGTGAATCATATCCACAATAAATTGTCTATGAAATTTTATTATGCCATTTTTTACCATTATCTCTTCAAGTTTTCGTAGAAAATGCATTTTCTTATAAATTAGACCTTATTTATCACTATACCCATGGAATATTGACATTTCAAATTTTTTTAAAGCAACATATACATATGTACAAAATGTACAGGTAGTAAATATTGCAAGTCCATTGGTAAAAAAAAACTATTTAAATCTTTGTAAAAGTGTATACCAATTAAATATACCACCATTATTTTCGACCAAAAATTAGTTAATTACATACTTTAAATTGTTTTAATTAATAAAGTATTCTAAATAAATGTGTATTTCGCTCAGAAATCAATATATGTAATAATAAGTTATGAAAACGAACGTCTCTATTTTTATAAATAAGCATTCCTCAAAAAATAAAATAAAATTTATAAGATGTTACTTTTTACAAAACTGTCTAATACACACACAAAATTCAGTTTTTTAGTATTTGGAACAATTATTATTAATCAACGTAAACAGTCAATTAATGTAGTTTGAATACTGGGATCATATTAATTGGTCCTCTTTAACAAAAATATTTAAACAGTTTTTTTTTATTTTTTAATAAAATAAGCGAACTATATCGCCAATATTAGTATCTGTACTCTTTGAAAATTTGTTACATCTTTAAAAATAATCTAAAATGTCAATATTCCATTAGTATAGTGATAAATGACGTCTAAATTATAAGAAAATGTATTTTCTACGAAAACTTGAAGATATAGATAAAAAAAATGGTATAATACAAATTGATAGACAATTACATTCTGCATCTGATTCACGTAAAATATATAGGGTGTTCCATTTAAATTAAACAAGTTATTACCGTTTAAAGCTAGTAATTATTTAATAAAAAATTTTGGACACTCTGTATAAAGTAGTAACATTTTTATTATTGCAACACAATATTTGATCAATAAATATAATCTTCAGTAAATATTTAGTATTAAAAACTTTGATACCCTTGGAGAAATGAAATCTTAAAATTTTTACTGCAATTTCATAAAATTGAAAATATTTCAAAAACGGTACGGTTTAAGTGTGATAAACCTTAATCAAATTTTTTTACCTTTATTTCAATCGTAGAATCCAAAAATAGAATAATATACAGGGTGTTCTATTTTAAAAAATGCAACTATAATATTTTTTACTTATTTGGGACACTCTGTATCTTGTAAAAATATTTTTAAATTGTAGCTCTAATAGTCCTTCAACGAACCCAAAACTTACAATTTGTAAACATCTAATTGTTTAGCTACAATACTCCGTGTCGTATGTGGTGAACAACCCTGTATAATTTCATTAAATTATAAAAGTTTTTTAGCTGAACTTTTTTAATTTAACAAATTTTTATCTATTGATATATTATGATGATTTGTTCTGTGTCAATAATTCATAAGTCGAAATTGAAAAATAATATACGACAGTTCTTGGCTTTCAAATTCAATCTGACAAAATTACAGTTATTTTTTTTTTAAGTTAAGGCCTTAGAGTATTTTCTTTGTTTATATTTTTAAGTTTCTTTTTGGGAAAAAATGTGTTTGAACGTGTTCTTATCAAAACAAGAAAAAAAATCTGCACTATGGAACGTGTAATGTAAACCGTATATATGTGCATGATTTGTAGATGTTACAAATAAATGAAAAATATAATGTTAGTTAAAATGATGAAAACAAGTTAAAATAATCATATTACCGATTTGAGCCATGATTTGCAGCAGCATTACTTGTCGAATATAAATACTTTTTCCAGAACCATTTGGACCAGTAATGACATGACTACTGTAGTGTTCACAACTCGTCTAAAACAAACAAAAAATCAACTCTTCTCTTGTTCAAAAAACTTATCTATAAAAAATATTCTAATACATACGATCGGGTTAGAGACGGGTTTGCACAAAAAATCCAACATAGGATGCCGACCAAGAACCACTTCGGTATAGTCGTTAAATTCGGGTTTAACCCAACTATTGGCCAAACTAGCTTCGGCCAAAGACTGCAACACGTCCAAGTAGGCCACGTTCTCCACCAGTTTGTAAAACAGATGAGCGTACTGTTTTATTTGAGCCACAGTTTTGTGAACAATACTAAAAACAATTTAAACATGTATTTTCAGTCGTTACAAAATAGATATTCTTACAGATTGCTAATAGTGAATAAATCTCTCAAAATATCGTCGATTCTCGTGGCTAGATTGACAAGTTCGGGAGTTTTCATAGTAAAACTGTTCGCCATACGAGTAACCTTAAAATTATATAAAACAGTAACAACAATGTTAACTTAAATAATTATACTGGTATTATAAGCTTTAAATAAAAATATTAAGGAAGGATTTAAGAAATAAGAAGATGCGTAACCTTATGGGCGATTTCGTGGCACAAAACCTGTCCGAGATTTAGTTTAGCTCTGCGCCGCTGTTGAGCTGAGTTGTTTACAGCGCAGCGGATAAAGAATACTGTACCGAAGTTCTGCTTTCAGCCAACAGAGTGGGTGGTTGCCGGAGACAGTGTTGCCAGAACTACGGATTAATCCGTATATTTGTGGATTTTGGATACAGTACGTTAATAATACGGATCTTCTATAATTAAACAATTTAATATAATATCATATGATTAAACAAAGGACGGCGTCAGAGTTGGCTTGGAAATAAAAATCGCTTTTATTTCATATATAAAATAATATGGTAAATGTCAATAGTATCATTGTCAAGCCAACTAAACGACTTTTTTCGATCATTCGAAATATTCAGTACCTATAAAAGAATTTTTATATTTGTTGTTTGTTCTATGTTTAACGCGAATTAATTTTCAATACATAAACGCGGATTTTTCATCCAAAGATATTTTCATCAAACCGTATTATAGATATTAGACATTTTAATATGGCAACATTGTCTCTTTCAGTTCCACACCGTCTTCGATATGCCTTCGCTAGCCGAATTAGAGCAAATGAGTGTTTTATGCGTTGGCCGCAGAACGAGTAGAGGCTCTACCGTACACCACTTGAGACGTAAGGGGAAATCAAATCAGTCTTGTCACGAATTTGCCCATTATTCCTTCAATCAACGATCTAATGCATACATTGGAGACGAAATTAACATCATGAACCTCCGTTTTTGATAGTTCTGTTTGAGGGTTCAATTGACACATTTGAATTTGATTTAAATTTTGCGGATTTTTTGTGCTTTTCTGAGCTAATTTTATGATATTTATTATTTATTCTACAAATGGTTTTGTTTAGAGGTAGTACATTTAGAGACATATTCGGTAAGAACTAAAATTAACAGTGACATTATTAGGAATTCCAGAAAAAAAGCTGTAAAATAGTTGTGCTGTCTTGTGGTAGATCTCGGTTGAAAATCAAAATAAATAAGGAAATGATTCTCACTGATCAATAATACACTTTTTACTTTAGTAAACCAATTAATTATGAATTCACTTAGAATTTGTTGATATGTTTCTTAAGATATTAAAACATGTGTATTAAAACATATGTGTTAAGATATTAAAATATCTTTGCTCCTTTCTTAATATTTTTATTCAAATACACACACCGGAAAAGTCTAGGGATATTACAATTTTATCCGGCCATCGTCAGTAATGTTATTATTTGCATTTCTGATATAATAAAATTAAAATAAACAAATAGTTTACAGGACGTATTGGAAATAAAAATGCGAAATTTACCGAATTTTTCAAATTTACCTTGATTTTTATTAAACTAAAAAAATACACACATTTTTTTTTAATTCTAAGCTGTGAATTAAAAAAAAAGATAAAACCATTTTTACTTAATAAAGGGTATGGCCTCCTCTACTGTTCATTACAGCCCTACATCGTCTCTCCATGCTCCTGATCAGGTTGTCGATCTCTTCTTGAGGTACAGCCTGCCACGCTGCATTCACGGCCCGAACCAGATCCCTACGAGTTTCACGAAGCATACCCATTCTCAAAATTCTTCTTTGGACCGCGTCCCATACGTGCTCGATGGGGTTGAGGTCAGGAGATTGTGCCGGCCAGGGTAAGATGTTTAATTGATGAGCATTGATAAACTCACTTACCACTCTGGCTGTACGAGGCCGTGCATTGTCATGCATGAGAATGAAGTTTCTCCCAAAATCATTGGCATATGGTAACACGACAGGCTCAAGAATTAAATCACGATATGTGATTCCTGTTAGAAACCTTTCAAGAAAAACGAGATCGGTTTTTCGGCCTAATTGGACTGCTCCCCAGACCATAACTGTTCCACCTTGATAAGGGTGCACTTCCTGAACATGATCCAACCGAATAAGATTTCCCGGTTCTCTCCATACCCTAAGCCTTCTCGAATCCGGATGTAATCCAAAGCGTGACTCATCCGTGAAGAGAACATTGGCCCAATGTTCATTCGACCACTGAACATGATCTTGAGCCCACAAATATTGTACCTCTCGATTTCCTCTCGTTAAGGGTTGAGCTCTCCAGGGGCGTCTGCTTCTTAAGTTGACCTCTCTTAATCTATTGCGAACAGTGTCAGACTAACGGTTACATTATGTGTTTCCTGGAGAATTAAACTAAGCTCTGGTGCTGTAAGAGTCGGTCGGCGTCGAGCATTTAATTGTAAAAAATGATCTTGCTGAGGGGTAGTAATGCGATGTCGCCCTGTGTACCTTTCAGCAACATCACCACTTTCACGGTAGCGTGCACTTAATCGCGATATTACACTTTGCGTTGTATTTAATGCTCTAGCTACGTCGATTTGGCGCATTCCAGCTTCGAGCATACCCATGGCCCTTAGCATTTCGTCTCTGTTAAGATGTCTACGTTCCATAATGTCGTTTAATACTAAACAGAGTTATTAGAATGAATTTTGGCCAGTTATCATAAAAATATAGCCAGTACAGGTTAAATTCGAACAATTGATGCTAGGTGCTTTTTATACATTTGACAAAAAATGCACAAACACTTCTGCAAATATCCCAAATTTAGAAATAACTAGTGTGACTACTTCGTTTCAATCGAAGTAGAAAGAATCGCCCTATAAATATGTGGTTGTTTATTCAAAACATTTATTTTTAACTTTAATAAAATGATATCCCTAGATTTTTCCGGTGTGTGTATTATAAGTAAATCAAAATATCACTTAAAAATACCTGAATAAACTCATCTGGTAATTTCGATGACTTCAAAAATTGCTTTTGGTTTTTGTTTAACGGCAACACCATATGATATCCCTTCTTGTTATTATTTGATAAAATTAAAGGCAGGTTATGCTTCTCTCCCAGCGATTTTACATACACTGAATTGAAATAAAAACCAAACTATTAGAAAATTGTGTAATTCAATTTAGTGGAGTGCCTTAAGCCCTTATGGGATACAAACCTCGGAATTCATTTACTGTGAACGAATTTTTATAAAACTTTTTGCATTGTATTGTTAATAATATATATTACAAAGTTTACCCATTTAAATTCGTTGCTTTCACTTTAGTATTTAAATACTCGTAAACGCACATATACAAATGCATACATACAAGATGGCTCCGTGTTCCAAAAAGCTCTGTATCAGGATTCCTATTTGAAATTTTCACTCCAAACCTTTTACAAAATATGTGTTTAATGGTAGTTCACATTTCACAAATATTTTTACAGATATACAGGGTGAGTCAAATATATTTTTACACATAAATTTTAGTTTTTCAAGTGAACTGCTTTATATTTGTGCAGTGAATTTGCTATAAAATTCCGGTTCTAAAAATACCTTAATAACATAGAGTATACTGAGTGATTTTTGAATTATGACCACGTCCATGAGGACGTCAATCTAGACGTCCAGGAACCTTCGTATGAGAACTTCTAATCTAGACGATCGACTTATTGTAAGCTTATCGCTAAGAAACCGCCGTTTGCCACCTAATGAATGTACATATTTACTAATGAAGACTGAATGAAGCAAATCTTATCTCAAGATGGCTTTCTTCGGGACCAGAACTTGCTGGAACTGTTGACTAGGACTAAAAGCAAAGGCATGGTTTTAATGTAAAAATGATGAAAAAATGTTAGTATCTTTTCAAAAACGAATATCGCCAACAAAAAAAGCTAATGAGATGAATCAAAAAACAAACTATCGAGAAACATTACAACAATTACAAACAACAGAAAACAAACTAGATGATAAATTGATTTTTAAATTTATTTCTATTTTAACATTTTACACAGGATGTTTCAAACTTTTAGGAAGTTTCATTTTTAATTTAGAAAGAAATACTAATAAGTCAGATAATTTGGCTACATACTGCTTAAAAAATCATTAAAATCGGCCCACTAGAAGAAAATATATAAAACTTTAAAACGCCTCAAAGTTTTAAGGTGTCTATTTTTAGTGCCAATGTATTTCAAAAACTATAGATTTTAGTCATATACTTTTCTAATGAAACTCGCCCTTTATTTTATTACTAGAATCCAAAAATTAACTAATATATAGAGTGTTCCATTACAAAAAACAAAACTTTGATGTGTAACTTTTTTGGGGGACACCCTGTAGAACTCTATATAATTTTAGAAAATGCTTTAAATTGACTTACATAACCCCACAAAATTTCATTTCAATACATACCTTTTGTTCGCCTTGCAAAAACTGGGTCGTATATGACGCGCCACCTGGTCTAATTCGATTTCAATCAAAATTTCAATGATTAGAATATAAGCAGAATAGGTATACCTAGCTTATACATTAGATTCATTTATTTCAATAAATTTACTTAGAAAAACAAATAAAAAAATCAAAAAGTTAAGAAGAAAATAACTAAGAATTTACTAAAATAAAAAATTAAAAGCAACGAAAAAATATGGGTAAACATTTTAGTATCTTCTCTATAAAACACACTACAAAAGGTTCCACATTAATATATTCACAGTAATTGAATTCCGAGGTAAAAGTCTCTGATTGCCACTAATTGTAGATTACAGACTTCTGAAGATGCCAGACATATAATGGCGTAACATCAAGAGCAATTAATTACTTTTAATTAAAGAACCTCAATAACCCAAAAAACAGAAGTTAACTAAAGTAAATCAATTGTAGATGTTATACTATTGAATTTTTACTCTCATCGCGCGTAAAGAAGTCGGTTTTTCCCAAATATCTTTGGAACTAATTGGATTTTTCCAGATTTAAAAACATGGCGCCAAGGAGCAACATTTCTCTAATATAATCATCTTTATATCTCTTCTCAGTATCAATAATAATTCACTTAGAAATAAATGTTACCTCTCATATCTTCTACCCTTTCCGAGTATGTTTTCCTGATCAAATCAAAAAAACCATTAACGCCTGATTTAATAGCCCAAATTCTTCTAGTCTCAGCTTCTTTTCCTTTAGCAAAGTAAGCGTCTTCACAAATTGTTTTTCTAAAATAATAAAATTTATAAACAAATTTTATTTCTTTGTTAACATGATTTTGGCGGATAACATTTATAAAATGCCATTCTACTTATATATTAATATAACAGACAACTTATACATGTATCTCAATGAACCTACTTACCTTATTAGAGTTTTCATATCGTCAAATTCATCTGAATTAAGCAAATCAGTTAAATGTTCAAAAAATGGCGGGGTTAGAAGTTTGGTAACTTGTTTTAAAGCCACAGTTGTGTCTAGAATGCCGTTCAGTACAAGAAGATAGTTCAGTTGAGCATTGGAACAACTGCAGATTCAAAAGAAATTAAAGACATTGTAAAATCAGCAAATTAAATAAAATTTACCTTTGAGGATCTTGAGGCACAAGGGTGCTCAAAGTTAAAAGTTGTTCGATGTTTGAAAACTTAGGCAAAATACCCTGCGAAATTTTATATAATTATTCATAATGATTTTTATATACAGATACGTTCTGGAAAAGCACTATATGAAGTTTTCGGTTTGATATTTTTTTTATTTTTATTTAAAAAAATATGATAAAACTGTTGAACCTTTGACACAATCCAAATTCATTATTTCAGTCTACTATCTAGGCAACATTTATATTTCTTGTCAATGATGACAGGTATTGAGTATTTCTATTTCCAAATATCTTGAGAACGGTTACTTTTAGTGATTTTTAAAAAGAGATATTTTTTACACAAAAAAACAGCGGAAACCTATATTTTTCACTCAGTAGTGTAGTACAGATACGGTCGAAAATTATTACTCTAAAAAGCAGTTAAATTCAAGTCGGTGGCGCTCCCTACGAGTAGAAGTCATACTCATAGATAAATGCAACAAGTTTAGATTGGAAAGCCCGTAAAAATTTTGGATCGCGAAATTATTTTGGGTCGCGACCGTTCTACGCGATCTGGCGCTGCTATAGCGGTCGCTAAGAACAACGGCAAACAAAAACAGAAATAATTTTCTCTTGTCAAAGTCAGAATCTTCAAAAATCATAATAATCTTTCAAAATCTAAACCGCTCTCATTAAAGAAATTCCGAAAAGTGTTTATAACGTACATTTTCAAAGTAATTATTGCTATCTTGTGAGTTTAATTCAAGTTTTATTTACTCCAACCGGTGATAATTGTGAAAAAGTGGCATTAAAAACTTAAAAGCTGTGCTGTGAACTGTGAACTGTGAACTGCAAAACCATCGTGGATCATGGCATAACGTCGGTTTCCAGTGTTTCATAGGTATTTCATACATGCGTCCTTATATAAAATAAAGTTTCTTGTATGCAACACACTGTATTTTATTTATAAAATTAAACGAAAATAATAATAAATTTGAATAAACAATATTTGGCGATATAATTCCGGGAAAAGCCGAACCGCTCCGAAATTTTCAAAAGTTTTGGGTCGCGACCGTTGCAAGAATAGCGCCAAATAGTGTTTACATTGTCCTTATGGGCACTTTCCAATCTAAACTTGTTTCATTTATCTATGGTCATACTGACATGGAAATCAGAAAAAATCACCTAATTGTTCTCCAAATATGGACATTAATTAAATTATTTAGAAAGAATCCGAAATAATAATGAAACTTCTGCACCCTGTATAAACCGAAGCATTTTAGGACATGAACTTATACAAACATTTTTACTTATTTTTATTTGCAGAATATGTAGCAGAACTTTGCCCAACACAATTCGGACCACCCCACTATAGGATAGAATTCAGTTATTTTGGCCATGAAAGGATAAAAAACCAAACATGGGTTTAGGATGTTTTTTTTCCAAATCAGTTTGAGTATTATAAGCTTTTAAGAGAAACTTAAGTTAAATTTTAGTGAAAAAAATCTTCAATCGTCATTTTTAGCCGACCATACCAACAGGTATGGTAGGCTATTAAGATCGGCAAAAAGAAAGTTTTTTTAATTTCACTCAAAATGAGTTATTTCGATCATAAACGACCTAAATACAAAATATTTTCATGGCGTCTGTCTGTCTGTCTGTCTGTCTGTCTCTCTGTCCGTCTGTAACACGATAACTCAAAAACCGCTGAACCGATTTTAACCAAATTTGGCACAAAAATACTGTGGCACCCGAGAATCTGGCCATTAGTTTTTGGTGGCGGTTGGTAAGGGGGTATGGGAGGAGGTTAAAAATTTTAAAAAATAACTCCAAAATTACAGTAGCTAGCGAAACGCGGTTTTCAAATTAAGATTAGGAATAATATTTGCAAGAAAATTTGTAATAACATCAAAATCAAAGCCGCAGTTTTTGAGATTTTAACATATTTTAGTATGGGCGGCTAAACGTGCCTCCCGGCGCCAAATTTTTTAATTTTTTTTGTTTAAACGGAAATAAAAATTACTATTGCAAGTTCTAGACAATTTTTCAAAATCGAATGTGATCTAAACATGTGTGCAGAAAATAACATTACTTTTTTTCAGTAAAATACAATGTCAATTGATGAAATTTATTTACATTTACAAAGAAATAAATGGAAATCGAACAAAGTGGATAATGCAGATATGTGAAAGTTGTGAAAATAAATTTTTATCTAAATCTAAGAACTATCATTGTTATGACTAAATACTTAACATTTCTGTATCAAATTCAATGTTATCTAAGCCTAGATCCTCAAGAAAAGTGTCTAGATTACCACAGTCTTCGGCATCATCATTGTCTTCTGTATGAGGATGATGATCTTGATTGTATGACTCTAGAAGATTTCTTACTTCAGAAGGCGACGTTGTTTTAATTGGGATTTTCGTGATCCGACAGATAAACTTGAAATTAATGGGTCAGATGTATCCATAGCTCTATCGAAAACGTCCGTGAGAGTGTTGGTCCTGCTGTTTCTTCGTGCATGGTTTTCCCGATTTTCTGCACACATGTTTTTATTTAAAATATACCTTTATTTGCATATTTGCAGGAAAAAGCTGTTTTTCTGACAGTTGCGCCCCTGACGGCCATTTTTCGAACTTGAAAATAATTTCCAGCGATTTCCCTTGGCCGATTTACCTAATAAAATTTTTTATTCCGAGTCAAAAAGATTAACGATTACTGAGTTATGGCCGAGGTCCGTTCTTAGTTGGCCACCCAGTACTCTTACGACTTGTGCTATAAGTACGCATAAAACGTATTTATGCAAGCTCACGCAAAAATTAAGTACGTCCTATTTTAGCTGGTATTCCAATGCACTGTGAAATGTTATTCCGATATCAATCAATTGCAATCATTTTTTTGTAGTTCCAACGGAAAAGAAGTAATGAATGATTTAAGTAACGCTAAACCTTGCTTAACATTTTTGACAATAAATGCGTAGAAAATAATTTTTTAACTGAACATTATATATTTTTCTCATTACTTACCATGAGTATTCGTCTCCATCATCACAAAAAAAACATTGCTCGAAATCTAATTCGCCACATTCACCAAATTAAATTTATACTAAATTGACACGATAAAGAAACAATTATTTTCTTTGACACACACAACTTACTTTGCGTTGCCGCCACGCATGACCTACTTAGTGTTTTTTTTGTTATCCACATCATGAAATAGGGATTTTTCAATGTTTACGTAATATTTTGAGTATCAAAACAGAAATGTAAAAATTTATCATTTTGGCCAAAATTAACTGATTTTATCCCAAAGTGCACCCCTGTATTGACAAAATATTTTTAAAATGTGGGCATATTTTATAAAGACATTGGAGTGAACATCTCAAATAAGAAACCTGATTCAGAGGTGTATAGTTCGTAAACGTCCGTTCGTATTCCGACCTCGGAACGAAAGGAACTAGTTCCCGGTTTCTTAAAAGACTAGTTCCTCAGGGCCTTTTCCGAGGACCGAGACTGTGACCGAGATATAATAATATGCGACGGCGACAGCTAGGCTAGCACGATCATAGCGCGATACTAGTCGGGAGTGGCGAGTGCTAGCCGTATGTTATCGGTCCCGGACCGAAAGGATCGAGAGGAACTAGGGAACTAAATAAAAGACTAGTTCACGGACGGATCGCCTAGCTCGAATATAGACCGACGCTCGGCGGGAACGGGGAGGGCCAGCCGTATGTTATCAGTCCCGGACCGAAAGGAACAAGAGGAACTAGAGGAACTAAAGGAACTAATTAAAATACTAGTTCACGAAAATATATTCGGTCCAGATATAATACAAATAATACGGATCCGGCCTTGTCTATGGTTGCAGCCGGCGTAATTATCACAGAAAATTGTCGTGTCGTGGATACTGTTTGTAATTTTTAGTTTTTTTTGATATATTGATATTTGATTGAAATGTTTCACTTTAGGACCCTCAAATTAAGAAATATCTTGTAAAACGAAGTAGATATTCTGACTTTTTAGGCAAAAATAAAGAGTTCGAAGTGACGGAAAATGCAATTTTAATTAAGAGAAAACTTTACCTTCTATTTATTATTTAGCTTCGCCTACATGTGTCACTATTAAGTATTTTATTATTTGCTCCAATTGATTTTTGATGTAGTTTTTGAAACTCTGATTTGAGTTACTTTTTAATTTTTTGTTCTTATCTGCAATAAAACTTACCTATACGTTTTTAATATACGAAATTACACGTCTCGTAATATTTCGTACATTATAAAAATTACGGGGAGGTAATTACCATATCAGGTGCTCGGTGGCGTAGAGGTACAGGCTCTCGTCTACCAATCTCAAGGTAGTGGGTTCAAATCCCACACCCGGCATTTCATCAGCCGACTATTTTTATTTAAAATAAAAATAGTTTGGGTACCTAGGTCGTACCAGCCCTAAATGAGTACTTGGGATTCACAATCCTGAGGTAATAATAGGCGATTGAAGCGTAGGGCTAGCCGCATTACCTTCCTTGTATACCGAACGGCTCCAGTATAGCAAGCTGTACTTTGCTACTCCCAAGGCGTTAAACGCTATATACGGGAGCTATTATTATTATATAAAAATTATACAAATCATACTATGAATAGTTCTGACTGAAATAATGAAACCCGTGAGCAAGCAACGAGGATGCCAATGTTAATCGGGAACTAATGTGAACTAAAGACCTAGTTGAATTCCTCTGAAGGAACTAGTTCCTCACAAAGAACTAAAATTCCCACCTCTACCTGATATCGAGCTTTGTCGGAACGTTGGGTCACCCTGTAAGATTAAAATTTCAAGTGTTTTACTATACTAACCTGGATTGATAATAACAAATCTGGGCGACTGATTAACTGTGTTACACATTTCAATCTCTCTTGAATTTTCTCGACCGAATAGAAAGGTTGCAGTACAGTAGAACGTAAGTTTCTACTACCAGCTTTAGTTAAACAATGATTTATGACACCTAACAATGTTGAATACTTATTAGCTTGTGCCGACTGCATACTAGATACTAACTCAAGTCTATCGGCAGTGGATATATCTACATAATATAATAAATTATTAATATTAGATTAAACGGATAAAGTTAACTCAGTTACCAATCATAGCATATCCTTCTGAGCTTTCATATTCCAATTTTATACAGTTACTTGTATAGTATATGTACAATCGATCTTGTAAATACGATAATAATGCACCCGCAGCAGCAACTGTGTAGTATCTATATGTAGTATTTTATAAAAATTAATGGCAATATAAAATCTCTAACAAATATATAAATATAATCGATGCCAATTAAACTTTTAGTTACGTCATCGAGGGCACGATTATTAAATTCACTGTTACCAACCATGGACATATTCGGCGCATGGCTGACTAACTGGATTTAATTTTCACCCTGGCTATTTAGCTGGTAGCCCTGCTGTAAAAAATGCCAAGTTGCCACATTTATTTATTTTCTTCCTGAATTTTTTATTCGTTTTGATACTTTAGTTTTGTATTACGAGTTTTTGGTGTAAATAAGTAGTGTTGTGATACTTTAAGCTTGAAAATGTTTACTAGCAGACCTTGCAGTCGAACATTTTTCTTTTTAGAACCCCTTTTAGTGCGAAGTGTACAAGATAGATTAATAGTCGTAAAAAACTCATCGCAACTTTATTAGAATATTTTGAACGGGAAAGCGGTAGTAATGGCCCTTTATGTCCCTTAAGTGCTGTTAAGAAGGTGAGTTTTGTTGATGTAAAATAATAACTGTTTATATATTTATAACAAATTTATTTTTGTTTCCTAAAATATTTTGATTAAAAGAATATACAGGGTGTTTCCAAACAAATGCGAAAAACTTCAGCGGGTGATTCCTTGTTCAAAATAAAGGGTAGTTTGCTTTATAAACGTTGGGTCAAAAGTCAACCATTAGGGAGATATCGCGGTACAAAGATGGCGGAAAAATAATGTTTTTATTTTTTATCTTGAAAACGAAAAGAGATAGACTAATGAAATTTTACGGAAGCATTACTGTTATGAAAACACACTTTCTGGTAATTTTTTCACTTTTTTAAAATGAGTGGAAGGGGTTGAAATAAACTACCCCTATCATTCTTGTTAATGAAATTTAAAGAAAAATCTTATCAAACACATGCAAAAAAATTAATTTTGATAGTTTAGTTTATTTAGAAACTTTTTTATCTCTTGTGTTTTTTTGAATAAAAAATCCTTGATTTGAAATTAAAAAATAAAATGTAAAGCATTACATGTCAGGACAAAAAACATTTTTAGATAAAGAATCTAGTGGGCAGCTGTAATTTTTTTAGGAAAAAATCTAGTCGGCCGCTGTCACTTTTTAGGATGTTTCTAATATTGTTTTATTTGACATTACCCTACTGCAATACGTTATTATCTAGATTATTTTTTATTTTTTTTTTCACAGCATTTTTGCTGGGTACGGCCAATGTTCGCGGGGTCTTTATAGACCAACGCGACCATCTGTTGCCAGTATACGTCTCACGGTGTGACAGATTGCCAGAATGACAGCTTTTTGTGAGATTGCTACAATTTGCTTCGGGTTGCGTATGCTGATAGCCTTAAGATTGCGGGGTAAGTACTTATCTACTAACCCATTACATGATATTATTATAGGATATATTTCCACCTTTTCCAACTGATACATTCTCTTTATCTCATCCGCGAGTTCTTGGTATTTCAGGACTTTCTCCATTCTTGATTTTCCTACATTTTCGTCTGCTGGAATTTGTATACTATTACTTGCGCCTTTCTTTGCTTCTTATCAAAAACTAAGATGTCTGGTCGATTGTGACTCACCGTCCTATCCGTTGTTATAGCTAGGTCCCATAGGATCTTCCACGATTCGTTTTCTAGTACCGTCTGAGGCTGGTATTTGTAGTATGGGACTTTTGCAGTAAGGAGCCCCATTTGTACACAGAGTTCCTGATGTATTACGCCTGCAACTTGGTTGTGCCTGTTTAGGTAGTCCCTCGGGGCAAGATATGTGCAACCAGCAGTTAGGTGTTGAATAGATTCAGTAGTGGTCTGGCATAGTCGACACTTATCAGATGGTAAGTCCTCTTTTAGGATGAATTTTCTCCGGTTTCTCGTAGGTATTACCTGTCCTTGTATGGCGTTTATGAATCCTTCAGTTTCGAACATTAACTGGCCATCAGAAAGATAAGACGTTGAAAGCTTCTTATCGACCTCACCTCCGTTGAGGTTGGCTGCATACCGTCCATGTAATGGTTTCGCTTTCCATTCTTCCTCGAATTGGCTGATTGTAACTGGGATTGGTGGGGGATTCTTATCTGCAAGTTTAAGCTGTGAATATCCGTCGTCAACCTGTATTAGCGCTCGATGCAATGGCTGATCGGTACGGAGAAAGTAGTCTCTGAGGTTGGTGGTCTGTTGGTGGTGTTGTACGACTAGATTTTGTAAACCTCGTCCTCCATTTGCCCGCGGAAGGTATAATCTGGCAGTCGAATCTTGTGGGTGGTGGGACCTGAATTTTGTTAGAAGTACCCTTACTTTCCTGTCAATGCTTTCCAGGTTTGTTTTGCTCCATTTCAATATACCAAATGTGTGGGATATAGTTGGTATTGCCCAAAAATTAATTGCCGTGACTTTTGCCCCAGAGTATAATTCCGTTTTAAGTATTTTGGTCACGCGTTGGAGAAAAGATGATTCGACGGCCTTTTTCATTTCAGTGTGGTCTATAATAGCGGACTGTTGCACACCAAGATATTTGTACTTTGCTCTTAGTTCGAGTCCTGCGATATGCTGTCCTCTCCTCAAGTCGATGCCTTCGGATTCTATGATTTTTCCTTTTATCACGTTCACGTATGCGCACTTACTGATACCAAATTTCATTTTTAATATCCTCGCTAAAACATGACACTAGTTCTAGCAGGCTGTGTAGTTGGTCCCTATTCGTAGCGTAGAGCTTCAAGTCGTCTACGTAGAACAAGTGCGTTAGTCGAACACTTGGGTTTTTCGTTATCTGGTACCCGTAGTTTCCAGTCTTTAGCATAGAGCTAAGTGGGTTAAGTGCCAAGCAAAACCATATTGGGCTCAGGCTATCCCCCTGGAAAATGCCTCTCCGGATTTTTAAGGTGTCAGTAATGTATGAAACACCATTCAGGTTCACCGCTAGTTGCGTTCTCCATCTATCCATGGTTTGCCGGAGGAAGTATATTACTTGTATTAATTTTATATATTTCTAATGTTTTTACTAACCATGAGTGGGGGACGGAGTCAAACGCCTTCTGGTAGTCGATCCATGCCATTGCTATATTTCTTTTTTTAACCATGGCCTGTTTTGTTACGATGGCGTCAACTACGGTCCACTCTCTACTACCCTGCGATCCCTCCCGGCTTCCATTTTGTTCCATGGCCAGAATTTCGTTTTTCTTTAGATGTTGAGTTATTTGGGCGTTTATTATAGATGTAAGTAATTTATAGATTACCGGTAAGCAGGTTATTGGTCTAAAATTCTTTGGATTTTCAGGTTCCTGATTCTTGGGGAGCATGTAAGTTACTCCTTGCGTGAAGAAGGGCGGCATCTTTACAGGGTCGACAAGGGCTTGCTGGAACTGCCTGGACAAGATTGGGTGGGTAGCAGGAAAGTTTTTCCACCAGTATGCTTGGATCATCATTCCCTGGGGTCTTCCAGTTGCCCAACCTTGTAAGAGCTTTTCTCACCAGCCCTGGAACCTGCTTGCAGAACCTGCTTGCAGGAGGGGTAGTGTTGGACCTCTCCCAGGCGCCTCCCCAGGTGGCGGATAGGGGAATGCCTCCCAGATATGGGTGGTACCGGGGAAATCAAATACCCGGGGTGGACCGTAACTAACCAACACATTATAATAGGACACGACGGATCTCCATGTAAGGAGCGGTAGTCCGATAGCGTCTGTACTCCATGTTAGGAGCGGCTAAATACTACCTGGCAGAAGGTATAAAATGCGCTTACCATTTTAAAATGAGAAGAGTACAACGAGCCTCGGAAGCTGAAGGTGCGGGGGCAGCACCTGCAAGCGGACAGTCCCAGCCCCTAGGAGGAACGAGTGAGACGGGCGACGCTCACCTCCGAACCGGAAAAGCCCGGCCTGAAGATGGACTTGAAAATCAAAATCGAACCGATAGCTTGGGCAACCATACAGGAAGCCCCGCTAATGGACGACAAACACGAAACAGGCGTATGCGCTGGTCAAGAGAAGATAATATCAATCTCATACGTGCATACTTTACTGCCACGAAAAACGAAAACGAAATTATCTAGATTATTATTATTATCATTATTATCACTAGATTCTTAATCTAAAATTATTTTTAGTCCTGACATGTAATGCTTTACATTTTATTTTTTAATTTCAAATCGGTGAGTTTTATAAAAAAAAAATACAAGAGATAAAAAAGTTTCTAAGCAAACTAAACTATCCAAATTAATTTTTTTGCATGTGTTTTTTTTGCATGAGATTTTTCTTTAAATTTCGTTAACAAGAATGATAGGGGTAGTTTATTTCAACCCCTTCCACTCATTTTAAAAAAGTGAAAAAATTACCACAAAGTGTGTTTTCATAACAGTAATGCTTCCATAAAATTTCATTAGTCTATCTCTTTTCGTTTTCAAGATAAAAAATAAGAACATTATTTTTCCGCCATTTTTGTACCGCGATATCTCCCTAATGGTTGACTTTTGACCCAACGTTTATGAAGCAAACTACCCTTTATTTTGAGCAAGGAATCACCCCCTGAAGTTTTTCGCATTTGTTTTGAAACACCCTGTATACAGGATCTCCCACTTAAGACGGATACAAGCCAATATCTTGATTGTTTGTTGAGCGATCCTTTTCATTTTTGGCAGGAGGCTGTATGGCTATAAGACGAACATTTTGCCCAGGGTAAGAAATGCGATACCTCATAGACGTACGTTTTAATGGGGTTTGATATTTTTCGAGTCAAGAGTAAACTACCCTTAGGATAATCTTAGGAGGATCAATTATATTGAATCCTCCTTACCTAAGATACTTTAGTTCTAATTTTTATAAATATTGATTGAATAAATTAAATATTTTATAAATATTGACAGGGTGTGTCATTAAAATAAGACATTTTTATTTTTATTATTATTTTTTAAGTACTTACGATGCCACATTATCAACAACCAATTATACCAAATTATCAATTAATAATCGATTTAAGTTTGGTCGAAGATGGCCCAAGATGTTGACTTTTAGTTAGTTATAGTTTTATAAATCTTTGTTTAGAGCATATTTTTCAAAGTTAATAGTGATTGTGTTAAAAACTATTTGGAATTTTTTAAATATTCCTCAATAAAACGAATAAAAATTATATTTCAGATTCCATTGAAAACTGCGTTTTTAAATTATTTTGTAACTCATTTTATTCATTTGTATTAGCAAACTTAAAAAAAAATTAAAGTAAACAAAATAAATTGAAAATATTTAGTTTATTTGTATCGTATCTTAATTATTATGGAAGCTATCTGAAAACTTATATCGATTATTATTGATAATTGGTTAGTGATAATAAACCAGTTGTTTATCCAGTGGCGTCGTAAGTACTTAAATCTCAATATCAATGTTTATCAAAATTAGAACTTAAAGTATCTTGGGTAAGGAGGATTCAATATAATTTATCAGATCTGAAATAAATACTGTCCTAAGGGTAGTTTACTCTTGACTCGAAAAATATCAAACCCCATTAAAACGTACGTCTATGAGGTATAGCATTTCTTACCCTGAGCAAAATGTACGTCTTATAGCTATACAGCCTCCTGCGAAAAAATGAAAAAGATCGCTCAACAAACAACCAAGATATTGGCTTGTATCCATCTTAAGTGGGACACCCTGTCCATATAAAAGTGGGCAATGCTGTGCCGGTCAAGCTTAATCACGCGACTAAAAGTTTATTTGGTATGAACTGTACACGTGTATCCAATATTTATTTAAAAATACCTGTTTTTCAATATAATTAACAATGGAAATGAGCTTGACAAAGCTATTTTAAAAAGCTTATCCATACCATTGTCCCTGTTGAACGCCTTCCTGACGAATGGTATTAGTTTTTTCTTGGGAAAGAATTTTTTTATCTGCTCAATGAGTCTATTATATTTTGGCGATTCGAAAGTTAAAGGATATATAATCTAAAAAAAACATTATCATTTATTCATAAATAATACTTAAATGTAAATTTACTTGATCAGGATTAATAATATTAATTTTTGCTAATGTATTAATGTAGCTTTGTGAATCAGACATTTGGCAAAGAAGTATGTGAGGTTTTGAAGTGTTTATTGCTGCCATTCCTATTTCACATCTGGCTTGGCCTCTACCTTCAGTAATTGCTAAAAATTGTACTTTGCTTGTATTTGAAAAAAAATTGTACTACCTTATTTATTGCTATGTATTTACGTATTTTTAGACTTATTTTAATTATTAGAATATAATCTACAGGGTCCGACAAAAGTGCGTCCGGCATCTACAGGGTGTCAAATAAATAGTATACCAAACTTTAGAGGGTGATCCTATACATAAAAATAAAACAAAAAGTTCCTATTAACATATACCCTAAGATGCATCCCGATGAAGTTACAGCCCTTATAGTTTATCCCAGGGGGGTGACAGTGAAATAGGAAAATTGGAAACAGTCATTAGTGTCATTCCTGTCATTCTCCTCACGACAAGTATGGCCGCCTAGACAAGGACAGCATTGTTTTTGTCTAACTATTGTCTAACTTCACAGTTTAGAATTGACAGATTTCAGTTTCAGAGACAACTTCAGATTTGTTCTAGAACAAATTCGAAAATATTCGACGCCTTTTAATTCATTCCGTTTAGTTTCGTTTTGGAAGTTCAATTTAATATTTCGGCTGAAATTTATAATTATAAAGGTAATAAAGTATATAAAATATATATTACATGAAGAATCCTGGAGAAAATGACGTTTCTGCCGTAGTAGGTATGTCCCATGTATATGAAAAATAGGTAGTAAATAAACACTGTTTTTACATTTTTTAGATGCAAGAAAATGGTGTTATAATCTCTTTGATCGGCGATTTTTTTGAAAATGGAAACAATTTACAGCAAGGTAAGATCATTTTTAACTATAGCCAACATCATTTATCTCCAATATGTGCGATTTATTGTCAATAATGCAATAAATCGGACTGATAATCTGATTATGTTATCCGACTAAAAGTCTCTTTTTGCTTCTTTTTGATTTATAAGCCAGGTCTCTTTGGGAATAATGGACGCTTTTTTAAACAGTATATTTATATTTTATACCTATTGATATTTTTAGATTGTTAATTTTAGTATAAAAAAATTTGTTTTTCTGTTTTCAGGTTTTTGTATAAGGCTCCCGTTTTCATGTCCCTGTGTCCGTTTTCTGTCCTTGAAGTCTGCGAATACGTGTGTTTATTTACAAATTACTGTAAGTCATGCTTATACCTTAACTAATTTACGTTAAAAGTACATATAATTAACTAATTGGTATTGAAACAATACAATCCTCTATATTTTTATGTTTATTTAGTCACGTTGTTCCATACTTCAAATAAATATATGTGAATAAATTATTTTTTGGTTTTATTTATGAAAAGAAAAAATACAAAATACATTTGAACTGAAAGAGGGCCCGCCATTGAATAACCGGAAACGGAAATGAAAATTAAGCCATCATGTCCTTATCATGTCAACCTGTCAATTGGAAACTTAGTTCTCCAGACGACAACGAAGGCTTTCGGTGGCGTATCGTGTTTCCACGATTTAACACAGAGTTGACACTTCTTTCTAGTTAATTATTTTATGGTTTATCCTAGTGGGTAGCAAATAAAAACAATATACAGGGTGAACTTCTGTAGCATATTCTGCAGATAAAAATAAGTAAAAAACTTCGTATAAACTTATGTTAGACCGCGATACAGGGTTGTAACGTTTTTAGTTCGTTACATGTCTTTTTTATATATAATATATGATGTCTGGCCTATCATCACTGGATTCCCTCTCGTTCAGGGCGGATAGTTTATTTGACGCGTAATTTTTACGTTCTCTAGTCGGCAACCCTGCTATCGTTTCACTGTTCTGTGGAGGCGCTGTCAACATCGCTTCTGTCAACTCTCTCCGTGCTTAACTTGACTTGGCTTTGACCGTCCGACTGTCACCATCAAAAAATCCTTGCTTCAAGAAACTGCAATTATAAAAATCTTGCTGTATAATTTGAATCAGCTGCTATTTCGAAGTTACAGGGTAGAGTTTTGGATGTCCCAACCTAACTTGTATTTGTATTTTGCTGGCACGTTGGCGTCCCTTTTCTTTTGTCCTCCAGAATGTCACATGGAAGAAAGGACATGTTCTTTATTATTTAGTGAGCCCTCGGAAGTAATTCGAGGTAGGTTCATTTTGTTTGTTAGACCTTGTTTGATTTTAAACAAGAGTTTCGTATTTTTAGGGTCCAAGGTACGGACTATTTACAAGGTACGGGCATTATCCAAGGTCCTAGTAGTATCCAAGGTACGGGTAGTGTTCCCCTGTACCGTTGTCTTATGGGCGGGCTGTGTTCAAGGTTATGGTTCAAGTTACGGACAATATCCAAGGTCCTAGTAGTGTTCCAAGGTACGGGTAGTGTCCCCATATTGCTACAGTATGGATACAGCGTAAGCCCCATGCTGCTTCGTTCCCATTTCTCAGTCTAGTCAGTAGTTACGGCTGTATCAATTCATGGTGTCCTCACTCTGGCCCCCTTTTGCTGTATTAGATGGCCGAGTATTGTTTGAAGCAAGTACTGTTTGAAGCAAGATTACATAGATTTACATTCTAGTTTTTATGTTTTAGATTTTCTATATTTTCAGTCTTAAACAGTAACGTACATTTTAAATAATATCGTACAGACTATATTTAGTGGTTAGATTATAAAGAACATTTATGTCGATTTAATAGTTACAATGTGATTTAGATTTTAGGTTTCACTATATTACGCCTTGTAATAGTATTACTTTTTTATAGATATTATTATTGCACTAACATCATATAAAATATATCAAATTAATTAAAGTAATGCTACATTTCATATATTCTCTTAAACTTTACATGTCTTGTATTTTATCATAGTTGTTTTCATAGATATTTAGTACAATTCTTAACACCACTTTCGTTGACATATAACCACTATAATAATTATTAAAATTGTACAATGCTATTTACCATCACAGTCCATCATGAATAAATATAGTCATTAGTTGTAAGTAATATACAACTGTGTTTTCTTTCTCTGTACATGCCTGGCGCACAATATCTGTATTTTTTTGTTTATTGTTATTGATTAGTTTTCTCTCTAGTGAAATACCTTATCCACGACTGCTCTCCGATGAAAAGCTGAGGGTTCGCAGAGGTGGTAATGTTTATAAAAAAACGTTACAGGGTATAGAATTTTCACTTCTATTTCTATCTTTTTAAGTAATTTCTGAACCAACGTCGATATTTTGGTAAAAATGGTGTCTGGAAATTTTTTGATATGAGAAATTTGTTTTCGGTGTCAATATGACTCGTAGGTCGCGCCACCTACGTATTTTTTAACTGGTTTGAAGTATAATAATGTTTCGTCCCTACCTGTACAGAACTACTGAGTAAAAAATAAATATTTCCGGTGTGTTTTACGTAAAAAAACCTTTTGGGAAAAATTACTACAAGTAATGGTTATCGAGATATTTGTAATCGAAATAATCAATACATGTCATCATTGACAAAAATTGAGCATATTCACAGTGATAGCACATATTAGCATTATGACGATGAGCAAACGAGTAAAATTTCCCGTGCGCAAAAATAAACTCGCGTTTATACAGCGTAATAACTGGACCGGTCAGGCGCTGTGCGCAATTTTAGAGGCCATAAGTGGGCGTGCTTGTGCGCAAACTAGTAACATAACTAGTGCGCGACTCCGAAAATTGGAACCACGAAAAACAATCCTTTTAACGATAAATTTATAATCTGTATGTGATAGTTATTTATTAGACTGAAATCAGAAACTTGAAATGTTCACAGATTTATCATTTCTTCAGTCAAATAACTACCTAATCAAAATGTTAATTTTTTGTCAATAATGACATGTATTGATAATTTACATTCCAAATATTTTGAGAACGGTTAGTCCTAGCGATTTTTACCAAGAGACGATTTTTACGTAGAAAACGACGGAAATGTATATTTTTTACTCAGTAGTTTTTATACATGCACGGACGAAAAGTTATTACTCTTCAAATGTGCTAAAAAATATATATGTGGCACGTATAAGTAGGAGTCATATTAACATCGAAATCGAATTTCTCACGTCAAAAAACTCCCAGAGACCAATTTTCACCCAAATATCGACGTTAGTTCAGAAATTATTTGAAAAAAAGTGGTATAAAAATAAAACTTTTACACCCTGTATGTTCGAAACGAAGCATTTTAAGACATAAATTTATTCGAGGTTTTTTACTTATTTTTTGTCGGTAGAATATGCTGTCGAAGTTTCCCGAATACACTTCGGACCACCATTTTTTTATTTTTTAAGAACTTTAAAATTTGGTATTCTTAAACATTTTATTGGCACAGCAAATAGCGATAGTGTAAAAATCCTTAAAAGTTAAGTCCTCTAAATCAAACGACATATGTAAAACTTGGAAAATAAGTTCGTCATAATAATGCTTTTATTTATTCACTATTCTAATAAACAATATGCATTCCTTCGGAAACTCTCTATTTATTTATCTAGTAATGCTAAAACACTCTATTTGAAAGTCGATTAGAGAAAATAGTATGATTCATTGGCAAGCGATATAAATATTTGTGATCAGGTAAAATTGTGATGTAAGAGGAGGCTTAGCTTGCTGGCGCGCGGCATGTCGGTCAGTAGTTGATAGGCCGGCCGGCTGTGTAGTGTTTTGTCGCAGAGCTGACAAATGGGGGTTGCGAGTCTTTTGACTAACATAGTTGCAAGTCGTTTGACTGTAAGCCAACGGGGTCGTTTGACAACAGGAAGAAAACCTCTTGTGACGTCTTGCCTTCGAGTTGGTCTTGAGAGTTTGAGGTCTCCATAATGTCTTCTCGATTGACGATGCGTTGGGGTAGTGAGCTACTCCAATTAGCTTATTCGATTGGGATGCGAATCTGTTTAGCGGCAGAATTCCGGGGGAAGCCCCTATACTATTTCAGGTGACACTAGCTAGTTGTTGAAGATTATTAACCAATAGATCCGAATAATATTTGAATTAGATGGAAGATATGGAAGGAGATATATTGAAAAGAGTATCAGTGATGTCAGTGGTTAGGGGGCGGAGTACCCCCGGGTGAGTCTTACTATTTAACTATCAATTTTATCCAGATCAGTAAATGTTTGTTTTGTCATTTTCATGGACAATGAGAGAGTGCTTGACAATGACCAACAAAATGGATATTTGAGGTGAATTTGCATTGTGAGACCCGGTTGAGTAAACCACAAAAATAGCGATTTTACACATAAAAAGCTAGAACTTTTTTTAAGTAAGAAAGGTGCTCTTCGTTTAGTTCGAAACGTTGAACGGTTTTCAAGATATTTGCGTTTATGAATGTTAAAATGTGTCGATTTTAGTATAAGCGAAATCGTCAGATGTAAAGAAATTTTTAAGGAAATTAATTAGTAGTAATTTAAATGGAGTATATTAAAAGAATTAACAATGTAGTTACATATCAGATATGATCTAAAAATTACAAGACATGTTTCAAATAAGGGCTGTAAGGACTTTATGTAAAAACTGTAAATAGAATATTGTACCAAATTTCAGTGGATGGTACTAAAAGTTGGTACTATGAACATAATAGGTTCATAGGAACTTTTTCTTTTATCTTTATGTGTAGTACCATAATATTTACATAATATGTAAGCACTTACATAATATGCTCATAGGAACTTTTACATAATATGTTTTTATAGGAACATATAATTTAAGACATATTATGCCTTAAAATGCTTCCTAAGGAAATTACAGCCATTATTAATACACAGCCTTTACAGAGTTTACAGACGCACTTTCGCGGCAGAATCCTGTATATCTAAGTTTAAACCGAAATTTAAACATTATTAAAAAACTACCATAAGTTAAAATATGTATTACATACCTAGTAAAACTTGATCCTCATTCTCAGAGGTAGATTTAGATGATGCAGACTTTGTTGATTTCTTGTTTGAAGACGAATTTAAAACCAGGCTAAAGAAAAGTATATATTCTTTATATATTAAAAATGTTTTTCAGCCTTTTTGTAATATTTAAATATCTACTTGCTATCGGAGTAAATGGTATTTTTGTAATTGTTTTTATTAAATAATATGAAGGTCTTTACCTTATATGTCGTTTTCCCCAATTAATATCAGAAGCGCTTAGCGCAGAACTATCGCTAGTACTCGCTTTTCTTGGAGGGGCATGAGTTGGTGGCCCCATAATTCCAAAATTATTTTGAAATGGGAACTTTCCAGTTCCCTTTTTGGCTATATTCAACATTCCATCGTTCAAATTCATTTTATAGGGCTCAAAACTTCACTCTTTAAAACTATTTTACAAAAAAGAATCAATTAAACATTAATAATCAAAAACAATTGATTTTAAACGTTAAAACTTTGACAGTATTGTCCTTGTAGTTACTCTATTAAGTCAACAAGAGGGCGCTGCGAAAGCTAGGGCTGGTGCGAATTAACGAATCGATAATTTGAAAATTAAATTGCCCATATTATTGATTTGATTATATATTTTAATGTTATTATCAGTAAGCTTTTAATGGAAAACAATTTTTTGGTTAATGCTAATATAAAACATATGTTAAATTTGGAGTAATAGCATCCAAATTTTCTATAATAATATAAATATGTAATAAGTGGGTAATAATGAACTCATCTCTATAAAAGAGATAAATGTTAGCCCAAGCGAAAAAGAAATAAATTTTCTTTGAAGTTTGCTCAGATTTTAATTTTATTTCTGTTATAATTTAATGAAACAGTTTAAATATAAGTAAGATTATAGTATATGAAATCTATAGTAGGAGTTCTTGTTGCTTGACAGTATAGTTTTAACGTTATTTTTGAATAATTATTGCTGTTGTAATTTATGAAAAATTATTCCTAAATTTGGCCTGACTATGAAGTAGTTCTTTTGTACCTAATAGTAGGGGAGCTCAAGTGGGATTTTGGGATTTATTCAAGCATGGCAGAATATCATAAGGGGATACTCTTTGTACACTCTCAAGTACCTCCAGATTACCATGAACCTTTTATACAGGATCGTGCGTGTAGGACAGCCGATTAGAGCAGTAAAAAAAATATCGTTAGCAAAACTCTAGCGTTTCAGATTAAGGCAAGGTGATGAGTTAATTACATGCAGAAAAGTATGCATTTAAATAATCTGACGATTTAACCGTAACATATTAAATTTGGATAGTCACAAAGTTGCCAAAAAGTCACATGGACATTCTCGAGCGTACGCTAGTTATCAAAAGTCATGAGAATAGGGCTTACTTAACATCCCTTTTGATCCCAAAGCGGCTCTCCAACTGTAACGTTATATTATAACTACTTTACTACTTTATATTTTTCCTTTTTCGATCATACGGTACTTCCCTTTTAAATATATTGGTTTATTAATTCCCCTAGACGAAAATAGAAGAGAGGATCTAATATAATAGAAAATACCTACAACATTTGCATTTGAAATGTTCGATACGTAGAGAGCTGGAATAGCAAAACAGTATTGTGTCTGGTGTAAATTAGATTTTATAGTTATGGTAATTTGAGTTGGAAATGGAATTTCAATTGAAAGTTACAAACAAACGTGTTTAGGAAAATTATTTTAAAAGTTTTGATAGGAGTAAAATCAGTTAAATAGGTAATAGGAAAAAAATGGCTAAAGTCTTTCTTTATGGTGGAGTTTTCAAAAGTTTTTAGTTTAGTTAAAAGAAGTCTAGTTAGAAGGTACTTACGCTGAAAGTGAGAGTAATTTCAATTTATTCCGATGCTTGTAATACGCAAAAAGCAATTGTCAAAAATGCATTTTTTGAGATTTTAATATCTATTACAAAATTATTATATGTGTTACGTCTAAAATTAGCCAGCTATTTTGTAAACTAACTAAAAGCGCTGTTATTTTGAATAAATCTGTCCATTCTTGCAACTTAGCAGGCAGCCAACGGCTAGTTTTAAAGGTTGTATGTATTTTTTAATGCCAAATTTTTTAATGCCTTATCACTTAGGGGTATAAAAAATAGATAACAACCTCTTCTCAGACCTACTGAATGCACATACCCCGCTGGCAAGCGAACCTTTAGGTCGGCGTTTACATGTATAGGAGTGAGTCGTTATGGCAATCTAGTAAGTCGGAGTGAGCAAAAATACGAAGTATTTATTACATAACTACTTAATCTGACGCTAGATTCCATGCGCTTGGGAAAATACTCGCCTTCTGTCTTTATTCAGTACATCTTATTTTACTAAGCGTGTTGACCGTACTCTTCGTACACATGAAAACCGGCACCCAAGACCAAAAATGCCGACCCTTAGTATAAAATTTTATCAAAATCGGTTAAGCCGTTTCGGAGGAGTGTAGTAACAAAAAAATTTAAAAAAACAACCCCTATTAAAAAATAGAGGTTGATGGTAGAAGGATAAAAATTTAGGGTTGTATGTATTTTTTAATGCCAAATCTTTTAATGCCTTATCACTTAGGGGTATAAAAAAAAATAACAACCTCTTCTCAGACCTACTGAATGCACATACCCCGCTGGCAAGCGAACCTTTAGGTCGGCGTTTACATGCATAGGAGTGAGTCGTTATGGCAATCTAGTAAGTCGGAGTGAGTAAAAATACGAAGTATTTATTACATAACTACTTAATCTGACGCTAGATTCCATGCGCTGGGGAAAATACTCGCCTTCTATCTTTATTCAGTACATCTTATTTTACTAAGCGTGTTGACCGTACTCTTCGTACACATGAAAACCGGCACCCAAGGCCAAAAATGCCGACCCTTAGTATAAAATTTTATCAAAATCGGTCAAGCCGTTTCGGAGGAGTTTAGTAACAAAAATATTTAAAAAACAACCCCTATTAATAAATAGGGGTTGATGGTAGAAGGATAAAAATTTAGGGTTGTATGTATTTTTTAATGCCAAATCTTTTAATGCCTTATCACTTAGGGGTATAAAAATAGATAACAAGCTCTTCTCAGATCTACTGAATACACATATAAAGTATTATCAAAATCGGTTAAGCCGTTTCGGAGGAGTATGGTAACAAAAAATTTAAAAAAACAACCCCTATTAAAAAATAGGGGTTGATGGTAGAAGGATAAAAATTTAGGGTTGTATGTATTTTTTAATGCCAAATCTTTTAATGCCTTATCACTTAGGGGTATAAAAATAGATAACATTCTCTTCTCAGACTTACTGAATATACATATAAGCCGTTTTGGAGGAGTATGGTAACAAAATCTGGTGACACGAGAATTTTATATATTAGATACCATAGTATTTTATTTTAAATTCGTATAGAAGCTTGTTCACTTCGATATTCATTGGCTAACCGAAAACTATTGGTAGGTTTCTTCGCTCCACTCAAAATATATTTCAATTTGATTTAAAAATGAAATGAAATACAAGGCTTTGAAAGTAGAAAATCAAATAGCTGCAAAATGTATATCTTCTTTTATTTTAAGCTGCTTAAACTTATTGGTATAAACCAGAAGAAAAATCACAATCAATCCAAACCTGAAAATCGAAAATACGAAGCCATATTAGTGGTTTAAAAACTTCAGAATATTTAATTACTTTACTTAAATCATGCGGTACGCAAACAAGATTGTGGAAAGTGTTTTAGAACTATGTTAATTGACTTTAAAACTAAGTTTCTGAAAGGAGAAAAACTAAAAATCAAATTTAGAATCCCAAAGGAGTTTTGACGCTCAAAATGGTTTTGATTTAAATTGAATTAATTAAAAGAGTTCAATTTTTTTAAGATAATTTAGAGTTTATTACATTTTAGATTAAAATCTACTTAAAAAGGTGGATTTTGTTGAATGGATAATACTAAAAATGTATGTAAGCAAGTGTACAAGTCTTCAAGTGGAGAATGTACAAGGAGTTTAATGGGGCTTATGTTTTCAGCGTTAATTGAAGGAATAATCAGTCCACGCTTCTCTCTAATCTATCAAACGGCAACAGATAAGCCAGACGTATAGTGCTGAAAATTCGCAGCTAATCGAGCAGCTAAGCGTAGAAAAAAAACCGGACAAATGCCGCAAAAGTCAGACTCGCCCACTGAGAGTACAGGGTGGGTCATATTGGACGCTTTTAAAGGGAAATACCCTGTGCTATAGAAGATAGACGAAAACTAATATCTGGACTGAATTTTTATCAAAAACATGATGGTGAAAACCTATTAGAGGTGTGTATAGTTCGTGAACGAACTAGTTCCAATGAAGTATTCCGACCCCGGAATGAAAGGAACTAGTTCCTGATTTCTTAAAGAACTAGTTCCTCAGCACCTATTCCGGGATCGAGACTGTGACCGATATATAATAATATGCGACAGCGACGGATCGGCCAGCGCGCGTAGTCCGATAGTAAGCAGGAGTGGGGAGTGCCAGCCGTATGTTATCGGATCCGGATCTAAAGGAACTAGAGGAACTTAATAAAATACTAGTTTACGTGCGGATCGACGAGCGCGATTGTTGCTAGGCAGGCGTGAGGAGTGCCAGCCGTATGTTATTGGATCCGGACCTAGAAGAGCTAATTAAAAGACTAGTTCACGGGACTCTATTCAGCTTTTTTGATTCGGCTTTGTCTATTGCCTCAGCCGAGCCGGTGTAATTACCATAGAAAATTGTCGTGGATGCTGTTTTTAATTTGTATGGGTATGTTTCACTTTAGGTCCCTAAAATTAAGAAATATCTTATAAAACGAAGTAGATATTCCGAATTTTTAGACAAAAACGCTTGAAGTGAGAAAAAATGCAATTTTTCGTAAAATTTCCGTAATATTTGCTCCAATTGATTTGTGATATAGTTTTGTTAAACTCCGATTTAAGTTTCTTTTTTAATTTTTTTATCTGCAATAAAACTTACCTATATTTTTTTAACATACACAATTACACGTTTTGTTATATTTCTTACATTATAAAAATTATACAGATCATACTGTGAATAGTTCTGACTGATAACGACTCATTAGCAAGCAACGGGGATGTCAATGTTAGTCGGGAACTATTGTGAACTAAAGACCTAGTTCAAGAAAATATTCCTCTGGAGGACCTAGAACTAAGGAACTTGTCCCTCCCAAGGAACTAGAATTCCCACCTCTAACATCGATATTTGTTACCGTTTCGGAGTTACGGAGTGTTTTTAAAATCTTTTTACTTAGAATTTAATGGTTTAAGTGTTATTTTTTTGAAAATTAATAATTTAAGAGTTATCAACAGAAAATTTGATTTTTTTAATTGGGACATCCTGTATATTTTTAATTAACTGAAAAGACCTTAAAAATATAGCACACTTGATATTTTATTATAGTCCCTTTCGAAATACAGAATTTTATAAGATCGCGACTTTGAACTAAGTAGGT